TCCCCCTTTGCTTTCCAAAGCCTGTCCTCTGTGACCTCTGTTACGCACACAAGAAATGGACTCAGTACGATGAAATAGCATTGCAGTGGTTGTTACGCCTGATCTGTCAGTTCAGAGGACACTGCTGGGAAGAACTGCTGCAATTGCAGATTTGGACAAGCTACAATCATTTGCTGGGCATAGGATCTTTCTCTGTACTGGATGATTAGGGGAGACCTAGATGGTCATCTGTGAAACATCCTTTGGTGAGGCTGCTAGGGTTTGAAGGTCAGTGTTTGCAATACCTGGGGAGGCCTGCAGGGCAGATCCTCGGCTCATTTTAGGCTTCTTGAGAGTCCCTGTGCCATTCAGTGCTGAGGATCCCAGATTCGGCACTCCAAAGCGCTGCGGCGCACTCCCCGATCCCTTCCTGTGATTGATGGGCAACGAGAATTGTCAGAGCCGCTATGACGTGGAATATTTCCTTCTCCTGACATGCTCAAAAATTTAAAAGGATGTCTCAATCCTTGTTTGGGTGCACTGCTAACTACCTGGATCCAGTTCTTGTTTTTTAGCGCCCCTTCGACGGCGCGCGCAATGGGAGGGATCCTGTGGCACCCAAGCTTGCATGAACACCTGGAAGACCTGCAGCATTCATATAAGCACATCTGTAACGTATATATATTGATGAAGCGCTAGATAGTCCCTTCAAAGTCCAGGACAAGAAGTACCTCGGACAGTTTGGACGGCTGCCATCGCTCAAGGGTGCAACAGAGGCCTGCATTCCAACGATCGGGATATGTCTGAATCCAGTGAGATCAAAGACGCTTTGAACGTGTGGAACTGGTCTGGACAAGACTGACAAATGTGGAAATGGGCAGTGAGTGCGTCGCCCATGACACATCTGACGCAGCGGTCTAGGCAGCGGCGTCCCTTACAAAGGAGTTTGCATGGCGAGCAACTGGGCATATGAGCGACACATGAATCCAGCAAAAAATGTTTGGGAAGTCTTTACATGACAACTGTACTTGTCACACAGGTTCAAAGCGGTCTTATCTTCCGATATCATTGGTGCTCAGCGCGCAATCAAAACATGCAAATCAAACGGGCCACTCCTTCAGGTGTCGCGACACCTTTTGAACCAGCATTGATGTCGTCAGCAACACTGTACACTATTTTCACGCCCACGCAGAGCTCTGCTCTTACGCAGGCTCATGCGAGCTGTAGACGGAGTAGTCTCCAAATGCCCGCTTTGCACTGCACGCATGCAGGCACACGGTGAACGAGATCTGACAATATTCCCAGTCGTGTCATGTCAATTCAAGGGCACCATGCAAGAGCACATCAGTACTTCAAAATACATTGTATCACCCCCCACTGAGGCCCTTCATATGCCCCAGCACGTTCCCAGTCTTCGCACCTGTGGTCGATCTGCCATGAGGAGGACAGGTGCTGCGGCTGCAGGGCATCCACAAAGCACTGCCTGAAGCGAGCCATGAGTGCGCACAGCTCCTCCTCTCCGCCCCTCTCCAGCACAGCTTCCACCACCTTCCTGCCATGCCACTGGTGGCCCCCCTTGTTCAGGTCCCTCGCCACTGCAGCCGCCAGGGTGATCTGTGCTGGCTGCTCCCCTGCCAGCTCTGCATCTGCTGCTTGCATCTGCAGACCTTCTGACTCATGGGAGCTGCCGGGTTGCTCCTCCGCAGCTGCTTGATTGGAGTCTGACACATGTTCGCTGTCCAAGCCATTCTTGCATGCAACTTCTTCCTCTGACAGGTGATGGCCATTGCCCTGCGCCGGGAGCTGTTCTTGGGCCTCTCGTTCAGCCTCAGCTGGCATGTCATGGCTGACAGGCCGGCCACCATCACTGCTGCTGGGAACAGGGTGGGCATTGGTGCTCCCTTCAGCTGCATCTGCACCGCTGGCAAGCTCCTGACTGCCGCTGATGTCAGCATCGGCATCAGCACCGGTGCGCGCATCTGCCGATTTGCTGGCTGCATGCCGCTGCATGTGCTTCCGCCGTGCGCGCGCTCCAAAGCCGGCCATGAGGCCCTCTTGGAGTTCCGGCTCTGTCAGAGGCTGCTGCACGTCCGCTGCAGCTGTGGAGCCCCCGACGTACGCCCTCACCAGAGCCTGACCCCGCACACAAGCCTGTTATCCTACAATAAAAATGACAGAAATGAAGTGCTGCTGTGTCAGTAAAAGGAAAGGTTTAGGAGGTTCAATGCAGACACATGCAAGCATGGTCCCGGCATGGGAAATGATGGATCCAGGCAAGACAGCATCGGCCATTTAGAGCGTACACTGTCATGCATGTCGGTATTGTAGGAGCTGGTCCTGATGCATACATGCATGCTTTGAAAGGCCTGCATGCTAGAAATAATTACAACAGACCCAATTTCGGTGGGAGAAGGTCTCACCGTGAGGCTTTCACGGCGCTCGGCCGGCATGGAGGCGGCGTGATACTGCAGTGCGAGTGCGGAGCGGCGGATGTTGGTGGGATGGAGCGCCTTCTCGGGCATGCCTGCGGCTGCTGCACCCTCGGTCGGCGGCGGTACTGGCGGAAGCAGAGGGACGCCATACTCCCTGTGCATGCATCACATGTGGGGACATCTATGCGGAGATGCAGTGCTTGACCCTTCGGTTTCTTGCTACCCTTCAATGTCTCTCTCAGGTTGCTTTAGCACTCACCATGTCCCAGTGAAAGGGCAGAAGCATGCATGCATCTTGAGGCAATCCATATCTGGGTGGGGATATTCACAGGCTAGAACGATACATTAGAAATGCAGAGATATGTAGCTTTGTGCATCTGCTGGGTGACAACCCACCTGGCTATTGTCTGCTTCATGCGTTCGGCAGCCTGATGCGCTATCTGGTGGCAGTCAAAGCAGAGCAGCACCACATCATGGCTGCATGGAAACAATGAACAGCCTTTATTGTCAGATTATGAGGAGACATTGCATGCTGTAAGAACCATTTCTCCTGCGCATGTCTGAGAGTGTACTAAGAGGACAGCGCAGCACCTTCGGTGGCTCTTGAGGTGCACAGGGAAGTAGCGCCTGTAGCATGCAGGCACCACCTGCTCACCCACAGACACCTTATCATCCATGCACAAGACATGACTTAGCACACACATGCCCGACCAGCATGCGCGCACCACAACAGGAAGGGGAGGAGCCCATGCATGAGATGATATTTCACGACTGCTCATGACATATATCGAGACATCCGACAAGGATATCGTTAGTGGAAGGACTCTGCAAAGCCATGTGCAGAGGTCTGCACACCCTGTAGCGGAGGTAGTTGGTGGAGTTGCCACAGGCCACGCAGCAGTTGAGCTTGCGCTCTCCGTAAAACACATCCGCACCGGTGGCCTGATCTGCCGCCTTGTGGCGGAACAGCAGCCGGATTGTGGGCGGGTCATCGCTCACCCTCTCCGCCAGGCCACGTGCCTGCCATAGACATGTCGCTCGTTGTTTTCAATGCGCTATGAACCTCATGCAGGCTTCATAGAAAACCTTTGTGAGCAAACGCCGCCATATCACTTGACTGCCACCCTGCCTCATCAGATGCACTTGGCTGCAATGCGGCTGAGTGCTGCCTGCGTGCAAGCGAGCACTACCAATTTCAAATCCCAAACTTTCATCCAATGCACCTGTTCGGTAATATTTGTAATGTGAGAGACCTAACCAAATGCACACAGCGTGCTACAATGGTGCATATGGGTCCAGTCGCTCATATCACATGCAGTATTCTCACAAGAGTGCAGCTTGTCTGCAGGAAGTACCTTACCTTTTTGCCAGGAAAGCGTGAATTAATAATAATACTGATCATTCTCACAAGAAAGGCAGGCATCACAGTCAAGAATCAGCAGCATCACACCTCGTACCACTGCAGCTTGCGCAGGTCAATGAAGGACAGCGGAGCGCCGTCCATGGAGAGCATGCGGCAGTTCTCATACACCGGAGACTTGGCGCAGAAGCTGGCCACCAGCTTCCTCCGTCGCTCGGCAGCTTCCTCGGCCGTCCGGCGCTGCTTGCCTGCCGCGGCCGCCGACTGGCCCTGCTGCCATGGATGCATCCCCAGCTGCGCCTCCTCCAAAAGCCTGCACAGCTGCGCCACAGAACATCCACGTTAAGCTACTCCTGCTTTCCCAAGCTGGAATATGCGGCAGTGTGGTTTTCCAAAGATGGGCGTCATGCATGACGAAATTGCACAGTTGACCACCACAAATTTTCATAGTGCTCCTTACTTATATTCCATTTTGCAGGACGTTTGATATCATATTGAGGCATGTGCACCCATCTCTGTACGTAAGGGGAGATGAAATAGCTATTGATTGATGGACTTCACACCTCTGCGCCATGCCGTTTCAACAGCAGTTGAGAATCTAAAGGCAAGCTCCAGGCACTGTTTGCCTTGGTGGCTCTTATGAAGAGCTCCTCGGGGCTGCTAGGAGGCGTTGTGGCAAGAGACAATAGAAGGGCATCTGGCATGATATACTGGGGGCCTGTCTTGCATCATTGGAGCCTTTCAGTTTCACTGGCTAACTGAACATGTTCAAATCATAAATTTTGTCCCATCAGACCAGCAGAGAAGCCATGACATGTGGGGAATTTTGTGATGATCATCACGATGCAAAATAAGGAAATTGCTGCATGCATGCGACAGGCACGGGCGTGTGAAGGGCCACTCACTCTCGTCCTGTTCGCGCGCCGTGTGATCACGCCAGCGGCAGAGCACGTAGATACACTCTGTCACCCTGACACCTGGAGAGGATGTGTCTGCTGCGGCCGCATGCTTCCTCAGCACAGCATTCACAGCACCGGCCACACTCGCCTGGAGCAGGCATGCAAGAGGGGCATCAGGCCTGCACGCTGCAGAACACCTGGAGCCAGAGCAATGAACGGATCTTTGACTTGTCCCTGCCGCACCTGAGAAGTGGGCTTGCTGTAGAGGTTCAGGGACATGAGATGAGAGCGCCGGCAAGCGTCCTCAAGAGCATCTGGCCCTCTAGCGGCCAGCTCAGAGCGCAGGACATCAGCAATGTACACCAGAAAGTGCACATCCGTCCTTGCATAGTCCACCAGCTCCTTTGCAAGAGGTCTGCGCACAAAAGCTTGCCATTTTGAACGGCATTCAAGGCATGGACCTGGCTGGCTCAGGGCATCACATGCCTGAGGAAAGATACAGTAGATAGGAAATTTTGGAGCACATGCAAGTGTGAACAGGAGAAAATAATGAAATAGGGGCAGGAGACTTCATCAATACCCACGACGTGGGGTTGCCACCCACCTGACTCGCCAGTCAGCTCGTTGGTATTGCTTGTTGGCCGTGACACCACAATATCTCTGCAGGAGATGCGCCAGAGATCGCTCTTCATAACCCAAAACCTTCGCAGATACAGAGAAATTTGCATCAGAAATGGCGCGGCAGTGATTTTGCCAGAAAAAAACATAACAGGTCAACTGCCGCTAAAAGCCTCACCTGGCATGCCTTCTCGGTGTCAAACACGTTGACAAGGTACAGGTGGAAGTCCCGCTGAAGCCAGGAGATATCATTCTCGCCCCCGTGCAGCACCTGGCATCCCAGTTGAAAGTCAACACAGATGATCAAGCACTCCAGCCTTCGAAAGTACACGTCGGACGAGGGAACACGTGGAGGAACACATTGAATGCTTCATCATGGAGGCAGGTAGTGCAGTGCAAAGACAAGAGAGGCAAGCTACCTTGACAACTCTTGCATCCTCCAAAACGTCCTGCAGGAGGTGCATGTGGTCATGCAGGGCCAGTGCATCAACCAGGTATTCCTTGTCCCCTGTCAGCACATCAAGCTTCGTCAAATTTATCGATGTCGCTTGGCATTTCAAGTATGAATCTAAAGGTGAGTCCTTCCAAAAGCAATGATGAAGGTCATGTAATGCACCTGTGGACAGCTGCAAGAGGCACGTGATGCCCAGGTAAGATCGCAGCGCATGATGCTCCAGATCCACTGCAATCTGCTGCGCTCCTTTGAGCTCTTCTGTGACTCGTTGGAGCTTCTCTGCAGAGTCTACCCAATCCCATCCAGAGCACGAGAGAGGGATGGGCAAAGACAGCGATTCCTTGAGGACACTGCATTTCCAAACCAGATCAATATTTTCATGTGCTCTTCCTCCACTCAATAGGGGAAAAGCAGGATGATTTGACGTTTTTAGAAGTTAAGGGCCCGTCAGGGAAAGTACCTGGCTGCGTTCGGATGATTGTTGCGGAGCAGCTTCAAAATGTCTCTGCTGAGAGGATGCTGGTACACATCTGCAGTCGGATCATCTAGGGCGCTGCCAGCTGGTTCAGCCTTGCTTAGGAGTCTGCTCTTTCCGCTGCGATGCTCGAAGGGCGCGTCTGAGTTGTCAGCTAGCACCTGCACGACGGGAATGGAAGTGCTGCATTATATGATCCCTCAATGGCCTGCCACCTACACAGTAGAGAGTCCACCTGTGCGCATGAACCCGCACCTTAGCAAAGTGGGCCTGTGGCTTGCCAGTGCTCCTGTCTCGCCGTTTCACTCGTCTGCAAGGTCAAAAACAATATCAGTGGCTGTGCATGGAGTCGTCAATTGCAAGATAGCATGGAGCTGGAGAGCACTTCTTACCTCTGAATACATTTTGTGATCAACAGAGTGCCCAGTACAAGCGTTGATACAATCAAAGCTCCATCCTGTGGCAAATTCGACCCACTCAGAGCCGTGATCTGAGACTTCTACTACAGGAGAAACATTCTGGAGCCCATTGACATCTTCGAGAGACTTCTGAGCCCTCATGTATAAATTAGTAACCATGAATAGGAATTGCACGAGCTCTTTTGAGCGCTGAAGTCATACGGCATCCCAAAAGCAGTTGTATTTCACCTGCCTTCGCCCAAAATGTGGCATCGATGTACTATTTTCAAGCTTAGCGTGATGTTGTCATGCCGATGTTTCATGTTGTGCATGAGCGACAACACACAGCAGCAGTGTCGATCAAGAGCACGTGGCTGCACCTGACCTTGAAAGCTCGCAAAAGAGAGGAAGCAGGAAGAAGGCTGGTGAATCTTGACGCGTGCCAGAACGACATTCTAAGCAATTGCTGTTTGGATACATGCTATTTCTAACCAGAGGAAAAATTTGTAGCGGTGCGTTCTTCGCTTGGGGCTCCCTGACCATCTTGATCTATTGTACAATTTGCTGGTCTTGAGGAGACCGATAATACGCACAGACTTCGTCAAATTCACATTCCTACCTGCAAACAAAATCAAATCATTGGATATTCTGATTTGCCAAACTACCTTTGAATTACGACAACGTTGTGTAAGTGGCACCGATGTTGTAAACCAAAAACTGCTTCTTGCTATGCAGAGCAAGACGTGTCAAAAATGCAAAATTTCGTTGCAGGATCTTCCGGTGTCCTCTGAGATCTGGCAGCGGATCGCAAATTAACTTGACACTGCGGGAAGGGGCTCAGGTCTGCGGTGTCTGCAAAACTACATGGAAGATGCAACTTCACGAAGTGCGTCTGAGCAGATGTACCTCTTCATCATTGTACAACTATCCTGCAGCAGGTAAGAATCTCGGTTTCAATTGTCTTAGGAGTGAGGTTTGTCGCAACTGCCTCAGTAGTACTGAGATGGTGATTGTCCTTCCTTCCATCAAGCAAGCAGCACATCTACAGAGCGCTGCTTAATGGTGTGGAAATGGATTTTTTTGCTTCAAATCTACTGTGCTGGAATGTAGGCCTGGAGTGGACAGTACAGCGCTGCAGGGAGGCGCAGGTGATAGTCGTAGATGAAATCTTTGTCTCTGCGGGCACTGATGACGTTACTAATTCGGTCCTACCAGGGGGAGTAACTCTAGAAGAACTTCTTCTAGAGTTCTTCTAGAGTTACTCCCCCTGGTCCTACAAGCCATTGAAGACAGCCAGCTCTGCTGAAACTCCAGATGGTCACAAAGCCTCCCTCGTCCAGGTTTCCCCACTGCCTGCATTACAAGGAGCCAAGCAGCGACCTGGCCTATGCTCTAGCGCATCGGCTTGCTGCTTCAGCGCCACGGCTGAGTGCACTTCATTGCCGTGCGCGCGAGCTCCATCCTTCCCAGCAATGCCTGGCCTCAAGCACCTGATGCTCACCGCGCCCTGCGACACTGTCTGCAATGGCATGAGCAGTCTGGCTGCAGTTCTCCTTTGAAGGCCGGGGGCCGTTGATGCGCACCAACAGAATGCCTGACCAGTGGCTGGCCTTAGATGCCGCACTGGCAGAGCACAACAGTGAGTGGGTACCGATGAGTTTTGCATTCACTGATGATGGCGACAAGGGTCGAGGCATCCACCACCTATGCATTGTGTGTTCCGCTGGATCCATACCCGCGGTTGAGTCACAAAATGTATTCTTCAAAATTTTTGGGCACAGAGAAAATCATGTGATGCATGTGTGGGGCGTGTGCAGACTGCCTTGCAAGCCCTAGGGAGGGCAGGATTAGCAGGCAGTGAGACTGGATGAGGATGGAATGGGACGTTGCAGACATGTACTGCAGCGTACACTGACCATGGTCGCCCATCCTCGCATGCGCACAGCTGGAGGTCTTGATGCATGCATGGCAACTGCCACTGGCACTGTTGTGCCTGGAATTTTTTATAAGGTACTGTAATGCTACTTCCTGAAGGGAGGAAGGAGCTTGCGAACTTGATTTTATTATGTATACAGTTATACAATTATAATGACTACCAGGTGGACAGACCTGTAGCCAACTTGGATGGGCTATTGAATAGGCTACAGGCTGATCATGACAACAGCGACAGTAGTGCCCACCCCCGTAAATTTATACACGCCCATCCAGTGGAAAACCATCTGTTACACTGGAGCTCCAAAAGTCCATGCATATCGTATGCGTAAGTGACGCATAGTAGTACTAGTGCACAAGGCAGCCCCCTCTCCCTACCGTAGGTGACTTGGCGCTCGCACTGCCTTGAAGTACTAGCCCACGTGAATCATGCATGCCCATGTATCGCCCTATGTCCTGTATCATGCAGCCCACAACATGCAAACCCCCGAGGTCGCCCTGGTTTCCACCCACTTTCACTCGCACAGCGCTAGCGCGCATATGCATGCATGCATGCCAGCTGCAGAATGATCCCAAAACAACAAACGATCATCATTGTCAGACCCAAGATTGTGCTTGTGACCAAAATCCAAACACTTCTTCACCTTTCTCCTCACCAGGATCATAGTAGGTGACGTCCCGAAATTCTCGAACTTGAACAAGGAACGCCATCGTACTGGGTGGCCTGGAGATCCTCATGCCTGGCTAGCCAAGGAAAACCTTGTAGCAAGGCCTTCTAATATTTAGAACAGGAGGCAAAAATAAGATTACCTCGAGAGCTGGCCCATCGATGTTGATGTGAAGATCGCATACGATACAGGTGTGCCTCACACTCCATTCAATATCTATAGAGTGGTGAAGGAACGCATTTATAACCTCATTGATTATTGCTAGGGCTGAAAATATATTTCTGGGGGTCATTTTGTGGCCTGCAAGCTCACCTGACCTGGCGTGTGGGTGTATGCAATCGTTGACCATTACAAGAACAAGGCTTGCGTTGACTGTTGGTTTTTTGTGTTCATTCACCCATATTTTACGTTGCGCAGACAGGAACATTGCTGCGGTCATATTGGATTTTTTGCTTTCAACGCTGCGCCTGCTCCCCAGAAGGCTTTGGGCTGATGTGAGGAACCTTTGGAACGACTGGTCACTCCGTTGTGCCATGATCATTCCAAGAAAGTCCACGGAGGATGAGAAAAAACCAAAGACTTTAAAGTACCTGGAGAGTACGCCCGCAGCGTTCAAGGAGATTGCTGACGCCATCCTAATCCTAGACACCGGAGAGGAGCTGCCAGCTCATAGGTGCACAGACCTGACCCCATCTCTTAACACTACTTACTCGTAGCAACACCCGCAGCTTAAAATATCCGTACGATCTGATGAGCATGGGTCTGCAAAGACACCTTTTGTCTAAGTGGCTTCATGCTGTGCTGGCAGACAAGTGCTCGCCCTGAAGTCAGAGGTCTTCTGTGGCATCTGTGAGAGTGCTCCAAGCAGCACAGGCCCAGAGAACAAGCTGCACATCCCCCTGCCGGATTGCAGCTCCGAGGAAGCCAGAATCTTCCTTGACTTCATATACAACAACACACCTGTGTCAGATCCTCCAGCTGCAGAGTCATTGACGAAGGTGCGCTCTTCTCGTGCTTCTCTGCCTTTGCTGGGAGCTCTACTTGCAGATATCTCAGTGTCATGGAAGGCATGTCGTCTTACTGGAGCTCTATTACTCCTGACACCACTTGTTCCTACAGGTTGCCCATAAGTTCAACGTCAAGTCGGCGCTGCAGTACTGCGACAACTTTCTGGCGCAGAGGGCGGATGAGGATGTGAATTTCCTCCAGCTCAGCTCGGTGTGTCTCCATATCCAGAAGCCACCTTTGCTGCATGAACTCCAAGCATTACATTGCAGCCTCTGCACATTTCAGCCAGCCAAGTTTGGGGTCCACCTGACCTCATCAGCCCATATTTTCTCTGCACGTCATTTCAATTTCTGCCTGTCGTTCACTGGGACAGAGCCTGCCCACACAGCTGCACGGCTGCGCTAGGTAGATGAGCTTGTGCATGTTCATGTGCAAGTCATTCCTGATGCCCAGAGGAAGTGATTCATGGATGCCTCCTCAGCTTTGGGCAGCTGACACAAATATAAGCGGGGATCAGGCAATCATGCCTGACTCCAAAAGGCGTGCGCAAGGGTGAGGAAAGCCGGAGAGGGAGCCTGGGGGGGCAATCAACTCAACAGCCACTGTGCATGCAAAATAATGATCCACACAATGCCCATAAATTACCCGGCAAGCAGGGGCAGAACATTGTGCAATAAAGAAAGCAGCGGGAGCAACTGAAAACGTGCCCGCTCGTGTGGCTCGCAGAGGAGGGACCCGGCGTCGCGCAGCGTGCTGGACTGGGCAGTGATGGCCAACATGTTCAGCCTGCGCAAGCTCACGGCGCGGTGCGAGCTGTTCATCATGAAGCACTTCCAGGGCTCGCCCTCCTCGCGACGCATCCTTGCCACGCTCAGCCCCGAGTCCCAGCTGCGCATCTACAAGTGCGCTCACTGCTACTATCAGGGGCATTTCCGGCTTATTTTGATCGCAATTCCGGCCGTGATTACGATTTTTTTGGCATGAACCAGCCCCTTCTGGGGCCCCATTTGGACACCCAAACAAGCCTCGTTTACTCACGTGGCTGCCTCTGAGCCTATCTGTTCGGAGCCCTGTGTGCCAGGCTTGCTCGCCTTCTTGTTGTTGTTGTGTGGACACAGGTTCTTTCAATGCTGAGACTTCAAGAAGGTCAGCTTGCCAATATCACTTGTTCTCCTGTGCTGAGCGAGACCTGCTAACCATTGCAGGGGATGCGCAGAGGCGAAGCCGACATGCACCGCCACATGTCAGGCATGCGGCAGGGTGCTGATGCAGGGAGAGGCGTTCCACATCAGCAAGGCGCTGACCACATGCAACCACGAGGGCTGCACCGGCTGCATCAAGGCCAAAGCCGCACTCACAGAGTTCCCCCCGCTGGAACTCATCGAGAGCTGGCAGGATGTCAAGCGTGGCTGCTTGTGAGTAGTACTATTACAGGCCGGCAAACCCATGGGCATGTTGTGAGCACCAGATCACAAGGCCCGAATAACGGCTGTGCATGTTGCTGTATATTTTGTTGTACGATCAGTTGCTCATTTTGGTTTGCCGCACCAGAGAGGTTATTTCTATGTGCATAATAAGGTCTGGCGAGCAGATTTTTCGTGTGCACATAAAATCTGATAATGTCAGCAGACACCTTCATGATCATATATTGGATCTACAGTAGCTTGCTGGAGCTGTAGAGCAAAACGCATTGCTGTGCCAATACGGCACATTGTGCCATTTCTGCATTAATGTGATGCAACGAGAGTGTAATTTCCAGATTTGACGTTTTTAATACCAATCCAGCGTGCTATTGAGCATCTCTTTGGCTGCAAGCGCACTTGACAGTACTGTGCAGACAATGTCCTCAGCACTTTCAACCTAAGGAAAGTTCAAATTTACAGCACCTTTTCAATGAAGAAGAGTCTTCATGTGTCATCTATGTTGCACAGCACAAGGAGTCCCATAGTCCTTGAATCTTGCTGGCGAGGTTTTCCATCCCCACACACTAGATGCTATCTTGATCAGAACAGCGTGCAGCGCATACAATCTGCTTGGTATATTTGCAATTGCCATACTTCTCCAAAGCTTCATCTGTCATTGGGAACTTCTGGCTAACGGCTGAGATTACTGCAAGTACTCAATGCACTTTGGACTGCTCAGCAGCATGTTTTCACTCCTTCCAGTCACCGAAGGGCAAGCAGACACCTCCTGTGATAACATCACGCAGCAGACGCAAATAGCAAAGATACACAATTGACAAGTTGGCAAATGAAGCATTGTTGTACAGCAAACAGCCATGTCAGCCTGCACTGGGTTTCAGTAGCTTTTTGTGACCTAGCCACTTGGCAGATACCCATGATCAGAAGAAGACACAGGGAGCCAGTGTCATGCGCTGTACAGCCCATCTAATCACATCCGGTCACCGCAACATGGTGGCATACGGGGTTTGATGAGGATCTTAGAATTTGCCAGGCCAGCCCTAGATAAGCGCTGTTCACTGGTGACTGAATATCGGGGCTTCCCTGAGATGCACAGGTGTTTTCAGGGGGGAAGGGGCCCTCAGGATCTGTCAAAACCTGGTTTGCCACCATGCATGGCATTCTTGGTTCCACTTTTGCTGCTGAGTCTCTGCCAGGTACTTCACCGTGAACCAGGCATAGGAATGAAGCGGATCAGGAGCAATAGCCGATGCCATAGCCATCCACTGTGTAGCCACGGATGCCCGGCCGAGTGCAGTGGGTGCAGTAGCCCGTGATGGAGTTGGTCATGCACCAGTCCGTGCTCAAGCAGTTCTGCAAGATAAGCACGACTTAGTGAGTGAATTCTGAGATCAGTGACACTCGATTTCTTCAAGTGTCTATATACTGTTCATCAAGTGCTTCTCAGACCCCACCTTTGCGCAGGTAGAACGCAGCATGCGTCCAGATCTTTGCAGCAGAGGCTCCTCTGCCTGCAGAATTCTGTCGCTGTCCAAGCGTATGTTATCTTGAGCGCCTTGCTTGTCCTTGTGAGCGCTGGATCCTGCTGACAAGAGAGCAACGTTGCTGACGCCCTAAAACCCAGACGTCTGAAACCCCAGTTCCCGACAGCAGTCATTGAACTCATGAATAAATACCTAAAAAGGATTTTGCCTATATAGATTGAATTATAGTAAAATGATTGAACATTAATCAGCAAGGCTGAGCACGCATGGGATGAGCAAGAGAGAATCACCGGCGATGATGGTGATGACCATAAAGAGGGCCAACATGCCAACGATGGGTACACGCGATGCCATTTTGCTCCGTTGCAGACTACGTTCACGTGTACGGCGTCGAGAAGGGAGCAAAATGTGCAGAACATGAAGCTCCCGCAGGAATTCGAAACAGATTTTCCTCAGATGCTGACATTTGGAACTAGTGGTAGTGACGTACCAACTTGTCATGGCAAACTTTTGAAGAGGACAGGCAGTGCATCCAGGTGTGATGGATGCATGGAACTCTTCTCAAACAGACCATGGAGTCCATTCAGCCTCATGCCACCAAGTAATCTGCGCTTAATGCGAGCTTGAATCATCAATTGCAAACCGTCTCTGCAGATCCAGATCTGACAAAGACCCTAGCTCCAATGGTACTGTCTTGCTTACAAAAAGCTTGAGGGCACATCCTGTTTTGGCACCGTAAATTTGCTAGACAGTCCATGTTCAATGTGCGGTGTGGTGCACCGATTGAGCCGCTGTACAGTGATTTCATCTCGACAGTACGCACACTTCTACCTCAAGAGACCACATGCTGGCAATTTTAGGTGTCCCTGACTGTCTTGAAACACGGAAGCATCAGAGAGTGTCCCTCTAGTCTCCAGGGCCAAAAATAAAGCGCAGCAACCCAACTTTAAGTTGTCATCATGTGTCCTGGTAGATTTTCATGGAAACAGTCTTGACTAATTGCCAATGGCAAGAGATCGCAAACATGCAATGCCATACTTCTTGCCAAACAAATGCACTGTGGGGCCCAAATGCTGCATAAAAATCCAGTGCGCCGATTGCATCTATTTCACCCGTGATGAGATGCACTAATTCATGCCTGGTGAACGTTGCGCAAATTCCCTTGCAGCCGCGTATGTAAGCTCTGAACAGTACATGATCAAAATAACAATACTGGCATCATACACGTATTGCCCAGCGCTGCAGCTACAGCAGCCCAGCTCATGGTGCTTTTGCCTTATTGAATTGATGCGTCTTGAGTGCGGCAACAAGCTCCAATGAATGCCACAGCGGTCAACCGGGCGAGCGGGGCCTTTTCCCCGGCCAGACAGACATGCATTGCCCGGGACTACACCAGTACCGCCCCTTGCAGTCCCCTGAGGCAGGTAGCTGAGCTCCTTCCGAGCGGCATGCTCTCGTGGTAGGGGAGGTCGGTGGGCTGCAGCAACAGGTCAGCGCAGGTCGGCAATGCGCGTGCCGGGAGTGGGCGGCAGGACCCAGAAGTCGACCTGGTCATCGCGGATGTTGTGCTGGCGCAGCCAACCGCGCAGCAGCTCCTGCGGGTACTGGTGGAACATCACCACCTGCGCAGCACACCACATCAGATTTTGCATCAGTTAAGACATCTTTTTGGCCCGTCCAGGCTGCCATATTTGACAGACTCTCCAGATCCAAGTAAGAGCCAATCAAACAAGACATACATAAAAAAATATGGTATAGAAGTTGCAGCACTCAGTTGCTATGCGGTGGCACAGCAGCCATGCATGACGAGAGCTTGTTTACAAAACTCCCGGCTGCATGGCATCTTGGCTGACCGCTTGGATTTGCTGCTCAAGCCCTCTTCCTGCACATGCACTGCAGTGCAGAAAGGGCTGCATGCATGCATGCCCTAGAACAGTGCTCTGCGAACATCTGGGCATTGTCATGTGCGGGATCAATGTGAATATTTGGCAGACGTGAAATCGGGCGGGGAGTGCGGCTCACCCGGTACTTGGCTCCGGCGCCGGGCACCTTGTTCCGCTGGATGCTGGCCAGGTCCGATGCGAATGCGCGGCCCGCCAGTGCCTCCTCTCCTGGCTCGTCCCAGCCTGCACCCAAACACACTCATCAGACATCACTCCCACTCATTCCTGATCACCTTGACTAACCAGACCTGTTCAAAAACATTCTGAGAGGCAATCTTGCATCTGCCCACTTCACGAACTGCACCTGTGCATGCATGCACACAGCCCCCTGCAAGCCATTTTGGCCCCCGTCTTCCAGGAAAACAGCAAGGGGAGACTAGGCAGGGGGAGCATAAGAAGAGCTCCCCCTGGTTGAAGAATGGAAATGTTCTACTTGAGCCACTTTGCGAGCCCGCTCAAATCTCAATGAGGAAGGGAGAAATGCAAGGGTAGGGAACGCACTGGAGCCCGTGGCGGAGAGCATGGGGGGGTACTCGTGGGAGCCGGCTCGCGGGCGGCGGGGAACGCCGTCGGGCGACGGTACAAAGCTCATGTGCGCGGCCCTGTTGCCGCCCGGCAGGCAAGAATCTGAGGCCCTCAGCCGCGCTGCTCCTCCCTGCCTCCTCCTCTTGCGCCGCTCTGCGCCTGCCGCAAGCAACCCAGCTATTGTGCCTGCCCAGCATTTCAAGCTGCCTTCTTCACTCATGCATGACCTGAAACTGACCCATATACGAATTTATATTGTCCGCAGTTGTGTAGAATAGGCAGATGATCAATCTGGCAAACAGCTGTAATGATGGGCATTCATATTGAGCTTGAAGTGCATGTGCACCTTCCATTTCAAATTCCACCCTCATGACTCACCTTTTATTTGGAGAAAGAGCCTTCTCTGATGGCAACTGACATATACATGAGTCCATGATACCCCAGCGTTGACTAAACCAGGCAGATATTCACTCTGGCAAAGAGCAGCAATGGTGGGGAAGGGATTTTCTGTTGAAACGGGAAGTGTACCTGTGATCTGAGGTTTGACCACACTGCCCTGCTCATCAATGCCAGCTGGCCCGGCGCCGTCTGGGAATAGCACATTCGACCTCGTGCTGGTCTCCAACGGCGATGGCGCTGCTCCCAAGAATACACAACCACTTTTAAGACTTCGCTCTGCAAATGGTACTACTTCCTGAGCATCCCAGTAATTCTCTTGTTTGCGCGACTGCATGCGATTTGGACCAGCAGTTCATCTTGTGCGCTCCTTTCATCAGGGTCCCAGCACATTTTTTCTATCCAGGATCAAAGCGCCTTTCCTAAAATAAATATTAAGTTGGTGGTCGGTGGAAGCTGCGGCGCACCTGGGAGCAGGCTGGAGCAGGGGTGGGAGGGGTGGGAGGAGTCGAGGGAGAGGGCGTTCCCTGCCGGTGTTCTCACCATTTCCCCTCCGCGCACCCCGCTGATGCCCGGCGACTCACCCGGCATGCTGCTGCTGATCTGACCCTCTTCATGCGCAGTCAATTTCACATCAGGCAAGATGCCACGTCATCTACAAATAGACTTCACATAAACCAAAACTGCCTCTTTATTTAAATATTGAAATTCTATTCCTCATGCAGCATGCTGTGAGAGTTCTACTGGATGAGTTCTATGTCTCCATTTCATATGTCATGAAACGCAGCGTACCAATGCAAGACTTCTTCTGTCTGGTTTTTTATATTGTTTGCAATCATGGCAAATATCTTTTCCAGGGCAGGACCAGCATAAGAGCTGCTAGAATGCCAAATTATTGGCAGTGATTTGAGCCAAAAAAATATGTGACAGGGTGCACTTACCGGGGGATGAGGGCGGTGTTTCCAGGCTGAGGGGGTTGTGGTGAAGGACCGTGGGGCGCGAGGGTGACTGCGAGGGTGACGCAGAGAGTGACTCATCCGTCACATTCTCTTTGTCATCGCCGGGTCCCCCCCGCAGGTCCAGCATGCGGGAGGGATGCCTCAGGCGGCCCGCCGTCCCCGGCGTCAGTGCCAATCTTGGCAACCCGCCGTCCTGCGCATTCAACTTCAAAATTTAAAAAATCGTACCAAAAATTCTCACCTTCAAATAACTAAATCCCAAGCCCAACAGGAGCGGCGTTTATCGGCCAGTGAAGCTGTGCCTTAGTGCGCAAGGCCAGCTGCAGGAGCCCAGAGGCAGTGTGGAGAATACACAAATTCTCTTGCCATTAGGATGATTAAGGCAAATTTAGAGGCTTGAGTGCATTGCTGTAGGAGGAGGCGCCCTCCTCGCTCACCAGGGAACTGTGAACAGATTCAGTGCATGTATTCAAGGGGTTCAAGGCAGGGGCTCACCCTGTCTGCATGCTGCCACTGTGCCTCCATATCGTCAGCAAACGCCACTCTGCCGTCCGTCGCGGGGTGCCCCCCGCTGGAGGTGGCGCCCTGGCTGGAGCTGTGGCGCGCGTCTGGGGAACCCATCTCGCTGCCAAACTCCAGCATTGCGTTGTCGTACACCGACATCCCCTCTGGCACGCCCCCATCACCTGCGCTCAACACTTCACCCTCTCAAAACTGCCTGTCTTGGTGTCCAACTAAGAGAGGAGGGTTTTCGGCATAAAAAAAATCATATCTGGGCGAGTGAACACTCAGTAAACCTTGCTTCAAATTGAGCACCAACCCGCACACAACAAAGGGAAGCTGCGGTCATGCACGCGAGTGAAGAGCGCCTGCTCCGTATGCTCTGGGAAGACTGGGAGTAAACAGCACCTGTCAGCAGCACAGCCTTGCCCTTGTCGGCGGGATCAGTCATCAGGCGCGACTGCGCTGCGTCCCCTCCATCCCGCGCCGGCGACACCTGCGTGGAATCCGCGTACGCCGGGTTGTAGAACAGCCGCGCGGAGCCGAGCGGGCCGGTGTGCAGGTTGCTGCCGCCGCTGCCGCCGCTGCCGGCCGCGCCACTGGAGGTTGACGGCCCGGCCGCAGCCGCGCGCGCCGTCGGGTCGGAGAGGTGCGTGCGCGCCGAGGCGGCCGCGAAGTGGCCGTCGGGGCGGCGGATGAGCATCTCGCTCTGAGCACGCAGGCCTGCGCAACGCATTGCCAATGTTGCCAGCTGAGCCAAACATTGCAGTATTCAAGCCCGAGTCTGAACAGATGAACAGAGCAGAGAAACTTAACCAGGGTGAAGTACCTGCCTTGACCAGTACTACATTGTACAAAAGTGCCGTTGGAGTGTTCGGAGGTGCTTTGTCTGTGGGATTCTTGGCATTTTTTTTTTCAAAGTATGAGTGAACAGCCAGTGAAAGAAGGTATCAACTGGAATTCTTCACTATGGGCACCAACTCTGAGAAGACTGGGGTGTATCACTGTGGGAGCGGATGTGTGGAGGCGCACCAAAGGTCGGAGGCTGCTGGCCCCTGCGGCTCGGCCTGACGGGGGACCTGAAGGCCGGAATGCGCTCCCCTCCAGAGGCGCCGTCAGACGGCAAGGGCTCAACTGCACGGTGCGCCATGACTCGGCCATGCTGCTGGGGCAGCTTGCTAGATTGAAAAGGTGCGCATGCCACAGGTCAAATTTGTGAAAGGACAGTCAGGATGGGTCTGCGTACCTATGATGCCGAGGCGCTTCTGTTTCTCAATGTCGGCCAAGTTGTCTCCTGCGCACATCAGACAATGCCTCATCTAACGCTCAACACCTTCTCCCACGGTACTTTGGCATGTGCTATATGCTCCAGCGCACAGACCTCCTCTGAGCAGCATGAAACGCTGCCTTTCTCAGAGTCCAAGGATTCAGTCGTCAAGAGGGAATGTGCTTTTGCATCAAATCCCCAGTGCTGTATAAGCCTGCAGAACTTCCCCAGAAGCGCAATCGTAAGAGCAGGTGTTAAACTGCCATCGAATCCCGGCGCGCAGGCGCACCGAATTGGTATTTGTTCCGCAGGCCGATGGGGGTGCGGGGCCGCTGGGGGCTGGGGGTGGGCATGAGGCAGGCGGGGATGTGGTGGTCGAATCGGCCCTCGCGCGCGCGGCGGCGGCAGCGCCGGCAGCAGCATACGGCCAGGCCCGCCAGAATGAGCGCCGCCACCGATGCGAGGATGATGCCGATCAACAGCCCCACATTGTTCGCCGCCCAGGAGCCCGAGGGCTGGCTGCACGCATGCAGTTATTCCCTTCTCAGCATTTCACAGCCCCAAGGCCTTGCTAAGTAGTGTGGGAGGAACAATTCCAACTCAGTCCAGTGCGCAGGAGAAGCCTCATGCTGAGGTCTGGCAGAGATCTTGCAGACTGCTGTTCAAATGCAGCATCCAATTTTTTTTTCAAGCCTGGCGGTCAATTGCATGGGGTAGAGTCTGATGCGAGCTCCCAGGGACATTTGAGCCAGGTTGCAAGATACATAGCAAGCAACCACTTGTCGCAGTGCAGCTCTCAGAGCATAGGTCAAGCGATTTCAATTCTTGTAAAGTCCTGTATGAGCACATGAGCGGGCAATTGGAGAGCAATAACAAGCGACTGCAAAGCTGTCAGTTCAATGGGGTTCTTCAAGCGACTTGCCAAACCGCGTTCGAGCAATGCTGTCGGTTTCCACAGCCCTGCTCGGAGACCAACAACCCTGGAAACTTAGCACATTTAAACAATTATTGCATTATATTTGCAGCAAATATGTAATAGCGCACTTGGCAGAGGGGCTCTGGGCGCTGTAGGAGCGGGCATTCATGGAGGCCTGCTGTCTTGCTGCTGCGTCCAGGGTGCCCAGCTCGCTGAAGGAGGCCGAGCCCGGCGCGGGCGGCGGGGCACGCTGCGTGAGACGGCCCAGCTCCGCCGTCAGCGCCGCGGCCGCGCTCGCCCACTGCGCCGCCAGATCGCCGGCCGGGTCCGGGGCTGGCGCGACCGCGTCGGCCGCTGCAGCTGCGCAGCCGTGTACAGAAGTCAGGCTACCACCGTGCAATCCCAAGCATTAATCTGGTCAATAGAAAAGGTATTACTTTGGACGAAGACAAGTAAGTGAGGCTCCTACAAATTAGCCACTGGAGGAACTTGAAGTCGGTGTACAGTATAGATTGCATTTATTTGATATTGACTAATTGTCAAATGTTCAATAGAGACAGAGCTGCATGGCTGCATTAGCGCACCCGGAGATGGAGCAGGCGCAGGCACAGGCACTGGAGCAGCGGTCAAGTTGCCGGCCGTGCCGTTGACTGCCGCAGCTAGCGCGGCCACCGATGCAGTCATGTTTGCATGGGCAGCCGCCGGGGCCGCGGCTGCCGGTGCTCCGATGACTGCCGCGGGAGACGGCGCCGGTGCATCAGCGGTCGGCCGCTCGGGTTTCGGCACGGGTGCCGGGGCCGGGCTGGAGTGGGGCGGTGCGGCGGCGTCGGGTGCGGGAGGCAACGCCGCGGGGCTCGGCGCCTTGAGGAAGCTCGTGAACAGGGGCGTTGCCTGCGCCGGCCCCGGCGCCTGAGACGCTGCAGCTGCCGGCGCCTGTGCAGGCACAGAAGGAGTGAGGGCTCCAATCTTCTGCAGCTTTCCATATGGTAACATCATGTCTGCAATTCTCCACTTGGTAACATCATTTGAAGGTCCTGTAACAAATGCTCCTGATAGCACACAGTGCACACTTTCAGTCTCCACAAGGGAGTCTTATGAAACAGAGAGTAGGCTCGAGAAGGTAGATGATGACACACCTTGGCAGGCATGGGCGCAGGTGCAGGTGCAGGAGCAGGCCCGGTCTGCGCCAGCAGCAAATAGACAGGAATACAGAAGCCGCCGCTACTCATGTAGCCCGTCGCGCATCTGTCACACGCAGCGCCGGCATAGCTGCAAACATACACCACACACATCTCAGCCAATCACCTTTCTCGCTCTTCATTTTTCATTTATTTAATCTTGCAGCGGCAGCAAACTCGGCGTTAGCACAGTAAAAAAGTCCTGCTACAATGTCATGTATCAGGATGCCCCCTCTTAGAGGTCATCTGAGGCCTGGGAGTCCACAGCTTCTGTAATTCAACATGTTTTTGTGTACATGACTATGTTCAGTGATTGAATGGGGCATTAGAACGTGCAAGCATTGGTCGAAGGGGAGGAAGCAGCACCCCACGAAGCAGTCGCAGAGGCCGCTGTTGGAGTAGCAGCGTCCTCTGGCGCCGCACTGCCCGGCTGAGGTGCCCGGGCAGATCATGTGGGCAGTTGGGCAGTCCTGCGGGCAGGTCCCGTTCTGCATGCCCACTGCTGTCCTCTCCCCAACCTATCCCACAAAAAAATAACCTGTCAGACTTCCCTTCGGTCTGTCCTCTGCACAAGCATGCAACTTGTACACCAGAGTTGCTTCACCACTCAGAAAGAAGGCCATACCGTTGGACAGAGCCCCAAGTCCACAAAAAAATGCTGCATGCACCTTAGAGAAAAAAGGGAAGGAGAGAATCAGAGACCTTTACAGACGCCAGACAAAGCCAAGGAAGAGTCAGTGGTCAAGAAAGACAGAGGCAGCTGCGCACCTCACAGAGGCCATTACCGCAGATGCCGGTGCGGCCGGTGTAGGTGGCGCGGACGGAGCTGAAGCCGGGGGAGCCGTCAGACCAGCGCAGCGTCTGTGCGGCATCTAGCGCGCGGCGTGCGGCGGCCGCCGAGAACGCCAGCGAGCGCGCTTGCGAGTTACCCTGGGAGCCAGAACAGGCACCGCGCCAAATCAGGTACTGCCCCAGAATTTTCCTCGCCCATAACAATGCGAAGACTTCAGGTGTGGCAGGAGAACCAGGAGACTCAAAGTATGAAAGCATCCCGTAGCAGTACGGTTGAATCCAAATATCATTTACACTTGTGCAAGCAGTCTATAAATGGCATTTCTTTGGGGGACGGTCTGCCAGCAAAGTATCATGCGACTCTGTCTTGTATCTCATGTATTTTGAGTGGACACCGCGAGTCTAGCATACCGGGGGAGCAATGAGTGCGGAGATGTCAAAGCTGTCGGTGATGACGAGGGCGGCAGCGCCGGCGCCGGAGCGGGTGACTAATGCCGGCTGCTGCGCTGCGCTGCGCTGAGTCACCGCGACCTCCACGCTGTCCTGGGGGATCTGTAGTAATCCTGCCAGGGTGGCACGTACTCCCTCGCGGTACAGCACCTGCAGGATTAAAGTGGACTCTTAGCCATGCATCCGTGCGCATGACTTCAGCAAGAAACTGATACAATTTTTTAGTGGGAGGATGCGAAAGTGGAGACGAAGTTTGTTGCTGGCCTGTACATACCAAGATACTGACATGCAGCATTATGATGAGGGAAGGTCGCATAAAAAAGGCACTGATGCAAAGATGGGAAAATCCTGGAGGTAAAAGTGCCCTTGCATTAAACCTAGGCAAGGCTGCTCTAAAGGTGTTGCATGGGGACGTACCAGAGACGTGTTGGCGGCAGCTGACTGGGGAGCCAGGGTGTCGGAGTGCAGAGACAGGGACAGCGCGCACGAGTCGCCGCCGCCGCCACAAATGCCACACTCATCCACATCCCCACTCTGCACAGCCACTCTCAATTCTTGACCCATCCTTCATCTGCTTTGCGCTTCACTGAGCAATTTTCAGAAAGCAGGCTTTGCTGAAACATGCATTTGCGCTCACAATGACCACCCCTCTGCGAATCGCCTACTGTGCCGACCGTGGCCTTATGGACACCTTCAGGGTGTGCCAACTTTTGGCTGACTTGTTTTGCAACCAATGCACTCACTTGCACACCTTTTGACAACTTGAGTAGTGCTTGGGTCAGGCAAGACCGGCGCACCTCGCAGCAGGCCCCCCGTGCATCGACGGCCCCGGAGCGGCAGCCGACCCCTTGGATATCCAGCAGCCGCGCGGCGCCGCCGCAGGTACCGGCAGCGTCCAGCTTCCTGCCGGGTGCGCAGCACGCGCCGAGCGCGTCGATGATGGAGCCGGCCGGGCAGCACGCGCCGGCACGGTCGGCCAGCCCCGACACGCAGCAGCGGTTCTGGGCGTCCGTCACATTGCTGGCGCAGCCGGGCGCCACCTGCGCACAAGCAGAATATCATCATGACAAGCAGAAAAGACTACCAGAGCAAAAACGCCTAGTGGGGGAAGCTGACAACTAAAGTAAGACTACCAGACTAACAGAAGCAATACTTTGGGCCCTTAATAAAACACAAATACAAACCATGCCTGGCAGAAATTTGTTGTAGCAGAGACATGAGCTATTTTATCTTTGCATGTTGCAGTTCATGCCTGGCCATGTAGTATCTCCTTGCATGTCATTGAGTAGCTCAAAAAAATTCTCAAACACGAGATTTCCACTGGGGTTGATGATAACAAAGCACACTGTTTCGAGGGAGCTGAAGGAGGAAAGTACATTGCAGAAGGGGCCAGAGAAGCCTCCGGAGCAGGCGCAGGTGCCGTCGGGGGCGCAACTGCCGCGGCCGAGGCAGGTGACAGCGGCGTCACAAGCCCCGGGGCAGGGCTGCAGATTGCAGCGCTGCGCTGTGGAGGGCCGCACGCCCGGACACAGGGCCGAGTCCACCTTGGCGCCGTTCTGGTCCGTGCATGTGACTGCCCTTGTTGTCAGGCCGCCTGCGGACGTCAACAAAAGCATGTTTGAGACATGTTAGGAAAGCCCCAAGCATTGGCGTCCCGCAGTGAGCCAAAATGCTTCCCCATGCAGAGGAGCCCATCCTCCTCCAGGTGTCGAGAATATCCCATGTATATGAGACTCTGCCTGTAGAAGAACTACTTTTCCTATTTTTTACACACGCGAGTTCACATCTCAGGCAGTTTGAGGTTCATTTTTCAGGCAAATTATGGCGATGGACTTCTATCTACGTGCTTTTGGGCACAGTTTGACACCAAGAGAGAGAGTTTTTACCGGCGCAGGAATTGCTGCAGAAGCTCCAGGGCCCGGCCTGCCAGGTGTACAGGGCGCACGCGCTGGGGTTGCATGCACGCTGCAGGCTGCCCGGCGGGTCGCTGCTGCCGCAGTCCGCGCCCTCCGCGCTTGCACCGGCTGCGCACAGCGCCGTTCGCGCGGCCGTGCCGCCGCCGCACTTCGCGCTGCAAGCTTCCCACGGCTCGTACTGCCACTGCGGCCCGTTGCAGGCCTCCGTGCTGTGTGCAGGCAGCGTGATTTTTCAGGCCATCTCCAGATCTTATGTCATTCATTTCTGAGCCACATTGTATCGGCAATGAAACGCATATAACTCTCGCAGAGCGATCAACAGTCAACTCCCTGGATCAAGAGTCCAGAGATGTTGGCTGCACGTAGGGGCGCTCACAACGGATGTCAGGAGGAACCACGACTCATTATAACACTGCTCTCAATTTGTCACGCAAACTGGGGCCAATGCAAAGCATATACAGATGAAAGCAAGGAAAAAGAGTGCACCTGCAGGGCATGGAGGTGAGGGTCCGGCTGAGGCCCTGCTCGGAGCACTGCCAGGCCTCGGCAAGGAACCCGGGCGCGGTCGCGCACAGCACAGCGCGCTCCTGCCAGCCGCTGCCGCAGCTGCTGCTGCACTGCTGCCACGGCCCCGCCATCACTGCAGCCGGCCACGCCTGCTGCTCTGCCCTCAGCGCCTCCCTCACCTCTGCACACCGCACACACTTCGTCACTCACCGGCACGCTCATGTCCTGCATGCTTTGCCTTGCTTTGCATAAAAAGTGCCCTCCCTCGGTGGCCTTTTTGCTGTGGTACCCATCATCATCAGTTCATGACCGGCGGTGTGTGATCCAATGGGTGGTGATTATAGTGAGCCAGGAGTGTCTACCTGATTGTTCCATGGCCAGCGCCTGCCAGGAGTTGCCGCTGTTGCTCCAGCAGGTGTTGAGGGCGTCCAGGGCCAGGGTCTCTGTGGCCCGCCTCAGCTTGACAGCCTCTGCAAAGTTGCTGGCCGAGAAACGCAGGGAGAGCTTCCTGCACTGGGCCGAGCCAAGGGTTGACAGCATCTGCCTTGCGTCCTTGGTGGGTGCGCACTCTGGCGAGCACTTGCCGCTGACAATGCCCTGGTAGATCGCCCTCTGGAGCAGGGCGCCGGGGCACTGCACGCTGCTCTGCTGCCAGTCATCTGAGCACTGCCCTGAGGTTGCTGCTGCATAGACTTCAGGGCCGACAACGAAGCCCTTGCATGCATACACGAGCTGTCCTCCTGCGGAGCAATTTCGAGATGGATCTATGACGGAGTTTGCCCGCAGCTGCATGCTGGATATGCAGCTCTCTGATGCTGCCACTTGCACCTGGCACTGCGTCTGCCCCAGACATGAGGGTAGCGTAGTCGCCACTTCTGCATCACTTCCTGAGCCCACAACGTATACGGAGGTGGTGATGTTGAAGGCCTTCACAGGGCAGCTGTTCTGCTGCTGGAGCTGCCTCTCTGTTGGCCTTACGATGTTAGAGTCACTGCCTAGAAAAGTACTCAAGGAACCCGTCCTGATTATCCCTTGACTGCCTCCTGCAGATACCACTGAAGCGCTGATCATAACATAGCAGCTTACTGCAAGGAAGATCACTCTGACTGCTCTGGTGCACATTCTTTGCATTTGAATAAGCGAATTCATTATCCTTCAGCACTGGCATGTCCGCATCAGCATTACCCTAATTTTCTTGTGCAGGATCTACTCAAATCACAGACATGGTCGATCAAAAGCTTCTGCGAATATTTGTGGGCTGTCCAGATGCTTTTGAAATGGGTAACACAGGCATGTCCAGAATAGGCAAATCCAGGAGGGCGACTTCCTCACATGGGAGACCAGCTTCCGCTCTACGTTCATCATTGGAATCTCTGAACTTGTGATATGCAAAAGTCTGTAACGTCGTTTATGTCTCTCCACAGGATATGTACTAGGCCGTTAAGGACGCAGATTGATTGTTTGCCTGCAGTTTTCGATACCAACCAGACAGTGACGATCACTTTCCCTGAAGTTTGACAAAACCGAAATGCGGATATATTGCATGTATAATGGCTATCAAGGAAAGCCCTTGACTCTTTAGATTACACGTTGACCCATCGTGTTTGCACCGGCAATACTGGGGGTCAACTGCATGCTGCAGTTACTGGGCTCCGCTGTGTTGCGGCGAATTAAAAATACCGGAGTATGTTCTAGCTTGGCAAAATTCACACTTCTGAGGCACGATGTGGAAGGCTCACGAGCTTTGCCTCTTCTTGGACAAACTTTGTGGAGCCAAGGATCTCCTGCAGTGCCTTCTTCAACACTTGATCCCAAGCAGATACTTAGTCCTAAGCTCAAAGTAGAAGGATCAAGTCCCCGGGCACGAGCTGAGATCAGACAATGGCTGGCTGAGGGTACGCTGTTTCATATCTGTTGGGGAATGATGACCATGCGAAACGCCAGTTGCATCAATCATGCTCTCATCTTTGGGAGGAAAGCTGACGTTGCCGTTGCTGCCCCAGGCGGAATACAGGAATGCTGTGCAAATATCAAACGGCGCGAGGGCCTACAGTCAAAAGAGGTTATGGAATATGTGTTCAGCCGCCTTGTCTCACCAAATCAGAAACTCTATGCTTGGCGGAGCATGCTTGGGATGGGTCTGCGGCCAAGCAGACAGATTCTGAATAAGCTCCTGGCCAGGACAAGGGAGTTCCGTCCCGCTGTACTCTCTGAGGTCTTTCACGAGGCCCATGCTGCTGGCGTCACACCCACATTGGCACAATATGCACGAGTGTGCCCACAATTTGCTCCGTTGGACCCCGCATTTGTGGAAGATCTGTTGAGATGTTCCACCACGAATGTACGCCACCAATCTCCCACTCTCAAAGACATTTGTCAGATATTTTGGCTTGCTGAGACGTGCTGGGTAAATTGTGTGCATGTGGGGGCAAAAATCGCAAGCTCAAAATTCCCTCTTATGTCTACCCTGCAGGGCGCAGATTTAGGGGCAGATCGAGACCTGGCCTTCTGGGAAGCTGCCACCTATACACACAAGACTGAAGGCGATGTGCAATCACTCCTTGCAAGATGGGAACACTTTTCTGCGTGTGGCTTGCCTCAGACTCTACAGGGCTACAAGCGAGCCCTACGTGGTCTTTGCCTCCTTCACCGCAGTGATCTTGCAAAAGTGCGGTGGATTTCCCAGCTGTTCACTTGTTCAATGATGGTGTGTAGGTTCAGCACACTACACAGCAAAGGATCCAGGTGCATGCAATGACTGCTGCTACTGAGTATCACTCTAGGAGTGAGCCAAGGCGGTCTGCTGCTTTGATGATGCAGGCGCTTGCTCAAGAGCTGCCTCACCGAGGAATCTTCCCGGATAATGCAGCATACGCAATGATGGTGTTTGCTTGCGCTGATTCTAGCCAGCCGGGGGACGCCCTGAAGTGTCTACACTTGATGGAACAGAAAGGCCACCGGGTATGATTTCTCCAGGCAATGTGTGACAACCATCCAAGAGTATTTAGAAACTATGGAGAGATTGCAAATGTAGGGTATCAGTGAGGCCAGAAGCTCAATGTGCGGTACAAAGAATGGGTGACCAGAAGACATTCAGAAACGCTTCCTCCTTGCATCATGCTGTGGGATTTTTGATGGCAGGCAGGGGAAGCTTTATGGGACCTGGTTTTGAGTGGATTTGCAAGAGATGGGAAAATTGGGCAGTTTTATGGTGTCCTCCGAGAAATGCAAAGGCGCAATGTACCTCGGAGCAAGATGTCATATGCATTGGAAATGAGAGCTCACTTGCAACAGCACAACCCAGCAGCAGCGGTATGTACTCTCACTGACTCCTGCTTGTGATGATGTCTGTAATGGGCCTGTTTCCTGAATGAAATGACCGTCCCTATGTCCACAGGAAAGCGTAGGCCATGCAGGAAAAGCTCCACACACATTTTAAGTTCACTGACTGTTAGGGGTAATAACGTTGGCAACTCATCTTGACTCTCTGACATGTGCAGCTTGCTGTCAAAGATCAAGTGGAAGCAGCAGAACTGGGTGCTGCAGATGAGCTAAGCTCGTATGCGGTGCATGCGCACAGCATGTTAGGGGACATGGCAGCTGCCAGTCGAGTGATTGGGGCTCTCAGCAATCGATTCCACAGAGAAAAGGCCAAAAACATCCTTTTAACTTGGTATGGACCACTCCCGTGCCGCTGATGTGATACACTCAATGTGACACTAGCAGAGTTGTCCTTTGAGAGTTTTCCTCCGCTGTTAACCGATGTAAGAGTGCATGCACAATCGGGCTTGAGGCTTCAGATGCTAGACCGGGATTCCTAGGCTGTTGATTTTGCAGGCATGCAAGAAGGGGAGAGGCGGATGAAGCCGAACAAATTTTCAGAAGCCTTGATAGGCAATCACACGAGGCTGCGCATGCTCTGGCAGAGGCGGGCGTCCAGCAATGGCACCTGTCAAACAGCGCAGCAGAAACCCCGCTCGTTGCAGGCATCATCCGGCCCTATGATGGCGCTCTAGGTTTGCGCCTCACCTTGCTCATGTAAAATATCTGCGTCCATCTTGAGCTGCTTGCCCTCCTCTAGCCTGCTGACTCACGTAGACCATTTTCCAAGGTTTTCCTCTGCAAATGGAGTGAATCAAATGTGTCATTGAAGACACTGAATTCGTAGGTGGGGACCATCATGCCTTTGACTTGAAGTCCTTTCGAGGGAGACCCGACAAGCGGTGGTCCAAATTGCGGCATGGTACAAGGGTCCTAAACATAAGGAGCGAAAACATGCATGACGTGAAGCATGCTCACTGGATGACCCAGTTGACTTTCTTGGAGGCTCTGCAGTCGCTCGCGGGGAGGAGAGGATCCAGCACAACTCGATTATTTGAAGGTGTTTGGGAAATTGAGGTGGGTGCTGACGAGCTGATGGGATGTTGAATGGGATGTTACGTTTGGTGCCTGCTGTCTATTGTGTTCACACGGCTGGTGGCAGACAAGGTAAGGGTTTCAGTTGATTGTGAGATGCAATATTGCAGGTGGTGACGGGCACGGAACATTGGAATCTCGGTCTGGGCTACAAGCGCCCACCGCTCTTCATGACCCTCTTGAAGCTGGTGCAGAATTTGGGTATTGCATCGTGTTTGCACGCGAGCAGATCAAGAGTGCTCATGAAGCCACAGGAGATTCTGCGCTTTGTGCAATCAGCACAGCAGCGAGGGCAACGCATTGATGCAGGCACATTTCGAAATTGTTTAGTGGGCCTTGAGCCGATCTGATCAAGCCAAGATGTGCTCAATGTGCGGCACATTGCTACTGCACATAAAGTGGGGACATGTATGCTGGCTTGTCAGAGCTTAATAGATCTAGATCATGTATTGAGTTGTGCCATATTGTATCATATTCTACATCATGTATGATACAAAGTGTAGAAACATGCCTTTCTGATATACCCATGTCTTCCAGCTGCATGCAGCAGGAATTCCTGCTGTTCGAACTTGTGGATTTCTAAAGTCCCACCCTGATGTTGGTCACAATTGGGTAAGAGCAAAATGGGCAAAAAGTTGCCAAACATTAGGGGTTTTAATATATTAATTGTTTTAATACTCTTACAAACATGTGGGCCCACGTGCCAGCATGACCATCTCGTAAGCTCCATGCACTAAGCTTCAAACTCGCAGGCTTATGCCTTCACCTGCTTGTGTGACCACAAGGCAAATATAACTTCAAGCTCGAACACAATTCTGCTTCACAAACAACAACTTCCGCAAGTGAAGTGAAAGCCCTTTCCGCCCATCATCTTGATCAGGTTTGAAGCGTGCGTTCGGAATCTATAATGAACCTGTTACTCCACGACCTTGGCAACGTTATAATTGCAAATTTCACTGCTTCAAATTTTGTTACAATCAAATTGCTGTATGGCTCGAACGGTGTTCAACATGGACACAATGCTTTAGATTACGAGACCCGTTTGACAGGTTCGGTATCCTGTGAACAGGATGGGGACACTTCTAAGGTCAAATGTTTCTGGTAATTCGCTGCTAACAAGGTCCTCCCGACCAAGAACCGCACGAAAGCTGGTAGTAACCCCATCATCGGCATCTGCTCCTGCGACGCTTGCTCCGACATACGAAGTTCCCAAGGATGCCAATCCATTGCTCAGCACCTACACTCTTGGATCATTTGAGCTGTCCCACAGAGTGGTGTTGGCACCTCTTACGCGCTGCCGTGCCCTGGGTGCGTCTTGATGAGTACTGATGCACGTCTTTTAGACACTGTACAAGTCAGCTCCCCTGTACAAGTCAGCTCCCCTTGGTCTTTTTAATCAATTTGCAGGCTATTCATTGTGATTAAGCTGTGTATTTGCTGTGCATGCAGGCACTGTGCCGCAGCTCAATGCAGCAGAGTACTATGCCCAGCGCACCTCAAAAGGGGGCCTCCTGATCTCCGAAGCCACATGCGTCGCAGAAACAGGCCACGGGTGAGCGACAGCCATCTACAATGTAGCTCTACACCCTTATAGCTCCTTGTCCTTTATTGCAACTGCACCTCCAGAGACGCCCTTGGCCAAGTGAGTCATAAAAAGGACTGGCGAGAAGCATCAGAAGAGGCAATGCTGCATGCCTCTGGCAGGTATCCAAACACGCCTGGGATATACACAGAGGAGCAGATCAATGCTTGGAAGCCAGTCACCCAGGCAGTCAGGGACGCTGGTGGCATCTTCTTCCTGCAGCTCTGGCACTGCGGCAGATCCTCGCACCCAGGCAAGCACACCATCCCATCTACCTGAGACCAGAGTGCTGAGCTCTCATGTTTTCAGTCCGCCCAATCTAGAGGAGCACCTGAGAAAGGTGGGACAGTCGTGTTATGGCCTGCCGAAATGTAAATCGAGCTGCAAAAAGTGGGGCTGGGGAGCACGAAACAACAGCACATTCACATGTAGATGAACATTAGAGACTAGGAATTGCTCAGCAAGTGCCTATGTGCGGACCACTCTAGTTTGTCCTGCTGCAGCAAACACCTTTGTAGACGACAGTAAGACTTTGCTTGTGCAGAGTACCAGCCAAATGGCGCCGACCCAATTTCAGCGTCAGCGGTGGCCATCAGCAGCGGGACAGTCTTCACGCCCTCTGGCAAAGAGTACCCCTTCCCAGTCCCACGCGCCCTGGACATCTCTGAGATCCCGGGGGTTGTCAAGAGCTTTGCTGACGGCGCGCGCAACTCTATTGCCGCTGGTGAGCCCTCCATGCATTTGTACCTCGTGGGGCCTTCCTTTACCAGTGCAATGGCGAATTGCAATTTTTAATACCCTCCAATATAATTTTCACTGGCTGGCGGGGGGCGGTACAAATACCAAGCACCGCGCCCACGGTTGATGGGGTCTTGTGTGGATCTGGCGAGTCCAACAACTGGCAGCCTTTCCATGCAGCTTGCCTGCATGCGCACCACATTTCATGCAATGATCAAGATATAATGGTTGAGCAAGGAATTATTGCCCAGAGTTATAGAGGAGTGTGATTTGTGCAGGCTTTCATGGAGTGGAGATCCATGGGGCCAATGGTTATCTCATTGACCAGTTCCTGAAGTCGAGTGTGAACAAGCGCACTGACAAATACGGCGGGTCCATCCCCAACCGCTGCCGCTTCGCCCTCGAGGTCATGCCCGCCTCCTACTGACATCTGCTCATAAAATTGTTGCCACAGAGATTCACTTGTTGGCCACCCTCTTAACTTTCTGTGTAGGATACCAGGGTGCTCTTTAAGATTACTTGGACTGTCTGGCAGTTACCTTGGTATACCTCAGCTGGGCGGATGCAGCTATATCAAGGTTGCATGCATCATGAGCATGCAACCTAATGAGTCATTATGAGTCATCGTCCAAGCTTAGTAGCGCTCTCTTGCAGGTGGCTGCGGCAGTGGCGGATGCAGTGGGCCCGGAGCTGACAGGCATCCGGCTATCCCCCTACAGCGATTTCCAGGAGGCCATGGACCCAGAGACCCTGGAGCTTAATCTGTATCTGGTGGACAAGGCCAGCGAGATGGGCCTGCTGTATGTGCACGCTGTCGAGTCGCGCATCTCTGGCGGCACGGACGCTCAGGCCCCCCAATCCGAGTCCCTGGATCCTCTGCGCAACGCGTTCAAGGCAAGCTTTCTTGCCGCTTCTTATGCCTTGCCATGTCTGAAAAAAAGATAGATTATTCTTATTACAAGCTTTTCAAGCCTTCCAAGGCTAGGTGCGTGCCGGCAGTAATCCTCTAGAATTCTTCCAAATTTGCTTGTCTTCGCATTTTCTCCACCAGTCATATTTGGGACCGATTTCATCAAGGTCAGCTCTCACACAATCATTCCAAGAATTCACTGGGCCCTCAGCAGATCCCTCAGCATCAATTGTGCTATACATCTTCGAATAATATAATGCACAAAAATTATGCGCTGATGAAGCTTGGCGTGATGGAGGAGCCAGAAATCAAGCTTGTCATTCTTGCGCAATGACCCGGGATGCATGTTCCTGACTGTCGAGAAGTTAAGCTCGCCCACAGGGGGTGTCGTGCCAGACTGTGCATGGCTCTATCTTGCTGATGTGCACCCCAGAAATTTTCAGGGCGTGCCATGCTTGCACAATTACCTGGCATGCATGTTCCTGATTGTTGAGAGGTTGTGCTCGTCCATCAGGGGCCTTTTGTGCCCTTCTGCACATGGTTCTGTGCTGCTGATTTGTGCAGCATAGCAGTCCTTTGCAGTGCCTGCCAACTGTGCATGTCTGAGAAATGAAGCCATGGATCCCTCTGCGCTGCACTACAGGGCGCCTTCATGGCTGCTGGGGGATTCACGAGGGACCTGGGGATCCAAGCTATTGAGAGCGGTCACGCTGACCTGGTAGCCTATGGCAGGTGAGGGCTCCATCCAGTGGATTGCTGTGCACGTTACCCCTTGGTCCCGCCTAAGTTTCACTTTATTAGAATTGCACATAGGTTGGGATGAGACCAGACCAGACAGCGAGCCCCTTGCCTGAAATGGGGAGGAATGTGAGATCGACAGCCAGCTTTGGAGAGACCTGTGTTTGTTCAGTGGCTCTGCCCATCTTGCGCAATACGTAACTTTCCTTCTTGCGCGTGCCTGCAGGGCTTTTCTGGCCAATCCGGATCTGCCCCTTCGATTTGCATTGCCGGATGTGCCTCTGAACCCCTACAACCGCGGCACCTTCTACACTCCTGACCAGGTCAGCACAAGCCACTTTCTAATTCTCCTGATTTTAGCCCCACCTAAGCAGCACAATGCGCCAATGCGGGGGGCAGTGTACCTGAGCACCGTGCCCACGGCTGATTGGGTCTTGCCTGGATCCGGCGAGTCTAACAAGGGGTAGGATTTGTGGCAGCCTCTACCTGCAGTGTGTATGTAGATGCACCATGCCACTGTCAAAAAGCGTAGAAATTGATTTCTTCTGTACCTTAGCGCCTTTGAAATGCAGTAATGGTGTTGGGTGTCTGCTGCAGGTGGTCGGCTACTTGGACTATCCCTTCCTCAAGGATGTCGAGCCCAGCTTGGCTGCACAGCTTTCTGCCTGACTGTTATGTACCACAGCGCTCCCTTTGAGCACGAATCTTTACAACAAGACTGGAATGATTGCAATCATTAGAACACTTGCACAAAATTCCTGCGGCTCAGCTTCTGCAGGAGTATTCCTTGCACTCTGATAGACGGGTGCCCATTATTTCCGGCATCATTTGCAGGCTTCAAGATCGAGAAATGCGCCGGCTAAAACAAAATTGTTTGGCGATTGCCACCGCCGAGAGCCTGTGTTGCAATTCTTTCCAGAATCTGATTTCAATCAGAGGTCTGATCTGGTACAGTCATTCACTGGGCCAAGCTCAGCGGGCTTCAGCAATGTTATGGTCTGGATATCCAGATCGATGACTTATTTGGTTCAGAACGTTCCTAAGATTACAACTGATTTATAATGCAGCTAACAGTCGTGAAAGCTGCACACCATGTTGGCAACTGGGTGACTGGTGACCCTTGTACAGCTGGCGCCTAGGCCTGCATTTCGATTTTAAATGGAGATTTAAAGCGTGATCCAGCCAGCTTTACTCTGTACTGTGTATAATAATGCTGGTCGTAATGCTTGTGCTTCAACTGCATTGGTAGCTTGTCTGAAAGAATGAATTTTTGGAGTGGAGGTCTTACATTGCCTGTTGCAGTATTTACGTAGAAGGAATGTGTAAGAGATGCGCGAGGGACACAGAGTGTCAATATTGTTGACAGCGCCTCCGCCAGTTGCAACTAATTTGCACTTGGTATCATGTGTTAGTCTAAGCCTAGACTCTAAGGTAGTTGCATTGTCGAGCTCTTATACGGGGGAAACGATGCACAATGCACACATGCCAGAGCATTGCTTTTGTGCTTTTCCTCGAGCTGCTTCTTCTGTTGGCTTTCTTGGAAACCCGATTGGTTCTCAGTGCTTTCTAATTTTAGCCCCTCGAGAACCAATCATCAACATCAACACAAAAGCTGCATGCAGAACGCACAATAAACAGCTGAGAAGCTTTCAGTAGGATCGTAACCACTAGTATTCGGAAATGGGGTACGTAGCACTCATCGCAGGTGGGTTCGCGACATGCATGTAGGCATGCCATCAACTAGAGATTCCACTTTCAGCCAGTGAATGAAGGGCATCCTGCAAGGTTTCTTGTCTTGTGATATAAGCGGAAGAAATATTAGGTCATGGATGCATGAAGATCGAAGTAGGTTGCATGTAGAGCACCTGCAAACCAAGCAGTTCAAGGCAGCAGAGCTGTGAAATGCAGCGTCGTGTACTATCTCTGCTTATTGAAGATTAAATTGCAATACTTTTATTTCGTTTTGCAATATTTGGCTTAGCTTGGGATCCATTGGCGACTCTCAGGTCCACACAACGGCATCCCGGCATTGAAGAGTTTAGGTTGTAGCTAAGAGTGCAACTTGTTTTATGATAACGTTTTATTTTGATCTTCGCGATCATTTCAACACAATGTTATCAATCGACAATCAACCAGTTGGCAATCATGTGCTGCGACTTTCTGAACAGCTTCACTTCTCCCTGGTAGCTCAGAGCCTTCACCCTCGAATGCGCAGGCGTGACCGGAGTGACTGGCCGAAATTTGGCCTTGCATCTACAGAACTGCGACAGATGGGATGCAGTGTATGGCGGGTCCAGGCGGCCATGTGGCTTGGGAGGCAAGGTCTGCCTTTCCCACTCCCTGCACACACCTTTCTAAGCTTCCCCAGAGACCCAGCGATCCACTGACTCTGTGTCTGGTCCATGCAATCGTCATCATAATGCCATGCTTGAATGTAAGGTGCGTCAGGCGCACATTTCACGCCAGCCAAAGGAAGATCAGTCAGCTCTGCACTCTCCAGGTGAAGGACCTGCGCATGGACCTGGACAACAAGACAAGCCTCGTGGACACTCTCAAGGGGGCTCAGGACGTGACGCACCTCTTTTTCTGCGCGTACCGGCCCACCGAGAGTGCAGCCACGGATGTCACCACGAACTTTGGCATGTTCAAGAACGTCATCGAGGCTGGTGAGGGGGCTGGCCTCAAGCTGAAGCACGTGTCCTTCCTGTCCGGCACCAAGTGGTACGGTGAGTGCCGCGCCCTTTGACCTCACAAAGCCGCAAGACCCCAGCTAATCTGCAAGTGTACAGTATGAATTCTTTGGGCTTGACTGATATCTGCGTTCTAGCAAAATGAGCAGGGCTTCCAACTCTGCGCAGATCTGCGCATGCAGCATCCGAGATATGCAGGCCGCAGAAGGTTCCTTGTGCCAGTGTGGTTCAGATTTCAAATTTATAGTCTTGCAACTCATGCATGCTGCAGTGCTGAGTGCTGTGCCAGACCTGGCACCCTGTCACACTTCCACAACAAAATGATGATGGAGTGTGACCCACTTGTTGACCCTAATAACCCCACTGCATAGATCCCTGTTGACAGGTTCAAGTGTTTGCCAATACAGGCGTGCACATCGGCCCGGTAAAGACCCCTAGCAGGGAGGACGACCCGCGCGCAATGTCCCCCAACTTCTACTATGATATGGAGGACTACTGCATCGCGCGCGTGACTAAGGGCGCTGACTGGACGTGGTCGTCTGTGCGGCCCAACCCGGTGTGCGGCTTCAGCACTGGCAGCGCCATGAACCTGACCATGACCATCGCCGTCTACGCCAGCATCTGCAAGGAACTCGGCCTGCCCTTCAGGTGCCGCAGCCATGATGTGCCAGCAATTTTGAATTTTCTGTGATCAAGGACCCTGTGAACGCTCAAAGCATTCAATTCAAGAAACTGCATCACACGGCTCAAACTGTTGCCACTTGGACGAAACTAGCTCTGCTGAGAATGCTGCATTGTGATGCTTTATCAGGTTGTCACAGCCTGCATGATGTCCTCATGGAAAGAACCTTAAAGGACAAGAAAGGAAGTGCTGGTATGCTGCAGCACACTCTGTCTATCGTGGTGCAGCTTAGGAGATGGATTGTCTTTGTTTGGATAGAGCAAGCCGTCTGATCTTCTTACAGGCAATGCAAACGAGGAGTTCTTGTCCAGCAGTCTTTCAGACAGTGATACGTGGCTGGCGCAGGTTCCCTGGCTCGCCGCAGGCATACAATGTGCTGCTGGAGGTTGTGGACGCAGATTTGCTGGCGTGCAGCATGGAGTACATATCCACGCAGCCCCACGCCGGCAACACATCCTACAACGTCTCCAACGGCGATGTCTTCCGCTGGTCCGAGGTGGGCTGCCTTCACCGCTCAGCTTCCTCTATGCTTGGCTCCACATGTCCGCAAAATCATTGGGTGTCCCGAGCCAGGCCTGCCTTTGCACACTTGATGCTCATTTCTGTGATAAGTTGCTCTTGTCAGACTCTCCTGAGGGTCCAGTGGATCACACATGTAGCAGGAGATTGCATGAAAAGGTCCCTGTATTCACAGGTTCAGGCAAGGCTGATTGATGTTGCATATGGACAGCATGCATGTCTAAAGTGGTTGGTCTAATTTAAAGCTGTGCAAGCAGGTGTGGCCCAAGCTGGCGGCTTTCTTTGAGCTGCCTCTCGCAGAGCCCCAGAAGTTCAGCATGACCACCATGCTGGCCTACCATGTGCGCTGCCTTTCCTTCAACTCTGCAACAGCTTTCCTGGATATTGATGTGCTTGTGGAACTTTCCCTCCAACATTCTATCAGCATGTTCACGTCATGCAATGTGCACTTCTGCTCCCATGATGAGGATCATCCTGATCATTTCAATTATACAGGGCTGACAACCACAGGCATGTGCATGCAGGAATGTGTGTGGCAGAAGCTTGTGGAGAAGCACGGCCTGTCCAAGGAGGTGGCCTCATACAAGGATGTGGCAACCTGGGGCTTTGGGGATTGGGTATTCGGCCAAGAGAAGGACTGGTTCAGTGATGTCAACAAGCTCAGGCGCACAGGCTTCCAGGAACAGAACCTGGACAGCGCAGAAATGTTCCTGCGCCAATTCAAGGAGCTCAGGGCAGCCAAGCTCATCCCTTGAAGGCAATCTAATCGTTCATAGATTCACAGGAAGTATTTGAGGGTTTCGGTGCATGGAAGGAGATGAGGTGTTCAAGAGAATGGCTGTTCCAAGCTGGAGAGAACAAATTTTGCTCAAGTCCAACCCCAGAAGTACACGTGCTGTTCATGTGTGCTAAACAAATGATCCCTTTCAATGTGTACAGAATAATGACTGCCCAGCATTCAACGAGGGCAGGATGTACCTCTTGTACAATTCGCTATTACCTTCTCTCTGCAGGGTGTTACTGTATGGTGTTTGCGGATCCTGAATGCTTTCGAGACGATTCCAAAATGGGACTCCCTCAATTCCTTTGCAGAAGTGCACTGCATGCATGCGCAGAAATTTGGCATATCGACGATGGTGCTTATGGGCCTTAATTGACCTTTAAAGGGTATGAGTGTGCATTACTCAATACTCAAACAGGTGCCTTATAGGCAATTACTTGTAAAGAAGTCCGTGAGCATGAGGAAGCTGATGACTTATTCGTGATTGGGAGCATGCTGATGCATCATGGACACCACTACCAGAGTATGGACATCATGCATGCAGATGTATATGCAACAAAATGCAATCAGCTGCGCTTGTGACATTCCTCAGTCACAAGAGCTATAAATTATGTCACTGTCTTTACGACACTGCTGAGCAGCACACACTTCAGCTTGCAGCTGCAGAACAAACATCGATCAAATAAGTTGCAGACACCTAGCATTCCAATCACAGCACACGACAATGCGTGCACACATTCCACCATGCATGCACATTGGTCAGTGCAGACATGTCATGTCTGGCCATCATCATTTTGTCACAGCATGAGACAGCGTCTCTTGCGCATCAGTCCAGTAGGCTATCGGCGCATGCCACGGCCGCGGCCGCGCCCCCGGCCGCGCATCATTGGGTTCCCCCGGCCCCCCATAGCACCGCCACCGCTGGCATCCGGCGGCTGTGAGCGGGGGTTCCTCACTGTCTCATCCACAGAGAGCACCTGCAGCAGTGCAGCGCAGTGTTCAGATCAGGCACCAGGCCCGTTTCACAGCTTTGCACCTTTTGTCATGAAAGCAAAAGGCATATTAGCAGTGCAATGGCTCGGCAGAGCAATGTTTAAACTTCAGAGTCTGGCAATGTAAGAAGTGATGACAACTCACCAGGCAGGCTGCCTCGGCTGCGGCAGTCAAGGCATTGATCTTCACTACGGCTGGCTCCCACACGAACGATCCATACGTGTCCACCACTCCCCCTGCAGCCAAGTGATACAGCCATCCTCTCAGCTGAGCATGGTCATCATGGCAGCTGTACCAGCCGTTGTATGCACGAGGCAGTGCCAGATGTCCACACGCGCTAGAGGCACACAGACCCATGAGGGTGTCATATCCATGTACAGAGCAAGCAAAAAGGCCTTGGTTCTGCGACCTTGCAGCATCAGCGCAAGAGGCAGAGCGCGCACCTGTGTTGACGTCCACGCCGAAGTGTTTGCCGGAGCCGTCCTTGAGGGCGTGCTTCTGGCGGAGCTTGTTGAGGACATCGGTGGCGTCAAAGCCAGCATTGTCGCAGAGCTGGCGCGGGATTATCTCCAGAGCGCGCGCGAACGCGATCATGAACAGCTGCTCCCGCCCGGCTATCGTGCGCGCGTGGTCCCGCAGCCGCCTGCAGAAATCAAAGGGGTTCTACCACTCAGCAGCAGATATGACCAATGTAGCAGAGCGAAATTCCCTCTTGCTGCACTGTCTCGCTGGCATTCGCACATGCAAGAGTGTACTAGGAAGCTTGCAAAGGCTAGCAGTCATTTGTGTTGCTGAGATGCATACAGGGATCGCTGTAGGTTGCACAATTCCTGTACTGATGGAGGAGAGACAGAAAATACAAAGATGTGCATGCATCAAACTGAATAGCAGCCCTTGGACACATGTCTTACCTTACATGTCATTATCAAGCAGGTCCTCCAAGCACAGGCAAGGATGAGCAGCGAGTGTGAACATACCGGCTGATCTCCATGTCGATGGCGCCACCGCCGGCGACGACGGCTGCGTTTTTGATGGCGCGGCGCACAATCATGATGGCGTCGTGGAGGGAGCGCTCGGCCTCGTCGATGAACTGGTCGCTGCCGCCGCGCAGCACCATCGTCGCTGTCTTTGCCTTGGGGCACCCCATGAAGAGGTTGAACCGCTCCGCGCCCACCTGCCCACACCAGCCCCTTGCAGCCTCAATACTGAACCCTGCATGCCGGAGGCTTTGGGAGGGCATAAAATAATATGAGCAATTTTAATCATGGAGCACCGCCTGTCATGGACCGTGATAAACCTGCTCTAGAGTTGTCACGTGAGCTCGGTGACATCTGATGGGAGAAAATACCCAGGAATGAACATTGATCTCCATGCAATTGCAGGCCCAGCTAGCCACATTTTACTCAGGAATGTCAGGAAAGAATGCATGCATGGCATATGGTGTGTCTGGCAACCTATCACAGACAATGGTTCGGCACAGAGGAAGAGAAGAAGGTGCATGCTCCCACCTGGACTTCCTCAAACTGCTCGCAGGTGCCGAGGACGTTGGTGTCCAGGTTGTTCACTGTGGTCTGCACAGAGGCCCCGGTGGCTGAGGCCACCCTCTTCAGGTCCTCTTCTGCCACCTACAACCAATAAGCTGCTTTTATCAAACTCTCAATACCAGGCAAATCATGAGATGTGCAGAACCCGTGCATGTAATTTCTCGACCCCGCAAGACCATCTCCTCTCAACATCCCCTTCCTTTTGTTTGCAAACGACATGTTCAATGACAGCAGAAGGGTGGCAGCAAACATGCCGCACCCGGCCAGCGCAGAAGATGTCGCGGTCAGCAAAGAACTGGGTGCCCAGGTCTCCGATGGCGAGCCTGGACAGGACCACCTTGGCGCCAGAGTCGGCGCACTTCTGCAGCTTGTCGTAGATGATGTTCCATTCCGCGTCCACTATCGACTGGTACTGCGACGGGTCGCTCAGCCGGATCTGCACACACACGTCCTTGCCTTTATGCCTTGCTCATGCATGACATCAGGAAATGTGTAGTAAGCTCACATGCGCCTGCAATTGTAAGGGCCCAGCTACCGGCGCTCATGGGGCCTTTAGAAAGCTGTAGGCTGCCAGGGGCCCAGCTTTGCGCAGTTCACAAGTGCATCATGATACTGCGCAAAATGCCGTCCCCAGCAGCCCACAGCCTTGATAGCATCACCATGCTGCTCTGGGTGACTTGGACGCTGAGGACACCCTACAGACTTGTAGTCTGTAGGCATTAAGTAAGGGCGACAAAGGCCCAAAACAAGAGGCAAACATGCCCTGCAGCTCAAGAAGGCATGCATGTGTGCATGCATGCACATGACCGAGCCAGCGCTCACCTCGGCGTTCTCCTTCTCGGACTTGAGCTCCAGCTCGATGTTGAGCAGGAGGACCTTGGGGTCGGTGTACGCCTTGGGCTGCATCTCAAAGCCGGCATAGGAGAAGGTCTTCTTGAAGGCGACGCCGTCCACTAGGAAGGAGTCCCTGAGTCCGCCCCCCTGCACCTTCTTCACCCCCAGCAGCGACATGTCCAGCGTGGCAGGGTCCAGCTTGCTCACTGCATCCACCACCATCTTCGCGAAAAACTCCTTCTCGCCGCTCACCTGCGCGCACATGCCACGCCATCAATTTCAACGCCCGAATTCCCAGGGAAGCCATTTCCTGCATGTACCGCAATGCAGCCCACCAGTGCGACAACTGGCATTGGTGCATTGTACGAATAAGTACATGCCATGCAATACAATCATCTATAGATAAACATAATGCCAAGAACTTGGACCACCCATGCGCAGTGGTATGCCCATGTCAAGCAATGCATGTCCTGTCGCATGGAATGGCAGTGCAGTGGTGTTTAAGAAGACTTACCAGCTTTGAGTTGAGGGTGGTGCTGGCACACTTCTGCAGCATGTCTCTCTTCTCCTCTTCATCCTTGCCAGCGATGCTGATGGAGGAGTCCTTCACTTGCTGCACCGCCAGATTCGCCGCCGACCTAAATGCCTTGATGATCGCCTGCATATGCATGCATGCTACTGATCAGCCACATCTATGCATTGGCTCCTTGGGGGCCCCACAAAGTAGAAAATTCATGGCCTCAAGAGTCTGGTAGGAGGCAGCCAGCAGGGCACATGTACGGCCCCTTTAAATGTGGCATAGCAGGTCACATGCGAGTTTCAGCCCAAGAGAAGTGCTCACCCGCGGATGCACCCCCTCCTCTACATATGCCTTGCACTCCTTCAACAGCTCCCCTGCCAGTATCACCACTGTCGTTGTCCCATCCCCAACCTGACACCAGCAGACTTTTCAATGTTTCGCCATGTGCAGCTGCATGGGCACCCTTTCAAATGCCAATGCGACACAATGGTGAAGCGATACTCTCTGCATCTTCAAGAGACAACTACAGGCATTGCTGCCAGAATCCAGCGCACCTCTGCATCCTGTGACATGGAGATATCTGCCAGGACCTTTGCTGCTGGGTGCACGATATCCAAGAGCTTCATGATAGTTGCACCATCATTGGAGATTGTCACGGTTCCCTGAGAATATCCAGCAAACGTCACAAGAGCCGCTGGCCGAGCTCATCAAAGAGTATATCGATTCATGAAAGAATGTTCAGGAGCAAACAAAGCGCGACTCACTCTGTCATCGTGCACAAGTTTGTCCATGCCCCTAGGCCCAAGGGTTGTTCTGACAGTGTCAGTGACTGCCATGCAGGCATTGATGTTACTGATGAGCTGCGCTGTGCCTTGGCTCGTGTCTGTTCCTTCCCTCAGCAAGATGATCTGGGGTTGCTGCACAACCAGACAGGTTCTCGCATTAAGCTTCCTGACAATTGAACAAAACTATGATCTCTTCAAAATCATTTAAAATAAAATCTTAAAAACGAACAGCTTCGATAATATGCAATTGCACGAAGCAGCTGTCCTTGAGGTGATGGCTGTGATCTATCGGTCAGGGACAAAGATCCAGCCTTCCCAGAAGCCTTTCACTCTCAGGATGCAAAATTCACGCATTGTGAATATTTAAAGTTACATGCTGTCAGCACACATCAATATTCTAGCAGTGTCTGAGTTGATGCAAGTGTGATTGGACAAGATCAAGCCTTACCATCATGCCCATCGCCATCTCGGGCAAACCTTAAGTAAGGAGTAACCACTTCTTTGCTTCCCTTTTGAATGTCTATCTCTGCGTCAAGATCTCAAGCTACTCGACTCCTCTAAATGAAGCACACTAAAGTACTTGTCAAACTGAGCAAGGCGTCGCCTTCCACAGTTACTCAGCAACATCTAACATTATACTTTCTTCTCCGTGCTCTTAGATCACCTGTGTTCTGCGTATATTTCCTTTGAAAGGAGCCGTTTAGCACAGCCGTTTTGCAGGGTTTGGATTAGGGTTCCTCACACCCACCTCGATGGCGTTGCCTCCCTTCAACATTAAATTTTTAGTATGGGGAAGTTCAGAGGGGACTACTAGTATTGGTCTGCAATGCTTGTCAAATCAGAGCTGCCAGCTCTGTCTCAAGGTTTTTGCATGCGTCCGAATTGCATGCCTTTTCATTGTTTCAAGCTTGCCTTAAGGCTGATCGGCGTAAATGCCACAATCGCAATTGCGCATTTGCAATTGCTTGGTCATAACCAAGTGTGCCCATGGCATTTTGTTGTGAATCAGAGTCTTCACAGGGTACTTCTGATGATGCACTTCCATGCATAGGAGCCTACAAGACGTGCATGCTATTTTTGGTAACGTGGTTATTATAGCCTGCCCAAATCCAAGAGGCGAGATTCAGCAGACTGGCCACTTTTGTCGCAAAAGCTCTCCTATACCGCATCTCGGCACATCCTGCTAGCACCACGCCTGCATCGCCATCGCCTAGACTGTTATTTGCGAACAAGGTAAGCTGCACGCCCCGAACCCCTGTTGATGGCTCGTGCCTTTTCAGCCGATCGCGAAGGTGTATCGCTTTTGTTGCAATGCCTGTATCAAGCCTTGCAATGCTCCTTGTTCTTCTATCTAAAAATGGCAGTGTCGACCAGTCCTGTTCAGGAGCAATATCGTGAGTAGTTCGGTCGAGGGTGTCTGTCAGGGGTTCGCTTGCATGATAAGATGCATCGATGGGAGCCTCGTCTTAATACACGGCGCAGAGATGATTTTATCATGCTGGTTTAGTGAAGTTCACGTGCGGATGGCTGATCTGCAGGGTATCAGGATACTTCCATCGTTGCTACGCGGGATCATGGCTCAAGCCGGAGGATCGAAGGACTTCCCCTGGGCCGATGAGGTAATATCAGCGCCTTTCTCCTCACCACTTACTTCTACAAATTTTGAATTGATGTGCTTCTCTAAGAAGCACCTCTGATTGTATTCATGGTGAGGTACACTTCATGATATTACTCATCACTTCCATCGTAGGTCAAGAAGGAGATGGAGGAGCTGGAGAAGGCAGAGATTGGCAACCCCAAGACGCCCCTCAACAAGACTCCCTACCTGAGTGACGAGATCGTGGAGAAAATCAATGAGGGCATTGCGTGAGTCACCCCCAGACCTGCCCACAGACACCTGCCACATGTGCCATGCATGTCTACTCTGCAATGCTTCTTAAGAAGCTGAAGAAGTGGAAGCAAACATTTCTGATCGTGATGCAGGTTCAAGTACAGCGCTGCCATGATCTTCGACAGCGCTGCTGCATTCTTTGGCCGTGATAATGTGGGCCTCTGTGGCGTTGCACACTTCTTCAAGGTATGCATTCCTCTTCGACTGCCTGGAAGGGCATTTGACGGAGCACACATATGTCTGCAAAGAAGTTGGGTGTCAGCAAACCATATGCTTCTGCCCTGCCACACATGCATATGCAACCGCAATGGCCCGCTGCCGTGTTTATGCCCTGAGATCAGCGGCATGAACATGCATGCCACATGCTTACTACTTTGAAACAGTTTGTTCAGTGGTAAGCTTTGACAGATCAGTTGTGGTCGGCAGATCATTGGTGTGGGTGAGCGCGCAAATGCAATGAAGGCAGTTGAGTTCCTGAACAAGCGCGGCGCCAACGTCAAGTTCTGCTCCATCGCCGAGCCTCCCAGCGAGAGTGACTGGCACAGCAAAGGTGCCTTCCCACCCCTGCCTGCCCTCCATGCATCTTGGGCGACATGCACAAAATTGAGCTGACGTGTTGTCATGCATCACTGCTTTGCATGCAAGCCCTGAGCATTGGCTTATTGAGCTGCGCAAGCTCCTCACATGAAGACATGCAGCCTCAATTGTCAGGGTGGCTTTCTTGGAAGCTCGAGCACGTGGCATGCGGGCTGAAGAAATTGTAATGATGAATGCACACCAAGTGTAGAGTCTGGCCCTGATTGCTGATGCTGGGGTGCTGGTGTGCGCGCAGATGAATCGGACGTGTGCAAGGCATTCTGCAAGGCTCTGGCGCTGTCGAAGGTGGGCTACAACTGCGCGCACAAGCTGTACGGCGAGGCCCAGAAGAAGGGGGATGCCCACACAGTCGCCTTCCTGGAGTGCTGCATCGGCGAAGCGGTGCGGTCCTCCTGCTGCTCCTTATTGCATGATAAATCCTTGAAAAGGCGATTACTCCTGGCATGCACATGGTGCAAAAGATGCTCCGCTCATGCCACTAAACGGCGGCCTTTGCTTGCTGCTCTCACATGAGCAGGCTGTCTGTGCTGACATGCACATGGAGCAAAGGATACTCCGCTCATGCCACCACAGAGATGGCAATGCTCGAGTGATCTCTCACATGTCGTCAATAGTTGCAGTGTCAGAGTTTAATGGTGGGAGAGCATGTGCATGTACATTATGTAAGAAGCTGCTGCATGAGGATCTCACTGCGTACTGATGCACGTATGAGGGCATGCATGTCCATGAGGCTGAACGGCTAATGCAATGGGATGTCTCTGTGCAGTCCGGGAAGATGCGGTGTCTGTCCGACATGGTGTCCCACTTGAAGGCAGTGGAGAAGGACAAGCACGCCATCAAGAACTTTGACCGCGAGCTGGAGTGCAAGAACTGCGTCCTGGCCAAGGCTGCCGGCATCGAGGCAGTCATCCCCTGCAAGTAAGCATGCCTTCTCCCTGCAGTCATGCATGCTTCCTTTTCCATTTCTGTCATGAGAATTGCTGTTCATCAGCGACCTCAGCAGCGACCTGATTGCTTCCTTGATCCTCTGGAGTGCATGAGATCATCCAGCCCATGCATGCTCAGAATGCATGCATGTCCTTTGAATTGCACTTTGAGCACTATGAGAATCGCAGATTCGTCATGCAGTGCAACCATGTCTATTTACTTACACTCTGAGCTCAAGAGTGCAGTGTGTCAAATTTTATCAGAGCAGATGGTGATTCTGGGACCTGCGGTGTGCTTTGCAGGCTGCAGATTGGCTACCTGAAGCGCCTGGAGTGCACCGAGGCATTTGCCATATCCTGGAAGTTCATGGTGGAGGAGGATCTGACTGGCAAGAAGGTGGTCATCTGAGATGCAGCCGCCTCGTTGTGACATTAACAAATGCGCAGCAGTCCTGTGTTGTTGCATCTTGCATTGTTAGCCTCTGGCAGGCATTCACCAAAAGCACGCTGAATTCTGGATTGGGACACTTGCTGTTGATGTAGAGTCTCGATTTGCAGGATTAAGTAGTCGTCATGAGAGTTCAAATGCATTGTGAGCTGTGAGAGTGAGTTGTCCAATTGCTGTTGTTAAGATCAATCTGCAAACTGCCTGCACGTGGGACTGAGTGACAAAGAAAGGGAATGATCTCAATGTAAGAAGGCCTTGAAGACACTTCTTGAGATTGATCCCGCCAGAAACAATTAGTAAAGCAGCCTTTAATCTCAACTTACTTTGAAGTCTTCACCTATGTCCCAGGCAGAACCCCCAACAGGCCATGCCAGCTTTGATTGACAGACTAAATCAATGAAGGCAAGAAAAGGATGTAAAAAAATGTCCTATCCGATATTTGTCATGCATGCTATTTTTGGCAACGCTATTGCTCATGCCCTGCCCGAATCCAAGAGATCAATCTCCGGCTGGACATTTACGTTGTGCTAGACCACTTCCGCCAATAGATTCCTACGGCTCTTGCTGAAGTCCATCTTCAAGACCGACACTCGCCACCGAAGGCAAGCAAGACGCAACCCTGTTATTTCACCGTCCTGGCATTCTCAGCGCTTGATGAGAATACAATTTTGGCACCTATGTATATATTTAGACTCTTTGCACGCTCGATATCATGAAAAAAGTACAATTATTTCGAAGGGAAGCATGCGATTGAATTTAAAAGCAGCAATCGCATGGTTTTTTCTCGATCCCTCGAGGGATGACGGATCGGGTACTCCGAGATGCTGGATTTTGTGATGCACGACATATATTTGCCGATGAAATGAGCCAATACAATTTTAAATATTAAATGATAAATGCAGCAATTGGAACTATTTCGTGATTCACAGGCTTACAAGGATTTTTTCATACGTGCGCGACATCATGGCCCAAGCCGGAGGCTCAAAGGACTTCCCGTGGGCCGAAGAGGTATACTTTAACAAGATGCATCTTTTAGATGTGTTGTGATTTTTCAGTGCGCAAAATTTGAAGCAAAAGCCCGTATTTTGCACGCTGCACGCTTCTGTTGCACTATTCATGCATAACAGAACAAGCCCACTGGAGCCATTCATGGTTGTGTTGCGATGCTGCAGGTCAAGAAGGAGTTGGACAATCTTGAAAAGGCTGAGATTGGCAACCCCAAGACGCCCCTCAACAAGACTCCCTACTTGTCTGATGAGGTCGTTGACAAGATCAACGAAGGCATCAAGTATGCCCCTCCCCAGCGCTCTTCTGCTCATTTGCCTTCAGTGGAACACCATCAACTAGAGTACTCAATACATAGGCACTTGATTATGGATTTTTTGGTCTCTGCTCTTCCCTCTACTTGTGAATTTGCTCTTGTTTGAAGCGCTCCAGCATGTAGCTGGACTTGGGATTTGGGCCTGCCAATGGCCGGAGGCCATCACAGTGTGGAGCCCACTTTCTCTGGTGCTCCTCTAGAGATTGGGCGGAGTAGCAAGGCAAACATGCTTCATGATTTACTGAGCTGGAAGGTGCTGGTACCTTGCAGGTACAAGTACGATGTTGCCCTCATCCTTGACAGCGCTGCTGCTTTCTTCGGCCGTGACAATGTGGGCCTCTGTGGCGTCGCACACTTCTTCAAGGTTTGCACGTACCTTCATTCAGTGCATTGCTGCTCCTTTCCTATTGCCAGCTTCTAAAGACAGCACCTCGCAGTGCTGATTCTTCGTTGTTGATGATTCCAGTCATCATTGTGATAAGCAGGCCTTACACTTCCGTGCATGACTCCTTCTTCCTTGTCTGCCAACTCCTCAAAGTCTGCAGCTTGCAGTGCTAATTCTTCCCTGCTGATCATGATACCCATCATAGTGATGACCAAGTTTCCTGCCTGTCAATGGGCCCGTGAACTTACATACAAGACATTCAAGACCCCAAAGATCAGTCTCTCACAGATGTGGGCATGCTGCAGATTGCTGCTGTGGCCGAGCGCGCGGACGCATTTGTGGCCATCGAGTTCCTGAACAAGCGCGGCGGCAATGTCAAGTTCGGCCCCACTGCTGAGCCTCCCAGCGAGGACAAGTGGCACACCAAGGGTGCGCAGAATGCCAATCTTGTCCTGCAGTCAAAATGACTCTCTTTCAGTACTCAAAATGACTCTTCTGCCCCTTTGCCCGGGCCAGGCTTGCTTTTGCGCACACTTGCTATGCATGCTGTAATAGGTGACCGTACCTGGAGGTCATCTGCTTACATCTGCAAAGGCCAGAGAATTGCAAAATGATCTTGGCAGCATGCATCATTGTCAGCATGGTAATTCGCCTTCCTATGCTGGGCTCTTGATTCACCCTGTATTGTGAGGACATACATGTCCCTTGAGCTTTTTAAAGGACCTGCTCAGAGGTTAGTCAGCCAACTCAGCCAGCGGTAATAAGATGCTGCCAGGGTCAATACGCACCGAGTGCTGGTGCCAGCAGCATGTCCCTGTGCATGCAAGCAAATTTTTTTCCCATTCAGTGGAGTGAGGCGTGATTGGGCAATTCTGTTGTGTCTGCAGAGGGATCGGACGTGTGCAAGGCGTTTGTGAAGTACCTGGCGCTAACCAAGGTGGGCTACAACTGCGCGCACAAGCTGTACGGCCAGGCAGTCAAGCAGAACGATGCCCACACCGTCACATTCCTCGAGTGCTGCATCTTTGAGTCGGTGCGGCCCCTGTTCTTATTTTGTTATTCTTACATCTGTTTTCGGTCCTCAAGAACTAGATATGGGCCCTTTGCTGCTCTGTAAATAAAGCAGGCCACCATTGATTCCATGCATATGAAGCAGAAGAGTCACGCAGCTCGCTGCCAATGTATATTTGTTCCTTTACATGCGGTCAACCTGCGTTTCAGAGTTGCATGGTGGAAGAGCATGTGAAGGTTCCTCTGCCTGCCCACTTCATGCATGTCGTGCATCCTGCATTAGAAGGTGCATTCTTGACATGCGTGATTTTCTGCTTTTGCGTGCATGCCCTTGGTGACGTGGGCAAGTATAGGCTTTTGCAATGCATGGCCAGAATCTCACCAATGCTTGCATCAGCAGCAGCTACAGCTGTCATGTTGCACCTTTACCTCAGCCCAGGAAGATGATCAGCAATGTCACTACATGTGCCCATTTTTCTCTGGCAAGCGGGTGTGTGTGTGATCCGCAGGGGGAGAAGATGCGCGAGCTGGCATGGTTTGTGACCCACCTGAAGGCAGTCAAGGGGGACAAGCATGCCATCAAAAACTTTGACCGCGAGCTCGAGTGCAAGAACTGCTGCTTTGCCAAGGCTGCCGGCGTTGAGGCTGTAGTCCCCTGCAAGTGAGTCCATCTCTCAAAGCAGAATAGCTTGCCATCTGCCCAAATGTCCCGCCATTGAGTACAGCTGCGCCAGGAACATCAGTGTGAAGGAGGGTGTAAAAAACCACATTTGTCTCAAGTTCTGATTGCATTTGAGATCGTTAATGAAGAGCGGGCAGCAAGCTTGCTGGGCTTTAGGTAATGGGTTTCTGAGATGGATGAGCTGCTGCAAGAGCATCAGCATGCATGACCTTTTCCTTTGGGAGCCGCAGGCTGCATGCAGATGATTTCTGGTGTATCAGCATGCATGATCTTTTCCTATTGGGTGCCGCAGGCTGCAGGCTGATAAATATGCAGTGTATCAGCATGCATGACTTTTTCCTTGTGTCTGCTGCAGGCTGCAGATTGGCACCATGAAGCGCAAGCTGGCCACTGAGACCTTTGCACTTTCCTGGAAGTTCATGAAGGACGACTGAGATGCTGGGAAGAGCAAAAGGAGATCTTTAGCATTAACTGCATCATAGGACATGTTGTGTCAGGCCCTTGCATTGCATGCTGCTGTTGAACATGAAGGTTGCTCCCTGTTGGACCATGCATGTGCTGACGTAGATTAGACCCATGCAGATATTTGTGGTGTGAGACGAGAGAATACGGAATAAGTGCATTGCCTTGCATGCATGTGTGTGAAGCGCTCTGCGCAACAGTCTACTGGAATTGTTTGCTAATGACTTGTGCGGCGTTGAATATTCTTGGCTTGAAAAGTGCTGGCTGGCACAATCCTTGTTATCTGATCAGCAGACTAGTTGCTTTACTCAGTACGCTTCATCAAGCACTCCTGCAGACCCCTAGGGCTACGCACAGACCACTGTTACACCCACAATTACACCCTTGCATATGTATTTGCATGATCAACGCTCTTTAGAGCTGCGCATGCCTCCTGCTGATACATTCATGTCTTCAAGCAATTTACGCTAGCTGTGACACTATGCTAGAACACTCCTGGAGCATGCATCTCGATTGATGACTACTGTCCAAATTTGGACCCACACACTGCATGCTTTCTCATCAAAGCAATCTGAGAAGATCCCCGGCTTATTCACGCTTACTCGCACGGAATCGCACTTCTCACGACCATAAAATCCAGAATTAATTGCAGACTTCTATTCGTTTGCTGACGAAGACAACAGCTTGAACGTCCTGGCTGGAATAAGGTGACCACTGCCCGTGACAACCCTGCATTCATCTCCAGAACGCTTAACATGCAAGCTGCTCCTCTTTGTGAGAGAAAGATTCTTGTTGTCTTTGAACGAGCTGATGCAACCATAAGCTTGTAAATTGTACGTCGCAGTATACACTGGGTCCGACGCCCGCACGACGCGCCAGCTGAGGGACAATCTCAAGCCAGCATGAAGGACTTTCCATTTGAGGACGAGGTAGGGGAAATGAAGCAATCGGCTTTTTGGATGCTCGTCCAAGAGACGCACTCAACCTGACGATGAGAATGCAGTCACAAAAAGGCTGCATGCAACAGCACACATGTGTCAGTGAGCAAAGCTGCTGGGGCGATGCTGCAGGTCAAGAAGGAGATGGAGAACATTGAGAAGGCGGAGGTTGGGAACCCCAAGACTCCCATCGCTCGCTCACCCTACCTCAGCGACAAAGTGGTCAACGAGATCAATGAGGGCATCGGGTGAGTTTTGCCTGTGCATACCATTGCTACTCATGCTTCTGCCCTTGATCCTGATCTCCAGTAGCTTGAGAAAAACCCAGTCATTGACTGAGGCATGCATGTGCTCTGCAAAATGGCATCTCCAGCTGTATTTGGAGAACATTTTTCCATGCTGATGCACAGGTACAAGTACCATTCTGCCCTCATCCTTGACAGCGCTGCTGCCTTCTTTGGCCGCGACAACGTGGGCCTCTGCGGCGTTGCACACTTCTTCAAGGTGACCTGCAGAAGCCACCGCCCCCACTTTTCTGACAGTCTGATCAATCCTGGCAAAGTTCCAGAGAGGTAGCATGCATGAAGATGCGTGCCTCGAAACTCAGCAGGACAGCAATCTTTTTTCTTGGATGCTCTATGTGCTGTGCTATCCATATGCTGTCCATGGCCCCGGCTGGCAAGGGCTGGCAATATAAATACTGAGCACCGTGCCCATGGTCAATCGGGTCTTTCTTGGATCCAAGCAAGACCCGATGGCAAGTCCATCAAGGGACTGTAATTTGTAAGCCTTGTCCTGCAGCTTGTCTGAAGATGCACCTTGCCTCTGGCAGGAAAAGCGTTCATAATGATACCGCAAATGTCAACGTTGTCTAGCAGAAAGAAGGTGGAAGCGTTGCCTTGACGAAGGCCCTGCTTGTGCATGCAGGTGCTGGCAGTGATTGACCGCGCCGACGCATGGCAAGCTGTGGACTTCCTGAACAAGCGCGGCGGCAATGTCAAGTTTGGCAAGATTGCTGCCCCGCCCTCCGAGGATGAGTGGAGCAAGAAAGGTCTGCATCCCTCCCATTACAAGACATCCCACATGATGTGTCTTTGCTATCACATCTCCAGCAAAGCAGATCCGTGCTGGCACTGGTTGAGAGGATGTGGGCCGTCTGGCCAGCACGCAAGGTATTGGAATGTGTAGGCTCTTTCTCTATCTTTCTCTCAATCGTTGTCTCTGGCTAGGTCTGATTTTGGGGTGATCATGTGACACGGGGTAGGACATGTGGGCGCAATAACTTGCAGCTTTGGTTATATTTGTGACCGAGGTGGTGCACTTCTGCTGCAGGCAAGTCTGATGTCAAGCTCGCGTTTGAGAAGACTCTGGCGCTGGCCAAGGTGTTTTACAACAACACGCACGAGGCCTACAAGACCGCGATGAAAGAGAGCGATGCGCACTCCGCCATGTTCTTCAAGTGTGCTCTCGAGGAAGTGGTGCGCATCAATACAGTTCTACCACTCTCTTTAAGGCTACATATCTGTCATATGTCAGCTCATTGCCGTGCCAGGCCATCGCTTGGTTGCATGTCTGTCAAATATCAGCTAGTCATGGTGTCAGGACATCATCAAGTGACAGAACGTGTCAAGTCCCACCATGCTGCAAAATATAGTGAGCCTCACAGTGTCTTAAATGATGGCACGCATCACAAGATTTATTCCTGGAAAAACAGGACACATGCACACAGGTATCAGTGGTCTCAGGATCAGATCTGTAAGTTATGTCCTTGACGCGGGCTTGCACGTAGGATGGCTGACCCTGAGGCGCTACTTAGTGGCATGCTTTCGAAGTCTCCTGCATGACCGTCAGCCCGCATGCATGTTCATCATAAGTTCATGCATGTGCATGAGAGGGTGGGGCAGCTGATGCCAGTGGGATCTGGTATGCGAGCAGGGGGCCAAAATGCGGTGTCTGTCCGACATGGTGTCCCACCTGAAGACGGTGGAGAAGGACAAGCACGCCATCAAGAACTTTGACCGCGAGCTGGAGTGCAAGACCTGCTGCATGGCCAAGGCCGCTGCCATTGAGGCGGTCATCCCCAGCAAGTGAGAACGATAAACTCCTCTCTCCGCATCCCCAGGGTTGACATGCATCTGACAACCTCTGATGACCCTCTGGCAGCCGGACTCGAGCAGGAATTTCCACAAGCTCCGTGCAGAGCAGAAGAAGACGTGGTTGGCGCTGCAAATACAGTATGGGTGCAGCACGCCTTGTGATGTACCTTTTTGGATGAGTGCAGCACCGCTGCCTGGTTCAAAGCATCAGCTTTGTCTATGTGTGTGTCAGCACACATGGTGGCTCACACCACAGCAGCAGTCCTCTATTAGACAAACAGACAGAAAATTCACATATCAACTCCAGAATGTTTGACGATTTTTCCACTTGGTTCTTTCCCCAGCGGCAAGAAGGGATGCTTTGTCAGGTACACACACGCCGAATGTAATGTGATTTACGTGAAGCCGCATGCTGACGCATGTGTATGTTCATTTTGTGGTGCAGGCTGCAGATTGGAACCATGAAACGGCTGCTGGCCACTGAGACCTTTGCAATCTCCTGGAAGTTCATGAGGGACGATTCTGAGGGCGAGAAGGGGATGTGCTAGCTGATCTTTGAGGGGCTGCATAAACCGCCGATCCATGAGACAAGTGCACCAAATGGGGTTCTTTGAAGTTGCTGTGTTGCAAAACCGAGTCACGATCTTGCATGCTGCTGTCATTGGAGACTCTGTTGATTAGTGTGAGTGAGATAATGCTGAGCTATAGTGAACATTTTGAGAGTGCCTCATGGGGTGCAGCAGCTGCTGCCAACACGGTGTTGTGTGCATTGCAACCGACTGCATGAAACACGCTGAAAGTATTTTGTCCTTATGATCATCTGACAGCAATTTAGGTACAATCCTGACCATCCAAGTTTTGTAAGAGGAAGAAGCACAAGACCACTTCAGGTGTGAAAGCTCAATTTGCTTACAAAGACGACATCCTAATTCTTGCAGATGCCAGCTTGATGCTGTACCTGAGCGCTCAAACTTCTCTGTGAGACCAAACTTTGTCTCATGGGCCAGCTCAGTTGAAGGCATCAGGGGATCACCTACATTCAAAAAATGGTGCAGTCTCCTGAAGTCTACAAGCAGACTCAGAGCTGCGATCTATTGTGTACCCTTTGGTTTTAGACATCGATAACCCCCAAAGGAGCCGCTGACCTATCTAAGTCATGGATTAGGCTTGCGGGGGGTCTCTGATCGCGGCGCTGCTGCAGGGCTTCCTACAAGGCGTGGCTGCGCGCGCGTGAGCGCACGCTGGAGTCTGCCTCACTGATGATGATGAGATTGCTGCTGCTGCGCAAGCGTGGGAGGCATGGCTGCGTTGCAAGGCAACGCACAGCCAACAGACGCCAGGCTCAATCATAAATGTTCTCTATCATGTCGATCCTTCCCTTCGTCCTGATTTTGCCCCAATTCTTTAAAAGCACAGAGCGGTGCAGCTGCCGTCGCCTTTCCCTCCATTCACAGCCACGCTTGCAGATGGGCCAACAGCTGGCTCTGGCAGCTGCTCACAAGTGCGCCTTGGCTGTCCCTTCCCGACAGGCTGGCGGCGCAGGCTGGGCATGGACAACTGTTCTTGCGCCACAGGCTTGTCCTCATTCCCGGTGTCATAAGTCAAGACTTTTGGGCCTGTTATACCTGGATAGCCGCCCCCATCCACAGCTGTGGCTGCTGGGCATGCTCCACAACCTGCGGCGGGTGGAGCCTGAGCTGGCCTCTTACCGCCGCTGTGGGCCTCCACACCGCCGTCAGCCGCCTTGGCTTCCTGGCTCCCCTGCTGGCCAGCACACGCAGCCTGGCCCTCCTTGTCTGATGGCATGCCTGCAGCCGCCACATTTCGGCCGCGCCACACCGCTATCTTCACATGCAGACCGTCCTCGTCAACAAACTCTGCGCTGACGCATCCATATGCGGCTTGGCAGCAGTCTGCAGCGACACCACTGCTCGCACCGGCACCCCGCAATGCTGTAGGGTGCAGAGCCCTGCCTTTACCTCTGCCAGCTGTCTTAGGTTGCGGCTGACCTCCCGCATGATCTGCCGTGCCGCCCCTTGATGGTGGCCTGCCGGTGTATGGATGCGGGAGGGGTGGCTTTGTGGCACCGACCGAGCGGACACCTAGCCGTGATGCCATGGGCCTGCCCTTTGGAGCTGTATTTCTCCCAGGGGTCTTCTGGCATATGCTGTCAGCTGCTGTAATTGCTGCGGATGCTGGGCTGCAAGGCTCAGGGTCTGCCCGTTTAATGCTCGCCTGCCAGGCAGTGCTCGCTCATCATGGTGGACTCTTGTATTTTCCCATCCTGCGGTTCAGGTGCAGACTCGTCCATGTCTGTGGCTTTCTTTATGTTGAGGAATGCTGTGCTTGATTAATGAAGAAGTTGAAATTTTTAGAACCTATTTGAAGGCAGTACCTGCTTCTCGTAGTACTTCTTTGCAGCTTTGGAGGAGTTCTTTTTCCTTGCCATCCGGTGCACTGGTAAAAAGCGTTCGCGAAAAAGAATGCTGATGTTAGGTCTTTTAGCTGATAGATGCGATGCTGGTGATTCCAATATACTGGCCAAAATACACTTTGGTCTGTCGATTGTTGGGCTGCCTGAGCTTCGCGCCAAACAAGTCCTGATATGAAGGAGGCTGTTTCTGAAGGGTCCAAGCGATAAAATGATGCTCTGCGCAAACTTCAATGATCTCCAAGGTGGCTTGTGAGTATCGATGGAATTTGGGAAATGTAACGACCTGAACGACGACCGAAGAACGAACAACTCCAGAAAGAAACAGCGCCGTCGCCGACAGCCCCAGTCTCGTAGGGGAGGGAATTTAATATGATGGCAGCCACTCTCTTTTCCGAGACTCCAAGCTGAGAATCGCTGTCCTGTTGACCAGATCGTTCAAACTGAATATTGATCTTGGATGACGCAGTGTGAATGATGGCAACCTGATCCGTCCAGTGCTCTTGCAAGTCGTGCCAGATGGTGAAGGCATACCTCCGATATGAATTGAGCAATACATTTGGAGTCGTCACATCAAACTCTGCACTCGTGCACGACAACAGTGGAAAATCTGTTGTCACTGCTGCACTTGAGAATGTCGCGGTTTGGAACATACGACAAGGCACTTTGGTGAGCCAGATCAACGTCTCGATAATGAGAGTGACTTTCCCTGACCAGGATGCTGTAGTTATTTTGCGTTATTCCTTTACAAGTTTTTAGTTCAGGTCGACTAGGCTACGCCCTCGACTAATAGAAAGCATGCTAAGCATCAATGTACCCAACTTATGGATCCTGAAAACGCACAGAGTGCAGTGAGATTAACAGGGCCTACCTGCTGCGGCAGAGTACACAATCTGAGATTATTTGGTGCAGGTGCGCATGCTGGTGCCGCCAACATCTGCAGAGGGCAGGGCACCAGCAGAGGTGACACAGCTGGCGGCAGCCCCTGCCTCGCCCCACGTCGCTGCTGGCCACTCCGATGGCACCATCCGCATCTGGAACCTGGAGACTGGGGACTGCGAGGTGTGCTTGTTTTCACGTTTCCCGCTGTTCCATGCACCAATGCCATGTTGCAGCCCCTCTGGACGTCTAAGACATCAGAAGCTTGGCCTGGCGACAGAGAGCAAGAAGCCAGCACTGAGCCGCCTGCAGTGTCCTCTGCCACTCGTGATGATAATATGTAGCTCATTGACACGATGTCAATGCTACACGGTGCACCTTCTCTTCCAGCAATAGCCTAGATTACAGACTGAGTCTGTAGATCATGGCATGCAGTACATGCAGTGCAGATCACGGTACTTGAATGGGTCAGTCATTGAGGGAGTGGTTGGCTGTGCAGGTGACATGGACGGGGCACAGGAGGGCGGTGACAGCGCTGCGCTACAACAGGAGTGGGGGCATGCTGGCGTCCGGCTCGCAGGACACTGACATCATCCTGTGGGACGTCGTGGGCGAGACCGGCCTGTTCCGGCTGCGCGCCCACACCGCTGAGGTCACTGACCTGGTGCGCCCTCACCAGTGCAGCCTTTTTTTCTTTTGGCGGGAGTGAGCAGACTTGGTGTGCTGTGGCCAGGACTTTACTAGACTGAGAACGCCACATCATTGACAGTGTAAACAGTGAGTGCGTCTATATGGCCGGCTGGGGGCTGGAGAAGCTCGTTGGGTGCAGGTGCATGCCAGCAGCTCTGATGTGACCTTGAGATAGTTGTCAGTTTACCTTTGTTGCAATTTGCAGGCGTTTGTGGAACGCTGCAACGTGCTGGTAAGTGGGAGCAAGGACGGCTACGTGCGCGCGTGGGACCTTGGCACCCAACACTGCTTCCAGACCGTACTAGGCCAGCAGGGCGAGGTACGCTACAGCATCAATGAGTGCAGAATGAGATATGGCTGCGGCATATGGTCATGTCTTCGCGTCAATTTTGATGCATCCTGAAATTTTTTCAGCATATGATGCAGGGACAGTTCTTGGGCTTGTCATGGAATGTAATATGACGCAGCAGAGGGTCCCCTTGCTGCATCGTATTGTGTTCCTTGCCACGTCCAAGCCCTGCTGTGGCTCTCCTGATGCATGTCCGACGTATTTCAGATGCTCAGGCATGCATGCCTGATCGATGAGTGCTGCAGGTGTGGTCGCTGGATGTGGATCCCTTTGAGCACCAGCTGGCGGTGGGGGGCGTGAGCGCCCAGGTGCACCTGTTCAGGCTGGGGGGCGATGCCTCAAATGCAGGCGAGGCGGGACCTTCAGGCCGTGAGGCACGCACCAAGGAGGTGTGTCTGAGACAAACCAAGTATTTTCTTGACTCGCCACCATGCCTAATTCTGTTCACACCTGTGTTCATGCAATAGGTTTCACTGCATGCAATTCTGGGAAGTGGAGTCCTCAGGGTGATTTAGGAGCCCAGGATCATCATTTGCGGATGTGGCATCCTTGTTAATCCATGTGTCCGTACAATGTGTGATATCAATAGTAAAGGACGTCTGGTGGTGTGTGCAGGTATTGCATGCGGAGGGCAGCGTTGCGCGACAGGCGCCGGAGCGAGTGGCACTGCTGCGATACAGCCCAACGGGCCATGTGCTGGGTTGCCAAAGTGCTGGCAAGGTCCTGGAGCTCTTCAGGTGCCCATACACTCTCTTTTGCACGTCCTTGATACTGATCAATACTGATCTGACGCCATTCTACATCTCTCTCTGAAAACATAAACCAATTTTAGATTTGCTCATAGGAATTTAGCAAGTTGGTGGCTCAAGCTCCTGCTAGCACAGCAAAGGGCAGGCTGAGTAGCAAAATGTTGAGGTTGAGCGGCTGTGTGCAGATTGAGGTCTGAGAAGGAGGCGCGGAAACACATGCAGCGGCGGAAGAAGCGGAAAAGAGACAAGGCTTCCGGAGGGGACGCAGAGCAGACCGGCACAGCTGTCCAGGAGGCCGATGCAGCTGGTGATGCCATTATGGCATCCGACCTCTTAGCGCCCCTGCAAGTGAGTCACCAATGGCTCAGAGCTGCTCAATATTCTGCAAAATGCTCACTTGCTCTTGACATGCAAGGAAGCTTCTTTGCCAGTAGGCCTTTGATGTCTTCTTAATCGATCCAGCTCTTAGACATGTGCATCAAATGCTGCTCAGTCATGCTGGAGCCAGTTTCAAGGCCCTGCCTAGATGTGACATGAGGCATCATTATTAAGCACAGACTGCTTACGGGCAAATGCTAAGTGGCAAAGGTTGACTACAGGTGCTCCGAGCAAAAGCAAAGATCAAGGCATTTGCGTACGGGAAGCAGAATGCCAAGGGAGTGGTGGCCACTGTCACGCTGGCGCTCTCCAACAACCTCATAGAGGTATATGCTTGCAACAAGCCATGCCAATAAAATTGCCGGTCACCCTGCTATTCAGTCTCACCCTGGCATGTCCACATGTCCAGGTCATGAGACTGCCCTGCAGCGCTGGCCGGATCCTTGAGCTTCAGCACCCATGCAGCATGTTGGAGCCATCGGGGGCCTTGATTAGCTCTTTCAGGAAGCCACTAAACAGCTGCAAAGCACATACAGCAACTTGCAATTGCAAATCAAAGAGAGGAAGAGAAAGTTTTGGTGGAGACTGCCCTTTGCAGCGCTGGTCGAAGCGCTTGATGCCTTCAGCATCCATGCAGCAAATTGAAGCTATCAAGCTCCTCGTTACAGCGCTGCCAGGCAGCCAGTCAACTACTCTAAGAAGATGTGCAACAAACATAAATCGCAAATTTTAAAAAAGTGAGCTAGCTGCCGTGTATTTTTGGCTGCCCTGCAGTGCTGCTCGAGCCGCTTGATGACTTCAGCATCCATGCAGCATGCTGAAGCCGTCCCTGGCCTTTTTCAGCTCTGTCAGGCAGGCACTCACATGCTGCGCTACGCACTACACTGCACACATGCACTACCTTGAAATCCACTTTCAAAAGATTGAGCAAGTAGTCATTTGAATTGGGCTGCAGAGCTGGAGCGTGACGGAGGAGGAGTGCAAGCGGCTGAGGGCTGTGGATGCCCCGGGGCACCGGTCGGGCGTGCGCGCATTGGCGCTGTCATCGGACGACGCCGTTCTGCTGTCGGCCGCTGCCGGCGCTGTCAAGCTGTGGAACCCGACCTCCGGCGCCTGCCTTCGCAGCATCGAGACCGGCCAGGTGGAGTCTCATCAGATATGTGTCATGTTCCTAATACGGACTCTTCTCCGTCTTGGAACCTGAGTAACAGATACTAATACGGAGTATTGTCCGTCTTGGAAACTGAGTCACCACAACTTCTTGTTGCGCATGCCATCAGCAACGGCAGAAATGCTGCCCCATGCAAGAATGATCCCTGTATGTGGTATTTCGTCCTCCAGCTGGTGATCTCCTTTTGGCTTCTCCCATGCTTCTCTGGCAGGTGTTATCCATTGGAGCTGAATGTGACTGTCAGGCCTAACAGTACGGTGGTTGGCTTGCCGGAGTTGTTCAGGTCCATTTGAGCAACTGCCATGGCAGCTTGGGGAAGCTAGACATGCTTTGTCAGGCCACAAGAAGATTTATAGCACGCCTCTTGGATGGATATTTGTTTTGCCTGTCTTGTTCAGCGCTGCCTGGATTCTCGATGCCTGGGATGTTGACCACATGGGGTGGCATGCAGGGGCTGTGCGCGCTGTTTGCGCCGGGCAACAGGCACGCGGTGGTGGGCACAAAGGAGGGCAGCATCCAGATCCTGGACATCGGCGCCTCCGAGGTCTGCGACACCATCGCAGCCCACACCGCTGCGGTGCGAGACCCATGCCCTCATCCAATCCCTCATCCGTGCAATCACCAGACACAATTTCATTTTTGCTGAAGCAATGTGACCTGCAGACCTGCATTCCAAAGCCAAGTGCCTGCCAGATCAGACGCCTCTGAATTGCACGCACGCGATCCTGACCATCCTGCATGGCATGAGCCGCTTTGAACAATCACACATATGCTTCATGCACGTTCATGCTGCATGTCACTGGTTGGAGCGAGCGAGGAGCTGTTGCACTGTCCTGGATTCTTCACATGGCTCTTGCAATGACATTCCCACTGACTGGACTACATTCCAATGTGGCATCATCTGCTGTTTTTAGGATCCCACCCCAGCCCTACAAATGGGAGGGGACAACTAAATTGGAAGGATGGTAATGGATGTGTAATATGAAATTTTGTTGTAGGTGTGGTCGGTGGTGGCGCTGCCGGACAGCAGCGGCTTTGTGAGCTGCAGCGCGGACCACGACGTCAAGTTCTGGGAGTGGGAGGTCACCACCGAGGCGCCGGCTGCCGGCGCGGCCGCGGGGCCGGCCGCGCGACGGCTGGGGGCGCGGCACGTGCGCACGCTGAAAATGGCCGACGATGTGCTCTGTGCGCGCATCAGCCCCGACGGCCGGCTGCTCGCCGTCTCTCTGCTTGACTCCACAATCCAGGTGAGATTTGGTGTCCTTTGATGCAGCGTTGTGTCACAATCAGCGCAGAATGTTTGAGGGTGGGCAAATGTCGCCGTGCTGAGGTTGTCCCAAAGGAGCTATTTGCATGCTTCCCGCCATCATGAAGACCTTGTTACTGCTGTGTCCTGGGGCATTCAGTCTCTGACAAGGATTTTTCTTGGGATGCCAATGTGGCATATCTAGACGCATGCTTGTCCGTCGCAGCTGCTTGTTTCTAAAGGAGTCCTTACAGCCTACTTGGAGCCTTTCTTGCAGCCTTGACAATATCTTTCACCGCGCAGGTGTTCTTCATGGACACGCTGAAGTTCTTCCTGTCGTTGTACGGGCACAAGCTGCCGGTGCTGAGCATGGACATCAGCAGCGACTCGACGCTGCTCATCAGCGGCTCCGCCGACAAGAACATCAAGATCTGGGGCCTCGACTTCGGCGACTGCCACCGCTCCATCTTCGCACACTCCGATTCCATCATGCAGGTCCGTCACCTTTTGTTTGTTGGACGTTGACATCCTTTCCAGCCTTGCAGGTGGTGATAGGCACGAGCTTTTCTTGCAGGTTGTTCCTTCCTTCCTCACTCTGCAAGATATGCTCGCTCGCTGCCGCAATCTGCATGGCTGAAGGGATTCGCACTCGACAAAGCTTGGTACTTTGATAAATTTACCTAACTCTCCATGAGTGGGCTGCTTTGCTGAGCGCATTCGATATCCTTCTCAACCATGCACGTGGAGGCGGTTGCAGGCCTTCCTTGCAGCTCTCTGCTGAGTTCTCTCAGTCTGCACGGAATGCTCTATGCGGCCTCCTGAGGCAAGGCTGGAAAGACTTGTACGTCACAATACTGCCGACATGCAAAAGCCCACCTGCCCATAAGGGCGCTGATTACCAACACTGCAGGAAGATGAACTGCGAGCTAGTTATATTTATACTTATTGTCACTGGGCAGGTGGCGTTTGTGCCGGACACGCACTATGCCTTCACGGTGGGCAAGGATGGGCTGGTCAAGTACTGGGACGCCGACCGGTGGGAACTGCTGCTCACCCTGGAGGGCCACAAGGCAGAGGTGTGCTCTCTCTTGCCAAGCAAGCTCTGCTGCCTTGCTGCTGGCATGTCACCCTGCGGTGACACGTCAGCATACAAAGCCAAGCGTTGTCGTCGTCTCTGTTCTGCAGTGAGCTCTCTGCCTTGCTTGGTTCTGAGAGCTTCCTGCAGAGTGGACATCATCATTGCGCCCGTGGCATTGTGATATAGGGAGGCATGCAGGGATGCTGCCTATTTGCAAACTTTAATTTGTCAACAATCTGCCCAACATTGAGGTATTTCTCACGCAAAATGGGGGCCTGGGATATGGTCTGCCCAAATTCAGATCAAGCTGCTAAAATACAAGCTAAGGAGTTTGACAACATGGTAAAATCATTGATTGATGGAGGTTGCAAGTATTGATACGACGAGGCAGAGTGCCTATCTGCAGACCATCTCATATCAGTGGCTTGGAAGTGGCCCCCACGCGCACTGTGCTGGAAGGTCATGCTTACACATGCTCAGGCAGTGATGAGTCATGAATAGGGAGTGACCAGTCATGGCGGCTGCCAAAACAGGTGTGGTGCCTGGCGGTGAGCCGCGCGGGGGACATGTGCGTGAGCGCGGGCGCGGACCGCTCGCTGCGCGTGTGGCAGCGCACCGAGGAGCCCTTCTTCGTGGAGGAGGAGAAGGAGAAGCGCCTGGAGTCCCTCTTCGAGGCCGATCTCGAGGTGACACCGGCCTTCTTTGCAAAACATGCACCTTCACACCGAAACTGTTTGTGTCTCATCTGCGCACATCAAACATCATGTAGCTTGATGTGCTTGCAGTAACACCTGCACAAGAGAGAGGCAAGCTTTTGCTGCATTGCTAAACTGCTGCATTGTCCAGGGTTACTATGTTTTCTTTTTATCTAGGGGTGTTACTGTAGGCAAGGAAATAACAATCTTGGGCAGTGCTAGGCAAGATAAGCAGATCCAGGCCTCACACAGGCAATAATGAGATATGGTTATTAGTACTGTGAAATCATCGAGTGGTCGCTGTGCAGGAGAATGCGGCGAGCAAGCAGACGGGGCTAGAGGAGGCTCCGGCTGAGACAGGCACGGCGTTGGCGGGGCGGCAGACGCTGGAGGTGCTGTCCGGCGCAGAAAGCATCGCCGACGCCCTCGAGCTTGCCGCCGCTGAAGCCGAGCGCCACAGGGTGCGCCCATCCTCAAATGCTTTCTTTTAACATCCCATGTTGATTCTGATAGCACAAATCCTGATTTTGCTGTATATCCTTTCTGTCCCTGGACACATGGGCAGTGACAAACTGATGTGCACCTTCACTCCTGAAACCCTTGGTGCTTTCGCACATCCTGGACATTACAGGTTTCTTTGGTCCGGTCTCAGAGCCACTCTGCATGCACCATATAATAAGTACTCCTTATTGTAACGGCGCATGCCCGAAAACAATTGCACATACCCAAGAACGGGCACCAAGAGAACCGCTACACAATGCTTCACAGCCAAAGGACCGGCAATAACGAGTTTGCACGACACTATGGCGCTGCAGATGATCATACCAAGCAAAACAGGCACAAATAAATCTGCAACGCTCTGCGCAGGCATTTGCTGCCGAGGCGGCGGCGGCCGGCGCGCCCGGCAAGGCGCCGCCGGCAAACCCGCTGCTGGCTGGGCGCAGCGTGGAGGAGTATGTGCTGGCGGCTGTGGGCCGAGTGCGCGCCGGGGACCTGGAGCAGGCTTTATTAGTGCTGCCCTTCTCCGACGCGCTGCGCCTGCTGCACTACCTCTGCTCCTGGCTCGCGCGTGGCTCCCGGGTGCGCTGCTTGCTGTTGTACTGTCCATCTTCCCCTTTTCCTTCCGCTTGGGAATACTAAGCCAGCATGCACATTGTTCATGGTAGAAGGTCCGCTGCTGTGCAAGCAATGATGAGACTCTTACTTGAGAAGACGACATCTCAAGAGTTTCATGCATATGACTTGTTTCCTTGGTGACATTTGCAGAAAAGCATGGCGGGTAGCTAGAAAAAGAACCTGTGAAGACTGTATTTCGGAGGTTTGATGGTGAAGCCTCCCGTCAGTGTCCTGAAAACCCGCATTGTCTTCCTAAGCACAGGTGGAGCTGGTGAGCCGGGCGGCTGCGCTGTTGGTGCGGCTGCACCACGCGCAGCTGCTGGCGACCCCATCGGCGCGCGCCCCCCTGGTGCGGCTGCGGGGACTGCTGCGGCAGCGCACCCAGGGCCTCAAGGACACCCTCGGCTTCAACCTGGCCGCCATGGCACACCTCCAGCGCGCACTCAAGGACCGCCAGCAGTCCGCCATGGCCTGAAACTAACATGATGGCTGAGATTGACAATTGCTGGCTTTTCGCGGGCAAGCTTGTGAAGCTGATGCGCATGAGGGAGCGAAGCTGTAGGCGCAGGGTTTGGTGGGGCCTTGTGGAATGTCCAGGGGGGCCCAAGACAGCACTTTTTTGTACTTCTTGGCAATCCCAGGATGGACCTCTGCAAAGCAGTCCGCCATGATCTGAAACCCACATGCTGGAATACACTGGTTGGCCTGGTTTCTGTGACAGTTGGCGTGTGCCATATCACTTGATAGCGTGGTATGCGTGCTTGAACACAATGCACCTAGCTAGTACTTATAGATGGCCCGGTGGATATCGGGACCAGGGCCCGAGAGCATGCAGGGAGTTGGCCGCTGAAATCATTTAATGAGAGACAACGCAGCATGTCTGAGAGTGCTGCATTAGAAGTCAGTCGGCTTGTGATGCCATACAGCCGAAGGACAAAAAAATTTAAGAGTTGATGTGGAGTGCTGCCAGCAAGTCCGGCGACATTCATGTCCTTCAGGAAGGTTCTGATGACCGGCCTCATGCACTTTGTAAGCGCATTTGCCCAAATGCTCACCACTGCGGCACAGTAGATTTATTCACCTAGTATGATGCCGTTGCTACAGCATACCGCAGCATGCAATCAGTGATGTCTCGTGCTGGCTCACACAAAACCTTCGCATGATCTCAATCTTGCCTGTGCTCGCTGCATGTCACTGACATGATCGTATCTCTGGGAAGTGGAAGCATGCAAATTGCAACCAAGCCATTTCAATGGATTTGCAATCCGCCATCAGCCAACTTCTGCCGCCAGCGCTGACACATATTGGCATTGCCAAAACAGATGTGCCATGATTAGCAACCCTCGCCGTGTGATCCGGGAAAATCTCTTGCACAATACAACAGATCGGGATATTCTTGCTGGCATGTGACTTACAGCTACAAATTGCCAGCTGTACAAAATCCGTACAACAAAGTAACTACCAACCTTTCCATGCCTACCGTGCAGCAATAAGTGTCAGAGAGATGAACGTCTGTACTAGGATCCTGCCAACGGCATATTTGGCAACCCATATCAAATATTCTCATGCGTTCAAAAGAGGTGGCAGTCTGAGCCATGGTCATAACTCAAGCGCCCATGCAACAAATGTGTGAACCACCACCCAACCCATCAACAATGCAAAGGCAAAATCAAGCACCCTTTGGTGCAACTCTTGCAACTTCAGGAAATTTAGCTTCGAAAGCTCTTTTGTGTTGCTGCCTCTCGTTAGAAATGGTACTTTTCCAGATCAGAATACCAGCTGTACTGTCTCTACTGGGGCGAAGGTCTGTCCCAGATTGCAAGACCTGAAGCCGGTCAGAGCTGCAAAGAGAATGCAGCGCTGCACAGTCCACTCAGACACCGCCGTCTGACATTGGTAGTCACTGATAAGTTATGCACCCGAGCTGTATTTGCGAGCTTATGCTGAGGCTCTGGTGCAGCCACGAACAGCCTCAAGGTCCCTGCAGCAAGAGTGCCATCAGAAAGGCAAACTCGGCGTCACTGCTGGCCTGTGCATCGCTGCTGCCAGCCTCCTCCTCAGTCCCACTGCCCTCCTCGCAGCTCCCCAGTGCCGCCTCATAGCATAGTGTCACTGCATAAGAGGCCAGGCTGCAGCACTCATCACTGTCACCGCAGCTGCTATCCTCATGGCTGCAGCTGCCACCTTTGCTGTGGCTTCCTGCACCGCTGGGCACGCTGTCCACGTCCTCAGACCAGCTGCCACGACAGCTGTCCCCGTCAGTGACATCATCGTCCTCGTCATCAGAGCTGCTGTCCTCGTCATCGGCAGATGAGCTGTCCCCGTCATCAGCAGACGAGCTGTCCTCGTCAGAAGAAGAGATGTCTTCGTCATCAGAGGAGCTGTCCTCGTCAGCAGAGTTGCCGCGCTGGTCTCCAGAGGCTTTATTTGCCTCCCAGCCGGCGAAACTCCACCCATCTGTGGAGGGGGAGGCCGGCCGCTCCCAGCGCGCATCGTCCAGGGCCGCTGCCAGCATCTTGTAGAGTGTGTCCAGGCAGAGGGTGCTGGGCCGGTTGATGCCCTGCAGCACTGCCGCCAGCAGCTCCTGCGGCAGACCCTCCACCACCAACACAATCTGCACGAGGCATGACAAATAAAGCTGGTCAATCCGCTGCATGAGAAGCTTGAGGCATGGCAGATTCCACCACTTCAGACGATTGCATGCAAAGCTCCATTGTGGCACAAATGCACAGTGATTAGTGCAACTCCGGCAGACACTATAGAGAAAGGCCAACTCTAAAAGGCCAATCATGCTTTGGATTGCACTGCAGAAAGTGGTCAAGCTGGTCAAAGTGGCCCAAAGGTGCAAAGTGCAAGAAAGGTTCAGGCGCACCTCGTCGATGCCGATCAACTCCAGGTGCTCCGCAGCCGCCAGCCGCAGGCCTTGGTCCATGATCTGCCCATCGGAGCACCTCTCCAGCTGCTCCTCAGAGTACACCGCGCGGCACTGTGCGTCCACCCGCGCCTTGTCATCGCCGCTCAGCCCCTCGTACTGGTCGTCCAGCACGGCTACGGCGTTGCGCCTGCTGATCAGATTGTGGATAACTACGCAGGTCGCGCGCATCTCGTCCGCCTTCCCCTGCTTGGCAGCCCTCATTGACACCGCGGGGGTCAGGAAGATGTGCGACCCCCTGCGCAGCCAGCCGGCACATGTCAGGTCTGACCTGGCGTGAGAGTGAATGCACCCCCGAGGCCTGCCCACGGGGTGGGCTATCACAGGGTCAGAGCAAGTTCTAGGCACAATGGGACACTGGCAACCATTTTGTCAAAAGCCTGGCGTGTGACAGGCAAAGCAGCCCATGCAGACTAAATACCATCTCTTAGTCAGCAAGGATTAGTCAGGCAGGTAAAGGGGACGTACTCCCAGTCATTGACATCCGACAGCCTCCTGGCGCAGCCAAAGTCGGCGATCTTGAGGGTATCGCCGAAGCACAGCAGGTTTCCCTCCTTGATGTCTCCGTGGATGTAGCCCGCCTCATGGATGTGCCTCAGTCCCCTCGTCAGCTGGCACGCAATGTCGAGGGCCCGCCTCTTCTCGATGGTGGGCTGGCTGGTCTGTCTGGAACTCCTGCGCGCATGCATGCGGATGTCAGGACGAGGGAGCACAGATTGCCAAGTGGGCAGGCATGCTGGCATGTGAATGGCAATGCAAGCAGGAGCCAGCTCTGATTCATGCACTTCAATGCAACTCCTCATACATGAAATGCATCAGTCAGGCAAGGTCCTGACTGCCAAGAGATGCAATCAAGGCAGAAATGTGCGCACCAGATCTCTCTCCCCAGGTCGTGGTCTGCCAGCTCCAGCAACAGCGCATCCCTCTCCCTGAATGCCGGCTCCACGCTCTCCACATCATACTCCTCGATGCCCACCTGTGAGTTGGAGGCCCACGCCACCGCCGCGATGATGTTCTCATGCGGCGGGATGGCTGCCAGGGCAGCTTCCTCACGCGCCACCTCAGCGCGTGACTCAGCGTCTGGGTGGGGGACCTTGGCGGCCAGCCGGACAGTCATGGTCACTGCAGAGATGCAGCCCTGGCCGCCGCCGGTGAACTCGTTCCTGTTCACGCGGAATTTTGCGCCCTGCAAGGCACCGGCAGCACGGTCAGCCACGATGCAAAAGAACTTCATATAACATGCTGTGGGCTTGCGCAGACAGCATTTTGACACGTCAGCTGCTTTCAGGGCAGCAGCAAGCATGCATACTGCCAATGCAGTGCCCCTCGGGATGCTCCATGCTTCTTGAGCAGTAAGCAAGTTGGTAGGCTGCACCTTCAGGGCCCCTGGAGAGGCTGTATGTTGCACGGAAGGCTTAGCAGAAAATGCTGCTCAAATCACGCCACCAGACAGATCTGTTCATTTCCAAAAGCAAGTATTTTTGGATGCGGACCTGGGGCGCGCGCGGCAGCCTCCTTGCGTTTGCTATGCTCTCCTTCTCTGTCAGCCTCCTCTTGATCCGCCCAAGCTCATCCTGTGGGGTGGCAGACAGGGGCACTTGAGTGGACAGGTTTTAAGGACACACGGGCATGGCCTCTGAAATGCAAGTCAGCAGTGCGTCAGGTATGAAGCTCTGGATCCTGTGCAATTGTCCCTGATGCATCCATCGACTTGATGCAAGTGCACTGAATAAATACACACCGAATAAATACACACCAGGCAATGACGAGAGGACAAGGCCCTGAAATTATGATTAGAACTAGGCGTCTGATGTCAGACTGGTGCGCGCACCTGTTGCCATCGGTTCACAAACTCGCGCTGTGACACAGTGGCTTCCAGCTCTTGAATACGGGCTTGCTTAGCGTTGCTAGACCCTTGTAGGGCGTCGTAGCACACACGCATCGCCTGGATCTTGTCTGTCTGCAGCAACACCCCCACCAAGTTGGCAATTGCAGGTGAGCATCTCCCTGCCACAGGAATCAGCAGCAGAGACGGCGTTTGCAGGATGAAGCCAGAGTTCGTGCTTCAAAAAGGGTTGGGATGAATGTGAAGATCACCTGTATCTTAAGGCTGCCCTCGAGGTCATTGTAGTCATCATCAGCAGCTTCGAGGTTCATTTCCAGCATCTTTGCCTGCAGGAGCGCCACAAGATCAAACTTGGTCCACTCAGAGAATATATGGCCGAGGACAGGTGACAGCAGCGTGTCCTGGCTTCTGGACTGACCCTGAAGGACTGCAATATTTGCAGTGTTGGGCCACGTTGAAAGGGCACAGGCTTGTGTGGCGAGTCCTGAGCAACCAACAATTGTGCTGCAGTCTCCAATTTCAAGGCAGCCTGATCGCACCTGAGCGCGCCACTTGGCAGCCTCCTCATCCTTTTCCTTCAGTTGCCACTCCAGCAGTAGTATTTTGGCGCCCATACCGGCCCCCTGTGCAAATGCGCCAGCTCAGATGGGTTACCAAAGTGCACAGTACTAAGCTGCTAATCAGACACTGCATGCAAATTCTGTGCTCTTTGATGAGACGGTTTTCGGTGTTCTCACCTCCAGATGTGAGCCAGCGGATCCGGTGAGCTGCGGAGCTTCGATCTTCGTGCAGCGATCGTCGCCAGTACTCCTCAGAGACCCCTGAAATGAAGAAACCCCAAATGGGTTTTATGATTAATCAATTCAACTAAAATCCGTTCCTACGCTTCGAAGATCTTTATCGCCACCTTTACGGCGTTGCTGACTTCGTGATAATGGCGCCCATCAGGCGCCTAAACCCTGTATCCCATGTTCGCGGAGATGAATGATACACCGAAAAATATTCTCAATACTTCGTGCGTGTCAGAGCATCCCACGCGCACCACAGCGGAAGTGAGACAGGTACTTGTCCTCAGCAGTGGAACAGAACACCTAGCATGCTGGCATGTACATCGGCAAGTAGATACCTGGCTGCAAGATTGATCCAGGCCGCCTGTTGATATCAACCTCCAAAGGGTTTGCAGGTATTGCGAGAACACCATGATGGCGTCTTGTTCACCCTGATGTACAGATCACCTTATCCACGCCTGACAGTCGGCGACAGTGCAACAGCGCACAGTCGAATCAAGCGTTCTGTCCACAAAGGATCTCAAGCAAGAAAAAGCGATTGCTGCGAAGAGCCTGAATTTTGACCATCTGAAGCTGCCAGATGCGGGTTTGTGCGATTTTACAATACGCTAACGCCCCACGGGTTTTATAGGAGGGGGGTCCCTAAGATCAACTAGAGGCTCCTTCAGGAATCCAATGATTCCAGTATATATATCCAAACAAGGCTTGACTGGCCAGAGCATTTGCATGTATATTGGTGTGATAAATTTCAACCTCCTTGATTTCACAGGCGGGCAAAATTTGCTTGCAGCTGCGCAAGCATTTTAAGTAAGACTCTTAGTAAGACGTACGAAAAAGTTTACGTGTTGACGTGTTAACATTGTGACCTTGCATGAAGCACAATTCACCACTCACCCGCTGAAACCCTCAGGCGGACCTGCTCTGATCACTCACGCACTCACACTGAGCAGACCATAATCTATCAATCAATCAAAAGTACACATTACTGATTTATTTGGATTGTTTGTCCTATCAAAACACTGGAGATCATGAGTCGAACCATTGTACTTGACGCTTATGTAACATAAGACGCCCACGACCATGCTGACGTAGATTTTCCTTCCATGCATCGTTCGTCGCATACTGAACCCTTGACGGGCTTTTCCTCACCGACCGGTGTACGATCCGGGCGTGGGGACCCCCCTTCTGACTCCCACCGCCGGGGGCGGCGGATTTGGAGGCGGCTGCGAGGCAGCTGATCAGCCGGCCTGCTGAGGGGGCGCCTGCTGCGCGGCAGCTTCCTGCGCTGTCTTCATCACTGTGTCAGCGGCTTGCACCAGCTGCTGACCTGCGGCCACCGGCGCTGCCTGCCCCGGTGCTGCGGGTACCTGTGTCCCCTGCGCCCACAATTGTTATTGTTATTACACGCTTCTCCTGCCAGGGCAAGGTGCACTTGCAGGTGAAGGCTTTCGCAATTTCACCCCTGGCTGGGCTCGCCAGATCAAAGCAAGACCCAATCAACCGCGGGCACTGTGCTCAGTACTTGTACCGCCCACCGCCAACCAGTGCCCCACAATGCTCATAATACCCAGAGCAAAATTTTAGAATTTCAAAATTTCTTCCAGACCCAACAATATTCACCAAAGAAGCAGATCTGCTCCTATCCAGCACTGCAGAGGACCCTGAGACAGGTTCATGTCCCGTCAATGCTGGCGCATGCCAGCCTCCTCCCAACTCCCATCAATCTCCCTGCAAACACCTCACAGTGACGGCCAAAGCCGAGTGCGGCCCAACTTCCACCCACAAGCCTACGATTACCTCAAGATTACAAGAGCTTTCCGAGGATGCATGGGTGTGACAGAAAGAGCATGGAAGTTGGTGCGGCTTGGGAGAGAGGGGTGGTGCAGCAGAAGAGGGCAGGAGCTCACTGGAGCAGGGGCAGATGCTGCAGGGGTAGGGGGCGCTTGGCTATCTGCAATGCCTGCCAGCCACATCAAATTGGCCTGCAGGCGCTGCTGGTACTTCACTGCTTCATCCGCTCGTCCAGAGTTGATGCACTCCAAAATGGTCTTGATGAGGCTCTCGTTGTCCTCAAGGTACTGCACGTGGAGCACTTAATTAATCTATATGTCAGATATTTGATTTGCCGTCGGGATGTTCCAAGACACTGTAGCATGAGACGTTCTTCACCTTCTGAACTGTTTCGCTTGTGGGTGCCTGTGCATTCAGGGCTCCGGGAAGCAGTGTCGGTGGCTTTGAACCGGGATCCTGCGCTTGCACTGTGCACATAGAATTGCTCAAGACAAGAAGGGCTGGTATCATGAGTCACTGCCAGACCCGATGCAACACATCAGCCTGCCGACAAGAGTTCGGCACTTCTCATCAAATGTCAAAAGTACGTTTCTTGTAGTGAATAGGCAACAAATCAGATGTCGGGCATACTTGAAGCAAAAGCAGTAAGTCAAATCCTCATGGGTGAGGTGTCCAGCCAAACCACGTATTTAGCCACGCGATCCAGCCACTGCTATGTTCGAAATTACGGTTGATTTTGACTCAATTTGGTTGAGAATCCTCCTGAAGAGTGCTGTATCCAGCATTCATGTCGAGGTAGGGCTCACGTGCCTTAGGGAAGCTTCTTCGGCAGGGTTTCTGGAAAACATGATTTGACTGTGAAGCGGAATGAAGAGAAATTGTCCCAATGGAATAATATTATTGAATGATAAGGGACATTAATGATTGAAACCGATAGCAGCTCGAAAACCCCGCGGTTATGTTTTCCAGCAAATCATAAGTGTTAAAACAAAGCGTAGTTGGTGAGATAACCACTGTTGCTACACAATGAGGAAACGCAGAAATGCAATTATTACAGGGATAGAAATTACTGGTTTTCTGGGCAACTAGATATCCGGTTGAAGACGTGTGGCGATTTGACATCTGAACCAAAGTGATATTTCAATACCTGCAGCGATTGAAGAGCAGTAAAAAGTGCGTGAATTCAATTCGGCACTCAAATGGAGACCATTGTGATCGACGATTCTGATTGCAGCGACCTGTCCAATGACGGGGTTGCTGACACAACCGACGAAGCACACGGTCTCATCCAGGCGGAGGGAGCCCCTGATGAGGTGTGTGATGTTGTTGGTGAAAGCTGCTCAATACACTTGACTCACCCCACATCGGCAACACTGGCAGGAGTCATCCTGCCAAAGTTTCTGCAGACCCTCGTATTCACTGCCCTGCTTCGCTTTTGCTTTGCAGGGTGGTCAGAGGCTTGGTCCCACAGGCCTGCAGGCGCCTACCGCGCATGTGCATGCTGAGCACATGCAGCCTCCAATGCTGCAGCCAGCGGTGCACACCACTGATCCGAGGCAGCAGTATCTTGCGCAGCTCCAAGCGGTGCAGCAGGCTCAGCAGTACCGCCAGCTCGCACCTGCCGGCTTTGTCGCTCAATCTTTGCCCATTCAGCAGCCGCTCCAGGCAGCACAGCATCAAATGAACGGCCTGGGGACCGCTCCCAATCAGGTGGCCCCACAGAATGGGGCTGCCTCCTCCGCTCAGTGGATGACCCCGCAGCCAGCTCAAGCCATGCCAGACTCGCAGCAGCAGCAATTTTATGCTGACCTGGCCCGCCAGCTGCATGCAGCCCAGCAACAGCAAATGCAGCAGCAGGCACTGCAGCACACAATGTACAATCTCCAGCCAGCACTGGCGCCAGCGCCGCCAATGTATGCCTACTCAGCACAGCCGCAGGCCTATGGCTTGCAGTCTGTGGACTCCGTGCAGCTGCAAGCCCTCATCACTGCTCAGCAGATCCAGCAACAGATGGCGCAGCAGCAGAGCCCTGCCTGGCCGGCAGCGGTGATGGCTCAACCTGCGCCTGCAGCCGCCACCTCAGCACTGCAGCATCAGCCGGCGCAAGTGTATCCGGCAGGGCTACAGCAGGGAGCAGAGCCGGCCCAAGCGCAGGCGCAGCCAAGCCAGCAGCCCAACTTCTTTGCAGCCGTGTGGGACAGTATGCGCGCTGCAGCCTCCGCCCTGGGCCAGCAAACGGTGCCTGCCGCACCGGGTGCAGTGCGAGCGCAAAGTTCCATGCAGCCTCCTGCAGCAAGCAGCCGTGGAGCTCGGGCAGTCAAGGCGGAGCCGAGCTCGGCAGGCAGCAGCGTGCTGTGGCAGCAGGCGGGAATGTATCCAGCGCAGCGGGTCACGTCTGCAGTAAAGGCGGAGGCCCCCAGTGGCGTCTGCGCCGGCTCGTCCAAGGCGGGGCCGAGCCAGCAGGGAGGCGATGCAATGGATGATTTTGGCATTGTTGGAGCTGCCGAGGGGGCGGACAGTGTCGCGGACGAGGCAGCTCTTGAGGTATGGACTGCTTGTTGTGCGGGTTTCCCTTTGACATGACTGATGGCCATTAAGGCACCATGCGAAGCCATCACCAGCACTGGGGCAAGCTAGCGACAGGACAGCCACACCCTCAGCAACAGCCTTGTTGCAGTCATGTCTTGTTGGCAATTTGGGGGGAAGGGCATGTGCCAAACAGCTGGCGTCATGTGCCGGCGTATTGCGCCCAGGGTGTCTTGGAGGGCTTAAAGATGGCGGATGCTCCGGAAGCTGACGTGCCGCCCGGCAAGATGACCGTCACATTGCATGCCTACCAGAAGCGCGCCCTCGGGTGGGGCCGCCTCTGACATTGTGAGCGATGTAGAGATCTTTCAGCGCTCTAGCTCCTACCCACCGTGCTGGCTAGTTGACGCATTGATCGTGAGTGATCAAAGTGATTGCAATGAGAAATCTGGCTTGGTTGGAAAGGGCGCTTGCACAGAGTCATTGTGTTGAGGTAACATCTGCCTGGTGTTGGCAGGTGGATGAGGAAGCGAGAGAACCCTGGCAGCGTCAACGCGGTCTGCGGCGGCATCCTGGCAGGTAGGACACGCCATACCTTACTTTTTAGATTAGCAGCCAGCCCATCTCAGCTCAGCCTTCCAAGGACCCCCTTGTACTGTGAGCACAAAGTGGCACACCACTTCTGCCAAGCAAAACACTGGCAAGGCTCAGCGTGCAAGCTAGAGTGACAAGCCTGATAGAGAAAACATGCCGTTGTCAGATCTTCAGGGCTGACATCCTCTTCTACCTGGAAATGTGCGCAGACGAGCAGGGCCTGGGGAAGACGGTGCAGGCGATAGCGCTGATCGTGATGGAGGTGCCATCGCGCACCGATGCGGAGGCGGCCCTGGCCGACGCGCAGCGCGAGCAGAACATGATGGCGCTGCACCCCGAGAGCGCCGAGGCGCGCGCCGCCCGAGCCGCCGGCATCGGCATTTTCCCGGCCGGCGCGCGCAGCGGGTCAGCCAGTGCAAGCGGCGATGCAAGTCCTGGTACGGGTTTGCATATCTCCAAATGCAACTAGATCTAGGCATCATCTGCACCTCTAGACGGAGCGATCTATTGCACAGCATCTCAAGCAGGGATGCAAACTCAGGGGTCAGGGAGTACCCAGGCGTTTTGGCTCAAATTTCTCATGGTGACAACAGAAAATCTAGTGCATGCAAGGCAGCAATTGCTGGAGTGTGCGGCTTCTTGTGCGATTTTGTAGTGATGGTTGGTATCTTGTTGGGTTTCTTGGTTTACCTCTGACTTGGTTGGGGAAAGCCTTAGAAAAATTTGGAGGGCTGTCATAAAACGCTGCTGCGATGCACCTGATCACTCATCCTGATGGTTTGGAAGGGCGTGTCACATCATAATAATTCAGAACAATTTATTGATCATGTTATAATCAATATAGAATCTTTGTGTGTGGCTGTGTGAGGTGCAAGAGCATCAGCTGTACGCGTGGCACAGGCCTGCACTTTTTATGAGCCATGTCAGCAAGGTTGGAATTCCAAATTTTGATGTGTTGTGGGTGCAGGTGTGGGTAATAAGGCGGACAAGGGCAAGGCAAAGGCGCAGGATGAGGCATGCGAGAGTCCTCCCAGGAAGAAGGCCAAAAAAGGGCCCATCCAATACGAACCTTGCGGCCGCGGCGAGTTCTGCACCTGCGCCATCTGCAAGAAGGCCAAGGACCAGCAGGTTTACATGTTATTGATCTTTTATTTTATTGTCTCATTTCGTTCGGCCCTGGTGTGCCCTCACGGGGCCCCAAATGTTTGCCGGGCTCAGTTAGCCAATTCTCCTTTCTTCCCTTTCTTCTGCAGCCCGACAATGGGGCATGCAACAAACTTGTACAAAAGGAGCAATGCATACCACCGCATTTAGGACTCTGTCGCATGAATTTTGTGTCCAATTCTGTACGCTCGACCGCGCTTATTCGTAACGGGCTCTGCAGATCAAGATTAGTCCGCTTTGGTGTCCCTCCTGTCCTTGAGATTCATTTTGGAAAGCCTTTTGCGTCTTTTTATCCAGTCGGATCGCTGGTCGTTCCTTGGTGGCAGACGCGGAAGGCCTTTCTAAGCGCACTTCGAGGGTGGAAGGGGAGTGACCAGAGCGTTCGAGATCTTGCTGCGAAGGAGAGTCTGCAAAGACAAGCAGCAAATAAGGAGGGAGTGCGCGTCTGCTGCGCATAGTTGCTGGGTGACATAGAGGGATTGTGTGTCTGGACTGCCAGGCTGAAGATTTGCATTTCCAGTGGGCGAGGCACACCAAGCACTCGCTGTTGGGGTGAGGTGCATGTGCCTATCACTGCCAAGAACGCTGAGCGCAAGCGCTTGACACGACTGATGCAATAGCGGAAAACCAAAACAATGCTCCAAGGTTGGACTGTGCGGTGCAGAGGAAGGCGGCTGAGCGGGAAATTCAGCGGGCGTGGCGCGCCGAGATGTCTGTGCGGAAGGAAGCCAAGGACCGCGCCAGCCAGGGCCCTCCCAAGGGCCAGCCAATCGGGTGGGACATGCCACCGTTCAATATCTTCAATATTTTTTCCTGCTAATCTTCTCAAGCTTGCTCCAAAACGCTTGGAGGGATGGTTCAGTGTGCCCAAGGCTTCCAAGCGCTATATATGAATTGCAGGAGCCCGCTTCAAGGTTGTAGCGGCGTGAATGAGGAGCAGGTTCAGGAAGGTGGTGATGTGACGGGAGGTGACTGGAGCAAGAGATTACCTAGGAGCGCAAAACAACTCTCTGTCTCTCTGTCTAAGGAATTCGGCAAAATGGCCCCATAACTGTTGTGTATCATGGCAGGACCAAGACGCCGGCTGCGAGTGAGCAGAAGCTGCTGCTGCCGGACATCATGAGCCCAGATGGCAGCGTGGCCAAACGTACACTTGTCGTCTGTCCCCTCTGCGTGGTGCGCACCCCTCCTCACCTCACTCTGCCAGCACCCACAATGTCATCATGATCCACATTATTGATGGCCCGCCTCAGGCCTGCCAATAGCGCTTATTGCATCACGCTTTGAAGCGGGCCACTCTTGGGGTGATTCAGTGACTTGAGTGCTTGCCAGAGGGTCCTTGTCTGCATGTTGTGGGTCAAAACTGGCCCCTCAGATAGTCCATCAAATGCTGCAAATCACGTCAGTATCTTTCTCGTGTTCGTGGAATAATAGCTAGGAGCTTGCCTCGGCACACACAGAGCCTCGTTGACAATGAAGGCCAGGACAGTATCTCAAAACATAATTGCATGTGCATATGCCTGATGATGCGCAGCAGTGAAGTCAGATGTGTGCTGCCTAATTTGGCGGCAATTTGAATATAGATGTATCCTGCCTGATCAGGCGGCGCAGTGGGTGGACGAGGTGCGGGAGAAGGCCCCGCAGCTGCGGGTAAAGCTGTACCATGGCCCCAACCGCAGCCGAGACTTCACCCCCGCGCTGCTGGCCTGCTATGACGTCATCGTGACCACCTACTGGGTGCTCGCCAGCGAATTCGGCGCCTCCCCCCAAGGGCCCCTGTACTGCGTCCGCTGGCACCGGTGCGATCTGCCGCTCTCCTCCCTGCACTTTGTGTGCATGGGACCTGTTGTCAGTAGAAATGTTGTCCCATCACTGGACAAGCTGATAGACTTGTTGGAGACAGCCATGGGTGTGCCGCCCAACTTTGAGCAGAGGACCAGGATCTGAGGTGGTCCAGAAAGAGCCTCACTTGACTCTGTGCCCCCGCGCTGGTTGCATGCATATGACGATTGAGCAGGAAGTAGACTCTGTCTGTATGCAGAGCCGAGCAGCGTGCAGCCTGTTGCAAGCCCAGAGCCAACAAAGTGCAGATCTTCGCTTGTTATGTACTGTAGAAAATAATTGTCTGTAGGACAGCGGCTTTCAACATGCAGAAGTGCATGCGGTGGGAGCTTCTGTGGCAGTCTTTATGTCAAGCGAAGACATTGCGTTGCACCCGTGGGAGCGCTTGGTTGATGATTGGTTGTTATCGCCAATATAAGGGTCTGTGGGCACTGCTCAATGGAGCATTGTTATCTCCGTGAGCCAGTGTGTGCTGGCCAGTGTGAAGCATTGGGGAAGAGGTGAATTGGGGATCTGATACAAAGCCATACTTGGTACTTGAATGTGTTGCTGTTCAATGCAGGTGTATCCTGGACGAGGCGCACCTGATCCGCAACAGCCACACCAACGCCGCCAAAGCCGCCGCCCAGATCGACGCCACGCGTAGGTGGGTGCCCGTTCTTGTCTGAAGGCACTGAAACTGTATCGATAGTTTGCTCATGCAGGTCGCTCAGGGAAGGAGCAAGTGCTTGCGAGAGGGTGTTGAGCAGACTTGACATGTGCATCGTGGGATTCTGCAGGTGGTGCCTGACAGGGACCCCCATCATCAATGCGGCCACCGACGTGCACATGCTCTTTGTGTTCCTCCAGTACGCGTGAGTGCTCTTTAAATCTCTGCAGTGCTTTGCTTGGCTGCAATTGTTCTTGCAAACAAAATACCAGATCAGTTTCTTGTCTGCCCTTTCTTCTCCGGAGACCAGCGTCAAAAGTATCCCAGACAGCCCCTTACAAATGCCAACAGAGTTGATGTGTGACATGGCCGCGTTGGCTCACGGTTTCCAGGATAGGACCAACGCAATTGTCTCGTGCGCAGGCCGTTCAACAACATCGAGCTGTTCAACCGGCTGATCCGCAACAAGATCGAGACGGTGAAGCTGCGCAATGGCCGGCGCATCACACCCAACCAGGCTGCCCGCGATCAGGGCTACAAGGAGCTCCGCACTGCCATGCGAGTGAGCTACCCTTGCCTTTCCACCTCCTTTCCATCAACCATGTATCACCTCACTTCAATGCTCCACAGGAGGCGGTCCTATCAGTCAAAAGCCCAGTGATATGCATGGTGAAACAAATGCATCAGTCTGTCAATTGCTCTTAAGCTCAATCGATTTTATTGACCTGAGCCGGCATAATCAAGCATGGTCTGCGCCAAATCATCGAGCACATCAGAACATGCTATACTACACTGGCGAGACAATCTGTATCAAGGAAGCCACACATGACTTGCAAGAGTGGCGTCTTGCGCTGCTGATAACTTAGTTGTCCCCTTTGGATTACTGATACTCCTCCCCTCATGACTGATCATCTGTCACGGCTTGTAGGCGGTGACGCTGCGGCGCATGAAGAGTGACGAGTACAAGGGGCAGCCGCTGGTGGTGCTGCCGGCCAAGGTGATTGCGCTGCAGCAGATGCAGTTCAGCGAGGAGGAGGAGGCTATCTACAGGGCCTTTGAGGAGAAGTCCCAGCTGGACTTCAAGGAGTACGTGCGCAAGGGCTTTGGCGCCAACTACTCCCACATCCTGGTGCGGGATGCTCACTACCTGGCTGGAAAATTGTTATTCTCTTGGCAGAACAGGTGGGGGATGACCTTTGCTTTGCCATTTTGTGTGCAATTTGTACACATCCCACATCCTGAAGCGGCCTGCGCCACTCCAGTGGCTGGGGATATTCTGGACGAAAGAGCCGGGCCATGACTTTTGCTCAGTCAGTGATTGCTCGTGACCAATGTGAGGACATTCCAAAATCCCGGTGCGGTCGTGATCCCTCATGTGGCTGGGAACTCGCCTCTTGCCAGAAAAGGCGGGGGATGACGTTTTATTGAGGATTGCTAGTGTGTAATATAGTGCGGGCCTTCTGAGCTTACTTCCAGTGCAAGGCTACTTTGAGATGTTATTCAGTTTACTTTCGGGATATGGCATGCTTAGCATTTGTGGCTGCGGTTGCCTGTCACAACTTGGCAAGCTGTGAAGGGTGTGTTGCATCTTGCTGATGGGTGCGCAATTGCCATGTGGAAGAGTTGCCATGAAAATGAGCCAACCATCTCTACCCACAAATGCGCAGCTAAAGATTAGTTTTTGGTGGCACTTAAGGTCGTCTGCCAGCCGTCTCCACTCCACGCTTCCTTTGAAGTTTCCTGTTGCGGTTTGCGCGTGAGCCATTTGCCGTGTAATTATGCAAGGTGGCCTGTGCATAAGGTTCATAAGGCATAAGGTGAGGACTGCAGCTTTCGACTAAAGGTATTGGTCCTGGCAGGTGCTGCTGATGCGGCTGCGGCAGGTGTGCATTCACCCCTGGCTCGCACAGACCGAGGACGCATCTGCAGCCGCGGTGGCAAGCGGCGGAGACGAGGAACAAGACCCCAACGCTCACCCCTCTGGTGAGAGGCCTGCCCCTTGCCCAAGATCCAAATTATGTCACTGTCATCTTTTAACTGCTCTTCCTTGTGTGCATCTTTTCCAAAGACCCATGAACACATCGAGGAATTTGATAAGAGAGAGTACGAGAGATGTCATGAACAAATTCCAAGTGCCCTGCCAGTGTGTATGCAGCCACTGGCATTTGCCAGAGCCCTGCCTTCATGTGAAGGGAAGGCAGGGCGTGTGAAATGTACGCTAAAGCCCTGGGCCCTCAAAAGTATGGGGATGCTTGCATGCATGCATGCGAGCTGGGGGTTGACAAGAGGGTGAATCTTGTGGCAGGGCTGAGCGTGGAGAGGGCAGCGGAGCTGCTGGAGAAGCTGACTGGCGGCGATGCGGGCGAGTGCCCCATATGTATGGATGGAGCGCAGGATGCCGTGCTGACGGCATGCGCGCACGGGCCCTTCTGCCGCGAGTGCATCATCAGCAGCCTGCAGCACCAGGTGCGCCCAGCATTGCAACTTACCGCTCATATAAGAAGATTCGCACACTATTCAGACGAAAGGCTCACAAAATAGTCACAATGCCGTATGTGTTGTAATAGTTCTGTCATATGTTCCTGTACCTCTTGCTGCTTGAGCTGTGCGTGCCTGAATTCTCATCGTGCCGTACAAGTATCACAAATTGGGTGGAAAATTCGGGGCCGTTCTGGGGCCACACTCCTTTATTTGGACACAATTTTCTTTCAAATTCCATGTTTCATACCATCTCAGAGGGTGCAGATTGTCAGACTGGCGGACTGCGCATGCGCAGGGGGGCGACCAGGCGGAGGGGACCTGCCCGCTGTGCCGTGCTGAGCTGGCCCCGGCCAAGCTGTACAGCGCAGCGCAGCTGCAGCCGCCGGCGCCCATTGACATCGAGGAGGAGGCCGCCGCCCTCGACGCCGCCAAGCAGCCGGACGATGACTGGGCGCTGGAAGAGGAGCGCTTTGTTTCGTCCTCCAAGCTGGACGCCGTTGTGCGCCTGCTGGAGCAGTACCGCGAGTAAGCCACCTTTTCTCTTGGCATTTCACACGTCTGAAACTGCTGCACAGCTGCACTGCACGCTCTGGGCAAGGGAGCTGCTCGTTCGGCATTTGGCGGCCAAACAGAATTTGTGACAGTATCTGGGCGTGCCTGTGCTGCTATTGCCAATGCGTACTCACCCAAGGAAGCATGTTATGCTCCTACGTACAGATCATGTCACGTGCTCATGATGTAAGGAATGCTCTGGGGAGGATTCAGCTGGTGGGCTTTCTTGCCGATGAATGTGCATTCACAGTGGCATGGGCTGTTTATAGGCCAAGATGCCCTATGTGCATCCAAGGGCACAGGTTCAATAAAGTGCACATGGCTTTAGGGGTAGAGATCAAATTGCATATGGCTGCAAGAGTATTCATTGATTGCGCATGGCTGCAGGGAGGATGAGGCGGCGGGGCCGGGGACGCTGCCGACGAAGACGATAGTGTTCAGCACGTTCACGCGCGCGCTCGACCTGCTGGAGCGGCGGCTGCGGCCGGGCGCCATCGGCTTCCTGCGCCTGGACGGCCGCATGCGCCTCAGCCAGCGCACTGACGCCATCCGCGCATTCGCACGCGACCCCCAGGCGCGCCCCTTGCCCCATACCTCATGATTATCTTTCGAACACCCAAACATTGGCCGGCAGGGGTTAGCTATTAGTACGCCCACGCATGCATCTTGCCCCATACCTCATACCCCCTGCAAACCACCATTCAGGGGGTCCTAAAGACCAATAGACGGTAATATCTGGTACTCCCAGACCTGATTTCTTGCCGGCAGGAGGTACTTGATATCATGGTGATCTCCAATTGCCCCTGTTGCCTGCACCCTTTTGGCCCGCTTGGCGTCAACTTCTGCAAGCCGTACTCTGATATGCGCGTCTGCTTCAAATGTACTGCAGGGATAGAATGGTCTTCACTTCACGGTCCCTTTCCTGCAAGCTATGCAGGCAGTGGCCGATGTCAGCACACAGCCAATCACAAAGCCGAGCGCGCAGCTGGCATTGACCCTATGCATGCTTTTGTGTTGCTTGCAGAGCAACACACATTGGCTGATGGGTGCGCTGGGAACCACACACGAATATTGGTGCTCTGAGTGCTGTGGTAACTAAGCAATATTCTTGGATTGCATGCAGGCGCGTGTGCTGCTGGCGTCAACCAAGGCGGCGGGCATGGGCCTGAATGTGACTTGCGCATGCCGCGCCATCATCCTTGACGTCTGGTGGAACGGCGCCTTCGAGGACCAGGTGCACTTCTTTAGGCTCTCAACACACCATTTAGCACTTGCATTGGTATGAGGATACCGCAGATGTCTCCTGAATGATTGCCTTGCAAATCCTGTGCACCCTGAGGCCTTAGATGACCTCTCTAAATGGGCCACCTATTGCGTGATTATCAAAGCAGGAATGCTTCATTCCAGTCTGGAAGGGTGAGATCTGGTCAGATGGACATCATCCCTGGGACCCTGTTCGGGATGCAAAGGGGCTGAGCTTAGTGCTCTGTTGCCCTGCTCTGGAAGGCAAGCACGCTTTGCGTATATGAGCATCAGTGTGACTGGGTGTGAAACGGTGCACAAGGGTGGATTGAAGGGTGGGGCACGGTGCAGGCGGTGGACCGCTGTCACCGGCTGGGGCAGACGCGCGAGGTGCATGTGTCCAAGCTCATCATGACGCGCCGCGACCCCTCCAAGGAAACCGTGGAGCAGCGGATCATGGTCATGCAGGTCCGCACCCTCAGCTTGCCCTCCGATCACTCTGCCTTCTCATGAGCTCTCACCACCCTGCAGCCACCTCCGAGCTTACTTCTGTGCGTTGATACACCTGGCACATACCGTTGGCCCATCCTTGCTCATCGTATTCGTGTCTGCACCCCTGCTGATAGCCACAGGAACATGACATGCTCCAGAATGCGCTGTGTTGCGCACGACAAGGTGACATACTGGGATTTGGAGACCGGAAATACAAATAGAAAAGCAGGGGTACTACCAAACTGATTGCATTGGAGGCCCCTGAGAAAGGTTTGGAGGTGGGGGATGAAATTGGGGCCATCGGTGTGCGCGCAGGACCACAAGAGGGAGATTGCAGAGGCTGCGCTGGGCAGCGAGGGGACCTCCGGTGGAGCACGCCTGTCGCTGAATGACCTGCGTGTCCTCTTCGGCATTCGCCGAGCCGGCTGAGCCGCGCTCAATACCAGATACCTTAAAGCAATAGATATTATTGGCAGTGCTGGACAGGGCTCCTTGCCTGGGAGTATATCCCAACTTGGCCGGCACACTGGCTGCTACAGCTCAAGAGTTGCTGCTTCAGTGTCTGATTAGCTGGATACATGCTTCTAGTCGGCTACATTACATCGCATTGAAATGCTATTTTATGCTGCATACCTCGCAAGACCACTCCACATGACCGGCACACTGGCTGCAGGGGCTCTGGGCTGCTCCTTCAGATTTGTAGTAGCTGGTAAAGATATTGTTATGATTCTGGCGGTGGGCAACTGTCAAGATTGGGGTTTTGTTGTGTCTGTGCATTCTGGAACCATGTTGCTGCAGCAGTGCTGTGGTAGGAATGCTAGGACTAGCTCTTTGGAGCATGAGTTCTGAGTGTTTGTAGACGTGAGTCTGGTGGACACTTTGTATAGTGGGGCAATTTTACAAGAAGCCCAGCATCTCTGCTTTCCGGGGAAGTGCAAGTGAGCTGTATTGCCGTATAGCCCAGCGTTTGGGATGAGCCGGGCTTTTTGATCAGCGTCCTTGCCTAGCGTGGGAAGGAAGGAAGGAGATTTCACATCATCTCCAGACGCCCAGGGCTGATGGGACAGTGTCCTTCATGTAATTTTGATCTTGTAACTTGTGCTGGCATCTTTGTGGCGTCTTCTCTGATCAGTCAAGCTTGCAATTGGTACATACCGAACTAGTATACTGGTAGCATATGCAGAATCCAACTAGTACTACAGTAGTAGTAATACTACTACAATAGTACTACTACTGCTTCAGAAATTGTCTACTTTTTTCTGATCAGAAACAAAAAGACTCTCTAGCAAGGCCTGTGCTGAAGGATTGCTCACCCTAGGGAGGACTGAGGAACTGCCAGAGTGGATTGTGACATCATACATGTGATGTGATCAAGGAGTTCTGAGACACCAAAATCTTGCTCTTCAACACTTCATTATCAATCAAAAGGAATTTTATTGGGGATCGTCTCAATTACTGTGTATTGCCGAGGCGTCTGGTACTTGGCGTTCAGTATCCAAGGCCATCGGCATTTTAGAAGGTCACCTTGGACGATGGTGTTGGACATCTTAATAGAAATGTTGCGATCCATCTGGTCCTTCGTATGTCCAAGTAAGGTTACAGATGACTCTCACACTCAGGTACGGGCTTGCAGCCCATCAGCATACCGATGCATGCAGCGCAGATGCAAAAACTGTGTCGCATTCATCACCGTCACCATTGCCGCTCTGACGCACAACACAAATCAAAATATCTACCGACAAATTTTACATGCTTGTGAATCCATGATAGTGCTGGTGATTTGTGAAGTATCCACGAAGGCTGATGAGTTCATCACTTAACCCAGTCAGAGAACTTGTGCTCATTGCAGCCTTGCTCCGTTGTCAAAGCGTGATGCTTTTCTCAATAATTGTCCAAGACCACCTGTTCGATTGCATCTTTGGCTAGATCTCGGGCTCAGAGGCAGATGCCAAGATGAGATCTCTCCAACAGATAACAGTTTGTGCGTGTGCAGGAAGCGCAAATTGACGATGCTCATCTGGGTGACGGGTCCAACGCACAAATCGACAAATCAATCGTAAAGGAGCAGCACCTGAGGAGCCTCTTGGAGAAGCTGGAAGCAGATGAAAGAGAGGTTGCACTGAGGGCACCGGAGGAGGCACAGAGGGCAGCTACAGCAGCAAATGAGCAAGCAGAGGTGTCTTGTCTCAGCTGCTGCACTGCTGATATATTTTGTGCTATTGCTGCCTAGTCCGTTCTGAATTCCCCCTCCTTGCATTCAGATGCCATTGTCACAGTGTGCGTTGCCTCTGCAATCAAGGAATCCCATCATGCTTCCAGGTTGCGGAGGAGAGTGCTGCCTCCCCTTCAAGCATGGCAGACAACAAGGTTCAAACGGCGGATGATCAGACTGCCGGGACACTACCACTGGATGCAGACGACAATGCGATCCAAGCCCATGTAGAACACACGCCGCCCCATTACTTGATAATCTTTACAGCACCCTGTTGGAAGTCTTGAGGATCTCTTTGTGCTACAGAGGTCTTGTGCCGATTTTTGACAGTGTTGTCACCATGCCTATACTTGTCCAATCTTGCAAAGCTTGTTCCCACCCACTGCAGACGAACATATTTTTTGCTCTAGACCCGCATCTGACTCTTTGGTGGTGTTGCAGCTGATAGAGACAGAGAGGATTCTAGAGGAGGTGCGAAGAATGACTGCCGAGACACACACAATCAACGTCCGGACAAATCGTACAAACTGGGAAATTTGTCACGAGATGCTGCTGAAGGGGAGCCTCAAGAATCACATCGTCACCGTGTCAGCATTCATGGCAGAGGTCAAACGCGTAAGTATGCCATCCTACTAAGCGCCACATACACAAATAGAAAGTTACAATGCTTTTCTGAGGCTGTCTAGTCATGCTCTATTTTTGCTTGTTATGCAGTTGAGATCGGCACCTTCAGCATCTGCATGGTGAAGAGAAGTGCTGCTTGTCTGTAGGCAAAGAAATGCAAGGCACTGATGGTCAGCTGGGCCAGAGAAAACTGCCGAGACTTGACTGCAAAGCAGATAGAGACCCAGACAGAGACAGGCGAGTTCTGGCCCAGTCTGGCAGTGGCAACACGCTTCAAGGAGGCTGTCAGGCGAAATCCTGCATATGCACAGAGGAAGCTGCCACTCTTCACGCTGCAGGAGCTCGACAGGGAGCTTGTCCATGTCAGGTTAGCAATCTTGCTGATACAATGCCTTTGTTATTTCTATTTTTATTACTCACCAAGGCCTTTCACCTCAATACTGAGTGCGCGAATCGGGAACCCTGATGCCCTGCTGCGCTCAATAGGCAATATCCACATGTCGAGCAGCACCTGTAGTTTGCTCATGCAAATCAAGAAGCAAGACAAGTAAGACCAAAGTCCTCATTACGCACTTGTGCGCACTACAGATCTGGACCATACTTCCCATTGTAGCGCTGCATAGCAGACCTGCATAGACAGGCCAGCAGATGTTCACACCCGGGATGTGACCATGTGCAGGTGTCACTTCTGTCAGGAGCTGCATGACAAGCTGCGGATGTGCACGGGCTGCGAGAAGGCCAAGTATTGCTCCAGGGACTGTCAGCAGAAGCACTGGGTGTCCAGGCACAGAAGTGAATGCAAGGCGGCAGCAAAAGGACGCACTTAGGCACTGAGCTATTGAGAGCACACTGGAGCAGAGCACAGTTTGTGTGTTGTACAGACAGCTGTGGTGCTGCGTCAGGAATGGTAGGATGAGGACGCATCAATTTTGAGTGTTTGTAGATGTGATTGTGCATGGATGTGGTGGACATTTTGTACATTGGGGCAATGTGACAGGATCCCACAGGAGGAGGACTTCTGCTTTCCAGTGAATTGCAAGTTAGTTTTTTGTATATAAAATTATTCATATGGGCCAAAGGCTCATAAATTGTGGTTGGAAGGGCTCAGCTTTTGCAGCCCTGATTGATGTCACCACATTGCTAAGCAGCTTGCAAGCTGCGCATGAGTTATGCCCTGGCCTTAGCACCCGTGTCATGGATTTAGCCATCCCCGAGTCCCAGGCCTGGCGTTCAACGCCAGTTGCGCAGCGGTCCTCCGAGGAGTCCTAGCATTAATATTGGAAAATATTTTGAATATGCATCAGATCTGTGGATCCAACATTCGATTTATTGTGCATCACGCGTCTCAAGCTTGGTATTGGTGGCATATGCAGCCTACAATTACCAGCCGCTGCGTTGTGGTATGCTTCTTCTCACTGAGATGCAAGTAGATACCAAGGCGCACTGAGGCGTCAGGCAACAGCCAAATTAGGGTTTAAAGTTCGTACTCGCCTGTGACCTCGAAGAAAGTGATTTGGTGGCACTGAGAGACCAAGTCTCTGCTGATGAAACACTAAGCAAACTATTTCAGGTTTATTATTGCGAGTCCTCTGGTGTTTCTAGCTTCCGAATTGACGCCGACAGTAGTATGCAAGATCACTTCGGAACGATCTCCGGTGACGGATGGGTGATGGACGTCTGGGGATCGCTCTGTTCGACCGTAGATCCAAGCAGGTCTGCACATGATACCCGTCTCCAGGTGTGTACTTGCAGCCCATCAGCTCTCCAAGGTCTACCAGGGCACACAGCGCTCATGCAGCAGCAGTGACCCTTTCACCACAGTCAACACAGCTTTTCTCTGACGTACATCATAAATCCACATGTTTTTCAGTCTTTATTTAGGGTTGCAAGCGTGGAAACTGCCATTGTTCTGAAGGGTTTCGGAAGGCTGATGTATCACTAGTTGACCCAACTGGAGGACAGTGCTCATTTGCTTATGACAACCTTTCGCCCTACGTCATGAGATGGCGCTTTCAACTTGCTCGTCCGAGGACACAAGTGTGCTTGCATCTGCGGCCTGGATCACGGGCTAAGAGGCAGAAGCATCGGTGAGACTCCTTGGTTAGGTCAAAGAAGCTCAAGGGTTGCGAATGTGCAGGTGGCACCCAGTGGCGATGCTCATCTTGGGAACGCACAAAACGACAAGAGAGCCAGACAGGGGCAGCACCTGAGGAGCCTCTTGGAGAAGTTGGATGCAGAAGAAAGAGAGGCTGATATGAAGGCACAGGAGGGTGCGCAGAGGGCAGCCTCAGCAGCAAATGAGCAAGGAGAGGTGTGTTGTCCTTACTTCCCGCACTTCTGCTCTCTTGTGCGTCATTGCTGCCCCCTTCTCAACTTTCCACTTTCAGCTGTCGTTGTCACAAAGGGCGTTGCCTCTGCACAGTCAAGCAATTCCCTCATGTGTCAGGTTGCGGAGGGGATTACTGGCTCCCCTTCAAGCATGGCAGACAGCGGGGTTGAGACAACAAATGATCGAATCGCCGGAAGGCAATCACCGGAGGCAGACGATGACGCGCTCCAAGCCCAGGTGCAACACCACGCTGCCACATTTATAACATATTACACGCTTTTCCTGCGCAGAGGCAAGGTGCATCAGCAGACAAGCTGCAATTGAAGGCTGCCAAAATCCTGCCCCTTGATGGACTCGCCAAACAAGACCACATCAATCGTGGGCACCGTGCTCAGTATTTGTACCAACTCTTGCCAGCCGGCTGCCCAATTGCTTGAGGGGCTCTCACAGCAATATTATTAAAGTCCTGAGGACCTCCATCTGCTGCAGAAGCTTTGTGCTGATTGATCAAGTTTCGTCACCATATTCACCCTTTTTGAGTCCTGGTGTCAGCTCAGCACAGCCTGTCACAGATTTTTCGACGACTGCAAATGACGCTGACCCTTTGGCGCGGTTGCAGCTGGAGAGAGTGGAAGAAAATATTCAAGCTATGACTGCCGAGGCACACAACATGAATTTGCAGACCAACCGTATAAAATGGCTGCTTTGTCACCAGTTGCTGCTGAGGGGTAGCCCAAAGAACCGCATTGTCACTGTGTCAACGTTCCTGGCAAACTTCAAATGGGTAAGACTATTGCCCATTGGTTTATTGAGGCAAGAAAGTATGCACTACCAGCAGGTGTTCTGTCCAGTCATGGATTCCAATGCTCAAGAAGGCTCTTGAAGGCTGGCAGAGAAACAAATGTGACGCTTGATCAGTGATCTGAAGCACAAGTGCTGCTTGTCTGCAGGCAAAAAAGTTCAGAGCAAAAATGATCATCTGGGCCGAACAAAACAGCCAAAACATGGGCGGCTTAACTCCAGGGCAGATCAGGAGCCAGACAGAGACAGATGAGTTTTGGCCCAGTCTGGCAGTGGCAACACGCTTCAAGGAGGCTGTCAGGCGGAATCCTGCCTATGCGCAGAGGAGGCTGCCTGCTTTCACACCGCAGGAGCTCAACAGGGAGCTCGTGCACGTCAGGTGACCAGTTCTGCTGACAAGATCCGATGTTATTATTTGCACGCTTGAAGCTCCCATGCATGCTCTGCTACGCTCAGGATATCCAGCAGCACTGTGCCAGCACCTGAATTTCCTCGTGCAAAATATGAGAATGGTAAGAGCAGGACAAGCTTTTGGTTTGCAGATGTGAATACAGCAATGCTTCCTACTGCTGCACAGCAAAACAGACCTGGGTTGAGAGGTTGGCAGATGTTCACACCCGGGATGTGATCATGTGCAGGTGTCACTTCTGTCAGGAGCTGCATGACAAGCTGCAGCTGTGCACGGGCTGCGAGAAGGCCAAGTATTGCTCCAGGGACTGTCAGCAGAAGCACTGGGTGTCCAAGCACAGAAATGAATGCAAGGCAGCAGCAAAAGGCCGCTCGTAGATAGAAACACTGAGTTGTTGGGAGCACACTGGAGCAGAGAGCAGCTTAGGTATGATATTGAGGCTGGCATCAGTGACTGGATTGGCTTGAGAAGGACAGTCCTTCAAGGACTTGACCAGGGATGCATGCAAGCACCCCTATCACATCCAGATCGGCCTTAGTGTGCTTGGCCATAATGTGCTCGGCTAGCGTCCAACCTAAGAGTGTTCTGAAAGGACGGGATAGAAAAATGTTGCTGTACAGGTTGTGTATATATACATGTACAATATTGATTAGGTAGGGTAGTGCAATTGCAATGAGAGTTGCCATCCGCTGGGTGCCAAGCTTGCTCTAAGGGCTTGGGACTCCCGTCGTAAAAAAGAACGTGTCGGTTCAGCCAGGCTTGTGATTGCTACGGAGGGGTGCAACATATGGCATGCATGCGTAATTAAATAAATATCTTGTGATGGCGAACCCAGAGCCCAGAGGACACTGCCTGGAAGGGATAGAGGGGCGCGGCCGCACGCTAATGCCTCGAACCGGTACCCCCCACCTGTTGGAGCCCTCTTAATTTAAACCCTTTTGGTCTCACTTGGCATTAAACATGGCTGTCTTGGCTTTTTCCTCTATACATGCAGCGCAAGGTGGAAGTAGAAGCATGCTTCCTGCATGGTGGCCTTGGGCAAGCTAATTGGTTCTATTAGCTGCCTTCGGTGGAGGCGTATCCTGAACATGTGTAAATCATAGAGTAAAATGGACAGCCGTACGCTGTACGCAGACGCGTCCCGTCTGCAAACTGCATGGATCTGCTCCCATGAATCACTGCAAGAACCAACAATGTATTAGGCTCTCAGGCAATCACTAGTAGTGCGCAAGGCAGCCCCCTCTTCCTACCAGGCGCTCGCACTGTCTTAAAGCACTAGCCCACGTGAACTATGCAGACTCCCGAGGTCGCCCTGGGTTCCACCCATGGGCATACACAGGTCCACACGCATGCAAGTTTCACTAATGTATGCGATAATTGCACGCATGTGGACCTGTGTAAGCCCTATGTGATTGATGAAATCGAAACCTCCTGTGTATGCCTTATCATACTGGCTGATGATGTCTCACTGACACTCGTCAAGAAGCTCGGTACCGTGACCAGTAACATTTGGAATGCGGCAGTCCAAAACCAGATGGACCACCGGTGGTACGGTACCTTTGGTACCAGCTGGAGCTCACAAAATTTGACTCATACATAATTGTTATATGGTAATTATCACATGCACTGTGCTTGTGCTCAATTGGAGACTATATTTGCATCACTCTGTATGCTCCAGTTGGCTTCCCCAGGGAAGCTTCCACAGTCCCTCGACTTCCCCAAGCTTCCGAGGCATGAGCCAAATTAGGGTGTGAACTGGCCTGTTCCGGACGTCACACAAACCGAGAGCCGGCAGCTTTAGGATACCGAGATGTGAGCTCAGCACATGAAAATTCCTTGAAAGAATTCTAGATTGCGTTAGCCCTGAATTTTGACGGTTTCAATTTGGAGACACCGGCAATTTAGCGAATCACTTTTGAACGATCACAACTCTTGTGACGGACTGTGAACGATATGTTGCAATCCCTCTGGTCCTATTTCAATTTCAATCCATTAAAGCCCGCGGAAAGTCACTGCAGCCAGGTACGTGTTTCTAACATTACAGGACATGTGTACCCAGACAGACGATGCTGAGTGCAGCAGCTGTTTCGCTTTCTATATGGTCCGCGCTGTTTGTATGAGACACGCTTTAGATTGCTCAAATTTTTATTTATTTTTGGAGGCCTGAAGCTCCAGAATGAGGGCAAATTAGAGTCCAGAAAGGTTCATGGACTATGCAATGACTGTTTTGGATGGGTGGCGCTCCATATCACGTTTGTTTATGCGATTCCTCAATTGATGACTTGTTATTCTGCTCGTTCGACTCAAATGTCCAGTTGCGCAATTGAGCCAGATCATGTATCAGCGGGAGAAATGATGGTGGAGGCAGATGTATAGACTCAGGGGGGAAGCGCAGCTTCTGAGGGTTTGTGAGTGTGCAGGAAGCACAACTGAATGGTGCTAATCCTGAAAACCAGTCCAGCGCACAGAGGACCGCCATACAGGAGCAGCATCTCAAGAGCCTGTTGGAGATCCTGGAAGCAGGCAAAATGGAGGTTGCATCAAGGGCACAGGACGATGCATACAGGGCAGCTGCAGCAGCAGAAGAGGAGACAGAGGTACCTTCCCTGACATATAATAGCGCTGCTCTGACTTAGATTGTGATTGAATCACGGCTGTTGCTGCACCAACTATTTTCTATGGCCCAGCTGGTACGATCACACATTATCAGCTTCAATTTCTGCAAAGTTTCAGATGTACATCTGGCTGCCCTTCTGACTTGCAAGTGGTGCAATCAATGCAGGTTGCGGAGGAGAGGTGCCTCTTTAATTAGCTTAGAAAGCAGACAGTTGTCAGCCACCCAAAATATTGACAGACTGGTTCTGACACGATGCTGCAGGCATCTGCAGACACGGCTCTTGCTGATGGCAAGGAAGAGGGGCCGGACACAATGGAAGCTGAGGCGCACAGAATAATGCTCCTCACCAACACTGCAAATTGGCTTTCCTGTCGCAACATGCTGCTAGCTGAGAGCCGTTCATCTAACCTCAAAGTGTCTGCATTCCTGAAGGAAGTAAAAAAGGTAGGGACCACGTTTGCCACTGCAGTAAGAAGTCAACATGTGGCTCCAGTGCCACCTTTCAGACAGTCCACCTTCCCTCCAGTGCTCCAAGATGCTACTTGCGCTGTGCTCAAAAGCACCCGAGAGAGCACAGTGACATTTGCAGACACCCAGTTTGAATGACGCTGATCTGATCGGCAGGCGAGAAGGTACAAGGCGCAGCTGGACAGCTGGAATGAGCCCCCCAGCCACCGTTTGACTCCAGAGCAGGGCAGGAGCTTGGCAGAACCAGACCACTACTGGCGCATCTTGGGAGTTGCCACGCGCCTCAAGCATGCCGTCAGGCAGAACCGCGATTTTGCTCAGAGGAAGCTGCGTGCCTTCACGTTGGAGGAGCTTGAGAAGCAGCTTGTGCATGTCAGGTGAGCAGTTCTGCTGACCAATTGCCCCACAGATAGAACCTGACAACCCTCCAATCCCTTGGCAATCCCTTCTGCTTGGCTTTATTTTTTCAGCAGCACCTGAAACGCCCATGGGTTTACTACTTGCTGCAACCCAGGGCAGGGAAAGCACTTGAAGATTGGCATTGGATCATTGCAAAATTTACACAATGCTCAATACTTGCTGGTCTGCAGAGCAGATATGCGCACAGAGGGTGACAGATAGATGTGATCATGTGCAGGTGCCACTGCTGTCAGGAGCTGAACGACAAGCTGCGGCTGTGCACGGGCTGCGAGAAGGCCAAGTATTGCTCTGTGGACTGTCAGAAGGGGCACTGGGTGTCCAAGCACAGGAGAGAGTGCACTGCAGCAGCAAAAGGACGCACATAGGCAGAACTGGGAGCAGAGTAGGGCAGAGACCGGATGCTGTATTTTAGATGGGTCATGATCATTTATTGGGAAGAACTCGATGTGGAAGTGTATCCTTGTAGCCCATTAGGTCCAGCTTGGTCAAGCGGCAGGGATCCTCTGTGGGTATGCTATTGTACAACATCTTGTACGAAGTATCTATTGTCCTAGGAATTGCAATGACATCTGCCATCCACTGGACGTGATTGAGTGGCAATTTCATGTCAAATGTAGAACCACGTGGTGCACCGGTTCTTCAAGGCCTGGACACCTGAGACTGTATCTTGGTGCAAATTGCCTTTCAGCTTGGCGGTAGTGATAATATTGTGACAGCTAAAACAGCCGTTTGTACAATGTAACACTGATCAGCTCATGAGGAATGATTGCTGCACTTGGAGACCAAACCAAACCAGACCACCTTTAAATCCGCATGCATGGAAGAGAGGCAGGGAACGCCAAGTGCGACCGTACAGGGGTCGTTAAAGGTGGTAACCAGGGGGCGGTGGATGAGCGGCGATGGCAATGCGTGGGTGGACGCACAGTGCCGTTCGGTGTACTCCGAGGAGCAGCTGCAGGGGTACCCCCCTTGGGCAGATCATGGACCAAGGCCTGCGGCTGGCGGCTGGAGCACCTGGAGTTGATCGGCATCGACGATGCAAAGTGGGCTGATGGAAATATGCACATCCCTTGGACTGGCTTGGTTGCATGCTCTCAATCCCCAGAGATGCGATACGCAGCGAGTCAGTGACACGCAGCGAGCGCAACAGGCAAGATTCAAATTATGATAAGGTTGTGTATATACCGTTCCAGGTGGTGTGCAAACAGTCATCAATTCTGTTCCCAGCCATTTTGTGCACCCCGCATGGGCCCCGAACTATTCCTGGCATGTTGCGGGTGGCCATTGGCAATCCTAAATTCTGAGAGCGCTTTGCATGCATGCCTCGTAAATCATACACTTGTGTCGTGTGCACAGTACCACCAACAAATACCACAGCGTTAATAGCCTGCTCCCGCACAAATAGACCCCTAACACCTGGCGGGCTACTTCTGCAATGGCTGCAGCACACATCCCTTCATCCCACCATAAGCTCTGGCATCATCGGCAAGGGCCTGAGGATATGAAGATTGAACGCACTAGCCTTTGATGTCCCAAAAAGCAACACTCATCGATGCATTGTTCTTCCTGAACAGAAGCTTTAGCACCAGACGCCCTGCAAGAGAACCTCAATGCAACCTCTGAGCTACTAATCCGCCCCTTAGCCGAGCTCCCAGAATGCAGGGCAGAGCACTGCTGCGTTGCACCAGGTCACAGCAGTGAGGCGTCAGGGCGCAGCTCAGAGCTTCACATGCACCCAGAGCTTTGTCTGACTGTCAGACAGGTATTCCTGCGCACTGCAGGGACTCGTTGCTGCCGGGTCAGAGCCTCAGTCGATCTTCACGGCCGAGTAGATCTTGCGGACAAAGATGTAGCAGGCATAGAAGCCGATGGTGCCGGTGAGGCAGAAGAAGGAGTAGGAGACGATGAACATGTATCCAAAGTACATCGCCATGGGCACCAGCTGCACAACCACACCTCCAGTCAGACAAGAGCTGCAGTGAAATCGATGCCAGTGCAATGTCACACCCATGCTCTGGAGAAATTTGATAGATCAAACAGGGTCTTGAGCCAGGCAGTGGAAGAGCTCGTTGTGAGGCTGTGGCAGCCGCCCACCTTGGTGATGTCCAGCTTGGTGTAGAAATAGAAGGCAGAGTACAGGAAGAGATACAGCGCAGAGCTGCCGGATGTGAAATATGAGCGCCACCTGGACCAAACACACAGTCATTTCAGGGCTTGGACAGCTGGAGCAACGGCTGCACAGAGCCGGCCTGATTGAGGCCAAAGTTGATGGCAGATTTTTTTCTGCTCTCCGATATAGAACCTTCGGTGCGTAGCATTTTGCAGAGACTTTGCAGCAGGCGGCCGACAGAGTGTTCGCACCACCAGTGGTAGTCTTCGGAGCACAGCTGGAAGTAGCACAGGACGATGGTGATCTCGGCGCAGGTGATGATGAGGATGACAAAGACGAGGCAGAGGAAGCCAAAGAGGTAGTAGAACTGGTGGAGCCACATGGAGGTCAGGATGAAGAAGAGCTCAATGAAGACAGCCCCAAATGGCAGGATGCCTCCCACCAGGACGCTGAACATCGGGTTCATGTACCATGCCTGCATCAATCACAAAAAGCCATCTCAGAATTCAAGCCTCAGACACATTTTCCTCATGCAGCACTTCTCTAAGACACCAACAAGATGCTATGATTTACTGTCTCGCACTCTTGGTGAAAGAATTCAAAGGGCGTGGAGTTTTTGAATGAATCAGAAGAATACCTGGTCGGGGATTTGCCGCGGGATCTTGTTTGTCCTGACGGGGTCCTCGGGCGCGGGCTTCTTGAAGCCAAAATAGGACCCCACAAAGACGAGGGGCGTGGAGATGCCAAACCAGAGGAAGAACAGCGCAAAGAGGGTGCCGAAGGGCACTGCGCCGCTGCTCTTCTGGCCCCACACCAGCATGTTGAGGGTGAAGAAGACGGCAAAGAGCACCCCCGGGAACAGTAGCGCCATCTTGAGCGTGGTCTTCTTCCACTGCTCGCCCTGCGCATGCCATCATATACCAAACCTCAACACAGGAATTTACCTGGCCATGGGAATTTTGCTGGCGAGTGTGGACAACGCTAGTGCTGAATGGGCATTCAGCAGCAGTGTAAAAGGGGAGGCGCCCACCTTGAATGTCTTGTACAGGCGGCCGGCTGAGTAGCCGCCGAAGATGCCCATGAAGACGAAGAGGAGCAGCATGGCGGTCATGAGGCCGCCTCTGTTGGCGGGAGATAGGAAGCCCAGCACCGCAAACACCATGGTCACCAGTGCCATGCCCAGCAGCTGCGCGCCGGTGCCCACATAGACCGACAGCAGCGCGCCATTCGCGGGTGCCCTGAACACATCTCCGTGCACCTGCTCACACCCCAGGGCCCCATATCACCAGATGCTCTTGCTGCAGGTGAACCTCGTCACTCCAGGTGAGTGGTGACTAATGTCTGGACTGCACTGCACCACAAGCTCCCAGTAATGATCCTTTGTGGGTATAACTGGGGTGGTCAGAGAGAGCAAAGCGTACCAGCTTCCAGCCTGTCTCCTCCTGAGCCTCCTCAGCGGTCTCGAGCTGGTTGTACTTGGAGATGTCACGGTGCAGGGTGCGCATCATGATCATGGCGACCATGCCGCTCAGGAAGAGGACGATCATGAGGGAGTTGATGATGGAGAACCAGTGGATCTGGTCATCCGTCATGATCAAGTAGGTGTCCCACCTCGACGCCCACCGGATGTCACTTTGCTGCAGAGCACATGCACATGCCTTTTAGAAGCTGGCTCACTGGCTCTTTAGACAGTTGTGAAAGTTGCAGGCATATTCGTGTGGCTTCCTCAAAAGCAAAGAAGATGGGTAGGTGTGCCCAACCTTGAAGCTGACATCATATGTGAAGATAACCTCCTCGCCCTCCTTCACCTCCTGCTTGGGATCCTTCTCGCTGACAAATTTCATGCTGTTGGAATTGCAGGTTTTCAGCTCTGGCCTGTCGGCATTCCACTTGCCGTCATACTTGTGCTTCACTGAGAAGGGCTCCACTTCGAAGCCAACGATGCGAGACAAGTCCGTCTCAGCATCACGGTGATACAGGATCGTGAAGCGCAGGTGGTTGTGCAGATATAATTTGCCGTTCTCCTGCGTGTGCACAAATACTTTCGATCGTGCTCTTCCGGGTACATCTTGAAATCTCGGCCAAGCCACCGACTCGTACCTCTATTCTCCCCACTGGGAAGCCGCGCTCGTAGGTCTTGAAGGGCTGCCCATTGTCATCCCTCAATCGCACAATGGCGATCGGAAGGTTGTCCAGGATCCTGTTCGAAGCCAGACCACCGTCATCTTCTGGTTCTTCACAGGCATTTCCAAGTGCATAGAAACGCAGCAAACTGAAAGACTCACATCAACACCCGGTAATCATCTTCGATCTTTCCCTTGAAGGCCTTTGCTTGGTTAGCTGACAGTGCATCGATCTTGCACAAGGTCTTGCACTGCTCATCAACTCTGATGAAAATCTGCAGCACAGCAAACTATCAGTTTCCCTCCAAGACACGACTTCTCTAGATGCATTGCCAATACACACGGAAGCGCACATTTATAAGAACTTGGAATTCCAGATAGAGAACGTGCATTTGAGAGGAGAGTGCCTTGCCTCATATGGAGAATTCTCTATACGATCACCACGCAACACCTCCCCAAGGTTCTCAGCACTGGGGAGAATTTTCTCGGGACGGCAGTATGGCATAGAGTAGTATTCATATGGCAGCTGTGTCCTGGTTGACGTCAATTTGTTCACCTTCAAGACAACTTTGTCCCCCTGCAGGCCACAAACCAGGATTGAGGTCCAATGTGAAACCCAGCAAATTGCCTTTTGCACTCACTTGTGCGCAGCACGTACCTTTGCGTAATCCTGTGGTGCAACGCCAGGAAGATAGAATCCAAGAGCCGGCACGGTGGTTACGCAGAGAAAGATCAGACAGAGGAGTGTCCTCTCCATAGCTCCCATGCGCCTCAACCCCTGCCTATGTGCGAAGCAACGATCTACTCACTTTCGTAACAATCTCATTATGCTCTGTTTTTTCACGTGACTCGTGGTGCCTCCCAATATCTATAAATTTCCTGAAGAAGAGGCCAATGCAGACGTGCCAGTTGACAACGCCGCATGACGGGAGCACTCCACGTGGAGACCCAATGGCAGCAAGGCGGGTTGCCATGAATGACCTTACTGCAAGGATGCTTCAGTAGTAGAGCAGTATATCATGCAATGATGGTGAGCAACCTAAAGTTGGCATGCCGGCTCATGAGAAGCTCTCATTCAGAGCGCTTGCGCGCAGATCTAGAGCTGATATGTCACAGCTGCAGCTGCAGTGCAGCTGCATGCAGGGGCGGCCCGGGGCGGGGCTGCGGCCGCCGTGGGCTGCTCTGATGCTACTGTACCTGTTAGCAGATGGCCTTCACATTTCATGTGTTGATGTGACTAGCACGGCGAGGATTAAGTTGCTCACATCTCAGCACCAGTGTATAGCACCGTGAAGTCTCGGTCACCGCATTATATGGGTTACAGTGACACATCATGATCCTGCCAGATCATGAGTTGCGCGGCCAGCAAAAAATGCAACAATAACGTTTGCCAAAGCATTGGTAAAGCTAAGGAAAGATTTCGAAGCTACACGGCGAGCGTTTGCATGGAGCACAGGAGCCATCATGGGCTGCCCCTGCAGGACTGTCCATTACATATGCATGCACATCTCAGGTCACGACGGCTCGGCAGCCTGCAGACTGCAGGTGCAGCAATCAGCAAACAATGAACAGTGTCAGGTTCTTCAGGATTGTTCATGTCGTGTGGTTCGATCTTCATTCATGGCCAAATCGCCGGCGTCCCGCATCCCCATTGTCTGCGCGTGCATCGGTGCGCATGGATCGCCGTTGCGGCTGCCGCGCATCCTCGGGCCGCCCCGCGCCCGCGCCGCTCCAGTCCCTCCGACCTGCGCAGCCCATGCATTTTTACTTGCTTGCATGACACAGTTTGTAACGCAAGGCGAGACCACAGAAGACCCGCGCAGCCCATGCATTTTTACTTCCTTGCATGACACAGTTTGTAACGCAAGGCAAGACCACAGAAGACCCGCGCAGCCCATGCATTTTTACTTGCTTGCATGACACAGTACTGTTCACAAGGCGAGACACCACAAGACCTGCGCAGCCCATGCATCGTCGCTTGCGTGCATGACACCGAAATCTTCACAGGGCGTGCAGAGACACCACATTTAGGCAAGCGGGATGCAAGACACCCGAGTTGGTGCAAGCGCCGTGTAGTGAGAAAGGGCTGCCTCGCGGCTTGAGTGCAATGCGCAATGCACACAGGACGCCTCCAGGCGAGAAGGAAAAGTGACTTGAAATCAAAGTCTAGCTGCGATCTAAGCAGGGCTTTCTAGGATAATCAGCGGCATCTGCATGCTGCTAATGCCAGAATCTCCATGCTATTGATGTGAAGGAGGCAAACCTTGGGGAGATGAAGGTCTGGGGCCGGTGGGAGGTGGTGGCCCGGGGGTCCCTGGAGGGGGGGCCAGCAGCGCTTTCCTGGACACCTTCACGTGGCCGCGCGAGTCGCGCCCCTGGCACAGCACCTCCAGCGACTCCCCCTCCTCCAGCTCATCCTCTACACTGCGCACCTGCCACCCCACCCCGTAAACTTCAGAGTCTATTGCATGCAGACGGCAGAGGCACTTCCTTATGGCCTGCCACATTGTCAGCATTGCATGGCAACACCCATGGCTCTGCATAGCAGTACAGCAATCTTCTGTACTGCTATTGCATACAAAATCTGCCTCCTGCCAAAGTCTGCTTCAACACACGCGGTCTGCGAGCCTTCAGCTGTTCTGCATTGTAAGGTATCACAGCAGATATCCACTCTCTTCAAAAGTGCCCTATTATGTACATTTTATTGTATGTTGTGCTGCTCGTGGTTGCTATGTTTCAGGAGATGAGGTGGTGCATGCTGGCGGCTGACCTTGTGATGGGCCAGCTCGGAGATGTGAAGCAGCGCCTGGAAGCCATTTGGCAGCTCCACAAATGCGCCGTAATCCATCAGCCGAACCACCCGTACCTTGTACACAATCCCCTCCTGCAAAACAAATGCGTCGTCAATTCCGTTTCCCCTCGGCTCTGATGTGACCCAGCATTCTTCTTCATTCCAATTATTGAAAACCTTTGTCACAGAGAAATTCAAAGCCAAGTTCTAGTGCAGGTGCGTTGCGGGTATTGAAAGTGTGACAGCGATAAGCACAAACCTTGACATCAGCTCCCGTGAATGACTCCAGCATAGTCTCGGCTGCCATAAACTTGTCCTTGGTTGGAGCATACATGAATGCCACGCCCTCATCCCTGACAATCAGCTTTGCGCCGGTGTCTCCCTCCAGAGCCTTGATATTGCATCCCTGCATGCAGAGAAAATCAGGTTGGATTTCCATGTGTGGTGTCGGGGGTAAAGAAACAGCCTGGCAACATATAAAGAGACAAACAGGGGCGAATACTTACCCCGGTGCCGATGACGCGCTTTATGTTATCCTTGCCTATTTGGATTGCGCTGTGGTGCGCTCTCTGCTTGATGTCCTGTGCAGGCAAAAGATGTTGAGTCGCACTGTGAGGCTGCATGTCTGCTGTTTCCACCGAAGGTACCAAAGTAAACTAGAATCTTTCCATGGGTTTCCAATGCTTCAGGCCAGATGTACCTGCTTGATGACTGTCTCCAAAAAATCCAGCTGCGCTGGGAGCGCCTTGCTTGCTGCAATAATGCCAGCCTCCAACATTTCCAAAGTCACCCCTCCTGCAGCACACTCTTAGGCACATTAGCAACGCAAATGCCTGTATTGTGTGCCCACAAAATGCAAGGCACCAATACATGCACAGTAGCAATCAGAATGAGGTGTTGAGGGAGTTGCACAACAGTGTGTTTTGTTCCATATTGAGCAGATCGTGCCTGGCATGCATGCTGTGAGCTCAAGCAGAGTGAAGCCATCGCGTGTGCCGGCAGCATTCAGCTGCATGCCCCCAAAGTCCTCTTCAAGGCCGCCTGCATCCACCAGCACCTCCCAGCCATGCCCCTCACTCCCTCCCTCATCAAGACCCTCCTCGGCCACTAGCCCAACGCTCACCCCTGCCCCAAACACCAATCTCCTATCAGCACATCCCCATTTTGCAACCACAGATTTTTCACCTTGAAAAAGATTGATGTCGCCTGGCAAGCACCAGTCTATTGTCTGCCCTACCAAGATTGCAGGCACTTGGAAGGTAAGAGCTCCCAGCAGGAGCCAGCGCCTCTCATACAAATGCAGGACAGAGGCAGGAGGCAGGCACCAGGGTCCTAGAAATTAAAGAATATAGTTTATTCAAATCCCTGTGCAAGCACCTGCCACAGGGGAAGTGATGGGGACGCCGGCGGCGATGAGGGCCAGGGAGCCGCTGCTGACGGCGGCCGACGCGGCGGAGCCGTCCAGGGCTAGAACATCGGCCGTCAGCCGAACCGCAAAGGGGAAGTGCTGCGGATTGGGCATGACCCCCGAAAGCGCCGCCTCCAGCACTCGGCTTCCCGCCACCTCCGCCCTCTTTGCGTCGCCAATCCGCGCCTTCATCTGCAAATGTACATCTTACGGAATCGGTGTTCACTCATAAAGACTGTTTTGGATACCCTCATGCCTTCCTCGTATATAACCTGGGATTACTTCTAGGATTACTCATCAGTCCTCATATGAGCAATGGAGGCACAGGAGGAGGCCCACACGTCACAACAATGTATAGGAGTTAATTGACAGGATTTGTTTCACACTTATATCTCAGTATCATCTATCGTCAGATGCTGCAGGTGGAGGGCAGCATCAAGGAATCAGCATGATGAAGGTTGCAGAAGTAGCAAAGGAAGGAGCGGCTGACCTCATTGACTGCAAAAGAGGGGCATGTGTAGTGTGCCAGAAATCGCTTAGACTCCAAGCCATGGATAGTGTCGGTCATGAGGCCATCCTGGTCGTTGCCGACAGTGGCGACCGACATGACCTGCACTCCACAAGATCAACATTCAGGCAAGTGATCCATGCTTAGAAATGGGGATGCAAGGTTGCATGCAAAGCTACTGTAACCTGGGAATAATGGGTATACATGCACTGCCTTGTTTGTGGACTGTTTTAGCTGCTTCCTGGAGGCCGTTTTCACCTGGGTGCTGCCAAGATTCAGCAGCGCTGAGCCATGCACTTCAGGGAGGAACCCCACCTGCACATCACCGCATGCTGTCTCACCTCAGACTTACAACAACCAAAAAACACAATCTCCTCTGAAAAGAACAGGGGGTTCTATATCTAACCCCATATTAGATGTAGAACCCCCTGAAAAGACCGGCAAGAGAGTCAACGGTAGGGTAGAAACAACCAGAAAGAAGAAAGGGGAGCAAAGCATTTACTTGGGAGGTGGGTTGCCGGGCGTCTGCAAAGCCACGGCCGTCGGGGCGAGCGTTGCCAGAGAGCACCAGCGACCTCAGGGCTGCGGCTTGGATGTTTGTCCATGAACCATCGATGTCCTTTGGAGACGCGCACCCCGAACCCGGCACGCGCATGTGCTGCAAGCATGCCACTCCATGTTTTCATCACCCTTAAATGATGCATGAATTGGATGGGAATGCATGTGACACTAGTGACGATAAGAACCAATGCACAGCATCTCACATTGACAGAGATATCATCCCACTGTTTCAAAAAAGCAGCTATATGGGAAGGCAGTGCACAAAATGGAGGCTGACCAAGTACCTCGAGCCGGAACATGCCGTTTGCGCGCAACTTGGCTTCCAGATCTTCCCTTGCCTGCTGCAGTGCGCTGCTGCGCGCCGCATGCGACAGGCTGCTGTCTTTCATGATGGCATCCACAGCCGGGCGCCCATACCTGTCATCAGCAGAAAACACTACAGCTGCCTGCCATCTTGACATAATAATTCCACATGGCGCCTAATAAGCCATTTCACAGGCACTCTGATACTCCTCAAAATCATGAGCTGGCAGTACAAGTAAGTACCTGGCTGCATTGAAGAGGGCTGCAGGATCGGGCCGCAAAGAAGGAATGCTGCGCTTGCTGCTCTCTGCACACTCAGCCAGCCTCTGCTGCTGGGCGATAACAGATGCAACTTCCTCGCGTGCTGCCTGCAGTGCACTCTGCACCTCCTCCAGAGAGATTCCCCTCCCCTGAATCACAGAATGCCAAATTCGTTAAGACAGCTTCCTTGTCTTCATCAAGAGGAAGCTATTGCTCTGGCAGTGGTCCAGGTGCCCTCGGAACCAAAACTTCTTCATCGCTCAAGGACGCAGGTTGAAGAATGAAAGACTCTAGTGTCGACTCTCAGCTGCATGACTGTGGGGTCCCTACCTGCAGCTCAAAGAGTGTACACCGCTGTTCTGTGCCTGCGTACAAGACTGACATGTCCGCCGCCTCTAACTGGTCGCCACTTGGATTCACGACCATTCTGCTGCCTCGGCCATCTCGTACACGCGCCACTCGCACAGCCGCGATGGGGCCTGTATAAACACATTTCGCGTTTGTAATCTTAAACGTAAACGTAAAAACTTATTTGACGCGGTGTCCAGCCGCGATGGGCCCTGTAGTATGCACACGGTGTCCTGTTCACGCAAGCTGAAACAAGCATTGATCAAGTTGCGCACGAGTGACTTACCTGACCACGGGATGTCAGAGCTTGTCAAGGCAGCTGAGGCTGCATTGATAGCTAGCACTTCAGGATCGCCGCTGTTGTGACTGCTCACAAGCATGGAGTGCACCTGCAGGAGCGCTTCAGCTTCACCAACACAGATGCATCACCGACAGCCTAAGTAAGAGAAGGAATGCTGTGCAAGCATGTCAGCGCTGGTTGCTCTTGTGATAATGCAGCAAGGGCCCACCTGACACCGAGATGCAAATCCTGGTTCAAATAATGGTTCCAGAGCGCTCTCCATCAACTGAGCAGCCGCCATCTCCCTGGATGTCGGTCCCATCTCCCTTCGCTGCCCAGTTCGAGGAATCCTCCCGGCAGCAGAATACCGCTCCTGGTAGTTGACCTTCACACCAACAACGATTGTTACTGTCAGCATCTCTGGTGGAAATATCACTGGTATCCTTCATCTGCTCGACCGCTTTGCAAATGAAGCACATATAAATGCTCAGGACTGGAAGAATAGGATAGACAGCCTACCTCCAGGAAACGATCATACACGCGCGCTTTCCACAAAGGCTGAGGGGGCGGCTCGCAGACGACAGCAGACAGCACAGATGTGCTCCCGCTTCTGGCTATGGCTGCCCCATCTGCAAAAGGTGCCAGCACCCCTGTCTCCAAGATGATGCTGGCATTCCCTGCCTGACCTGCATCGTGGACGTGCAGTATGCTTGATTCATCACATTATTCGCATAATGACATCATTAAAAGCGAATTGGAGCTGTGTTGAGCCCCACAAGTGAACTCAAGGACATGCACAAGCAACTCACCCTGGCCAATGTCAGCTCGGCGATCTTTCTCTTCCTCATTCTCGACAGGTAAAGAAAGAGTTTGCAAGCATCTTGTTTGCTTACTAGATGGTGCTGCGAATGGCTGTGGTGAGAGGTGATTGACGGAGGATGCAGTCAGAAGAGCTCCTGTGGATGCCAGATCTGTTTACATCAGGTCTCAAGTTTCCGGCCAAAACTACCTGATCTCTACAAAATAAGATAACCGGGTCATTTGATAGCCATCGAAACCTTCATTCGTCAGCTGGGGTCTCACACCTGTCACGATATTCCTTGTATTTGCGTAGTGTGTCTGCAAACGAGCAAGATAGCAGCACACACTCCGCCGCAACATCAAATTGGTGAATTGAAGCCTATCAACCTCTTAAAAGTTGTATCATATTTACCAGACGCATGCAAATGTTCACGATCATCTCGACATGAAGCTAGAATGGACGACTGCAGGACATGATCTCACACTGTCGGAGAGGGTCACTATAGAAAAAAAGTTTCAAAATTCTTGAAAACAGACAGGTGCAGACTGCTCTTAGCCATGTGAATTTCCAATTCGTCTTTCTCTACAGGGCCTATGGCTGACATGGACATCGGCATGTCTGGATCCATCACTCTAAAGTATCGGGCTTGAAGGCTCGCAGCTGGCCACCTCTGCACCATGATCTGTTGACTTCCAGTTCTGCCAGCTTCAAGTGCTTCTCGCCCAACAATGATAGGCTCAATTACCTGTGCAGCACCGCCCAACCTGAGGAGATCAACTAGCAGGGTGCACAACACTTGACGTAGCAGTTACTTGCATGCATGACTGTACATGTAGCGCCATGGCACTTACCTCGACAGGATGGAATTCAGTGTCCTCTCCGTCTCTCTGCAATGCTTTTTGTCCCAACGGCATGTTGCTGGGTGTTTGCCGAAGGACATGTGCCGCCTGTGATTGGCATGCAAGCATGTCAGATCAATGCTGTCAATGATGCAGACAGCTCTTGTGACAAGACAACGTGAAAAACGTGAGGGTGAGATGCTCGCCTCCTCATCTGACATGCCCTCCTCTAGGAAGACCTCCATAAGTGGAAGGCACTCAAAAGTAAGCATTGAACGTATGTAGGTAGCCCCACAGGATAGACATTGCTCGTCCTAGCACAACAGCAAATCATCACTCATCACAATATTCACAGCAGGTGATTGCGTCACCCAAGAGCAGTGTGATTACTTACAAAAGTTGAGTGCAAACACTGCAGTGCGGGAGAAAGACACAAGGAAGCTCATCGCTGTCATAATCGTCTTTATGATGACAGGCATTAATTATTCAGGCAAGATATTGCTCACCTGCATGAATTGCAGGTCCCCAGATATCCCACACCTGAAACAAACTGGCAATAGCTCTTCGGGAAGAAGGCACTCCTTGCAACGCGAGAGTAAAGCTGCAACTTCTATGTCTTCCTGCAATACGGCCACATGCATGTTTTTTCTATCAGGCTGTCTCCAGACAACGCTTCACACAGACTGCCCCGCCTACTGTGATTAGTTGAACATTGGCACCCTGGGGAAAGTAGTACCTCTTGATCTCCAGGAAGACAGTATTGGAGCAACTGAGAATGTGCTGCAGCGGCAACATTCTGGGCGCCAAGGGCTGCACCCTGGCTGGCCAGGCATTGCAAGACTGCCACCATGCTCACTCCTGCCGGCATGTGCGCCGTCCCCAACTGCACACAAATCAGTCAATGCCAGCCACCCTCCATACAGCTGAATATTTCCACGATCCCTAACATAGAAAATGTCACTGAATTTTTGAACCATAAATTTCACTGAAATGGGGACCAACACTTTACCGGATGCTCTGTGATCACCTGCAGAAGGCGCGTGAGAACAAAGTGTGCAGCATGGAATAGAGTAGAGGGCACTGCATTGTGTGGAGCTCCTGTCGCTGCCTGGTGTATCAGCTGGTAGCCACAGTAGATCTGCGCTTTGGAGTAGTGACGCTGAAATGACTCCAGTGCCTTGGACATTTCCGAGGTGCTCCCCACTACTCCTTCCACCTGCATGCAACCAGAGCTGACTTGGCTCATGTTTCTTTTCTTTCTCTTTGAAAATTTGCATTAAAGGCAGGAAGTGCTACATCACAGTTGACATATGCCCCTGAGTTTCTAAGTTGAGGCCACAAGGCTACATTTTGTCGGTTACCTGGGCAAGAGCACCCAGACCAACTCGAAGGGCATGGCGGGCAGCATCATAGAAGCTTCCTTCTTTGACAGCCGCTGTTAAAAGCTGCTGCAGTACACTGCCTGCTTCCTCCAGCATCCCAGCATCCCTGGTGCATGCACAAGCACACCTGCCGTCAGGGCCATGCATGCATATATATTTTGTCGCCTAGTTTTGCAAGCAAGGCCGGTCAATGAGCTGCCGGAAACTGTTGTCATGGCTCACTTGTATAGCGTATAGGCCTCCTCGTGACAGCCGGTTGTCAGCAGGTTGCGAGCTCTCGGGGCAGGAACAGTCTCTTTGAGATCTGGATGGAGTCTCAGAAGCACCAGGGCCTCTTCCCACCTCTGCTCTTCAACTGCCATCTCAGCAACTGCCTATTCAACATCAAAACGACACCAAGGTCTGTGGTCAGATAGTCTGAGCAAGCATGCTTCAATTGCATTGAAAAGTGTACACATGCAGCGGCTGTGCATTTATATATATATGAATGCAAGCGGTCGATAAATTCCCTCACAATGGAGGCCTCAATCTGCAGGGCTACATCCCACTCCCTGGCCAGTGTCATGTGGCAGCTGACTCAAAAGTAAGTTGCTCAAACTTGTGTGAGTCAAACTTTCCATGTGAATATTGTTATTATTGGTACACGCATTTCCTGCCAAGAAGGTGCGTCCTGCAGACAAGCTGGAGTTGAAGACTGCCCATAATCCTACCCCTTGATGGACTCGCCAGAACCAAGCAAGACCCAATCAACCGTGGGCACGGTGCTCAATATTTATATCGCCCCCACCAGCCGGGGCCATGTGAATATGTTCCTGCCAAAAACTTGGTCTGGACGAATGGCTCACCTTGTAGTCTCCAAGCTTGTTGAGCAGCTCAAGGGCGGTGTCTGCTTGGTCACTGCTTCTGAAGGCGGCTGCTGCGCGTTGGAGCGCTGACCTGTCACCTGCACTGTCAGCGTCCAGGCTGGCGGCCACTTGCAGGAGGCGGTCCCACAGACCATGCTCCGCCAATAAATCCACAGCACCCAATTTATCACCTGCCTGAAAAGGTTGAGAGACGGATATTCATATGTTGTAGTTAGAGATTTTTTGAAAAAGGGGCTGACAAGATGGTTCAGTATGCTTCAGTCTATTGACCCAGGCAAATTTTATGCTAATGTGGTGTCAGTATTGCCTTGTGATACAAATGCCATGTCATGCAATGAAAGAAAAACACAGTGAAAGAAACACACCTTCAAGAGAGCTGTTGCAGCAGTCTCATGCTCAGAGTCCTGTACTAAGCCTGATCTTTGATTTGATGATTGCTTCTGGGTTGGCTTGGCTGACTGCTTCAGCCGGGTGCCATTCAAGCCCCTGGGCTGTGCTGTGGCCCTCGCCTCTTCAACAAGATTCTCATCCGAAAATTTTGCCATTGTCCTCTCTGGAGCTTCAACCGCTCTGACATGCTGAGAGTCACCTTGGCTTTTGCCCTGCAATCACAGCGCTGTCAGTGTATTGACAAATCACCCATACTCATCAATGCCACCACATTATATGTCCTAAAGCACAACCCATGTGCGATCTTCCTTCCCTGTCCAAAGGTGCTTTCCTGTTTAATACCATCTATCCATCTGATTTAGCACCCTGCACCCTTAGGATTCGGCTCAAAATCTGCTTCTGGAGGAGGGGGGCTTACCAGGAGTGAGAGCGCAGCAGCACGAGCAAGAGGCAGAGATAGCCCCTCGGAGATCTGCCGGTTGAGCCGCTGCACAGCATGCAGCTTGCGTGGGTCATGCATGCGCTCGTATGCTGCCGCCGCATGATCCAAGCGCAAGGCCTGTACCGCCGCCTCTGCGAAAAGCTGCCATCCCGATTCTGTCACACCCAAGCACGCCACCTGTATGCAGCTCAACCTGTCTCTGCTACTGTACTCAGGAACAAGCGCAGCAGCAATTTTCAGTCTGCTCAGAGCTTGAAGGGCACCTCTGGCTGAATGGTGGAGAGCCCTTCTCATGCTTGTTGCAAAAATTGCCATTGGCCACAGAAAAGGTGCATGTTGCAGCGGAATTCTGGCTTTTTATGGGGTGCAGACCTGGTAGGCCTTTTCGAAGTGGCCGAGGTCCAGGAAGGCTTGCAGCGTCGGCAAGAGGGGCACCTCAAAAGCCTGCATGGCCAAGCTGTGCAGGCAGTACACCTTTGACCCCGAAAAACCGACCACAAATCCCTGCATATCAAGCAAACATATCAGACGTGCTGTCCGTCAGTCAGTCTTCGCCGTTTCTGTAAAGACGGAAACAAAGTCAAAGGAAGGCCACACAGCAAAATTGCCTGATGCATGTATATCTAAAAACCTGGAACTTCTGTCGCTGGATTGGAAGGTCTGCAGTCTTGGTGCACAGGTGGCCATTGCCAGAATAGGACAGCATGTCCTCGAAATCTGTATTCCAGGCTGCACTTGTGGCACCCTCAGCGCTCCACAGCAGCGCCCCGCTGGCCAGCTCATAGACATGCACCTCGGAGCTCTCATCCACCACGGCCACCATTTTGCTGCTGGCGCTCATGTCCAGACACCTGCGCATGCACAAGCTACTTGTTTTGTCACTTGCTTCATCCGTGCGCAAATCAAGGTGTGCATCTGAGGTCTCTGCAAGCCTTTACAAGTAAGTGTGACATCTAGAGAGATACGTGTGCGTTCCAGGATAGTGAAAGCTCTCACACAGGCTGCATGCCGCAGCACACAGAGGATATTTATGAGACTCATTCTGTGGCTAGTGGAGAAAGTACAAAAATTGGAGCCTGGAGAGCAATAATTCAGGTGTTGCTTGACGTACCTAGTCCTTAATGACTGGAAAACGTGTAAAAATAAAATTAATTATGTGGCAAAATATTCTTACTCTAGGACGAAGATATCTCAGGGCAAGGGGAGCACACCGCACAGGGGCGCTGTGGCGCAGCTGGGACATGGGCTCCTGTCTGTCGATGGAGATGTGCAGCACGGTGCCGTCCTTCAGCCCGGCCAGCAGCCTCTCATGGCCCTCGGGACCCCCCACCATCCGCACATAGCGCACGGGCGCCCCCACGCTCCACTCCCTCTCCAACTCCCCTTGGAACGTCCACAGCTGCAGCTCCCTCTCCTGAATTCCCCCACAGCATTGCAATTATATTCTTTTCCAGAGGCACAACCTCGTCAAATAAGAAAAACTGAGACATCAGTCGAGGTCAGTACATACGTCTGAGAAGCTTGTGGCATGCATGTCCAGAGCCACGCATTCCTCAATAAGTCAAAAATCGGCCGTCCCTGTCTACCCTGTGTAGTTTGTCCACTTGAAACGCCAACAGGTGACTTGAGGTGCTGGTGCAACAGTGCGCACAGGGCATGACCTGGCAGGATGATCTCATTCGTGTTGCATACTTCATCTTCAAAGGCGTAGATCTCATCCAGGGTGCTGACTCCAACAACGAGAGTCAGGCATGACGTCAGCCCTACTGTGGCTAGAAGGAGTCCAAAGCAATCTGACTCACTGACCTGGCAGAGGATGAGGTGGTGCGCGGCGACCATGAGGAGGTTGCAGTCGAAGGCCCGCTCCACGCGCGCGATCACATGCATGTCCAGGTCCCCCGGCGCAGCGTCGGCGGGCAGGCCATAGACGAGTACGCGCGCGCGCAGCTGCACGGCCAGCCGCCGCTCATAGACCGCGATCTTGAGCACGTGCGCGCCGCAGCGTATCGCCGCGCGGCCGCCCGTCGCCATGTTCTGCACCACCACCCCCGTCATGCCCTCCCTGCACATCGAAAAAAGCCCTTTTGGCACTTTTAAAATCTGCTAAACCGCATTATCAACACCTTCCCACGCTTGTCACCATCCAACCTCACTGCCCACATGTTCATTTCCAGTGGGACGTGGTGCCTGTTGATCATCTTGAAGCTTGTACATGTATGCTCGAGTATGTGCAGCCACCCGGGGCACATGTGGTGTAAGAATGAGTACCGTCGCTAGAAGCAGCTAGTCAAGCCAAAGTGAATGCAAGACAGACAGTACAAATTACACTAGGGATACTTTGAAAAAAGGTGTAGCACTGTCCGGCTGAAAACTTCCTTCCACGATATCTAGGTGGAGAATCCACCTGAATGCGTAGCAGTCTTGGAACAGGCCGTGCACTGTGGCGAAGGTGAGCTGGTGCACTGACAGGTGCCCTTCCTGGCAGGCCACAGCCACATGAGTGCCCCCAGTGCGGACCGCCAGGCTGGAGGCTGGACTGTTATGTTCTGCCACCTCGACAATCGGGGCGCCCTCCCGAGAGTGCAGCATCACGCGCCCGTCAGCATATGCAATGCACATAAACTCGCCTGCAGGCATTACAACTTTTGTCAGCACATGGCATCATACAGGCTAGCACGGTACCCAAAGTCCTACCTGACGTAAAATGTGTATGTGCAATAATAATTGAGGCTGCTCCGTCTTGTTCACCTGAGTCAAAATAGGCCAGTGCAGTTGCTGGTCTCCCAAGTGACACACTTTTACCAGCCGCCTTGCCAGAGGTGTCATGGAAGGAGAGGAACCCGTCACTGCTAAGGACTGCTAATTCGTTGTCCTCTTTATTCCTGCAGTGCAACATGAGCTCCTGTGTCTCGACTTCAGTCCTTTTGCTTGTGCTATTTTGGCAATCGTGGATATGCTGACTCGCAACCATAATTACAAGGCCAGACCTGAGCGGGCGCCAGGCTATGCCAGCAATGGTCCCGTTGTGTGAGCACTGCCACAGCTCTGCACCAGCGCTGTCTCTCAGGCTGATGCAGCCGCCCTCTTGCGCCAACGCGAAGATGCTGCCAGACCAACTCCAAGCCAAGAATAAGACACGTGCTTTCACCTGCATCATGCGACATATCTCGTTGATCTTTGCAGCTGCCATCACCTGGGCGCTACAATGCTGTTTATGACTCCCATCTGGGCTGCCATCTGGGGCCCTTCCTCATCAAGGAAAAGCCCACCAAGTGAGCCCCTCTCTGATGTGCAAGCAAGGTACCAACTGAGGCCAATGAATGGGAGGTCTAACACTACTTCTGGTCTTGAGCACTGGATGATGCAGCTGCCGCACCTTGTGCTTGGTGGCAGATTTGGTGATGGGGGACCAGATAGCCAGGTCAGAGCCTGATGCGCTGGCCAGGTGTGAGGTGGTCCGGTCATATGCTAGGCAAGTCACTGCTTCCCTATGACTGTACGTGTGTGCAATCTCGCCTTCAGGCGTCCAGATGTTGACTCGACTATCCCCCCCGCCAGTGGCGAATGCTGTTCCATCTGGGGCGCAGGCCAAACACCTAGTGTCTCCCTGCTTGAGACACACGCTGCTCATCCTGCATTGGAAGCATAACCCAAGCAATGATAGGCCGAGTTTTACGTAGGCCCTGTCATGATTGGCAGCACCTTGTGAGCTGGCAGACTGCGCAGGGAATCTCCAGTTGCTGCATTGTGGGCCCTGACTCCAATCTTTCCAACTGCTAGAAACTTGGTACCATCTGTTACACCAGGCGTGTAAGTTCTTCAATGATCGCTTTGCTCACATGCCTTCCCCGATCAGTCAGAATGACATCCTGCCGTACCTGGGCTGAAGGTGATGCTGAGCAGGGGACCAGATTCCTGCACGTGCACAATCATACAATTAACAGCTGAAACTGGTCTCAATTTTTTTTTAGAAATCACGTTATGCAGCCAAGCTGCTCAACACGAATTTGGAAGTAATTGGCCTAAGCTGCACACGTCGGATGTCCACACAACGAGACTGCGCATAGAGTCTCAACGATGGCTATGAAGGACCCTCGTCTGGTGCTATGTCTTTCAACAATGTGCACGGTTCAATTGCGTATCAAGAGCAATAGAAGTTGAGCTCGCAAAGAATAGCTGAAGAAGAACGAAAGTGCACAGTTACAAGTGCCACGGTGGACGTTACACAAGCAGGTGCCAAATGTGGATCCAGCTTGATGGGAGGTGACCAAGGCAATTGTGTGTCGAGACATCCCACAATTATATCGGTAGTATGCCCATTCTCATGAGATCTCTGCGCTCTGCATGCGTGCACAGGCTCAACACACAAAACTATTCTTGTAGAAGGGGTTTTGTCCCCATGGCCGGTCCATTTGGCAAATCTGTTGTGCAAAATCCAACAAGACAGGGAAAGCCAGCAACTGTGATATTTCTACATGGCCTGGGTGACACTGGAGCGGGGATCGCCGCAATTGGCCAAGCTCTGCGCAGCAGCACTGTGCCCAATATCGACCATGTCAAGTGTGCTCCTGACCTGTATTGTCACGATTCTATATGTATGGAAATTGTGATACTCTTGTCGAATCATATTAGATGTAAGTAAGGGCAATTCATTTGATTACCTTCTGTACTGTACAATAACTGCTGGTGACCCCCATTGCCAGGTTTGTCTTCCCTACAGCGCCAACTCGCCCTGTCACAATGAATGGCGGCATGAGAATGCCAGGTAGGGACTCTTGCCCAATAGTACCCGTCTGTCAAGCGGCAGTGTGTTTGGTGATGTCTGTAGTACCTAATGAGGAGGGAAGTGGGCTGGTAGTCTGGCACCCATGCAGATCTAATATATATATATGCTGTGGTGAATCTTCCATACTGCTCTGTGCAGCATGGTTCGACCTCGACCCACGGATCATCGGCTCAGTTGATCATGAGGGCATCAACAGCTCAATCCAATATCTAGGTACGCAAATCCTCCCCAAATATCATGGTACATAATTGCTGCAACCTGATTTGTGCAAGCTATTTAGTCGTGATATCCGTTCATCTGAGGTGGTCATTTTCACCATACGGGCCTATTCCCCATTTGATTTAGGACATTCTAAACAATTTATCTACCAGAAGGAGTTGTGCATGAGCAGAGGAGCTAGTGGCAGAGGAAGTGAAGGCTGGAGTGCCCCTGGAGCGCATTGTGATTGGAGGCTTTTCCCAGGTCAATGCTTGCCTTTGCTAGTCAGCCAAACGGCTTCTGCCTGCATGCATGTCATCCGATATGCATGCATATGCCCACCCAACTCCCCAGCCTGATTTTCGGAAGAAACAAAGTTCTAATTTGTATCGGCACGTTGTGCAGGGGGGCCACACAGCTCTCAAATATCTCTTCCAATCAAGCACCGCACCAGCGGCTTGCATAGCACTGTCCACCTGGCTGGAACCAACCTTCAGTAAGCAGGTGAGCTGTACTTGTCATCTCACTCTGCTGTCAGAGATTCTCTAGTAGTCTGGGTAAGTACTGAGTACTTGAGACCTGTTGTTCTGGTGTTGGCAGGTCCCAGACAGGAGCAAGGCAGTGAAGATCTTGTTGGGCCATGGAACCTCAGATCCACTGTTGCCTTTGGCCTTAGCTCAGAGCACTGCAGCCCTTCTGAGGCAAAAAGGTCTGTAGCAGTGAGTATCACGAATGTGTGTATTTTGTGGAATACAGTATCCAATTATTAGAGCATTTTTAGATAATTGCTGACAGTTTTGCTCTTGTCCAGGACTGAGCAATGTAGACTTCAAGACCTACAATGGAATGCAGCACAGCACCTGCCCAGATGAACTTTCAGACATCAGAAGGTTCCTCTCACAGACTCTGCCAGATGCTGATCCACCATCAAGGTGCTCTTTCTTCTTCATATGAGGGCCTGAATGCAACACCTTGAAAGATAGCGTGGATATTTCTGGCTATCCTGTGCAGTTGAATGAAGATCATACGTTATGTGATTCCTCTGCAGGGAGGACATTGACAAAATGTCTGTGAAGGAGCTCAAGCAATTCCTGCACAGCAGATCAATTGATACCAGATCCTTCCTAGAAAAGTCCGAGTTTGTAGAACGGGCTAAGGCAGCTTTGTAAGGTGAAAGTTGAGCGCGCTGAGAGCCTTTCTAGATGTCTGCCGGACCAGATTGACTTTCATGCAGAAATTCTGACCTGGCCCATGTTGCAGAATCAGCACCAAGGTGGCCACCATGAGATCGCATATTCATTATAACGCTTGCAGACATTTGTTTTGAGCATTGATGAGCGGCAGCCTTCGTGGATCATCTACAGCGAGGCTTTATGATACCATTCATAAGATTGTGGACCTGCTGCGCCGGGATCCCATAGATGGCCTATATTCCATCATTATTTGTGTTAGTCATGATTAGCTAATTCTTTGCTCAGGTCTGCAGAATGCGCAACGTTACCGCATGCCAAAATGCATGGATACTGTAGTTTTGACCGAGCTTGTGTGCTTGAAAGCAAATTTACAATCTACTTGCGTTTGCGTCCTAGCTTTGCTGGAGCAAGAAGATCTGAATGACAGATTTACTTTATGCATGACAGTGGCACTTACAGTGAGTGATGCAAAACGTGATCCTGGACCATGACAAATGTACATGTTTACATAAGCACCCCAGAAGAGCTTTGTGTCTTGCGAGCTATCACCCACAGATCTATATGTTCTCCGATAAAGTTTAATAACAAAGCATGGGTAACAGATGTTCCTTTAGAGACAGATCTGCACAGCTGAGGTGGGTTTTGGCTGACTCAGCAGTCGGACGAGCAAGTAAGTCTGGCAAGACCCAGCTGCGCAATGTTACAATGCCTTCTTGATCTGCTCTGCAACAGCCTCCTGGGGTGCATCAGCCTTCAGCTCCACCGTCTTAGTCTTGTAGTAGTCAATCACCTGCACCCCAACACAGTGCCCCCACATCAGACCATGTACCCTGCGAACTTTGTCCGAAGCAATCTGCAGATATGGAACACAGGCATAATGGTATGCAAGCACAGCATCAAGCAGCACAGGTTCATCCCGCATGCTCTCACGAACTCAGATCAACCCCAAATGCTTTCAAGAACGCCATGCAAGAGAGTCCAAGCCGCACCGGAGATGTTTGGGAGTGGAATGCAGCCAGGCGGGCCTTCAGGGTCTCAGCATTGTCATCCTTCCTCCTGATGAGCGGCTCGCCAGTAAAATCATCCTTGCCTGGGGTCTTGGGCGGCGCAAACTTTTCATGGTAAGAGCGTCCGCTCGCTGGGTGTATCAATCGGCCAGTCACCCGCTCCACCTGTCATAAGAGAAATTGTAAATAATGCTGCCATCTCTTTCTCAATAAGGCTGGATAGATCAAGAAGGGCATTGCAGCATGCATGTGCCGAGGTTCTGCCTGATGCAAGCGGAGACTGAAAATCTTACCAGCACAGAATCCGGCACCACAAAGTTGAGCACCCTGTCAATGGCAATGCCTCGCTTCTCCAGCAAGCCATCCAGCTTCTGCGCCTGCACAAGCATTCTCATGCATCAGCACCTCTGTCAGGCCATTCACGTCCTGCTGCAGAGCATATTGCAACTGTCAGATGCTGTCCTGCCTAGAGTGAGCACCTGAACGACCGTGCGTGGGAATCCATCCAGAATGAATCCCACGCGGCACTCGGGCCTTTGCACAGCCTCGCCAATCAGGCCCACCACAATGTCATCGGACACCAGCGCCCCAGCATCCATTGCCTTCTTTGCCTGCATTTGTGCTTGAAGTGTGAGTGGTGACGCTTAAAGGGCTTCAGCAAGATAACGTGCTGAACATCTCGCAAAGGGGGATGTTTGTTCACCTCGAGTCCGAGAGGTGTCTTGGCTGCCACGGCAGCCCTGAGCATGTCACCAGTGGCAAGGTGACACAGACAGTGCTCCTTCTTGATCTTTGGTGACTGTGTTCCCTTTCCACATCCTGGGGGTCCTGCAACAAAAAATATATTCAAATTAGCTCGATAATTAAGTATCTGTTGGTATCTCTCTTCATTCTACACACAGCTCTAGCAGAAGTCAACAGAGGAAGATAATACATTACTAGATGATGGCAACGGTATTCTTAAAGTTGGAGAGATGAGATTCACCAATCAAAATGACGTGTTTTTCTGGTTTTGTTCCGCAATCAATGCGCCTTTGAATCTCTTTGACGAGCTCCTCGGTTGATACCTCGTCAAGATGGGCCGCCATAGCTCGGTGGAGGTGCTTATCTAGCACCTCTCCTGAAGACAGACAGGCTATATACTAAGCTGTTCTCTGACTTTCATATGAAGAAATGCACCGTCCTCACATCCAGTTCTGTAGAGATATCGATCTGTGAGGGTGAAGCTGTAGTAATATATGACTAAAGATGATTGTGTTTGTGCAGATGATTTGTTGTCTGACACCAAGATGCAGAGGTGAAACATCTTCAAAATCTGGCAACTTATCTTGCAGTCATGCCAAGTCATCCCATGGGACGATCAAAGTCACTATGAATGTTTGTACAAAGTCTCCCAAGTACTGTACACAGCGTATTGACCGCAACCATGCAAATATGCACTTATGCATGCAGGCCGTCAGTCTAGGACAATGCAGTCAGGATCACTAGATTCTCTGGTAACCATTTCGACATCCACAATGTCAGAATCAGCATTCAAGAGGCCCTTTTCACATGGCTTCTTGTGACCTCCATCTGCATGCACATCCTGCTCACCAGACTTATTGATCGTTGCTGCATCAGCATCTGGCGGTTCTTCTGCTGCTCCTGCTGCTGCTGCTGCATGTGGCTCCTGCTGGGGTGGGGGCCTGTCATCCATGCCAGTGCCCCTGCTGCTTTGGGGTGCCTCTTCAGCCGCACCGCTAGATGCATCAACTGTCTGCACTAGCACCTCAGAAGCCTCCTCTGTCACAGTCCCTGCGCGCTCATCAGCCGGCTCCTCTGCCTCAGAGGCTGCACCACTGCCCGTTGCTGGAGCATTGTCCTGCAAGGGACTCCCGCTGGGAGCATCTTTGGGACTCTGGGCTTTGGTCTGCTCTTCAGGTCCACCCTTGTCGAGCAAATCCTCAGATGAATTCTGCCTGCCCAGAGCCCTCGCTTGTGTCTCGTAGGCAAGTAAAAACTTTATGTAGGTATTCCTGCAAGCACAGGTTTCATATTAGAATTTAGATGTATAAGATCATGTTTGCGCGTTGCCAAGCATTACAATTGTGGTCATCTAACTTGAGGATGCCTGGGCAGGCTTACTTAAGGACAAAGCTGGCATTGGTGTGGGCGCTCTTGTCGATGCCGAGCTTTTTCGCCACTTTGCCCCAGCACTTGTTGCTTATCGTTGCTTCAAAGCCGTCATGGGTCTGCACTGCTTTATAGAGCTGTTGCAGATTCAAGTCAACCCCTGCGCACACATACGGTTGCTGATGCACGCGCCCTGCCTCCCGTAATGTTTCTAGCGCACAAAATTGCACAACGAAGGAGCTGCTCCATTGCAAAAGTGAATGAAGGTCTTACCGCAGATGACCGGTTCCCTGTTGAGTCCAAAAGCCTGCCAGGGTGGATTGGCCAGGCGGCCGGCCATGTAGTCACCGATCAGCGCTGCGGCCTCATTGGCATCTGCCGCAGCAGCCGCTCTGGACCTCTTTGCTGGCTGGTGCCCTGCGCAGCAATGCCCTGTGAGTAGCTGCCCTGATCGAGTAGGACAGCCTTCCTCTGGTTCACCCCAGGGCGTGCATGGCCCTAGCATGATATCAATTTGACATGGGATGATTCCTATTCTCTACTAAACATTCTCTGTGAGTTTGCTGTTGTCTCGAGCTCCCCAGTCCTAGCTCGATTGGCATTTGGGCAGACCATATCTCTTCGGCCCCATTTTCTCAGGTGCTCCTCTAGATTGGGCGACTAAACACAATTCAGTCGCCCATACAAAGGAGTGATGTTGGTGACAGACCCGTCAGGTGGGCTTCGCGCTCGGGGAGAATTCCTGGCTGGTTGGGCAGCAGGGCTCCCAAGGGGTCTGGGGCAGATTCGCGCGACATCTTCATGAGCTCCTCATATGACATTTTGTCCAGATCGATCACAGTCACGCCTTCGCTCCCGAACGAGGATGGCGGCAGCTCGTCAGGCACATTCTCCACAGTGGGATCGCCAGGGATATAGCCTATGTACCTGCAAAGGCAAAATCACATGGGCACCTCAGACGTCCGCATGTCAGCTACTGGATGCTGCCCTGTACAATGCCGGAACTGAGATGGCCCTGAGACTGCAGTGGTGATTAATATTAGGACGTTGGGAACAGGCTAGCTGTGAGGCGTGTCTCACTGTGACTGCAGATGGGCAAGCAGGTCCACTGCGGGGGCCTGCACAGGCTTCACAGGGCCCGGTCGCGGGAGCTTCGCAGCCGGTTGAGTCTTGACAGCAGGCTGTGGCTTGGCGGCAGGTGGCCGCGTGACAGGCGCGGGCCGCTGAGGCCGGAATGCGGGCGGCGGTGATGGCTTCCCGGTGTACCGCACCAACTGGCTGTGCCTGATGTCAAGACCTTGCCTCTGCACACAGCAAAGCCTTTGACTCAGTGCCTGCACCCCGAGCAGCCTTGCAACATGATCAGACTTGCACTGATGAGCCTGAGGGTCAGAATCAGAAGGAAGTAATGGTGTGCAGGAATGGGCAGTTGAATTCTGCACCTGCAGCCAATCACCAATCAAAGGGCCCGGCTTCCCATCGGGGTTGACAACCCGGAGGCTTGTCTTCCACTTTTTGGAGGCTCCACGCCCACCAATCTTCTCAAGCTCTGTCGGTGAAATGTCATTCCCTGCCAGTGATGCCCTCGTTAGTCAGAAGGGCTTTGTGTTCTGACATGAGAAGTGCCATGCACATGGGTGAAGGGCATGACCAGCTGTTGAATTGATGATGATCATGCCAGAATCCTTTGAATTTCAATCACATCACGATCAATGTCAATGTTATCATTGTGAAAGTCTTTGCAGGAGGACAGTGCTTTCTCCAGCAGAACTGGCACCTTCATACAGTATACGCGCCCTCTTGATGTCCAAAACTCCTTTGGCATCACCACACATGACATCGACGGTGTCCTGAATTCCCTCTGGAAGATCCACTGGCTCCACAGAAGGACTCCTTGAACGTACATCTACCTCTATCTTTACCCTCGGTTCTTTGTCCATGCTCGAGTGCCAGCAAAATTTTGTCCTCTTTGATCAAAGCAAATGAATGACAGCTAAAGTCCCAAACCAGCCTTAGCCAGAATAATGCTTTTGCATGACATCAGCTCATCTCCAGAGTTTACATGGAGCGTCATTGTGTAAGTGACAGATACGCAAATGCCACACGTCATTTCAAACAAATGATCTCCTTTCTGTGACCTCTGCAGGTCGATGTGATTATTTCTGCCGATGAAACATGCCATGGATGGGAACAGTGCACCGCACGTGGCCAGCTGGACCTCTTTGGAAGCGATCATTTGCGGTGATGGCAACAAAGAAAGGATCGCATGGGAACCATCTTTAGTATCTGATTTGACGCTGCCTCGGCTGGATCGTCAAGGCGTGAAATTTAGCGCTGCACACTCTGCCCAAATTTTGCATGAGGTTTCCCTCAACTACTGAACTTTAGTGAAGTATGGCGGAATCAACTGGGTCCCATCAATATGGTAATATTATTCTTGCTCACAGAAGTGGGACGGTACGTGCTATTCATGCCCTTTCACGATTGCTTTCGTTGTTCATCACTTTCCATCAATCAGTTAGCTTCTTCCAATTGAGTGCCCCGATTAAGCCAACAAAATTTAGATGGAGTTCTTGTATTCATAAAAATTGTTTCCAAATCATTTTTGCTGTCTGACAGAGCACTGGAAACCTGAAAGTGAGCAGCAGTGGCTTGACTTGGAAGAAGGCGGGAGCAGGAAAGACCGTGGAAATTCAACAGGGAGGTAGGAAAACTCTAATGACCTTCAGCCCGCAAGGGGGATTCGGCTTTCAATATGAGCTCATATGCAAAAAATTATTGTGCACAACTACCGCCACCATTCCTCACACAAGAAATTTCGCAAAGGCCCTTTTGGTTGTGCCTGCCAGATATCGAAGGCTTCGTATGGAGCAAAACTTCTCGAGGTTGCCAACTGGCAGTGAAGAAGAGCTCAGGCCCCATGGTCCAATTTCTCGGGTTCATTGACAAGGTGAGACCTCTCACCTGTGCTTATGGGCTCCAATTGCTCATAACCCTCTCGCCACACACTCACTCTCTTCTGTCTCTTACAGGATCTAACGGCCCTTCGAGGAGTGGCATCAGTCATGAACAAGGAGATTGAGGTGTGCACACGCTGCGCTGCCCACACGCCTTGTTGACATTTCTGGTCTTCACAGATCAAATTACCATGAAGAACAGTGCTGAACAATTGCATCGGTGGCTGCGAAACAGGAGCAAGCTCTGTCCATCAGCGGGCGCAACTGGGGAGGTGCCACAGTTGAGGAGGGGACCCTGGTGTTCCGGGTTGGCAACAAGCCTGCCTTCCGGATACCCTTGAGGGATGTGGGCCAGGTGCAGCTGGGCAGGGAGGAGGTGATTCCCTGCCTGCTTCACTGATGCTCCAAAGAATGAATAATATTTCTTGATCTGGCTGTCAGGGTGATCACCTGGCTGCTTCATTGACGGTTTGCAGACACTTCAGAAGTTTGTGATATGTAGATGGGCAGTGACAGACTGCCTACAAGACCAATGAGCCTCAGTGGCTCCCACAAGGTCGTTAAATGTAATAATAATAATAATAATAATAATAATAATAATTGATGCCACACAATATGATCGATTTTTCATGCGACAAGCGATGCATGCGCTGCCAGTGGCAAGGGACAGGATGGTTACTGGCATTGTGGGAGCAGGTGACTCTGGAGTTCCCTGTGGACGACACAGCGGGTGGGGACAATGAGGATGCGCTGACAGACATGGTGTTCTACGTGCCAAGGGAGGCCACGGGCTTTGTTGAAGACGGCGAGGATCAGGCAGCCAAGGTAGGCTTCATGTCAGACTCTGGTATGAAATGCAACTTGGCCCCGGCTAAGAAGGGGCGTTATAAATACTGAGCACTGTGACTCACTTGACCAATCCGCATCAGCAGTTTGCTAAATCCTCCCTCCTTAGCCCCTCTGTCTTCTGCCCATCAAGCGGCAGCTGAAGGGAGAACAGTCAGTGTTGATCTTGCCTGCTGTACCCTGCTGTTCTGGATGGAGACTGATGAGAGATGACAAGAGATTAATGAAGTGTGCTGACGGTCTTGTGCTTCCCCACACAGGTGATGTACGACCAAGTGTTGGAGCACACAGACGCTGGAGTCGCCACAGAAGACGCGGTGGTCACATTCGACAGCCTGGCTGTGCTCATCCCTCGCGGCCGCTTTGATGTCGAGCTGTACCCGAGCTTCATGAAGCTGCTTGGACAGGTGCACATCACAAGTTTGCAGCTTCCCACACCACTCGCTCTCTTTCCTGGCTTTCATCTCCTCCGCTGTGCCAGCTATGGGATGTACATATCAGTGCTGGCATGTTTATTAATATGCTTGTTCTTGTTGCAGGCCCAGGATTTCAGGATCCAGTACGACTCCATCTTGCGGCTGTTTGTGCTGCCCAAGACCAACACGCCCCACACCCTGGTGGTGGTTTCACTGGACCCGCCCATCCGCAAGGGCCAGACCCACTACTACCACATCCTGGTGCAGTTCCCCTCTGACGAAGAGCGCCAGATTGAGCTGGAACTCTCTGACGAAGCCTTGGCAGCCAAGAATGAGAAGGTGTGTGGAGCTCACAAGATGTATGCTTGCATCTCTGTGAGATTTGCTTTCAGCAATCACTCATGCTTTCCTGTATGGCTTAGGAACACCATGTTCCTTGCGTGTGTCCTGTATCTTGACGTGATGGGGATCCATGTGGGGGGGTTTTTGGCAATCTGTCAAGCATGAAGAAGCACTGTGTTCTAGCGGCAGTGGTGATGCGTGTCGCAGTGTGGAGGCAAGCTGCAGAAGACGCTGGAAGGGCCAGCCTATGATGTCTTTGCCAAGGCGCTTCGAGGCTTGTCCGGTTGCAAGCTGACCAAGCCTGGCACCTTCCGGACTGCAGATGAGGCTGGCTTCGCTGTCAGATGCTCCTACAAGGTCTGTCCAAGCATCCCAGCACCCAACTTGCACAGTGGCTGTGCTTGTGACCTGCAATTTGGAAGTGATCTTCATATGTCAGCCAGAACCATGATGCCACTCCTTGCACTTTGCAAAGCCGAGCTTGCGCTGCATAAAGTCCAAGGCCCCACTCACCTGGGAATGGGGCCTTGACAGGCGGATGATGGGTATCTGTACCCCTTGGAGAGGGCGTTCTTCTACATCCACAAGCCGCCCACACTGCTGGTGCACGACGAGATCGAGAGCATCGAGTTCATGCGGCAAGGCGGCGGCGTGCTGGCCGCATCTGCCAAGACCTTCGACCTCAACATCCGCATGAAGACCGACAACAAACCGGTGCCGCCCTGATCACCTAAGTATGACCGTGGTTTGTGGAACATGATCTCCTCGTGGCGCACATGCAGCTTGAATATCCCTCCATGTTTCTATCACTCAGGAAGAACAAAAGTGAGCAATCGACAGTGTTTGCAGTGTGGCAAGCTGCAGTGCCAGACAGCGGGCGGGGACTGTGCAGACTAGTCTTTTTGGGATTGTGCAATTTAGTCTGGAAGGTATTGGAGGGTGCTGGGCGGGCCTGTTAGTGTGTTGCTGAGCATCTGAGGGTGGGGTGCGCAGGAGTACCTGTTCCGGGGTATCCAGAAGTCGGAGTGGCAGAACCTGTTCAGCTTCATCCAGGCCAAGCGGCTGCGCATCGAGAATCTGCGCGAGGCCGAGCTGGGCCCGGCCGGCGGCGGCACCGCGCTCGACCTCGGCGACGACATTGACACAGGTTCATCTTTGGCCCCTGCGTATGCTCTGCTGCAAGCCTCCTATTAGCCATGCCATGCCTGTAAGGGGCGTCATGCAAGTGCTGGAGCATGTCTGGGGTGTCATGAATCGGATGTGAAGAGCTTGCAGGCTACTGCCTGCCAATGGCTGCCATGTTTTGCATGTATCAGGGGTAGCTGGGTGGTGTGATGCCTGAAAATAAGACTTCTGCAATTGCAGGAGCGTGTGTGGGGTCCCAAGCACTGAGGTCATTTGCTTCAAGCCAGTTTTATGCCATGGTGGGCATGTACCAAGAGGAGCTAGGTTGTAGGAAGGAAAGAAAGCCACAACTGAGACAATAAAACCCGCGTGTGGCGTGTTGCAGGCCTGGCGCAGATGGAGGCGCACGGCGACCTGGACGATGACAGCGAGGAGGACGCCGACTTTGACGCCGGAGCAGACAGCGGCGCTGGAGAGGACGACGACGACAGCGGCATGTCTGATGACGAGGACGAGGTGAGACTGCGCGCCCTCCTTTCCCGCAGTACAAGCTTGCTCTTTGAGGACAGACTGCAGCGGCAAGAGCAGGGTGAACATGCCAGCTGCACGGCAGAAGAGGCACCTTGCCCAGCCGTGTGGTAATGGATCTTTAAGTCGGAAATGGGAGGGAAGTGTTTTTCACCCATGGAGATTAGGATGAAGGTGGGGGTCCGTAGACACCAGGGGTCGTCGGGTTTTATGTAGAATTACGAATTTTCAATTTTCGGGGCGTCGAGATTATGCTCTGCCCGGTTCTCGTGGAGATTGCAGAATTAGGTGACTGCCCCTGCCAACGATGTGCCCTGTCCACTGTCAGACGTGGGTTGGCAAATCTCGAATTTTCGGCGTCCGTTGGTCGTCAGTTTGGCTTGGAAACCCGCGGAGAGACTGAACAAGGCGATACATCATGGGAGAGGTGCGCACCCGGGGCTCACAGGGCCGGGCCATCAGAACATCCGACCAGAAGCCAGTTGACAGCTGGGGAAGTGCGGGCTATTGTTGAAACGGTCAGGCGCAGGCAAAGCTGGCCCACGTGGATGTCCTTTGTGGGATTGTTTCTGTGAGTTCGCGTGGGACCCGGACGTCTCGCTTTCGGGAAGCTGGCGGGTTCTTACGCAAAGGACTTGGCGCTATCCTGCGTGTCGTTGTTAAGCAGCAAACAAAGTAGGGCTGGCCCTTCCTGGGAACGCGTGGCAGTGTCTTTCCTGGCGCATCGCGCATCGGAGTTTCTGTTGAACGCGAAGCAGGCTTCTCGCGAGTAGATTAAGGGTTGCTCGTGTCAGAGATTCGGGATGCAGGAGCGCTGGGATTTGAGCGGGCCAGTGGGGCCGTGTGCCCTGCATTGATGTTTCAGCACCGCTTCAAAGTTGTGCTCAGATTCTTGCAGCAGCGTCCAAGAGTCTTCTGGCCAGGAAAACCTTTTCAGTAATCAGCCCCAACAGTCAAAACAGTGGGAAAGCTTCAAATCGGATCTTTTAGAGGACGCTACATATGAATGTAGCGCGTCCTTGAAGCTAGGATTTACTCCTTATGAGTAGTGTGCACCTTTTCTTTCCAGCAGTGGATACCATCAGGTGCCCCAATCATCCAAACTTCTGAAGTTTCTACTGAGACCATCGGTCTTCGCCCAGATATTATTGCTAAGCTTAACTTTGCAATCCCATTTTTGTCTGCAATCATACTTGTGATCAGCCCCTGATCTGTGATCTCTGGCCTTGGAGGTTGTGTGGATTCCCACAAATATCTTTCTTTTGTCAGTGGCTTAGCCAACACGTCTCTGATCCTGTGTTTTACTTGTGCTGTGTGCAGGAGACAGAGACAAAGAAGAAGGTGGCCAAGGCCCCCAAGGCCAAGGCAGAGCCCAAGCCCAAGGCAGAGCCAAAGAAGAGAAAGCCGGCCCCAGCCAAGAAGGACGACAAGAAGAAGAAGGCAAAGAAGGATCCCAATGCCCCCAAAAAGGCCCTCAGTGCCTTCATGTTCTTTTCCAGTGCCAAGAGGGACGAGGTGGGTCTCAATCCTGCTGCCTTGCCATGTCTGCAAACCAGGGCAGGCACTCAGCAAGCAACTGAAAACTGAACAGATTGTTGGCAGCATGTTTTGTTGTCCTGCACGGAAGTTGTTGCTGACCATGCAATGTTCACTTGTGAGTATCTCTTTGCAGCATTTTTCAGCAAGGTGGGAATGCAGACCAACATGCGCTGCCTGTTGTATGGCTTCAGGTGAAGAAGGAGAATCCCGACATCAGCTTTGGTGAGGTTGGAAAGGCGCTCGGCGACAAGTGGAAGAACATCAGCGCCACGGAGAAGGCCAAGTACGACGAGATGGCCAAGAAGGACAAGGTATGTACCTGATGACAGCTCAGGATCACGTGTCTCTGGATGCGCAAGTACTCTCGTCCAGTTCTTGTTGCTTGTCAATGCAGCTGATGCCGGATTACCATTTTCCTCAACCCGTCTGAAGACCTCTGTCATGTACCAGCTTCTGCTCATTGCTGTAGCGTGACTTGTCCGGTTGACACTGACAAGGCTGGCAGCAACAGCAGGTCGATTCGTTGCAATGCATGACAGCACTCCAGTGCATGTACCAGGCCATTGTTCTTTGTTCCCGTCTCCATTTTCTGAGGCGTGGTGCTGATCTGGGTGCAGGTGAGGTATGCCAAGGCAAAGGAGGCGTATGAGAGCAAGAAGAAGGATGAGGAGGAGCCCAAGGAGGAGGAAGACGAAGATGACGAGGCAGATGATGATGAGGAAGACGAGGACTGAGTGTCTATTCAGTCCTGCAGCCGCTGCGCTGCCACGGCAGCCTGAGTCCACTCTCACGGCAGCAATACTGACGGGCCCTGTTACATCGCCGTGCCCACTTGCGCTGCTCAATAGACACTGTGGTAGAGTGGTGGTGGTGCTGAGAGGGGCAGCAGACTTTGTGTGAAGTTGGGTGGTTGATGACGAACAGTGCAAGCCTGGAACACAAGTGATCCGCACACGGAAACCTCTCGAGCATAACCATGCCTGTTCATAAGCTCAAACGTCTGAGACAGCCCGCCCGCATTGCTGCAGTGCAGCTACAGTTTGTCAGCAGTAGGTGTGGTTTAGTATGCCTATTGTTTGTGCTGTACAGCATGTGCTCCCTTGCCAGACCGAATAAAGCGCATGATGCTTTTTGACAGCCTCTGAGAGCAAGGGAGGCTGATATGAGCTCCGGTGAAACAAGTGCCTTCAGAAAGGAACTCGTGACGTGTAATACTGACCGAGGAATGAGACACTAACTTCGGAACTTGGCATGCATTCCATCAGCATGCATTGAAGGAGGTTACGGCGTGTAACGGTCTTCTGTAACCGTCATATGTAGGTGCTCTTTCCGAAAGCTCTCAGATTCTATTCTGTATGCAGACCTTCATTGCCAATCATTACCAAGATTATAAGATTCCTGAGAGAAGCCGGGTTATTTGAGTTCGAAGCATTGCGCGCTTCGACAGCTCTTGAGCTGCGGAAGATCTCTCAACGGATGCCCTGCACAGATTTGGTGGAGGTCTGAAAGAATGTCAAAATCGAGTTCAATAAAAGAAGCGATCGGTCGCTTCGAGAAAGAGAACAATGTCGTGGCCAATGAAGCTGAGAAGGTATGCCCAGGCACTCTCTGTGCTGCCGTTGAAATCTGGGAGGCACTGTGAAAGAGACTAAATCGGCATACCGTCTCAAGCGCAGGTGGATCTGACGGCACAAATACCTCCTATCGAGAAAATGGATGCAAGCCTCGGCGTTCTCAAGAATTGCGAGTGAGCACTGCAACAATAGTACTTGGCTTCCACACTTTTCAGAGCTCTCAAACTTGCCCTGATGCAATCATTTCCGTGTCACGAATCATCTTTACACTGCAGGCAATTGTCTTTGTCGACAAACAACATTGAGAAGCTGGGCGGCCTCAACAGCCTGCCCAAGCTGAAGGTCCTTTCCCTAGGCCGCAACCAGATAAAGAAGCTTGAAGCACTCGATGGCATAGCTGAGACACTGCAGGAGCTCTGGATCTCATACAACCTCTTGGAAAAGCTTGTGAGTCTCCCGTCAATCCGCAGGGAGGCCTTTCTTAAATCTCAATATATAAGGAGCGGCGCCAAGAGCACTATGTAAACAAGTCCTTAGTGATATGGTGTGGTAAGCTAGAATCACATTCTTATGGCGTCTGCAGGCGGGCGTTGAAAAGCTCGTGAAGCTGCGAGTGCTATGGATGTCCAACAACAAGGTCAGAGACTGGGCAGAGCTAGATCGCCTCGCTGCAAATGCCTGCTTGGAAGAGCTTCTGCTGCTTGGCAACCCATTCAACCCTGCACCAGGCACACCCGAGTACAGAATGGAGGTGAAGATTTATTGCCAACAGTTTGTGATGAGTCCACCAGACCCAATTGTTACAATCAGCACTAATGCTGAAGGCCCTTTGCCTGCTTCATGACATGCTTCTTACTAGCCAGGAATTATAATTTTCTCTTTAATGTGTCGGTAACACTATGCACACACATCTTAGTCAAGTGCACAGAATTTCTGGTCAGGTTTACTGAAAACGTCACGATTCTGAAACAGGTGCTAAAACGGTTGCCGGGGCTCAAGAAGCTGGATGGAGTGCCTGTGGAACCAGAGGAGCGGGAAAGTGCAAAGGCTGCCTAGAAAATTGTTTATACCCATCCTAGCCTGTATTCCTCGGGCTCAACCACAACCCAACATTCATTCCAGCTGGCACTTCCCCACAATTCTTCAGCCGCTGCTACATAGCATGCATGGATTTAGAGTGCATGGTGGTAAGCTACAAAATGCAACTGTGACCGTTTCGGCAGCAACACTAAGGAGGGATGCCATGTCAAGTTTGCTGCTGCAGTCCTTCAACTTGATTGCAGGCAGTTCCGTTCTGTCCAGGAATTACCTTCTTGAACAAACAGATGCATGCCATGTGGCCATTCCTCTATGTCTTGACACAGCAACATGCGATACTGTTTCTTGACACTGCGCACACTGCTCTTGCTGACCGGCTCCAAACACCCGCTGTGTCTGCTCGCCGCTGCACAGAATCTCCCAATCTCCCGCCTCAAGCCACCCCTCACACAATCACAAAGGAGGCCTCGGAACAGGAGCGGTCATGGGTGGCGGCAAACTCGCCCAGCAGCGCTGCCGTCAGGCCCCCTGAGGGCATGTCCTCCAGCGCAAATAGAATATCTGTGCAGGTGATCTGGGGCACCGCAGTAGCTGCGCCGCTCTTTGGCTTGCACACCATCACTGCGCGGCCGGCCTCACTCGAGCGGCTGATGGACGTCAGCCCATGGAATGCCGCCTGAGACACGCCACCCATGTCCCCGATCAGCCAAACACCCAACCATGACTTGGGGGCACGCGCAAGCATGAAAGGCATCCTGCCAATGGCAGGTTCTCTAGGGGCAACAAGGCAGCACAACAGCATTGGCACGTAATGGTCTCCTTAGCACAGAGAGAGAGAGAGAGAGAGAGAGAGAGGCTCACCAGTCCATGGGCGATGAGCCTCTGGAAGCCCTCCTCCAGGGGCAGCTCCAGCTGAGTCTCATCTTCCTGCACACGCCCTCCACACCCTCAGCCAACCGTCATCCTCTTCCCCACGCCCCAAAATTGCACATCAATTGTAGCCAGCACAACCAATAGCTGACTGCACGCAGGTCTGATCGTTCATCCAAAGCCAGTCAGGCACATTAAGCCAGTAAACTTTCATTTCAATGCCCTTATGTGCCTGTGGCGGAAATGCAGGCTCATCCAAAACGCTGCAAGCAATTCACGAGCACGAACAGGTTCCGGGGAACAGGGGGTGCAGAGGCGTGCCTCCTCCAGAAAGTGCAGGAAGCTGAGCTCCATGACGGCGACAAGCTCGGGGCTGACCCGTTTGAGGGAGGTGCGTGCCTTGCGGCTGACTGCCGCCCACCGCTGCCACGCCTGCTGCGCTGCCCCCGGCCCAGCCTCATCCGCGCCCCTCTCGCCCTTTATGTGCGCCTCCCACCTCTGCAGCCGCCAGCTATTAATCAGACTGCACAAATCCCCTGAAAGCAAGTTCCTCAAGCAGGGCATCAGGCAGGCAGCACATTTACATTTTTACAGATGAATATGTTTTCCACTCAAAACCAGGGCTATGGCCAAGGCAAAACTAGCAGTGACTGCATCATGAACTGAGGGGTGGCGCTCACCAGCAGGACCTTGCTCTGCTTGTCGGGGTCGATGCTCCGAAACATGTCCCAGAGCGCCGCGTTCTCTGGGCTGCTGATCTGCTCCAGCCAGCTCACGCGCACTTCACCAAATGGCACAGGCTGGAAGAGCGCCTCCATTGCATCCGCCGTCAAAGAGCCTGTTGCATGCAGAATAGCCGTCATGATTGTCATAATGGGTATCTCATTTGCCATGTACCAAAACAGCTTCCAGTCAGGCGTGTGCCATCTAGGTACAGAGTGGACCATGGCTCGTGGCTCAATCACGTCTGTACGGCCTGCGTGGAGGAGTAAGGGCCTACCTGCCATCTTTCTGAGGACCAGATCCCCGAGCCAACGCCGGCGCTTCCCTGCACACAGGCAGATACCTGCTAAGTCCTTTTTCAGGGTTCATCTGCTCGTAGGAACCCTCAGGCATAGCATGCCAGCACTATGTTGTCATGAAGGAGTCCAATACGTCTGAAAATACCCACATGCTGTCCAAGAAAACGCCCAAGTCACGAAGGGCTTATAGTTACCTCGTCCAACGGCCAGCAACTGCTGCACATCTGGATCTGCGTTGCCGTTGTTGCCACCATGAGCGTCCCATTTGCTTTTTCCCTTGCCAGGGCTCCTTCTCGTCTGCCTCTCCAGGCTGTTGTCCATGAGGTACTCTGACAGCCTCTTACCGGTGCCATCAGGCATAATATATGGACGTGTGTTTGCCATCTTTCACATTTTCTTATACACAATCATGAATTGGAAGGAGATCCACCCATTACTCAGCGTTGCAGTCTTTTTTAACACCGCCTTGCCACTGGTTCACCTTAACCGCCTGTGAGTATGCAAGGTCTTCGAACACTATGCTCTGATCTGAGACTTTCACTCGCTTCCTGGGAGGACAATGTACTATCGCTTGTATCTGATGAGACGGTCACCGTTATTACTCGCTAGCAATGCAGAAAGGGCGGGTTAACCGGCCGGCCCGCGGGTGCATGGGGAGGGTGGCTTTCAATCTAGGCAGTATTCAGCCAGCACCAGGAGCATTTCCAGGTTGCCATTATAATAGGAACTTATGATCACAGCTTGACAAGCTGTTAGGCAATACCGTCCGCATGTGTTGCAACTATATGCGAAGCCATCCGAAATCAGGTTTCAATATACGGAGCTCGGTTGGCGTATGATGCCCCTCTCATGGACTGATTGCATAACATTCACCCAGCAGAGCAGTTTAGAAGACAGATCGATGATTTGCATGCCTGCATGTGCAGATCAACAGTCCTAGTGGGTGGATCACCTTTGCATTCCTCGAGGCAGTGACCCTTTGAGGGGCTACAGACCCGTTCTATAGTTTAAGCTGGCACATTTCTGGCATCGTGACTTTTCACACGGCCCTGCATCACCAGCTCGGTCCCAAGGACGTCTGCTTCCTCGAGCTTGTGCCATCTTGTTCACTATAATCTGCACCTCGATAGCAATATATTCTCGGTTCCAAGGCGAGTCAGCAGCATCATTAAAACCTCAAGCTGATTCTACCGGGTCCCACGGAGGTCCAAGAGCGCCTTGGAGCCACAATGGTCTTTGGTTGCTGCTGGGAACACACAACAGAGTACTGTGGCACTCCCTCTTGACGGGAGACAATGTGATCCTTCACGAGGGGCAGGTGCATCTCAATCTTTCGTACAGAAGCTTGGCAACCATGCCAGTGGTCTTCAGCTGTCGACGCAAAAGACTTCAGGTGAAATTTGTGAGTTGCTTGCAGGGTGTATACCATGGTGCCTTTGCCGCAGCAAACACTTCAGTGGCTGGGCCACGGGATGTGTGGATTCTATCGCGGCCGCACAATTGGCGGCCGAGGACTACTGTTGAGGAGCTGTTGAAGATCAGCCTGGAGACAGGCACTGTCTCTGACAGAGTACACATCAGCTCCAGGCAAGTGCTCGTATGCGCCGCATGAGCCTGAAAATCTCATGTTTGTGGTTCCGTACCAATGCCCAGATATCATGCAGACAAGAGTTCACACACTGATAGGTACAATTGAGCGGTTCTGTGTTCGGGCACAGGTTTGCCCATGATGCAGTGAGGCTTGGGCGGCATGTATACATTGCCAGCACAGGCGATGGATGCATTGTAGAGCTAGAGTTGCCTGCATGCAATCTGGTCCAGAAGCACCAATTCTTCACCTCCAAAGAGCACATCAATGCCCTGGCACCCGTAGGCAATGACTCCCTCTGGGTGCTGCTTCACAACCGGGGAGAGGTAATAATCTTCCCACACTTGCATGTTACATTTTCTAGCTCTATCAAGTGATGAACGGTATCTTGCATCATGTGGGTGCAATCATTAGCCCTCCGCATGTGTTGGTGCGCAGAGTGATGTGGTTCTGGTTCACCCGAGTACGGGCATGGAAGCTGTCAGGCACAAGCATGTAGGCATGCATGCCCATGGCTTGGTCATCTGGGGAAGCATGCTGCTCACCCTTGATTCTGGACGCGGTGCTCTGGTTGCTGTTGAGAGCGTGACGGGCCAGAGACAGAAATTGTGGCAGGTGCGGAGTCGATCCTTTCCCTGTTGCTGCGCATTCTTCTCAAATGTCATGCCAGGAGGTACAGAGACTACCTTTGAAAGTTTTCTTTGCACTCCCTGATCATGCAGCAGAAGGGATCACAAAATGTTCTGGTGCAGGCCCCAGGGGGGGATGTTTTTCTCAAAGGGTTGGCCGTCGTTGACAACATTGTGTACATTGGCGTGAGCCCCCTGGCTGAGCGCAGCATGCGAGCTGATCCTGGGCTCGACTGCCAGCTTGCAGCCTTCCACCTCATTGAGGAGCGCTTGCTGTGGATTCGCAAGGTACTACCACAGCTGACAAGACACTCGATCCAGGTGTTCAAAAATTTGGCAAATGGCAATCATGCATGATCAAGACAGCAGGACAGTGCTGAGAAGGCTGATGCTGGACCGCAGGTGCCAACACATGGGCTGCTGAATACCATTGCTGCGCCGCATCTGTCTGAGGCATCTCCTTACAAAGCAGTATCGACAGGGCAGGCCAAGCCAGGAGCTGCAGCTCCTTTGGGTGAAACCTGGAGCAGGGTTGTGATAGGTTGCTGATTGCTTTTAGTTCCAGCTTTAAGTATGGACTTTGAGGGCCCTTCTGTGCTAACTCAGAGGACAGTGCAACGATTGGGGGATATTGGGCCAGTGGGCTGCCGCACCTGAAGAGTACCTTGAAGAGCAATTGGGATCCTTCCAAGGCAGACCCTGAGTCTCTTGCAGGCATCCAACTTGCTCTCCTCAAAGTTGACAGTTCCAGGCTGAAGGTAATCCTTTATTGCTTGTCCTCCCACTGGCAGCATGCTAGCCAGCACATCCATTGACACTGTTAAAACTGATCAGAGTATGTGACTGCCAGTACCCATGTGCCAAGGACCATGATGATGGCTTGAATTTGGGTGAATACTTTGTCTCTTGTTATGGCAGAAAATAGACTCATGATGGGCGTTGCAGGCAGCCATTTTGGAGCAGGGAGAGGCGCTGTGGGATGCTACAGAGCAGCGGCGCAGCAATGCATATCTGAAAGGGCGCGCACAGAACACCCAGCGCTACAAGCCTGGCACCCAGGAGGTGCTGCTGATGTTCTCTGACAAACAAGGAGGCGCCATCTATCGCTTCCCATACTACGATCGCCTCAAGAAGGCCTTGGAACCCCTCCTTGAACAGGTATGATGCACTCTTGACAAGCTGATTTCACCAGCACCTTGCTTGCACTAGCACATCATATTTCATGCCGTTCATTATGTCTGCTTGTCTCTCAATTTAGGCCACTCTCAGTGCAAGCCACTAACAGCAGCTTGCTGTACACAATGCAAGCCAGGTCATACAGCGCAGCTTGGAGATGCTTACTGTCACATTATCCTCAAAATTGTCTGCGCAGGTGCTGGGCAGGAGTGACATGGGCAAGATATTGCGGCTGCATTTGGCACGCGTGCTGCCGGGCAGTCTCATACATATCCACCGCGACCAGGGGGGATACGTTGAGCGCGGGCACCGCATCCATGTTCCCCTACAGGCTGACCCGTCCACGCTGGCGTTCCTGTCCTGCCCCACTGCACGGCCCCACGCCATACCTGCTGCTGTGACGGCCTCAGAGGCACTGCAGCTGGGATGTCTGCCACTGCAGATTGAAGAGGGTCTGGTGAGCCTCTCACTGAGACGATTATCACTGTCCACATTTTGGACAGTATATTGAAATAATAATTGAAAGCACCAAGCGTTCCCTAAGGCTCTGGTCCAGCTCACCAGGCTCTAATGGCCTTAAAGTCTAGATGCCAACAAGGGAGCTTGCTGGATGGACAGTACCATTAATGATCATGCATGTCATGTGGGGCTCAGGTCTTCGAGATCAACAATGCTGTGGCGCATCTGGTCCACAATGATGGGAACATGAGTCGGATACATCTGATTGTGGACGTGGCAGAGCATGCTTTGCCGCCTGCCAGAGCCCTCGAGCCTGGGCAGCAGTGTGCTTACAGGAGGGACACCATTGTTTGCTGAAATTGCTAGGCAAATGTTGCATGTGAGCCTTGTACATTGCAAGGGTTTGGAGGACGGGGCCTTCAGCCATCCTCATGATTTCTGCATAGATATAGAGAGAGAAAACTGTCAGCTGGGAGATCATTAGACACAGGTGCAGCCTCCTTTCTTGTGAGTTCCTGAGGCCCTGAGGCGTCTGCTCCTAGAGCTCTGCCAGATCAGTGATCAGAGAGATTTAGATCTCGAATTCCGACTTTTTACATTGCTCGAGGGGCAAATAAGTGTGAGATCATTCTGAAGGGAGGAGCAAGGAACTGTTGACATGAGCGATCTCAATCTTCAAAAGTTCAACCATTGCATTCTAAGCAAAACGCATGCATGCACACACAACACATGCAAGAATGCCTAATTGGGAGACAGTCTTCTGGTGCCGTCTTTCCTGAATTTCTTGGGATCCAGAATCACGATCAATTGTCAGAAACCAAGTAAAGTTGGCTTTGATCGCACTTGTTTATGAGAGCGCTATGGATTCTCGTGCGAGAAGCGCAAAGCGAGATTGCAACGTGCACGCAAATCTGTACGTGAGAAACCTCCCAAAGGACCTTGATGAGGGCACATTGCAGCAGCTATTCCAGAGCTTTGGCCCCCTAGAATCCTGCAGACTGGTCAAAGAAGCCAGCAGTGGAATATCCAGGGGCTACGGCTTCGTTAGATTTTCCTCTGTGAGTGCTGCTGAGGCGGCCATCAAGGCATTGAATGGAGCTCGTCTGAGCTCGAATATATTGGAAGTACATCATGCAGAGAAGGATGCAAGCCCCACAGGCCCAGGTAATTTCCAGCCAACATAAAGACAATTTTGAAATTAGTGAAGAGTGTGATCATCAGTCAGACGTGGTCAAAAATACATTCACAGCAGTATTTCCTCTGGAAGTGCAGGGCACAATCGGAGCCCATCAGACAATTTGTACTGCAAGAACCTTCCAGCGGACTGGGGAAGCAGTGACTTGGGAAAGCAGGTCAGCACGTTTCCCATGTTCCTGATCCTGAAAATATCAGACAGCCTGACTGCCAGAAGCGGCCAGAGAGGAGGATGCACATTGGAGCTCAGACAATGCACTGAATGGCCTGGAGTGCCTCATTGTCCTGGCTGTTACCCAAGAAGCGGCGCAAGAATTGATGTGTTTGATGCAGGAGCTGGGAAAGCTTTTCTCTGCACATGGCACTGTCAAGGAGTGCAGGTGACGAGGCTTGCCAGTGCTGATTACCTGTGCAAGCCTCTGCTTGCAAGCTAATTACAAAACATTTGCATGCATTCTGATTAAGGCATGCATCATGGGCTACTCTATTGGTGAAGAAAGAGTGCATGCAGGATATTCCCTCCAAGCACAAATGCTGCAGCAGCCCAGGAGGGCGCATGTGCTCTGGTGCGCATGGGTTCTGCAGATGAGGCGGCTCGTTCAATGGAGTCCATCAACAGCTGGGCAGCATGCACAGGCACTGGCACAGGCGGCCACCCCATACTTGTGCGCTATGCCGACACTCCTGAGGAGAAATCCAGGTTGGTAACCTTTTCTGTGAGTCAGCAACTCATGTTGTCATCCCATGCCAGGCCATGCCGTGGCGTCTTAGTACAGTGACATCATGCATGCATGCATCTGAGCATACTTCACAACCTCTTCCATCGCTTGCTCCCTCAATGCAGTACAGTGAAGGACATATACTGCATCATGTCCTCGATGTATGAGAATCGCCTATCAGCTGTTCCTTGCACTCCTGCACAAGAGCAAGGAACAGGATTGCAACCTTTCCTGGTGCTGCATTGGCAGGAGGCAGGCAAAGCGCTTCAAGACAACTTGTGTCAGCCCACACAGCCAGCACATACCACAGGACGCGCATGTGCATGCCGGCCTAATAGCCGCCCCTTCAATGATTTCCAGACCCACCTCTGTCCTGGCCCCTGCGCAGCCCTTCCACTACAGCGCACAGCCACAGCAACCTTTTGGGACGCAGGACCACGCAGCAGCCGGCATATTTGGTGCGCATGCTTGCACACAGGCACCGCTGCATTTTCTTTCATGCAGAATAAATATGCTGGCTGGTTGAGTGGGAGAGCAAGAAAGGCCTGACACAGAGTCAGCGTCAATTGTTAGTCCGCCCAATCTAGAGGAGCACCTGAGAAAGGTGGGACAGTCGTGTTATGGCCTGCCCAAATGTAAATCGAGCTGCAAAAACAGGGGCTGGGGAGCTCGAATCAGCAGAGTTCAAAGGCAGATGAAAAATAGAGACTAGGAGTTGCTCAAGCAAGCCTACGTGCGGGCCACTCTAGTTGTCAAGTCAGTGCTGTGGCTGAAGCAATTCTTGTCAGTGCAGGCTATCCATATGGGTATGCACCAGCCACAGCATACAACCAGCAGCCTTACCCGCCGTCGCATACTCAGCAGACAGCCTGCAATGGCACAAATGCTCCCTTGGCCCACCAAGCAGCAGGAATTACATCCCAGCAGGTGAACTCTGCAGGAACCTCTGCTCTATATGTTGATCAACGCTCATGAGCAAAGAGGACAGAATGCACTTTCTAGCATATGGTTTCTGGGTCGAGAGCCCTGCAGAGATGATCTTGAGCACTTTCTCCGGACGGCAGGCTCCTGTTCAAGGCCACTCTGGCGCACAGCAAGAGTGCGCATCCCTGTACATCAAGAACCTGCCCCCTGGAGCAGACAAGCTCTACCTGTACGAGCGGTTTGCACGCTTTGGCGCCGTTTTGAGTGTCAAGGTGACCAGCTGCTGCAGATCCGACCATTGAGCTGATGGCTGCATGCTTCCACAGAACAGTAACGGTAGAATGGACAAAGAAATATTTTGAGTTGAAAGGATTATGGCTTACAGCATAAGAAAGGTCCTCTACGAAGCTTGCGCATAGGCTGACATCTGATTTAAGTCTGCGGATGGCAACGACATCCTTTGCAAGGCTGGTGTTATACATCAGTAGTCTTGATTCCGTTCCATTTGTCTTGGCCATGGCAGGTCATGACGGATCATGCCAGCGGCAGGTGCAAGGGTGTGGGATTTGTCAACTATGCGACGCAGGACGCTGCATGCGTCGGGATTGCAAGCATGCATGGAACTGCTGTGGATGGCGGGGTGCTGCATGTGAGCCTCCAGCGGCAGAAATGAGAGAAAGCTGAAAGCTTGCAGCATAGAATCTGGCTTGAGAATATCAAACATGCTGATATTGATATGATGAGCACTGCATGCTGAGCAACCTCTTGTTACTTTGCCAGAGCTGCTGAGTCAGCTGTGAAAATGCATCTGCTGTCCATAACACTCTCTCATGCGACATATTTCTGGTCACGCTGACGAGCCTGTAAAATGGTGGAAGAGCTAAAGTAACCGGCTTTCACGCAGAAAGGACTCATGATCATGGATGTTGAGGGCATGCCGATCGTCTCGATCGGGTGTTAGCAATACTTTCCGTAAACGTCGTTGAAGGTTGCGATCTGCAAGACGCGTGCCAAAGTTGTTATGCACCTTGTCCATACGAAGCTCTGGTGTTCAAGCCACTGAACGTGCCTGACGATCAATGCTGAAAAGCAGAAATGATAGTCGATGACTGGCATACTGTTCTGCAGGATAGGTCAGCATGAAGCCAAGCCAGCGGGTCTTCCTGTGTTTTCTGGTGGGAATAGCGAGTGTCGCTGCCATTTCATGGCCTGCTTGCGACAGGACAGACATGGCCTGGACAACAGACACCCCCAGGCTCACTGGGCAGTACCCCTTCGCCAGCCTGCTCTGTGCGCCCTCAATCCCACTGCATGAGCCTCCAGGGCTCATGCAGAGAGCAATTCTGCATTTGGAAAATTTAGCAAAACATACGATTTATTTTAGCTGCTGAGCTGCATGCTTGATCAAGCATCATGTGCGTGCTGTGATGCTTTGCAGTGACATGCTCGGGCAACCTGAGCATTGAGGGCAATCCGCTCGATGCATGCCTCAGCTTTGGGACGGTCTGCGGCCACGACGCCGCCCGCGCTTTCTGCCGCTACTTGGGTGAGGCCCCTGACTTGATACGACCCTGACTTGTGGTGGGCTGATTGCTCAAAAATCTGAGGGCCTTTGCATACTTGAGGCTCCAGTGCATGCAAATCTGCTAGTTTGGCCGCAAAAACTGCGACCGTTACTTGCACCACTGCGCAGCATGCATGCTGATCTTTCAAAACCTTGAATGCCTTTTCACGTTTGAGGCTGCAGTGCATGCTCATCTGCTTCTTTCCATGAACTGCGGCCACTGCTTGCTCCACTTCTCATCATCGCATGCTGATCTCCTAAAACCTGAGGGCCTTCTCATATTGGAGGCTCCAGTGCATGCACATCTGCTGGTTTCCTCCAACTATTTTTCAATACGCACCATTGCTTATTGCTCAATGCACTGTCCATGCGTTGTAAAGGAGGAAGCTGAGAAGAAAAGGGTGCATGGGCAGGTTGGGACGGCGTTGCAGATGACAGCTTTGTGGCGGTTCCGGCAGCTGGCCCCACGCGCGCACTGTCAGGCGAGTGGTGCGTGTCGCCGGGGCAGTACGTTGTTGCCTCCAACATCACAGAGGCCGGGCAGATCAAAAAGGTCGACGGCGTTCCCTGCAGCCGCCTGGACGGCGTCACATGCTTCCGCAGGTGCTGCACTCTTCCTCTGGCATGTTTTGAGCAGCGCATGGAGCTTGGGGGCTTTGTTTCAGTATTGCCATACTGGTTGCCGTCCATAGCTCGGAGCAGGGCAGCAATTGTGCTGTGGTTAGAAGATATTGGCGTTCTGCCCTTTTTCTGTGTTTCTTGACATCATCAGACACATCAGACAGAAGGATCATACACATCTGAATAATTGGTCAACGAAGGCTTCCATCAGACTCTTGAGGTATCAGGTGCCCCTTCGGACGCGGGCTGACAGGATCTATGCTATGAATGCCATGTCAGGTCTGACCTGGCGCGAGAGTGAATGCACTCCCAGCGTCTGCCCACGGGGAGGGCTAACACAGGGTCAGAGCAAGGCCGAGGCACATTTGCACACCGCCGCAAAATTCGATCTTGTCACAAGCCTGGCGTGTAAGAGGAAAAGCAATCGCCATATATGTGGTGCATATTAAGTCCTGGAATGACTATGTTAGGAAAGACTTGGATAGTCTTGGGTTGGCCCTGACATGGTGGAAAAGGTGCCAAGATAGGCCGAGCTGGAAGGCTGTCATAGAAACGCTGCTGCGACGCACCTAAGCCAACTGTGGCTTGGATAGGCGTGTAATAATAATAATAATATATGTGGTGCAGAAGTCCTTGATAAAGCTGCATGTGCAAGGCACGGCATGGCCGGGATCTGAGCACTGCTGGCAGCGGGGACCAGTCTGGAGGAGCTTGGCTGCCCGAGTTTCCCCTGTTTACTGACACTGGGGGACTTGATCAGGAACTCTGAAGAATAGCCAGTTGCATGACACGAGGATTTGCTATGCAGGCGTGAGGTATTTGCGAGCTGGCTGGCCGCCAACGTGCCCAGCTCTGTTGGTCAGTCTCTGCCGCTACCGCTTGAAGGAGTGCCACCCGCTCCCAAAGTTCCTGGCAGCCCTGTGCCAGCTACGATCATCATTGCCAGGCCCATCGCCCTGGGACGCAGGCTGCTGCAGGGCTAGGCGTGCTGTGTCCATTGCAGAAATAAAGAGCTGTGGCAAGACTATCGATCCAGCTTTGCAAATTTGTGAAGGACAAGTGTTGTTGCTAGCACTGCCTTCCGCTTCCATGTCTAATGTGGGCTGTGAGATGCTGGCTAGAGAAAGATGACATGATCCTGTGAGTGACTGGGCCGTCCAGTGCCCGAGGGCTCTGGGGCTGTGTAGGGTGTTGGCAAGCTGAACAATCGGCATTGTTGGCCTCTGGTGGATGCAAGAAGATTGCAAGAAGACTGCAATAATTGAACTGTTGCCGTGTGATTGGAATAGCTGAGATGTTTGACACTAGACCAGTGACCCATTCAACTTTTGAGTGTACACATGTGCTGAGTGCTGAGTGGGCTCTGAGGCTACCTTCCCAGGACGATTGGACCTGTGAGCTTCCTGTTGTGTGGCAATTGGCACTATTTTCTGCTGATTTGCAACGACATTGTGACTGTTTTTATGGACTCTGATGCCAAAGCGTTGTCAGTGGAAGCCTTTCCTTGATCTGTGGCCCTGGCCGTTGTACTGCCAGCCGTGGTATGCACATTGAATGTCACAGTCCTTGACGCGCCCCTCTGCAAGGTTGCATCACCAGAGCAGTCGGCTTGAAAGTATGTGTGTGGGCTGCATTTAGATTGCCCTACTACTGATACCCTGGTCCCGATGCGTAGAGCCTTCACATGTACCTGAGAGTGGTGCATATCGGTGAGAGCATCGATCAGCCACGCAGTTCCATTCCCCATCAGCCCCTTGCCACAGGACAAGTTTCTTCCCCAGGAGCGTCACTGAACTTGGCTTGGACCCATCGACGTCGGCCAAGATCGCCACCGGTTACTAGTTGCGCTCCCAAGAGAATTTGTCGCTCCCTGCTTTACAGTGGTGTGTGGGCATCATGTGCATTGTCTTGCCTGCATGCATTGTCTCGTTCCTCCTTCGATCTTCAAATATTTTGATCAAGTTGCAGCTTTAAATGCTGCTAGCACCATCATCCATGCACATCCGTGAAGTCCCACACTTGAGCACCCAAATTTTACGGCCCCATCCCACCTGCTTCCTTTGACAACTGGAGCTGTCCAGCAGGATATCCAACAACAACAATATGAAGAAAAGTAATCACAGTCTTATAGCTCGCAGCGCTGCCCACAGCATCACCGTCTCCTCGCAGCCGCGTTCCGCGAGCGACTCCGCCGAAGCCACATGACAATCCACAGCGCGCCCAGCAGCACGCAGATGTTAGTGAAGTCCTGGCGGACCCCCCCGTCGGACCCCCCGCCGGGGCCCCCGCCAGGCCCCCACCCGAAGACCACCCTCGCGCGCAGCCAGCAGAAGGCCAGCAGTGGCGCTGCCCTATGGGCGGAGTCCGGCGCGCGTTCGACAGCGTTCCAGTACAGCTCGAGAGCGCGGCTGGCATTGACGCGGGTGCCGCAGCCGGTCGCGTGCATCCATGCCAGCGCTGTCATGCCCTCTATGTCCCCCCGCTCGGCCGCCTCCTCATACAACACCAGCGCCCTGCTGTGATTCGCGCCCCCCGGGATCCCGTACCTGCATCACAAAATCTCTGCTTGGAGCGGTGCCCACTATTGTCCTGTCCGCTCTGTTATGACATGTGCTCAACCTTACCTGGCGCGGCTCAAGTACATCGGGAACATTTTTATGGAGACATTTCCAGCACGATGTGATCAACAATAGAAAATGTGCCTGCCAGTGCTTTCAGGAATGATCAATCCCTCCGCCAATACAGCAATCTCAGCATCCACAAGCAAATTTCTTGCTGGAACCCACCAGGCACATCAGGTCATAGCATGTAACCAGCATGAGTTCATGAGGACCCCTCTGCACTTTCCGTGCAGGCGAAGGAGCTCGCAATTGGGCTGGATTGAGTCCTGGCTACAGAAGGTGGTAAAAATACAAAACCAGACAACTCTGCGGAGCGTAAACAAGTCTTCTGCAGGCACGGCAGTTTCAAAAGGAGTGGCGCCAAAAGTTTGCGCACCTGTCCCCGTGGAAGATGACTTCAGCGGCGTCGACGAGGCCGTCGCCGTACTGGTGCTCGATGGCGCCCGCGCGCAGCAGCAGGTCCAGCGCCATCGCGTTGGCATCCGCACCCCTGTAGCCGCGGCCGCGCCGCAGCAGGAACGCCGCGTTGTGCATCGCAATTGGACTGCCCTGCTCCGCCGCCATTGCCAGCATTACCAGCGCCTTCCAATGATCCCCTGCCGCCCGTTAGGAATGTTTAAATCCGATTTTTTTTTTGCAGTCCGCCCAATACTGGGGACATGCTCGCCAATTTAGGGAGCCAGGATATGGCCTGCCCACATTAAACCAAACTGCCAGGAAGAAGGGCTGGGGAGCTCGAAACAGCAGGAAATCGACAGATCGATGAATGTTGAGGACAAAATTTGATCAAGCATCGGCGTGCGGACCATCTCTGTGAGTATAAATACTGTTCCACCCAACTATCAGCCACCTTCAGCATGTCTGGAATGCGCCTAGCTCCTCTTGGCAGGGACACTTTGTCGAGATATTTGATGGTAAGAAAATACCATCCGCTCATCATATGGGATCCCTGGCAGTCTAGCGCAAAGAGCTCTCCCGGAGAGCCGCCACAGAGATTCAGAGAGTAGACTGCAACAACAATTGCTGCCAAATTCAGAGTCCAAAGGACTTCACAACCCATTATGGACTCACTGGGAGGGGAAGGCTGTGGCACCTTCGTCGTGAGCCTTCACAGCGGTTTCAATGGTGGCGCTCCAGTCGCTGCGCTCGGCCAGGACCACCCTCATGTACCGCGCCGCCTTGGTGCAGTTCCGTGGCACCCCCAGCCCCGCCTCATGAATCAGCGCCAGCTGTGCGCCAGGTCATCGTGTCAGAGCACAAATTTCTTGCTGGAAGGCTTTTGTAAACAGAGCATTCATGTCTGACCGGAAGCGAATTGGGCAAAATTCACATCCATGCCATTACCAACACGATGTCAGTATTGTTTGTATGATGTTTCCAGGATGCAGGTCAATGAATACAGAAGTATGATCTAGCACCGCCCCAGCCGTTCATACTTTGAGGAGTGTATGTCAGCTAAAGGTTATGCATGGGCCACATGGTTACGTGTAAAGGGAAAGTAAGATGATACCATGTAAGGAGCTTTGTAGTGGTTCCCGGTGTAGGCGCATTGGTACTTCTCCTCCGAAAGTGTCAGATTAATCTTCTCGAGAGCCACACCCTCAAACAGCCCTGCAATTACCCACACATTATCAGACATGAGACGCAAAGGGCAGTCAAGACTTGTTTCGATTTTGAGGCAAGTGTGCATGCATTGCCTTATCCGTACTGCCGATCTCCTCTTTTGACACCCTATTGAATCAGTCTTTTTCAAGGTGATTGGGTTCCATGCCGGGCACAGCGGTCTGCAAGACAAGGCAGCCCAAAGATCTCACCACCGTAGAGGCTGCCCAGGTTGTAGCAAGCATCTGGGTATCCCATGAGCGCCGCTCCTTCATAAAAATCGATGGCTGCAGATGTGTTCCTGGGTGTCCCAAAGCCATGCATGTGCATGTAACCCAGAGCCATGAGACCGGCAGGATCCCCCAATTCAGCGGCTGCTTGATACAGCACCAGGGCCTGCATGCCCACATGACACCCTTTGTTCAAGAGTTGTGCAAGAGCTTGAATTTGCAGTTCTCCATAAGGACTGCCTCAATTACCCACTGAAGGATTGGAAAGGCAAGATGTTCGTGTGACACTTGCCTGCCACTCAGTGCATGGTTTGGAAGAGTCGTCAGCAGACAAAATTACGCAACAACAGTCTGCCCAGGACAAAATACTAAATTCGAGGACTGCCATTTCACCAACTTGTGCTTCTCACCTGCTCATAATTCTGCGGCACCCTGTCGCCATTGACGAGCCAGTTGCCGAGCTCAACCATTGCAAAGGGATCGCCCCCTGCCGCACGCGCCTGCACATTCTGCGGCGCCTCCTGGGGCCCCCTGGGGCCCCCAAGTCCGCCCAGGCCCATCAATCCCAGCGCTCCCAGAATGCCCTCTCCACCCCTGCACAGACAGTGCCACTCGCATTGTCTCTCCCCTACATTTACCATGACTTGGCCATGAGCCCTGCTGTCCATCTGGGCCGTCATTTGCTGACAGTCAAATGGCAGGCCGCCGGGGAGGAGCAAGAGACAGTGAAGTACACGGCAGGGTAGGGGATCTGAGCTGCGGAAGCTGATCGTCTGGGGGTGCATCTTTCTTCCAAGTTTTCTCTCAACTCTTTCTGATTTTCTTCTTCTTTTCTTTCTGCCGCCCAGGACAGTGGTTGCTGCAACATACCGCAGCACTCCATGAATAGTGCAGCGTCAGAGGCGGCCGGCTCACCCTGCTGCATCGTCGAGCTCCGCCGCCTCTGCAGCTCTGTCCCAGAACTTCCATGGGTAGCTGCCGTCCCTCAGCCGATGCCGCAGCAGCGGAGCCTCCATCGGCGGCATCCCCGCGTTCCCGGCCGCCTCTGCCTCTTCCAACAGCACCTCCGCCGCGTTCCTCGCCAGCCTGCATCCCAGGCAAGGCTCCAGTCACCCAGTCCTTGACTTCAACGGGTGACTAAGTTGTTGGTTGGTGGGCCTGCATCCAGACCCAGTGAATACTGGGCTCCAGGGTAGCCAATTGAAAAGAGGCCATGCACCGTAAACTGGTGCACGCCCTGGCGGTGATGCATCAGCGCAAGAGCATCCCACAGAGTTTTCCCTACCCTAGAGGTGGCAGGGAGTACTGTATCAACGGGAGATTCTGTAGGTAAGGTACATGCACAGTGTAGTAGCACCTCTGGAGGCGGCAAGGGAAGGGTTAAAAAACGGACCGCATGCCCTCGGTGCAGTTCTGCGCGACGCCGCGGCCGTGGAAGTACCGGTCGGCAAGCGCCATTTGGGCTCCGAGGTCCGTGGCTTCCATCGCCTGCCTCAGCGCATGCACTGCAAAGGCGTTGTCGCGGTGCACCAGCGGAGAGGCAACGCCGCTGGACGCCAGCGCTGCCAGCAGGAAGGCGGCCATTCCGCTGCGCAGCAGCGTGTCCTCGGATGTGTCATTGGCCCAGCCTGCTCCTGCCCAGCCATCCTCCACCCGCAATGCAGCCTGTTCCATCAAGCTTAGCTTCAGAATTAGGAGCTCCTTCAGCCCATGCATTCCTGAGTCTGGCTGGATTGTAATGTCCTAGAGGCAAAGTAATTGATAGTGGGGACTACCTACGTGGATCACAATCACGCAAACTTGTTTCAAATCACCGCTTGGGACTACTCAATTTTCAGCATCCACGTGCAGGAGCTGTTTCTGCAATTTGTGCACCCCTGTCTTTCTCCTGTCTGCCTTGCCGTGACTCATTGTGTGTTTCTCAGAAGACCGAGCCAGGCATTATCAATCTTCTGTCAATAAGATATACAGGGACAGTGAGTGCGATAGAGAGCATGCCTGGTCCCTCCTGTGCCCATGCAGCCAAATATCACCAGGTCCCAGGAAGTCGTCTAGCTCCCTGAACACCGCTAGGAGCTCCTGCACACCTGCATCGCATCGAGAAATACATTTCATTTTCTCCTCTATCAGCATTATCAATGGTGAGGAGACCAAATCTCTTTCTTGGTGGCAGAGAGGAGGCAGCCTCACTGGAGTTGATGTCCCTTTTGTCCTTATCAAAGAAGAGCCTATCTTCCAAATTGAGATATACGGGACTTCCTCGATCAACAGCAAGCTTGTCTGAATTTGGTTCAGCTAAAGGTAAATCCAGAGCAGTGCGAAGCTTCAAGGATGCACTGATGCTCTGCGCCAGATCGAGGCTATTGCGTTGAGCTTTTGTTGGCGAGGAAGTGCTTAAAAGAATCAAGAAGCTAGCCAGTAATCTGCTACAGCTCCTCAGATGCTGCCACTCAGCGGTAACGGCTTTCGACATCTGATGGATAAATCATCCCTGAACTATGTACTCAAAAGAATGTTCATGGTATTGGGATTTGATAAAGATCACCCTTTAATTTCGAAATATTTATTTTCCAAGAATGATCGCAACCGTGATGGGGATGCGGATGCGTATACGCATCACTCGCCGAGGCAGGGCTGAACAGGACAACCAGCTTCCTTCGTTTCATGTTTCATTTCTTTGAGACTTCTGTGTTGATTCCTGGAGTGTGTGCTGACCAAAGTAAGCAAAATGTCTAGCACGGGCCTGTCGCAGAGGCTAGCAAAGTTCAAGCAGAATTTCTCGCAGATCCTCGGTCCCAAACGCCAGGGTTATTCAGAGGTTGGCCTGAATCAGCCATTGGTATCATCTCACGCCCAGAGTGATGATGAGTACTTTCAAAAGCATGGCGTGCTTCGACCGGGCAGTAGGCCTCCAGCAGGTGACCAATATCAGGTTCCAGGAGAAGCATATGCTGGTCCTGGGCAGAACGCTGACATGGCATACGCAGCCAGCGCCTCCACCGCCATACCTGATGAGGTACAAACCGTCTTATTGCTTGCTCGGGAGGAATTATCGGATTGTGCTGAGCGTCGCAACTTTAGGGTCTAGCATCGGATCTTTGGCGATCATGCGCCTCAAACTCGCCATAGCCATGATCGGCATCGCTATGTGGTGATAATTTCATGGCTACTATGCCAAGACGTTTTGTGGGATGGGATGTTTTTGACAGACCTTGGTGACATTGTCTTGAGGAGCTGCTTTCGAAGCACGCTTTACGGAAATAGTGAATGTATAGGTTGGATGCAGTATCTGCTGATATAAAGCCAGAAAGTGCATTTCTCCACCACGGTTGGTATGGCTAGAGCTGATAGTGAAAGTAGATGGTATGCCTGTGACAGGCAGATGAGCTCAGGGCACTAGCAGGCCTGGCACGCGACGCTGGAGAGATCCTGTTTGAGATGGCAGCCATGCATGATGAGACGGAGGCAGCACAGGACATGCTGGAGAAGTCCCAACAGCTGGAGGTGAGCGTTTATTCCTGCATGCATTGTGACTCATAGCGATGCCTTAAATTCCATGCGGATGTGGGCTTCCTGGTGTTGGCAATGGCAACCCCATGTCGCACACACATTTGCTCAGACGCCAGCCATCGCTGACCACATGTTGATGAGTCACATTCCTTGTTCAGGCGCAACTGCGCGGTATGATTGGGGACTTCAAGGGAGGCGATGAGACGGCCGTGGCCCAGGCATTGGAAGCCTTCGACATCTTGGACATTTCTTTGACCGAGTACAAGACGGCTGTCAAGGGCGAGACGCCGTCAGACCCCACAGCACAGGCCGCCAATCAGCAGCCGCCTGCAGCTTCCAATCCCTTCCAGGTGAGCAGCCACCCGGTAGCTGCATGCGTTGAGGGAGAGTACTTAGCTGTGTGCTTTGGCGGACACAGCTTTTCCTCAGCATACAGGTGCCTGGCAGGCCAGTGTGTTTGCGCTGCTGCAAGGACACCTGCTATCAAACAGCCTGAAGGGGGTTGCACGTTCCTCGAATTGCCAGATGTACCCCTCATTCAGTTCTGACCCCACGATTCTGTGCAGGCCAACCCATTTGGAGGCGCCAGCACTGCTCCCATAATAACAGCTCCCGGCCAGAAACCCAAAGCCGATGAGGAGCCTCCTCTGATCAGCTTTGACTGATGAGACCAGCCGCTATTTTTTCTCTGATGTCCCCAAAGTGACATCGCTGTTCTTGCGTCCTCAGCAGCTGGCCAGTCCATGGAGTGCAAAGTTTCTCCATCAGGATCTGAGCGTCTGGCAGTCCAATTGTACGAGTGTTTCTTGTGGTTTGGCGCCGGACTTGTTTTGCTGGTGGTTGTGCACTGTGATAGACGGCTTGGCTGTATACTCAAGGAATGCTGCAGGAAGCATGGATTAGGTGTGCATGCAATCGTTGTGTGATTGAGCCCAACCCAAAAGTGCTGTTAATCTTTTGAAAAGCCTGTACATGTTGGAGAAGAAACTGTTGCTGATGGGATGTCGGAATCGTTGGACAGTGGGGTTTCAGGCAAAGGTCTGTCCAACAAAGTGCCTTGTGCAAAGCAGTCTTTCTAGAGATGAATTTGCAGCCAGTGCATGCAGTGCAGTTTTGCCACATTGCCATTGGTACCGAGGACCTCATTTGCCATACAGGGGCAGCCATTGCAGGGTCTTGCAACGGTGGGCAATTGCAAAATCGGTCTTATATGTAAGAACGGCAAATGCCTGTGCACTGCATTCTAGCTTCATGGTCTTGAATGTCTACGGAATTTGTTGCGTAGCGGACGAGTGCGCAGCTTGTCACACACTCCAAAACAGACCTCCAGACATGCAACTCGCCATGTGGTGTGACAATCACACATCATTGCATTGCATCTAGAATATCCTGCACAGGATGCACCTTATGGGAGGGGCTACTGCCACTGGCAGTAGGATTCCTGAAATTCATTTCCTACTGTAGGAAATGAATTTCAGTCAATGGCAAACTGCAATCTTCCTAGGGGGTGGATTATTTGCAGATTATCAATTCATCCTTTCGGTGCTGAATGGGGCAAGCCCGCTAGATGCTGATCTTGTTGTTTCAATACAAGGACGAGATCCGATTCAATGCTCTTTAGCCTGCATTGCCACATGTGCACAACACTGTCAAAAGGCTCGAACATTTGAATGCAGTTTGCTCCAAACTGGTTCAAGCAATCATCAGCAGACGCTACCCAGGTTGTGCCATCAGACGCCAAAGCTGGACATGGGCTGATGGACAAGGGCACTACATATTTGGATGTTACATCAACCGGTGCTGAACAAAGGTGCACAGGCCATCAGACACGACAGAGGTCGCCTACAGGGGCGGTGTGCAAGGTCTATGGCCGGTTGAGGCTCACCGATTCAGCTTGTTGCGCAGGTCATGCAGTCGCTCAACTGCACTGCTTAATGCTGCTTGCTGCTCCTGTACACATGTTCCACACTGCATGATCACCAGCTGCAAGTGCCTGTCAATCTTACATAAAAACCCCCAAGATATCCGGGCACAGGATCGCACTTTGAGCATACCTGCTTGCAGTCCAGGACACGGTTGCGCAGATTCAAGGCGGACAGTCTATGTTGGGCCACAACCTGGAGACTGGGACCAGTCCAAAATCAGCTTTAACCCAGCCGAAGGTAAAGGAGCCTTGCAATATTTGCAATTCGTGGCAGCTGGAATTCGTTCAAGACCATTAGTCGAGATCTCACCTGCTGGTTAGTCTGCAAAATTGGTCTAGAAAGTGTCTGTAGACTCTCCAATGTTCTCAAGAATCCATCACATGCCTTTGACAGTTCCTCGCTCCTGTCCACCCAGTCTTGTTGAAGCAAGCGGATTCGGCCTTCCTGCAAGTTAATGAGTGTCATCTTGACTTGCATGAGGGACTGAGAGGTAGGCAATACAAGGTGGTGATGGTTCTAGTTCGGCTATTTCTCGACGTTCTCGACCCGGCCACACAAGTGGTGCCCCACGTTTTGTCGCAGGTATAGACACGGAGATCTTACCTCGGCCAGCATGACATCTCGCAGCATGTGATGCTGCAGCAGCATGCAGCGGTTTTCAAGGGCGCCACTCAATGGCTCGGTGAAACGCCAGCAAGAGAGGGTGTAGCATGTAGCCAAGGGCACATGGCTACATGGGATCTTGTTTGAATAGACTAGACATCATTTGGGTGAGGAGATGCTACGAAAAGATCAATACATAGCATTTAGGCAGTCCCTGAACGACCCACAGCCTGGCACATCGGCCCTGGGAAGCTATGCTTTTGAGAACTCGTATTTGTCAGTGGGTAAACCTTGTCTCAATGGTCATAGGAGGCAAAAGATTCAATTTTGCGCTGTTAGCGACCGATGCATCCATCTGCCCTGAAACTGGAGTCACCTAAAAGTGCATAGCGCCTCGCGTGGAGCAGAGAATGAGCACAGTTTCGCGTCATCTTCTCTTTTCAGCGAGCAAAACGCGTTAGTAACCGGTAAAGTCTTTACAGCAGTGGCAGCACCAATTTCTGGTGTGCACTTGGTGTGAGATTGTCTTTCGAGTCGACATTACTGGTGATAACAGACCTCTTCTGCACTGTCACGGCCCAAAGAAGGCCTCCCGAACCAAGACTTGCCGAGATTCGCCGTTGGTGTAGAATAGCTTCCCGAACGCGCCGCACCTGCATGTGAGCCGGCTATTTCTCCCATTTTACAGCGGAGACCGTGCAGAGCTTGTAGTCTCAGCGGACGTGCCCCTGATCTGTAGGGTCATAGCAAGCCGCCCGTCCACCATCGCGGGACATGCACCTCTCTGCTTTCTTCCGCCGGTGAGGGTGTTGTAAGTCTTGGATACCGATAATGGGAATATAGAGCTATAATTTGCAAAAGCTAGCGCATGCTTTTCCCTGCATGCTGTGTAGCTTGCATGGCAGACTTTCGATGGGATGGTGCTGAGAGTCAGACCGACCCGGAGACAAGCGAGGGAACTTGCATCTAGTTGTCTTGCGCGATTGGCAAGGTGTTACTGCATTGACAGCCGCTTTCTGGGTCTTTATACGGGGCTTTGCTGGCGATACCGAAATTTTAACTCGAGGGATGGCGTCATCCTGGGCACCCATCCTTGTTCAGAGGGTACACTGAGTTTTAGTCACGTCACTTGATGATGTCAGAGATGGAAATTTAGTGTTGGGACACACAAAATGCTTCAGGGTCACCTTGCAATTATCCTGAGAAGGGCGCACACAACGCGTTTTCAAGCTGATCCTGGTTCTGAACTTGGAAAAAAACAGTATTGCACTGTATCTCTGTTGCGTCAACTCACCAAAATGTACTGCTTGCAGGGATCTGGACGGAATTTGTTCTTATTAAGGGCCCTGGATGCCCACAGGCCCTCCCTCACGCAGTGAGGGCAGTCACCTGGCATGGTGATCCCCGGCAACCAGCCCGAAGCCACCGATGAGCTCAGCGATCGCATCCCAAATGCGGCTGATGCCGGTGCGCAGGCTGTGCTGTCATTTCCTGCCCAACAGCTTGCTGCACCTGTTCTTCTCATGCAGCTGAGCAAGATGTGCATGCCTGCGCATGCATGATACTGGTGATGTGCTGCTTTTGCTCCTGCTTGCACTCACTGCCTTGCTTGGGTGTGCACATGCAGACGGTGACAATGAAGAGCTTTACGAATTCTTCCCTGACCATTCCGTGGAGAGCCTGTGCAACCTGTTTGAGCGCATGGGTGGTGGTCAGGAAGGAGACAGTGCACCCAAAGCACTCATAACTGTCACCCAGCTTGCACAGAGCCAATCTGCTAAGCTGTCTGCCAAGGTGAGCTTTGCCTTTTCTCTGGCAAGTCTGGCATCACATGCATTACTTGGTTCTGTCTCGGACGTTAGGGGTCCGGCATGAGTTCCTGGATCCTGGGCAAGAAGGTCAAGCAATAGAGGGGCCCACTGACACGCTGCTTGCTGCTCGTGCCCTCCATAGTCAGCAGGTCAAGGCTGGCTGCTGAGGGTCCATTTCATTGACATGTCGCATGTTGGTACTGGCAGGGGCTGTTCAGTACGGCGATGGAATTGTTGCGTGCGGAATTTCGCCTGGGGATGCTACCGATTTTGGATGTCCTGATGCGCGAAATTGCCGAGCGGGAGGTTTACATCAAGGCTCACGGCCACCTTGAACCGCCGGGACGCAACGACCATAAGTGGCTGTGTTTAGCGCATTTGTGCGAGGTGGCCGCAGCGTGCGCGAATGCTCGATATCACCCGGGCGAGGAGCTGCTGCAATCCGTGTGTACTGCGGCCCTTCCACACGCGTCGCACCTCTCTACAGAGGCACGCCACCCACAACCGCTGAAATTGCTTTGTCTTGAATTGTGCGGCTACGAAGACTGCGTCGGGGATACCACTGTGAGCACGGATTATGTTAATGTCTTGAGGTGATGCAAAGAGGTGTGCTGACGGAGTCGCGTAGATCAGGGAACCTCCTGTGCGATGGAGGCATGCCAATTGAATGATAATAAGGGGCAACAATGCTGAGGCTGGTGTGTGGGGTGTTCTGTGCAGTCTCTGGTCCAGACCGCGTGGTCCATGGCAAGGCTGGGCTACGAGGCAGCTGTGCCCTTGATAAGGAGTCTCATGTTGCGCGCCAGCAGCACGGTAGAGCAGGTGCATATCTGCGGCCATCTTTGAGGCACTGAGATCACAACAGTGACACGAACCCGTCGTTTCAGCACCCTTATAATATCACATGGCTGAGAGCAGGACTGAGATGGAAGTGTGTGGAAGAGGTAGTTTGCTCGCGGCAGTTCCGACAGTAGCGTTTAGCAGCAGCGGTGTGGTGACAGGGCAAGAAGGGCTCCGGTACAAGAAAGATTGGAGAATAGCAGCCTTGGGAGTACAAAGACTGGAAGGGTTAGCATAGAAAGGCACTTTTCGCTTAGAGAGTTACGGCGTGCTGCGCAGTTGACGCCCATGGACAGGGCGCAGCTGTTCTGGGCGGCAGTAGTGCTCGATGTGGTGACCCCGTCTATGCTGGAGGACTTGGGCCATCTGCTGGAGGGGCTGCAGAGCCAGGATTTCGGCAGCGACTGGCAGGCCCGGCTGTTCCAGGCCCACATGGCCCTCGAGCGGGATGGGAGGTACAGACAAGCGTGGCAGCAGAAAGGTATTTTGGCGCTGCTGCCGGGGGAGCTCCTGGCGCAAGCTGAGGCTGCCTGGCGCTGCGCTCTTGCGGACACCGCCGAGACGCAGGTGCGTGGTACTGTGGATTTCATTATAAACCCGCACCTCCGTCGGTGCAGGAAACTTTTCAAAGCAACTTTCAGGGGTCTGCCTGACTCCAAAAATACCGAGGTCATGCTCCAATGGATTGGGCTTGTCGAGAGCTTTCCGAATCTCATCTCAAAAATTATCGTAAAGTTCATATTTTAGGAGATATGGTCTTATTGGTCCACCCTTTTTACCAAATCTAATTATATATTGCGGGTTTCAGAATGAGTACTACGGTATAGCAACCCCGCAACTTGCACATTGTCACGTCCCTTCGCATGCAAGGGCACCCTTTTCCAAGCTCCAAGAGCCACAAGTGCTTGCAAAGAGCAGGGCGTGCCAGATATGGAGATGTGTCTTGCCATCCAGCGGCGGCCGAGACCAAGCAGATGCGCTCTGCGGAAGGCAAATGCGCTCATTACTGGGAGCAGAAACACTCACAGAATGGTTGCATCCATCACCTCGAGAGGCATTCGACCCACCGCATCGATTTGAAGGCGTTCTCTCTTTGTATGATTGATGGCTGCAGTCTGGTTATTGGTGGGCATCTGTTAAAATTCCGGTTGTGGCTATTTTGCAGGCACAGCAAGAGGCCAGCGCAGCGCTGACAGAGCTGGGCCTCAGCCATGCAGCAGCCGTAGTCACAGAAGGCGGCCTCCTGAAGCCGGATGTAATCGTCATGACCCCCTCTGGCCGCGTTGCGCTCACCCTTGAGCAGCCCTCCGCATTCTCCATAAACACCCCTTACCGCCCTCTGGGAGATGCCATCTTGAATAGGCGCCTGCTCGAACTCAACGGCTGGAAGGCAAGCGCAGCCCCTTTTGTTTTTGTGACACACTTCCACACTGCTTGGGGTGGTTGACATGCACTTTTAATTGCGCATTGTTGCAACCTGCGAATGGCTTATGACTCATGGCTCCAATGTGTCCTGTCACTTGCGCACTGTTGCACCCTGCTCTGCAGACATCCATGTTGCAAGGCAAACAGTGGGTCTGGCTGCTCGCCGCTTCTCTTGGTCATTGGATTTGCATGGAGCATGCAGTGATGATTTTTGGGTGTGGCACAGGTGGTGAGCATTCCCTTCTACCAGTGGCAAAATCTTGGGACGCTGGAGGCCCGAGTGGCTCACCTGCGCGAACTCCTCCTTCCTGCATCAGCGGGTCCCCCACCAAGGGCACCTGTCTCTGACAGAAGCGCATCCGCCACGGTGACACGCGGTGATGCCTCCCTCCTCCATCAGCACTAGCAATGCAGTTGTCAGCTTTCATGCACTGGCTTGTGATGGCCCGTAGCGCCTTGTTGGTTCACAGGTGTATCAAGCCATCACATGCCATGATCTTACGTATGAATATTGTAATTCTGGTTTACTTCATGCATAATGTTTTTGATTACTGGCTGGTATTATCACATAGTGCAGAAGTCGTGCGATTTTTCTGAGGTTGCTTGCCGTTATGATGTGTGCAGAGGCGCTAAGGGGCATGCAGAGCGGAGGAGCAGCAGAAGCCTTGCGGTCTGATCCCGGGTTGCCGGCCGCGCGCCAGCGCAGCCTGTCCTCGACCAACCTGGGCTTGCTGGGGGCCGCGTCCCCCGGCGGCGAAGCCCCCACCACCTGGGGTCATTCAGCACCCCCCCTGGCCGGGGGGACCCTTGGCCGGCAGTGGTCCCTGGACAATGCCGCACTCCGTCAGACCCACACCCCCACCCTTGTGAGCCAGCTGCTTGCCGCACAGCAGGTCAGCACCCTCTCTAGAAGCTCCCGCTTCTGACATGTATTGTAGATTAATTTCCATTGGGGGTCCAATGAAACTCCATTGATGGAGAAGTGTCGCCCTCGACTGTCAAGATGTGCCAGGGTAGCATGGGTAAAAAGGATTGATGTCGAGGTGGGTGCGTCACAGGCTGCAGACGGGCCTTGTGGCTCACCAGTCGGGTTGCAGGGTCATCTGATGTTCTGCATTTTTTATAATTTTCCTCTTGTGTGCAGGGCCCCAACCCCTTCAGCAGGCAGGCCGGTGCAGCAGAGCAGCAGCTGCTGCAGCAACAGGAGAACGTCCGCGCAGGGCACCTGTCGGACCCGGGCGGTTTGCGGCCGTCGCAGGCGGCGGCGCAGCTTCCGAGCAGCTTCCTGCCGCGGCCGCCCAGTATGCACCCCACCTACAGCGCGGGCGGCGGCAGCTCCAACCCATCCGACGTGTCCACCACGCTCACCACGCTGTCCAGCGAAGGCTCCCGCACCGCGCCGCCGCCTTGGCATGCTCGCCACGCCTCTGACACCCTTACCACCACCAGCGGTGAGAGCGCGCGCACCACCGAGCCGCTGCCTTGGAGTGCCGGTGATGCCGGGGGCTTTGGCAGTGGTGGCAGCGGTGGAGCGGTTGGGGACTTCGGCAGGTCCGCTGAGGGTGTAGTAGCGCATCTGCGAAGAGGCGACTCGGGAATCTCGCAAGGCGCCTTGCAGCAGGCTGCAGCCGGGTCGGATGTGCTGCCGGAGGGCAGGAATTTGACCGTGCCGGAGCTCGCCGCCAGGCAGGGCCCATCCTCTCTTTCTTTAGCTGCCCCGTGCATATTGTTTTCCACAAAAGGCTATGAGCCTTTAAGATTTAGAAAGGCTGTTTGATCATCACGCATGGTCATTGTGAAGATAATCTGCAGATGGCCCTGTTGATAAACATAACTAAATTGTCATGTGATGTACTGCGCAGGCTTGCGGCGCTGAGCAGGGGCGAGGGGCCGGGAATGGCGCACTCATTGGCCGTGTCCATGTCGATCTCCCAGCCCAGCGATACGCAGTACCCCGAGATGTCACCGCATCCCGCCGAAGCCGCCGCGGCGCTGCGGCTGCCGCAGGCCGGGATGCACCCCCCGCTGCATGGGGTCCCCCCGGGCCTGGAAGAGCAGCTGCTGGCCACAGGGGTGTACGTGGGTGTGGGGGATCCCCATGCGTTGATGAGGGCCCCGCCGCCGATCATCTCCCCGGCCGGGGGGCCCGGCGCGATGCCGCTGAGCGCGCAGCAGCATGCGGCGCTGAGTCAGATCCTGACGCCCGGCTCGAGGGGCACCAGCCTGGGCTCTCTGGGGCCGCACGATAGCGCCACAGACCTGCGCCAGCTCTGGCAGGCCGTTGCTGGGCTCGATCCGGGACAGCCTCCCAGCCAGCTCCCACAGGCACGCCTCTGTCCATGCACTCTCATCATCTGTTCATGACACCATTTTGACCCCCTACGTTCTCCTGAGAGACATGCAGGACATTCACAGCGACTATCAAGCAGCCCGCAATGGTTTTTGCAAGCTTTAGAGTATGTGTGCAGCAGCAAGAGTACATTTCATTCCCTGTCGGGGAGGTCTCTGGATGAGAGCTTATAAAGTTTACCGAGGCTTTCTCTTCTTGTGCAGGAGGCGGCGAATCCGGCGGAGCTGAAGCGCATCATAGAGGGTCTGCCCCTGGAGACGAGCGCCGTGGCGGCTGTGGAATGGCGCCTTGGCCAGCTGGACCCCCCGCAGTTTGCTGCGCTCCTCACCGAGCTAGCACGCGACAACCATGCCTTCAGGTGTGTGGGTCGCATGTTGTTCTCCTGGGCCTCACACTTGCTTTCCCTACACACCAGATAAAAGGGGCATTGCGCACTTGGACTCGGTGACAAGGATGAGAAGTGGAAGACTCAGTGTGCAGCTCCACTACCATCTGGTGCGCAGGAAGTGCCGCAGCTTTACTTGCTTCCACATTGCTTAGGTCCTGCCTGCACAAGATGCGCTAGCCATGTGCTGCATGGACGTACTAGACATAAATCCTCCTAGTGTACTGTAATACGTTAGTGTCTCAGGTAGCTATGCCGATGTCTCGAGGACGGGACGGATGCTACACACCACATGTTATGCAGCACTTCCACAGCCCTTGGTACATCGGCAGAGCTGCCAGGACGGGGGCCTGGTCTTGCCATGCCTGCCACTCTTGGATCTTTGGATCTTACGCAGACAGGATCAGGGGGATATCACCTCACCTTCAATTGGCCAGGGCGCCCACAACTTTCACATGGGTGTAAATTCACGCTTGTAGTAGACTCACACGGCGTGTGTGTCCAGGGCGTGGCAGCTGTTTGACTGGGTGCGAGCGCTGCCGGAGGGCCACGCGCTGCGGCGGCTGTGCGACGCTGACACGTACACCACCATGATCACGCTCTGTGGCCCCTGGCAGCAGCTGCGCCGTGCACTCCAGCTCGTCGCTGAGATGCGCGCGCGCTCCCTCGAATGCGGTGCCCAGGTTTGAACACTTCCCTTTCATCCATCGCAACCACCTGCATGCATGCTGTCAAGTGGGTTATTTTATAGTTTCAAGATTTAGCAGCAATATGACTAGTCAGTCATAAGTTCCGCTGTGTTGAGCAATGCATGCTGAGGCTTCGGCCCCTTTCCACCGGAGCAATTTCACGCTAGGCAGGACTCCTCGCTTTCTGCGGCTTTTCCCTTTCTCCTCCCAGGCAGGAGATGGGCATTGGGAAGACTTCATTGCATCTATAAATTGCTTGAAATGGCGCTGCACCTGCCAGGTAATTGACATATTTGACGGTGTTAAAACAGGCGTATAGCGCGCTGCTGCATGCGGCGGTGAAGTGCGGGGAGACAGATCTGGCGGTGGACATTTACGGACAGATGGGGAGGGAGGGAATGCCGCGCGACCGCTCCATCTTCGTGGCGCTCATCGAGATGTTTGTCAAGCTCGGCCGCGTCCCAGACGCACTCTCAGCGCTGGCCGATCTGCATGCGCTGGGCGAGCCCCCCGACACCCACCTCTACAATCTCGTCCTCGTCGCCGCCACCAAAATGGGTCCCCCGCGCTTTGCGCTCACGGTATACCACAGGTGTGTTACGCCCCCGAGCTGCTCCTCTCTCTTGTTAGCATGGGCAAGGTATGGCTCTCATTTGGGCGGTTGCATTTGTCACCTTGAATCCGGATTGACAACATCAAGAGGGCTGGACAGCCAGCCAGCAATCTGAGTATTAAGTAGGCATCTTGACGTGCTCCTGGATACAATTTCATAACCAGCAAGGCTCCCTTGCGTAATCACAAACTATGTGCCCCGCAATAGAGCCTCCTTGGTCCCTGCATGCACCGCTGATCCTTGTGGCTTTACATGCAGGATGGTGACGGACGGCGCGCAGCCCAACACGAAGACGTTCACGGCGCTGATCGGCTCCTTTGGGAAGCCCGGCAGCGTGGCAGCAGCGCTGGAGGTGATTGAGCAGCTGCTCAGCCACGAGCCAGGCGGCGTGGGGTCGGCCGCCACCTACGCGGCGCTGATGGCCGCCTGCGAGAAGGCCGGGCAGGGCGACCTTGCACTCGCTCTCTTCGAAAAGATGGCCGCGCAGGCACGCCCCTACATGCGTGCTTTTGGGCTTCATGACCAGCCAGCCGTTCTTGCAAAAGTTGTGTGTACATTCTGTGGCAACAGTAGAGCTGTTGCTGCTCTTGAGACTGCTGCCCGGCTGGTTGTACTGGGGTGCGAGAGGCGGGTAAATCATGAGCCCAGGTGCATGTAATTTGGCTCTTCAGAGATCCTAATGGATGAAGGGGAGAGATAAAGACAGAGCAAGATGATGCACAGTCACTCGTCTGGGAGGTGACTGGCTTGATGTTAATTGGTGCGGTGCAGAATGTGCGGGCGGATGTGGGGATCTTCAACAGCATGATTGCGGCGTGCGCGCATGGGGGTGAGTACGCGAAGGCGCGCCACATGTTTGCAAGCATGGCCGAGGCCGGCTGCGAGCCGGACGCCGTCACCTACGCCAACCTCATCCGCGCCTTCAAGAAGGGTGGCCAGTGGTGCGCACCCTTCCACATACTGTTCTTTGCACATTTCCCAAGGGTCCTCCTCTTATTTTTTTTTTCACTACCCTTGAAACCAAGTTGCGTCTGATATACTGGTTTGTTGTCTAGCGCCCACTCTTTGGGCACTTCAGGCGCACCTACAAATGCCTTTGCATGGATTCTCTTGCCTTCCTTATTCCACCAGCCTCGTCCGATTGTGTGTTGGAGAGGCCGCAAGCTTCAGATAGATGAGCGCAACAAATTGGGCAGATCCTGGGGACTCCCAGTGGCATTTTCAGTCCTTAGCCCTGCATGACCTGCCTTGCTGATGTAAGCGTGTGCCATGCAGGTGCGCGGCGGTGGACACTTTTGAGGCAATGCTGCGGTCGGGTTCGCGGCCGCACGCTGCAGTCTACTCCTCCATCATCGACGTCCTGTGGCAGACCGGCATCCCCTGGGCCCAGGCCAAGGCCCTGCACCTCTTCAACTCCGCCGTCCAGTGGGCCCCTCTCCCACGTCACTCCCCTACTTGTTGCCTATATCGAATATTGTCAGCAGCTGCTGCAGCTCTACTGGCCCCGACGTTCCTCTGAAAAATTCATACATGGATGTCATTGAGTACTGGCTAAGTGGAACCCACACATCCACAGGTCTCATATGCAAATGCTGGATCTGTGCTGCACGGGTGCTCGAGTTCCTCTGAGGCAGCGGTACAAGGTCCTGGTTCATTGGAAGCCTAATCTATTCTCTGTGAAGGTTTTATTGTAGCAGATGCATTGTCATGGAGGATATGGAGTGCAGGACGGTTGACAGAGCAGTCTAGTAATTTTTCCATATGCAGGAGGTTTTGGCTATCTCAGAACTCACTTCATTGTTGCAGGAACGGGTCGCTGCCGGCTGCGGCAGAGAGCTGCAAGAAGGGGACATTGAAGCTGGACCTGCAGTCGCTGACGGTGGGCGTGGCAGTCGTGTCCATGGGCGCCTGGCTGCTGTCCGCGCGCGCGGCGCTGCTGCAGGACACTCCCACCTCCCTCGACGCAGCGCGCAAGCTCGCCGTCGTCAACGGCCTCGGCGAGCACAGCCGCGCCCAGGTGCGTGGCTTTGCTCTCATGTCTGCGTCCTTGCGTGCAATTTAATGCTTAAAAGACATGCAACGAGGCAGGGAAGGGGCCGGGCCCCGTGGGATGGAGCAGTGGCCTCTCGACGTGACTAGAGATCACGTCCTGCTCCATTTTGCGATCCCGGCCCTTGTCTGCCTTTTGACCTGTTGGTGGAATAGCGTGCGCGCTGCAAAACACAAAGCGTTGCTCTTCTGTCAGGGAACAAACCTGTGCCTTCGTCAATCTGGTATCTTCTGTAAAGGGAGGGGCCCGGCAGCTGGCAGTACTTCATGGCAATCCTAGTCTTGACCGGCACGTCTACTTCTGTTGTGGCTCTTGAGTCATATCTAATGAACATCTCCTGGCTCACTTTGCTGGCATTGCGGTTGCCTACAGTGTGTGGCTGTAAGAGCTGCGGCGGACTTTTGCTGTCGGCCAGGATCAGTATTGTCACGGCATAGCTGTCCTTGGGTGCTGTTTGGAGCTGTCTCTTGGAAGCTTGCTTGGTATCTTTTACCCTACCTCACCCACGTTTCTACAGAGCTCAGCAAGTTTGGGATCCATTGACAGCATGGAAGAATCCAACTGTGACAACCGTGAAGGAGAAATGATTAGGAATATGTACTCTTTACAGGGGCACAGCGCGGCGGTGAAGGAGGCGGTGAGTGCGAGCCTGCTGGGCTGCAAAGCGCCCTTCCGTCTGGTCCAGGACCATTCGCGTTCGGGCCGCCTGGAGGCCTCCACGCTCGCCCTGCGCAAGTGGCTCTTCTCTGACCAGTTCGACCGCTACCTCTCCCTCGTCCAGGTCATCCCCTCATAATTTCCTTACTTTGGTTGCAGCAACATTGCCACGCCCATCTGCAGAAAGCTGTGTGAGAGGTGAGGGAGCAAAGCCCTGCAATTATAGCCTCTCGTACTGGCGGGTTCTTTGTTAGTCAGGCCCTGTGGGCACAGGGCGCTCATCTGCATGCCAAAGAACTGCTCAATGTCTCTATCAAAAAAGAGTTCAAGGCAGAGTTCTGAGATTGTGGGTGATTGCTGCAGGCTGGCCCGGCGGAGATTGCGCCGGAGGCGCTGCAGCCGACAGCGGAGTACATGGCGCACGAGGAGGCTGAGAAGGCGCGCACCGCCGACCTGTGGGGGCGCGTCGTCGACTATGAGGCAATGCACCCCATCTCCCTCAAGGCACGCTCCAGCCCCTTCCCTGCTCTCTAATCACGTTCACGCCGGCATGATTGCTGTCCTTTGCTCTCTCCTGTGGCCGCGCTGCCCTGTAGGGCTGCAGTTGGCATGTCTTGGAAACGCATGCTGCTGACAAAGGGGGAATAGCGTCACACAAGACGTGCACTTCAAAGGAAGCTCGCGCAGAGTGCGTGCGTTTTGCTGGCTGAGAACTTGCACCGAGTGTGTGCTGTGGGGGCTGTCTTGTAAAGGATCACGGCACATGCGCGCAGGTGCTGCACGCGAATTCGGGGGCGTACCTGCAGCAGCGCAAGGGCCTGGTGGCGGCGGTGGTGCACTACGCGTCGGCGCTGCGCGTGCCGCAGGAGGTGGCGCACAGCGCGGTGACGCTGATGGACCGAGTCATGATGAGCGGCGTGCACATGACGGACCAGTTCCAGACGCTCTTCATCTGCTCCTGCCTGCGCCTGGCCGCCCTCCACGAAAACGCCGCGCTGCCCTCCGGCCTCGCCGTCTCCTCCCTCACCGACTTCCCCGGTGCGCTCCTGCCACTCGCTTCCTCTGCTGATCACCAGTCGGGGCTAATACTTATGACCTGTGTTACAGCCAGTATCTGCATTGCTTGGCTTGGAATTGGCAGTCCTGCCAGCACCGGCTGCTGCCACTGGGGCCTTGTATAGGGATCTCAGCTTCCTTATTAAAACAAAACTATAGTGCTCTATGGAAACGTTCGTCAAGGATTATATACCTGTAAAGAAGCACAAAGGGATTCAGAGTCCCTCTGTATGAGCAGCTCTGACTGGGGGGGGATGCAAACTGCAGAGACGGCGCTGGAGCGGATGGAGTCCAACATCAGCGCGGTGCTGCGCAACGACATGGAGTGCATCGCCGCGGTGCACTGCCTTAAGGTCTACTGCCAGCGCCTGGGCTGCGACCTGGCAGACGGAGACGCAGTGCGCCGAGCCGTCGGCTGCGCATTCGCGCTCGCCACCGAGGCGCTGGCCGACATGGCCGTCCTGCAGTTCCCTCCGTCCCTCACCGCCGCCGCCATCCTCGTCGCAGCACGCCGCGCGCAGGTTCGGTCCGATGTGTCTCTTCTTTGCTTGCCATTGTCTTTGTGAGTGGGAGGATTCATTCGTGGAGTGCCCCTTTCACATCTTTTATACCCATAGCAGAGTCTGGGGAGCATCTTGCGCAACTCAAGCCTCCTTTGTCGCAGGCCTGCGTTGTACTATTATAGTAAAACTTCAATCCACAGCGCAGCTTTGTTTTTGACTTGCAAGCCAGGCTCAACTGCGCCTGGGATGTGAGGCCACAATGCATGCTGCACGGCCGCAGCCGTGGCTGCAATGGCAGCGATCGGCAATAATATTACTTAGCACTGTATTCATATTCATCAACACTTCCGATTGGTGCACGCAGGGGTCGGTGCCGTTCTGGCCGTCGGTGCTGGCGCAGCTGACGGGATACACTGAGGCCAGCAGCCCGCCCTTCGCCTCCGCCATCGCGCACGCCGGCCGCCTCTGCTCCAAGCTGTACACCTCCGTGGATCCGGCCATGGCCGCCTACCACCCATGAGTGCAGCGCAGCTGCAAAGCAAGCAGAGCGTGCTTTGCGGCATGATGGTGGGAGAGACATGGCATGGAGAAAGAAAGACACCATAGCTTTCCACAGCAGATGCGTCATTGGGTGGTTTGCGGGGGTGGTTGGGCCAGGAAAGATGCTGGCTCGGACTGCCCCCTTTTGTTGGTGTGTGTGGCGGGGTATTGTTGTCGGTCAAATCCTAGGCGGGAGCCCCCAAAATGGACCTGTGCGCGGTCAGAGAAGTTGCCCTCCCATTTCCACTCGAATTGCTTTCACGATTCTCGACATTCTTTTCGCGGGCCGCCTCTGCCGGGCGCAAGCTAGGATTAGGGTTGACCCTTGGGGGAGGGGGCGGCGGCGCCCGTCACATGACGGGTCTGAGGCGCTGCCGCCCTGGGGACGCGCCCGCGAGACACAGCGAAGGCAACCTGAGATTACATGGCAGCACTGGCTGCGTTGCGAGATCGGGGCAGGCATGGCACGAACAGCGTGCTGTGTTCTTGGGCCTACAGAGCACCCACCGCCGCACTCGCGGCCCTGCATTTTGAGCGGGTGGCCCCCCGCTAATCAGGGGGGTCCTGTTATGTTTGGCTGTGCACGGAGCTCCCATCCGTGCGGCTTGCCTCCTCTTGTTTCGGTTTGTGGCACATGAGACGGCTAAGGCGATATTTTTGGTGCTCGGTGCACAGAATGGGAAGAGGCTGCGCTCGACCCGCGGCACACACACAAGATCATTGGGCGCGCTCCTTGCTTGCAGGACAGACCGAAAGACAGACGGCCACATATTTATGTTCAGGCCTCACGCGCCCTTGGCGACCTCTGCACAGGACTTTGGGGAGGGTGGGAGCAGAGTCTGAATGCTTGGCCCAGTTGCGAGGGCAATTGGTGGCTGAAGCTACCCGCCTGAGCAAAATTCTGACTCTTGGCCAACGGCGGTCTGTTAGGGTGACTCAGCCGCCGCCTGGGCAACACTGACGCATTTTTCTGGCCGGTCTGCTGGGCATTTACTGCGCCACAACTTGGGCGCATGGGGGACTTGGGGAACTATTGCAATCTGGGATCATATTGCTCTGACAAGCCAGCATCGCTGGGCACAGGCGGACAACTGGGATATACTACTAGTGTTGGTAGACATTGACGGTGTGCTGCTCAATTCCTGAGGGGCCTGGGCCTGCTGCAAACCAAAGCAGAGGCACTGGCCCCGCCTATCCTGCCCCTCCGGCGAGCTGCAGTGAACAGAGAGTCCTTCCTGCTCTAGGAGGAGGATGGGCAGATGGGTATGTGACGGTGCAGAGCGCGTGCGACAGATGACAGGTATTCAGTGCGTTTGCTGCCGCTGCTTTGAGCTTCTGACAACAAGTTATATTATTTGCACCGCGCGCGCGGCTGGCGCAGACCCCCCAGAGGAGATTTGTTGCATGGCAACGCCGGTTGCATCGAGTGTGCGCAGCCGGATTGCCTGACGTGGGGCTCTCGACTTAACCGGGCGGCCGCTTTGGCGCTACAGGAAGGCTCGCGCACTAAACGCAGCACTTGAAGAAACATAGCTTGAGGCTTGAGAAGATGGGCCCTGTTGTGCCAGCGCGGCCTCATTGCTGCACACTGTTGAATGTCCACACCAGGGCATGCCAGGTGTCAGCTCTGAGCATGCCGGCACATGGGCGTTCAGGAATGTGATGCCCGGCTGAGAGAGGTATTGCAGCAGTGAAAAATACTTTGCGGTGTGTATGACAGGGGACTGATTCCTGCATTCCTCGACCCTACAGTGGTTGATGTGTTTCATTGATTGGCAGCACGTGCTGAGTGACGTGCCGGCCTGCAAGAGCATCTGATGCTCGAGCAGGTTGGAAGTTCAGTGCACCTTTGAGGCGCACTGTAGAGCGTATGGTGAGACAGACATCATAACTGACCGCACTCTGTGCGGGAGGTGCCAGCTCTAGTTGAACGTGTGGGATCATGTCATGAGTGTTGCTCTTTTTTGTGGTGAAATCGCCAGGGGTGTGGGGAATAAAATTGGCTTGATAGTCACTGCCGGGCCATGTCTTGTGTCAGCGTGCGCATGTCGTCCATGTCCATGAAATTCTTCAATTGGAAGTTTGATCATTGACGTGTTATTTGTTACTGTGAATGCCTGGTTGCGGCAATCCCGACATGCAACACAATTGACTTTATGCTTACAACCCTTGGTGGTACGGTATATGCTTAATCCAGATATCTGAGTCTTGAACCTTGAACACCGCTTTTGATGAGCATTTGCACATCTTCACTGCCCCATGCATTCCAATCCCGAAACAGGCGCACCACTGCACTTTGAACTTCCATGTATCAATAATGATTGGCCGGTAAACACCCAAACTCAGGATTGCATGGGATGGCCACCAAGGCATAAATTTGAGCAATCGATATGCCCACAACTGGCTCGGAGCATGAAAATCTGCTTCGCTTGCCATAAATTGTGTCGATGATAGTAGATCATGGTCAAGTCTCTTTTCACTTGCAAGTCCCGCGCTTGGTATCCCAGGGACCAGCGCCCTGCATCAGGTGCTTGGCGACAACATGACTGCGAAATACCAGGGAACACCAGTCAGAACTGGCACAGATTCCACACCTTGAACACAATGCAGAATTGCACACACCATAATGTTCAGAGCCATGCAACTGGATGTCAGTGCCCTCGCAGACTTTGAGAGGAAGCTTGCCTGGTGACCCAAATCCTCCTGAATGGTGGCGGATGAAGCTGCCAGTTGGGGTGTTCAGGCTGTCCTCGCCAGGTGGCATATCTGCGACAGCCAGGGGTGTCATCAGCAAGCCAATCAATATTTGCCAATTTGTGAACTCCATTACATAAAGCACACAGCCTACATCATGAGGATCTATGGCGACAAGGATTCTTTGTTTCACAGAGCATGGCATGGCACGGTGAGGCTGTGACCATCGTGCGAACTCTCACCCAGAATGAGTGTTGCTGTAGACAGAGTCAGGTGCTTCTGCCTGAAGTCCTTGAAGCAACCTGCAGCAAAATTGGTCCCTCACTTCCAGTACTTTGACCCTCACTTGCATGCAAGGATCACAGCTGTAAGAGCTTTCAAACTCTTCCTGGCATGTCTGCATCTGCACTTGAGCTGATGTGCAAGGCAAGAAGAAAGAGCTCTCGTCATGGTGTGGTGGCTGAGTTCATGGCATTTCAGTCGACTGACCTGCAACCCTGTGCCAGTTCCCAAGCAGCTGACTGCACCAATTGCATTTACCATCACCGTTCTCCCACTGTCTCTGTGGCTCAGCGGGTTGCCCCGGTGCATCAGCATGCACACAACCTGCGACACATCCACTATACGTCGACCTTGATCCCCCTCTCATCCTTTAGGGGCATGCAAAAAGTTGTGCCACCGCAGTCTGCTCACCCTGATCCCAGGCATCTTCAGGCCTGCTGTGCTTGGCTGAGGTCGTGTCGGAGTCATCTTCACACCGCCGCCTCTTGCGTCTTGCATTACCCCAAAGAAGTGGCACTGTCTGGTATGGAGCATAGGAGCGCGGCTGCTTGGTCTCAATGGCGGCAGTGGTGCCAGCATCATAAAGGGTGGCCAATGGCTGTCTGGGTTGAGGAGAAGCTCCTGGTAAGGCTGGATACTTGTCCATCCCCTGATCGAAAAGCACATCAGCGTCGTTGCCTGACTCAATTGCTCAACGCCATATGGTGTACGAGATCGGGCACTCGTATGGTACCAGTAAACCGTTCATCTGCAGAACATCGACCGCGCATAGACCGGTAGGAAACGTGGAAAGACGGTGCACCTGTTGGTACAAGAAGGCAGAAATATCTCGTTCTAACTCCTTGCTTAGATCTATCTCCTCTGAAATGCTCAGAATGAGCTTCTTGTGCGCGGATGTATTTCTGAAATGGCTCTGTTTTGTCCTCTCTCCTTGAGACCGTGAGTACCCCTGCTGACTAGTCCAGGATCATGTCCGTATCAACAAAGTTATTCTAGTTTCTTTCCTTCAAGTCTGAGTCCGTGATTGTGATCAAAGAAACCTCAAGGAGAAGGCATCATGGCTGATGTGCGCCCAGGTACACCAGCCATACGGTGTTTTGTGATTTCATCTGTAAGAGAAATGTCTGCTGGAAAGGGTTTGAGTTTTCTTGGAGCCCAGAGATCGGTGAGATCAACGCTCCAGGATCTCAGCAGATCTGGCTGTCTTGAGGAGATTTCATGTTTCTGCTGGTTTCTACGGACTTACGTCCCAGAGCACAAACGTCAGAGATATGATTTTCACTGTCATGGCTTGGAAAGTATACTTCATTAGGCAGCAGAATCCATCATTCAGGTCTTTGTATGGGCGTAGTCATCGATCAGCTCTATTTAGTTGGCTTGAAGGGTGGAAAAATTGTCTTGGAGGACCTGATCCAGATAGATCTGTGGTCTCATCTGGCCTTGCCTCAGCGCACGAGAGCTTGAAAGTATCTGTGGATTAATAAAATCACTTTCACCTGGGCAGAATGCTCCAAACGTTTGGAAAGCATCAAATCTTATGCAGCCCAGAGGCATCCCTTCTGGTCAAGGCAAAGCATTTCCCTGCCGCATATCCTCAGGGCAGGGTCAGGAGACGCTTCAGGACTACCGTTGAAGCATCCTACAGCAGCGACTCCTCCTCGGGTCTGCACTCTAAGCATATCAGGCAGCGATTTTTATGCAAGCTACTCCGCTTATAGAGACAAATTCTTAAGTGGTCTGGTCTGCAGAGTCTAGCCGCAGCATACTGGAGGCTTTCTACTACGGCCGCGCTTTTGCAGAGACCCTCAATGCAAAAGTTGGAGCTGTTGTTGAAGATGTGCTGAGCGACATCGGCAAGCAGAGTGCAGAGAGCTCACAGGCCCTCAGGTGCTGCCCCACATTGATGTGCGGTTCTGTAGTGACCGGCCTGGGTGCTGCGACTGGTGCAAAGAGTCAGGGGTCAAGGGTCGTGTGCTGGCGTTGGAAACTTGTTGTGCATTGTGCGTTGTGCACATTACTTCCTGCTGCTGTGATGATGAGATAGGTCTGTTCTGATACCAGGGAGTTCCAGGAAGAGGTCGAAGAGAGGGCGCAGAGTGAGTTCTCTGAATTCTTGTCAGCGTCCAGCAATGGTGCAAGCTATCCGCCCAATGCAGCGCTTTCCAACACGACGGTGTACAGCAGCGATGGCCGCTTCAGTGCAGGCAATGGCCGCCAGCCTGTAGTGGCAGCATCTCCAGATTTGCAGGTTTGCAACTTAATCGCTTAAAGCCCCGTTAACTGTTTTTGGCTCCACTCCCGCTGTACAGCTTGCTTTCGCACAATAGGTCCTTGGATGCTTGTGCTCAGAGGAGGTGAATGTGCATTGGCTTGCAGGTGCCTGCGCTGTCGAGGATTTCTTGTGCACACATAGTGGTACTTTATTGAGCTTTGTTTATATATTGCAGGAAACAGTGGATGAGCTCAGAGCGGAGATGGCCTTGACACGGGCAGCGGTGCAGAGCTATAGAAACAAGCTCCAGCAGTATAATCCACAATGAATATCCGACCTGTGTCAGCTTCTGTACTGTCTCTTGGATGCGTGTGAGGCCTGTTGATAAGAAACAGAACAAATGTAACTTCTGAGAACACATTATTTCCTGGTGCTTCCCACGACACATGAGAGGAGTACAGAACTGACCATCACAAGAAAACACAGGACTTCAAACAAAGAAACATGCAGAAACTGATGACCGTTAACATGCTGAGCAGCTCATGAGCAGCCCCTCAGGCTGCTTTGGCAGGCAGCCGCTTGAGCTCATACACCTGCATGTATGTTTCTGACAGGACCACCATCTGGGACAGGATGTCGGTGACGCGCAGATCATCCACCTCATACCAAGCGTCCTCTGCCTTGCGGTGTACGTGCGCTCTGTATGTCCCCTCGCCTGCCTTCCCATCGTGCAAGATGTTGCACACCAGGTCGTATTTGGATGCCTCTGGCTCCCCAGTCTTTCCTGCACCCACGCCAGCACTGCATGTCTCAACTTCAACTCATGCAAATGCTAATATGCGTTGTTCCATCCAACTAAAGATCTCAATATTGTGCAAGGGCCATGCTTCTGCAGCCAGCTTCCTACAGTACTACAAAGTCTCAAATTATGCTCATTGTGCACAGATCCAAGAATGCATATCCAGGTTGAAGTTTTCGTGCAGCAGTGCTTGGAAGACACAAGGAAGATGACTTCATTGATACAAACGAAACAGAGAGGAGCCAGCAAGGTGAGCTGACCTTTGGGGACTGGGACAATGTCTCGAAGCTCCAGATTTCTGACTGGGAAGTTGACGATGGTGGGGTTCTTCTCCCAGAAGAAGTTGTTCTTGGTGAAGCGCTTCATGTGCAGCACCAGGTAGGTAGGCAGCCGCGTCAGCCGGTACCGCCTCCTCCCGGCCTTTATGTCATCGTGTATGCGCCCGCCGTCAAACTTTCGCAGCAGCTCAAAGATGGGCACCTGCGCACCCGACAGCCCAGTGTGAGTGCATGCACGATAGCTGCAGCGCTGCTGTATATATCTGCAGATTGGAATCCACACTGCTCAAGCCTTGACTCTTCCTTTGCTGTATTGATCCAGCATGCTCCAACCAAGAAGTCCCCTAAATGAAATATAGGCACCTGACCTTGCCTGTCAGGTGGTGCTATCAAGTGTGTTGAGAAGATTCATTATGACAGAGCATGCACAGGATGACTGCTGCTGCAGAAAAGAGAAGAGAAGAGTTGGGCCCCTAACCTGAGGGATGATGTTCTTTTCAAGGGCGTCCTTGTAGAGGGGCGCAGGCGGCAGATCGAGTGCGAGCATGAGGAAGGGAACGCGCTCCACCACATCCCTCACCTCCCCCGCCGCATTTGGCACCGCTGCCTTCCCCGTACCCGCCTCCACTGTGATCTCCAGCTCTCCCTGCAGCAGTCTCTTGGCTTTTCAGTATGATACACTGTTCAGTAATGTCGCTTGAATGTGCTCGGGCTGCACTAGTCTGTAGCCTCAAAGGCAGCCTCTCTTGGGTCATCAACTCACTTCTGGTGCTTTGCCATGTTCTTCTCCCTCTGAGGATCAAGAAGCTACTCTGCCACATTGTCCTCCCTCTGAGGATCAGTACAGTACATCCATTTGGCGCCTCCTTTGCATGGATGGGTCGGCGGCTGGGGTGCTGACCTGGAAGCAGCGCGAGATGATGGAGGCCTTTTTCCGCTTGCCGCCGGTGAGGTCGGCGTGCAGCATGTTGAGGAACCAGGAGAGGAAGTCCACGGGGTCGCTCTGCTTCTCTATTGTGAACTTCTTGGCGCTGGCCGTCATCACCGCCTGCATGAACTCGTGCGGGCTCACCTGCATCCCACAAACCACAACCCCTCAGCCTCCCTTCTGCTCTTCAGAAACATTCTTTCAGTTTGCTCCAAAAAACCTTCTTCAGTCTGCATGAGCAGGGCCACCGCCAAAGTGGCAAGAAATGCTTCACACTTTCAACTCCAAGGACTCCACATCTTCTACATAGGACAAATTCAATGGAACGACAGGTGCACGCATTCCCTCTTTCACGAGACCTGATGCACCTGATGTTTGTCTATTTTGCAACTTAGAAATGCTCTTCAAGGTGAAAGTTGGCGGCTGGTGGATGGCTTGCAGGTGGTCAGCTGTGCGCACCTGGCCCTTGAAGTTCCTGGGGTTGCAGGCCTTGCGCAGCAGCTCCCCAAAACGTTGCACCAGCTGAGATTTGCAGGACGCATAGTTCTCCGGCAGAAGGAAGAAGTTGCGCAGCGGCAGCACACGCAGCAGTGCCTGACAAAAACCAAAACATTCATCAATTGACTTCCATACAATCCAACGGTACTGTACAGTGTGAAATGGCCGATCATCACATTCGTCTTTCTCTGCAGGGATTATACGAAGTTCCTGTCCGAAGGGCATGCATGCAAGAAGACAGGCGGAAGGGCCCTGACCTGTACAATGACGTTGACGTAGTCATTGGCCTTCATGTTATTGAGGCCCACCAGGCCCGGCATGTACTCGCTGCCGTCCAGAGAGCGCACCCACCGGGCATCTGTGTCCAGACTAGCAATCTGCAGGACAAAAATCACTTTGTCACTTCCTTCTTTGTCAATAGCATATCCTGAAGTCTGCGCGCAACACTGTCAGCACAGGTATGCGTGCCAACCCAGGTACTTATGTAGTTTACTCTTGCGTTGCCACATCCTGGTGCCTGCTTATGCAACACAGGCAGCACGGGTGAGAATGACAAAACACATTTTGACAGCCTCCAGCTCGCTGCTGCACCTTCTCTGGTGTGAATGTGGGGTTCAGGACATAGCGAATGGCGTCCAGCGAGCGATCGTCCACTTCATATCCCTCGGGCAGGCAGTACACGCGCCCATCAGACAGCTTCATGAACATGTGGTGCCCTGTCTCCAGTGCATGCGTGAAGGCATGCGTCTGCTGCCCTCGACCCTGCGATGACAGGTGAAGCAATGAGTACCCAGTCATTGCCATCTAATAGAACGGGGAGACAGATTAAACGTGCCTGACACCACACAAGTTGGTCTGCATGAGGTGAGAGAGGTAGGGGGGGCCTGTCCAAACCTGGAAGTACTTGCCGCAAACCAGGCAGGCATACACATTGACCGGACTGAGAGACACCGAGCAGCACTTCTCAAAATCGAAGTCCAGGTTCTGCGCAGAAAGAGGTGTGATTAGTATGGAATAAAAAACGGTATGCAGAAGAAAGGGTCCTGTTGCATGTTCTTGGCAGCTTACTCAGAGCCCAAGGAAGGGATGAATTAGCTGTCTCACCTGTCTCGATACTGTGTCAAGGTAAGGGCACTCATGGCCCTTTCTCACTTGTGAGGCTCGCCGTAATGGCTGCACAGGTTCGTCCAAATCGCTGTCATCATCGCCTGCTGGCTGCACTTCCCGTCTAGATTGTTTGGACGTCTGATCCATGGTGGATGCTCCATTTTGATGCAACTCATCATCTTCAAGGTCATCACGTCCGCGCTTCATCAGAACTATTGCCCCTAGGAGGCCACTCTCACAAGCTGATTGTCCTGGATGTCCGACTGGCCGTCCCTCGACCCAGCTACAAAACGTTGCAAACTAATGACAGTGAATGTCCTGATTTTGAAGTTCAATGACCAGTTCTATCTTGACAGAAAGGAAATGTAAGAAGTCACAAAAATTTTCTGTCAACCCAAAGTAAGGGAAGTCACAGAGGGGAGAACTTTGTTCTGGACGGAAGCTACAATGTACACTCTATCTTATGGATTGAAGATTACAGAATGTATAAGGATCAATGGAATAGGCGTATAAGTTTTATGATCATGGCCAGCAGTCCAGTCATCCACAGGGATATGATTCGCCCTATGACAGTCATCAAGTTTCAAGTTTCAAGTTTCAATAACTTCCAGAGCATTGGGACATCTCTGGTATGATCAGTTAACATATTGACAGTGCAGTAAATTCGGACACAGTGTTGGGATGAAGACGGTGCCGTTCTCAGTCCAACCTGTGCAGGAGGCACCTGTAAAGTGACATCCAGGCCTTGCAAGTAGGTTATGTCAGATCGCCAGGCCCATAAAAATATTCTTGATAGGCTATATGAAGGCCGAGCCCCGGTTGCATCCAAGGTAGAGGTGCACAAAAAGGTGGGAAAAGCAGCAGTTGGCAAAAGTGCAAGACAGCCTCGTTGCCTAGGAGAGGTCGTAAAAGGGACAGAAGATTGTCCACCGAACACATGTAAAGCACTCCTTGACAGACCCCTCAATAAGCAGCAGCAGTCCCTTAGAGAGCAGAAGAATAAAGCCCAACCTGTTCAGCAGTTAGAGCAACGATATGGGCAGCTAAGACTCAACCCAGTTGATCATAGTGGGTCTTTAGAGCCTGACACAGCACCGAAGCTGCTTGTGTCACCAGAACTCTGCAAGGCAGAAGACGAAATGCCAGGCGTGAAGCGACCAGCAGAGACTTTGGTGAAGACCATCATAGGGGGAGACGGGCAAGTGCCCTCAGTGGAGAACCCAGATGCGACTGCAACAATAGAACTGGCTCAGCAGACGCCAAAGCAGAAGACAAGATCGTTCAGTCAGAGGCAGGTCGCCTTTGTGGACCTGACAGCCGATGACTCAGACGAGCCTGGGCAGCAGGACTGCGCCAGTGCAGATGATGCGTCGCCCATGAGCATTGCCCGCTCATTCACAGACCAGGTTGAAGCACAAACCTCAATGCATGTGTCGCACAGAGCAAACCCGCATGTTGTGCGCATGTACGTCACATAGCTGAACAATAGTGTGTATGCGGTAGTAAGATCAGTCAGGAAGTACAGAAGCCTTCTTCTTTACCATTATTGCAGGCGTCCACCCCAGGAGGCAGCAGCACGAAGAGTCTGCCTTCTGGGAGCCCCATGGCCATCTCTCCTCTGGCAGCAGACCCCTGCAGCCCTGCAGAGGAGGGCTCCAGCCCCTGCAACACCTGGCAGCCCAGACCCTCCCGCTTCCAGCCAGTGAGCATTTCTGAGGACCAGGTGGGCCCCTACAATAATCTTTCCATGTTGTTCATTTCAACAGAAGAGCCTCATCCCGACTTCTTTGAGATCGTGTGGTCAAGCTTGAGATCGTATGGTCAAGCTTGCAACCTAATTGCAGTCCTCACTCATGTCTGTGACTATCTACAGGACATAGCAGAGGGACCTGCTGGCGATGGCACCGCTGCGAGGGAGTTAGGCGCAGAACAGATGCAGGAGGAGGAGGAGCCAGGCAGACACCAACCATCTGCAGATGACGTAGCTGCAGTGGGTGCTGCAGACAGCGAGCAGCCTGGGCCCACAGAGGAGCACAAGGCAGCCGCTGAGTCCTACCGAGCGGCATTGGCAGCCCTGAATGAGCGCACAGCGCCCCAGGAAGCACCGGCCCCTCAAGCTGCTCCCTTGCTGAGCAGCAGAGGGCATGCACCTGCTGGACTTGTTGAGGCACAGCCTGTGGGCCGGCATCCTTGTGAAAGGGGAGGGCCGGCCAGGCAGCCCAATGATGCCGGCAGCTTCGCCTGGCAGCGGCCAAGACAGGCGCCTGCCAGGGATGCGGCTCCTGCAGCTGTCACAGAAAGCGCCAGTCGCGCAGCAGCCTTGCAGGAGTACAAGGACGCGCTGCGGGTTGCCAGTGGCCTGCCTCCTGAAGCACCCTCTACCAGTAAGTGATTCCTCCTCCATGCAAAGATACCAGAATCTCCTCCCTGTCATTTTACCGAGCGTAAACAAAGGACTGACTCCCAAAGGTCACAATGGTTGGGCGCTTAGCATTGGCCACAAGTGAATGTTCTGCTAGTGGAGCAGGCAGAAGTTCTCGCGCAGCTGAGACCATTGAGAGTCTGAACTCGGACCTGGGCGCAGGCTTCTATGCACAGAAGGGCAGCCGGGCTGTGAGGCATTCAGAGGCCCAGACCGGCGGCTCAGCCAGGATATACGAAACATGTGCAAGGCAGCAAGAGGCGGCGGACTTTGCTGACAAATGCAACAGGAAGCTTGCAACCGAGCAGCAGCAGCACAGCAACTCAATGGGCCTTCCGGTAAGTCCTTCTCAACCCACAAAACCTTTGCTTTTTAACAGGGGAAGCCCACATAATTTGATTGTGAGATCCCACTCTGCGCACTGTCAGCATGTCTTGAAGAAGCTCCCAGCACAACAAATGTGCGCAGGGTGGTGCCATGTGCCAAGTCCGGCAGATGGCAGCGCTGCCTTCACAGACAGTGGCAGCCATGGAGGAGGGGAGGGCTGCAAGCGCAGTGGCGCGCACAGCGCAGGCAGGTGCAGTCACATGGCTCGTGCCAGCCAACACCCAGCAGCTGGCATGCATGGAGGAAGGCCTGCCTCCGGCTCCATCCACAGGTCAATTCCTTGAAAAGTGTGCACACGTTTATGTTCTACATTCCATGTACATCAGCTGTGTCTAAACACCTTGATTTGGTCGTTGCAAGGCTGGAGAGTTGATTTTGTGTTGTGGACCTTTGCGCAGGGGATGGCGGTATGGATCGCTGCCAGCAGACAGAGGCGTCCACCAGTGCATCGGGCGAGGGCATTCCCGACCATGTCAAGGTGTTTTTCTGTAATGTGCTCTTGGCGTGCATTAATACAGAGTCTTCAGTGCCTGCGAGTGATGAACGCTGTCTTTGTAAAATCTGCTAGTGGGGCCCCACATGACAGGGCAGCTTACAGGGAGCAGCAGGATCATCAACAGCGGTTGTATTTTGTGACAGGTATTCTGTGAGGAGGTGAAGGGCAAGAGCGGCCAGTACTTCCGCCGCTTTGTGGCTGCCACCTATGACGCGCTGTGGCAACACATCGCAAAGCGGGCCCCCACTGCGCGCCACTTCTACGAGGCACGCCTTTCTTTGCAATGCTCTCTATTAACCTCCCTCTCATTGCCGTGACAAATTTTGGTGGATTCCTGTGTGCCTGCCCTGTAGGAGGCGCATCACACGGGGCTGTCACAATTAGGCAGGCCAGCTGTAGTCGATGGGTATGTGTCCAAAGGAGACGTGATAATGTTGTACACATGGAAAACATGTTGGTGATCTTGGCAGAAAGAGCTGAAGAGGTTGCACATGAGCGGCTGTGGGTTGGTTGCAGGTGGTGAGGGAGGGGCGGCCGTGCCACATGTACTTTGATCTGGAGTATGTGCCGGAGTGCAATCCGCTGGTGGACGCCAACATGATGGTCACCATCCTGCTCAACCTTGTGCGCATGGGCCTCAGGTGCTCTTCCTTCTTGTGTTCTTGTGTTGTTTTACAGCACGGCGAGCCGTTGAAGAATCTGCAACCTGCTCGCGTTATACCGCTGGCAATCAGTCAAAGCTCGATTTTGCAATGCACCTTTCAGCCGCACTGCCTGCCCAGAGAATGCGCGTGGCCCAGCACAGCAAGCTGCACTATAGACTGCCCATGGCATTCACTGTTGCATGAATGGCATCATGTGCATTGAGGTTTACACATGGGCCTCAGGTGTGCCCGTCCCGCTGCACCAGAAATGCGTCAGGTACTGTTGCTGCTAAGCATGCTGGTCATCTTCAACAGTGCTCTGCGATGGAATAAAAGCACATTATCTGCCACACCCTGCCGCGAGACTGCTCGCTGCACACCACACAGCTGCCTACGCATGCAATGCACGACCGAGGCATGAACGCCAGAACTTTCAAGTGGGGTTCAGAGGTGCGCCGTGTATGGCGGATGCAACATAATTTATTGGCAGGTGATGTGCAGGGAGCTATGGGGGCTGCAGCTGGAGGACGGCTGGGTGTGGGAGCTGGACAGCAGCAGCCCTGCCAAGTGGAGCCGCCACATCATCGTTGTCGTCCCGGGGCGAGCCTTCCCCAGCAACCTCGCCCTCGGCGCCTTTGTCACCCAGATCCTCTCCCTGCCCCAGGTCAGCCAACAGCGCCGACATAATGTAAAGAGCGACATGTGCAGTCCTGCTGCTTACTTTGGAGCATGCAATTGTCCCCTTGACCTCCTGGATGCCGAACCTCATTTCTTTTTCCCCCTTGCCGTTCTTTCAGGCATGTTCCTTAATAAGCCTTCTTGACCTTTGCCTCAGGAGAACAGGGTGGGCTATGCTGGATCGCTCATTGTTAAGCAGATTCTCTACTACTGTTACTACTCCACATGACAGAATTTCATGATAGAAAGAATGATCAACAAAGTTTGAATGACTGGCTGCAGGCAGCCCAGCTGCGAGTGGAGAAGACCGATGGCCGCTGCACCGGCGAGAGGCACTTCACATCAATAGTGGACACGGCTGTGTACACAAAGTACGTGCGCACAACCTCATTCCTAGAACCCTGCATCAAACCCTGCTGTTCCTAGTGTACCAAGCGAGCCGGGGACTACTGAGGATGAGTTCTGGATGAATGCAGGAACCGCCACTTCAGGACGGCGCTCAGCTGCAAGGGCGGGAAAGGCCACGTGCTTCAATCCACCGGCAGGTTCGCCGCAAGCCAAGGTAATTCTCGGCTCTCTTCCTCGCATCCTCTTTATGCACACACAGCAGCCTGTCCACTACGATTTTTATCTTTAGCCATCAGGATGACTGTTTTCTCAATGACTGCTACTGAGTGCTAACGTTATCACTGCTGCGGCTTACAGGCTCTCAGTTGACCGAGCGGGAGCTCTTCATGCGCACGTTGGTGTGCAACGTGGAGACGGGCGCACGTCCGCTCGCATGCGGCGCGGCCGAGCAGCTGCTGCGAAGCCGGGCCGGCCCGTCCAACCGCCGCACTGCGCAGCTATCTGATAGCGCCGAGGGCCTGCAGGTGAACTCACCTGATCACAGAGTGTTGGCATATAGTGGGGCATGCAAGGGTGTCTGCATCTATGGGACATGCAAGATTTTTGGACGATGGGGCTGCTTTTGAGGGGTGTTAAGAGGTAGGGAGTGGACAGTGTGGTGTGCTCCTCTTGGGAGGTGCATGTGAGAACGAAGGGCGAAGGGCAACAGAGGTGTCAGATTAGAGGGTGTGTGCTGCAGTTGCTGCAAACGGCTGCTGCGGCTGCGAAGGTGTGCTGGAAACGAGACGCCCTGGACGACGGCCTGCCGCTGCTGGCCCCCATCGAAGGTACATCTACTTTCCCCGAGCAAAGTCTCATTGGGGCCTGAGACCTACCTGGACATTTATTTCGTCCATGGACTCTGTTCAGAGTGTGCAGGATTCCAACACAGGTTGTTTACTGTAGCCATTGTCACATTGAATGTCTTTTTATACAAATTCAGTCGTCTGTGAACCCTGTTCCTCTAAGCAGTCAACACTGGCGGATCAAAAGCACCGAGACTCATGCACAGTAGCTATCATAGCAGTACTCGTCCTACGTCAAGATTTGGGGTCGTGGGCGCAGAGCTGCAGCGTTGGGGGCAGCAGGTGGTGGCGTTCATAGAGGATGTAGCAAAGCAGCGCGCCGGCGGCGCACCCGCGACCGTGCGGACCATCGCACACTGCGGCACCGCCGGCCTCGTGGCATACTCCATGTTGGGTGCGCTGCATCCCTCACGAGCCTCAAACACATCCTCCTCAGTGGGGCACCTTCAGACATCCTTGAGCGGCTTTGACTGCCCAGGAAGGCAGCGGTATGCGTGTGCCATGCAACGGAAGTCTGCTGTGCAGTGCGCCGTGTGTCACCTGCGCAAGCTGCGGTGGCTGTCGGGAGTTCTGTGGTGCTGCGCAATGAGTAATTGCTTTGCATGCGCGCAGGGCCGGGCAGCCACTGGTGCGAGAACATCGGGCGCTGCCATGCAAGCAACCATGTGTTCTTTGTGGTGAGCATGTCAGAGGGGCAGTACGCGCAGAAGTGCTACGATCCTGACTGCGCCCACTTCCGCTCTGCGTGGATGCCCCTGCCGCCGCACCTGCTGCTCAGCCCCGACTCTGTCAATTTGTAGTTGTCATTGAGGGCGCTTGTTTCAATGAGCATGGCGAGTGGCCTGGGAAGCTGTGTGGGGTGCCGCGAGACAAAAGCTAGCAGGGCGGCCGCCTGCCCACTAGGGTGTACTAGCAGTACTGCGCCCCCAAGGTTTGGGAGCTGAACGGGGGTATATACGGCAGTGGAAGGCTGTCCAAAAGGCATCCTGCTGGACAAACTGCTCTTGTGGCAGTATCATGCCAGAAGCATTGCGCCTGTTGCTTGAGTATGCTTTGGACACAAGATACTGGGTCGACCGAATTACACTTCAGGAAGTCAATAGATCCAGTATCATACCATGTCCATATAATGATTATGTGTCCAAGGCTTGAAGGGCCAGAATATTGCATGTGCATTGGCATAAATATTCTAACCTCCTGGACTTGCACAGGACAAGCATCTGCAACTGCGCAGGTCAAAAAGGGAACACACAACCCTTTTTCTCCTAAATTCGATCGTGCCAAATATTCCAAGTTGATTCTTAAGGACCCCAAGCCTCCCTACAAAACCCGTGGGTCGTTGGCAAATTGTAACGACGCACAAAACCGCACTGGGCAGCTTCAGATGTCCAAAGATCATGAACTCATGCTAATGAACCGGCAATCATTATTTTTATTTGTATTGATTGAGCAAGAGTGCTAGCCTCGTATTCGCATCGCGAATTGAAGCCAGCTCCTTTGCCTTGATCGAGCGACCTGCACCAAACTCGAAGCACAACAAGATGAAGCTCACCCTGAACCTGCTGCGATGGATCCCTTGCTTTGGGGCTACGAAGGTCCTGGAAGACTCCTGCACCCTGGTACGAGCTTATTCTGCGTCTTGCTTCCGGTTTGTGCCAAGACAGTGGAGTAGGAGTTGCACCCTGTCTGTACCAAATTGGTGCAGCTGGGCTCGTGAAAAGCACACCTAAAATTAAAATCCAATTGCAACTTTGTTTGAAGCATGCAATCAGAGCTGTCCTTTTTGAAAAAATTCCCATGGCGCGCCACATCGAGAGACAGTACATGCCGCCAACAACGCCATAAAATTTGTCCGATCTAGGTTGTTGGTGCATTAGAGAGGTTTTACTGACTGTAAGTCTATTCTCATCAGTCTCTGTGTGTCTGCTCGTCTCAGGGTTACCCAGAGACCAAGACTGGCTACTCGCCAGATCAAGGTACATCGAAACGAACGGCACCGCTCGTCGAAATTGACAGCACAGATGACGAGGTGCGATACTTATACTGCACTTCCAATTAACAAACCTTGCTTGAGTGGGGTCACTTTGTGAAGGTTTTGGTGTGGCGGACTCTGCAAAGATGTCTAAAAACCCAAAGATGCGAGGTCTGAATTTTGCGGATTCTCTTCGATGCGAGAGATGCGAGAGACGGCATGAAACGGCATGAGACGGCATGACGGCATGGTTTATGCTGCTTTGCAGATGGAGCGCATTCCTCAGAAGGAAGAGGTGGGGAGCGAGGAGACACTGCCTGAAGAGCATGTGCAGGTGAGATGATTACCTGTCGCACTGCTGTTGTTTAGCTCTTGAAAGATAACAAAACACCGAGCACGTTTCTCTGATGGTGCGCCAGGCTCCAGGGACGGGAGAGGGGGCTGCGGACTTCATTGCCGGCATGTTCCCTGCTGAGGAGCAGGCCAGTGCTCCCTGCAGCGACAGCGAAAAGACAGCGCAACTGGAGGCAGATTTGGTGGCAGCAAAAGAGGAGTCTGCAGATAAGGCAGAAGAGATTGCCAAGCTGCGTACTCAGGTGCGGCCATGGTTACATTGGCAGCTTTGCTTGTGCCACATAAAATGTGTGTAAAAGTCAGCTGGTCAATTGAGAGAACAAGCATTGCTAAAACTGACGCATGTTGTGCACTGGCATTGTAGGTGTCCACAGCAGAAGCAGACAATGTCAGGCTGGCAGGCTACATGGCCGACCTGTCAGCAGCGCTGGAGGACAAGGAGGCAGCCAGGAAATTGGTGGAGAGCCGCAGCGTGGATCTGCAGCAGAAGCTGACTGCTGCGGAAAGGGAGATCAGCCAGCTGAAAGCCAACCTGCCAGCACAGGTAACATCCCCACCTGTGCTGGCCTGCCATCTTTGCTGTTTGTTTGGTTCAGCCTTGTCCGTGGCTATTGAGGCATGCATCCTTCCAGGCTGCTCTGCTGTGAGTCAGGAGGATATCCTCTTGCGCTTGTGACCACAGTGTATTCTTGCAGGCCCAGCGCATGTCCCCAGAGGCGATGCTCATCTCTGTAGTGAAGTCCTCTGTGCCGATTCCCACCCACCTGAAGAGGATCAAGGACCTGGAGCAAGAACTGCGCCGCCAGGCTGAAAAGGCAGAGGTACGCCCACTTTGGATTGACACCGCAAAACTGAAAGCCACACCTCCATGCCTAATGATCTGATCTTTGCATCATGCCTTGAATGATCACGTTGGCAATCCAATGAACCACTGCAGTCACTGCTAACTCCATGGAGAGACAGTGGCGCCTATGGTGCGTGGAGTTGCTCATCTGCTGTGACTCCTGGCCTTGATGTGCATGTTGGATTGAGATTAGGAGCTTCTATGATGTGCAGGCAACGTTGGAAGCAAAAGAGAAGGAGCTGCAGCGGGCCAAGAGCCTTTTCCACATGCCAGCGGTGCGCACCTGCTCGCACATAAATTCACACAGCTCTGTACTTTCAGGATGGCTGTGCGCTGAAAGTGTCCCTCTGCATTCCTCATTGACGTAATCTTGTCTCTGCTGCCACAGCACCCACCAGTAGAACTTGAGGGAACATCGCTCGGGCAGTGCACCTCTTGGCATGAGGTCAAAAAGATGAGCCGAGCCCATGATCTTCACAGTGACATTGCTTGCTTTTCAGGGCACACTGGTCAGCTTCCCAGAGGATGGGGCCCAGCTGGGCAGCGGCGGGATGGGGACGGTGTCAGCCGTCACCGTCAGCTTCGCGGCAGCTGCCAAGGTCCCCCACGATGACAAGGCGCGGGAGGACCTGTGCAATGAGGCCGCCGCGTACACCGCCATCGGGCCCCGTGACAACATCGCGCGGCCCATCGCGTGGGTGTATGCGCCGGAAGTGGACAAGGATGTTCTCCTGGTGGAGCTGGCAGCAGGGAGCCTGCACGGCCTGATCAGGTGGGCATTCCTGCGCCAGCCTCTCCCTCCCTGGTCAATGTTCTTGATGTCTTCCAATCCTTGATGTTCTGGTGTTTTGAGCGCTGCTCTAAAACTGCAGTCCTGTCTGGCGGCCAGTCCTTTGCACAGTTGAGCGCAATTGAGGTCCCATGTATTTTGGGCAGCAACTTGGCGGCATGAAAGGACGTGATTAGTTTACTCAGGCAGCAGCGTTTCTTCTGGCAACTGCAATTGCTGACATCATGGGCTTGTGTGTGCAATGGGCAGAGATGAGCCCTTGCTGGAGAGGAGCCTGCTGCTCTATACTCTGGGGCAGGTGCTGGCAGCAGTGGTGCAGGTGCACGGAGCCAAATGGCTGCACCGTGACATCAAGCCCGCCAACTTCCTCTACTTTGACGACGGCATCATCAAGCTGGCAGACTTCGGCTGCGCCACCCAGATCGGCTCTCAGTCACTCGCCCGCTGGAAGTGCGCGCCCTTTCCTTCTTCTACCCGTGCAATTCCATTACCTGCTGAGAGTCCTGACTCCCTCCCAGGAACGGCCTTCATGCGCAGCCCTTGCCTTGTCAGCACCATTTTCGACTGCCTGAGTTTGAGCTGAAATGGACACTTACTCCATGCCCTGCAAATACTCGCCTGGTAGCCGATGATGTAGTCATGTCTTAGTAATTATTAGCGATCAGGGTGCTATGCTGTCCTGCGCAGGGGCACCTTCGGCTTCATGACCCCGGCGACGGTGCTGGGCGAGGCCAGGGGGAGCAAACTCGATGACATCCGCGCGCTGGCCGCCACGATGTACCACCTGCTGACGGGGCGCGACCTGTACGATGACCTGGCGGCGCAGTACGATGCCCTGGACGCCAGCGTGAAGGCTGAGCTGGAGGAGTACGTGCGCGCCAAAAAGATCTGCACCGAGGTGCACAAGGGCCTCCTGGTGGCGGCGGCTGAGTTCAAGGAGCACATTGGCCTCAAACAGGTGCGGATTGTTGCCTCTCCACTACCCCTTTTCTCTCCTGTGACTTGCCTGTTGTCACATGTGTTGCATGGGATTTAATATCACCTGTCTGTCAGGTCAACCAGTGCCAAGGGCTCCAGACCTGCAATGGGGCTGCTGTGCAGGGGGTACTAAAGATTCTCTAGTACCCCCTGTGCTGTGGGTGCCAAGGGGTGTTGTAATGACAAGAGGGGTGTCCGATGCGCTTGCGCAGGTGGTGCCCCTGCTGAGAGACCTGCCGCAGAAGCTGCTGGAAGCCGTGCTGAGCGGCATCAAACAGCCGCACAACACGTCCCTCGCAGAGATTGAGGCAGCTCTGGAGGAGGCTCAGGAGGCCTGGGCGGACGATGCCTCCTGCTTCGAAGAGCCCGGCTGCTCAGAGAGCGACCGCTGGGATCAGAGCCCGTGCGCCAGCGCAGCCAGCCGCTCCATCGACCCCTGGGGGCTCTTTGCCGATGGCAGCCTGTGCATGGAAGAGCCCAACCTCTCCGGCTGCGGCGCAGAAGAGGCGGCAGAGGGCAAGCTGGGCTCGTGCGGGGACGCCGAAATCATCTTCGGGGATGACGGCGCTCGCTGCGAGGACGACACCGCAGCCGACATCATCCTGTTTGATGACACAGACGACTGCACCCCGGCAACCTGCGCTGCCAAGGAGGGTTCCTCGGCACCGGAAAACGCCTGCTCCGTGGTTGATGACCCATACCGCCGGTACTATGAGTGAGCAGACACATCCATCGAGCATCACAGCAGGAACAGAGCAAGTCTTGGCCCTGGATGGGACACACCAGCTGATCAGGCAGTGCTGTTTCAAGATGGCACAGCCGGCCTGGGGCATCAATAGCTCAAGTTTGCAGTTCATATATGCCTTCTGTTCTGGCAGCATCCACCATTATGGCACTTACGAGTCCATGTGGCTGCAGATATCTTACACGCCAGAGCATATCAAGCTGCCATTTTCAAACAGGCAGCAATTTTTGATCCGTAAGATTTTCAAGAAGTTTCCTTATGGATTGTTATATTGTTGAGTCAATTTAATGAAAATGTATATCCTGGCATTGAAGTTGGAAGGGAGATTGTGGGTGCTCGAGGTTTGCTGAGAGCGCTGTTGAAGACGAGGTCGTTTCGGATTTGATTGATTTGATTGAAAGCCCATTGATGTTGTGAGACCATGGAGGCAGAATGGACGTGGATAACGGCCTGAACAAATGCCCTGCACTAATTGCATGAGCTGGATTTTGGGCATCTTTGCTAGAAAGTCAGTACCAATATGAGTCAGCGCCGGCGGCCAAATGGGCTGTTGGAGGAGTACTATCCCTTGAAATGGCTTGGTTGTAATTTTGCATGCTCTCAATTCCCAGAGGCTAGATTATGTCAGTGACGTGCAGCGAGCGCAGCAGGGAAGATTAAGATCATGAGAAGGTTTTGTTTGAGCCAGCATGAGACGTCACTGATTGCATGCTGTGGCATACTGTAGCAATGGGAACATGCCAAATCGAACCATTCTAATATGCAACATGTACAGTCAACGAGCACGCGCGATGCTTGTCCTGTAAAGTGTCCAACTTTCAAGGAGTTGCATGCAACTGGAATTGATTTACATGCAATGTTCTCCATGCCTCACATTTCAGGCTGGCAGAACAGCCTGGTTGTCCCTCAAAGACAATCAAAAACGGTAATTTCATGAGTGGTCACTGCAGTTGGCCACTACAACCCGGAACCCCGGCCCGGACCCGTTGCAGAATGGAATCCAATTCTGAATCAGTTGCCCACCTGCATGCAAGTGAACTTGCGCATCTGAGTCCAAGAAGAACTCTTTGTCTCCTTGAGTCCGAGTGTCACTCCGGAACCTGAGCAATCGTGATCAGGTCCACTGCTGTGCTGCGTGTCGTGTGAGAGCTTTCACTGCTGAAGAGCCTAAGTAGGCTCACCATGGTATATGCTCTTGTGTCGGTGAAATTTCGAGTTCTCGACAGGAGTCTGTGGTCAAAAGTCAATCTCGGGTGATCGATGGCTGATGCGCGAATCGTCGTGAATCTGAGTGGCCACAATGAAGTTTGGTATGCTCCTGCGTAACTCCGCTGCAGAGACACCAGAGCTGCAATCCCTTTTCGTGTGCTACAAGCACCTCAAAAAGCGCTTGAAGAGGCTGCCCGAGCGTCATGCAGCAGACCAAGATAACAATCCCGAGGATGTCAGCGATGAGGTGGCCCAGCGGCAGCGCAATTTCGTGCTCACCTTGAATGAGGATGTCCAGCAGTTCAACGAGCTCTTCATGGAGAAGGAAGAGGACAGCGTGATACATTTGCGCACGCTGGAGGATGCAGCAAAAGAGGCACATGATGTTGAAGCCGTCAGTCGGGTGTTCAAGGAGTTTGTGGACTTCCATGGCCAGATGCTTCTCCTGGTGCACTGGTCCATCCTGGCATACACAGGGCTAGTCAAGATCTTGAAGAAGCATCACAAGAGGACAGGACTCCTAGTGCGGGCGCCCCACCTGGACAACCTGCTGTCCCAGCCCTTCTGCTCAGTGGAGGTGGGCCCTGCTTTTCTTTCTCTTGCAACTCCCCAAGTTGACCCTTTCCGGCGTGACGTTTGCGTGGTAGCACGAGAGCAGGGCGTATGTGCTAATAACTGGCGTAGACCTTCAAAGATCCCGCTCCATCTTCCATTTGTCAGAGATGTGCAGAGCTGATCTGGCACACCATTTTCCGATCTAGATCGAATATCGCGTGCCATACACGATGTCAGCACTCGTTTGATCGATTAGTCATGCAACCTACATGGCGCATTTTGTTTGTGCAGCTCATGACGGAGCTGGTGCGCAAGGCAGAACAGAACATTGACAGCCTGGCAGCGCAGCTGAGGACCAGCAGCATGCCGGCGGCCGCTGCAGCAATCTCAGCATCCAACCCCGGGCAATCCCCTACTGCGGCTGTGAATGACCTCATCAATGCCGCTCGCTCTTCTGTTGAGCAGATTGCGGGCACAGGCGCGGGTGAGAATTGACACATGCCCCAGCTCAATGCATCACCTCTTCTGACATTTGCAGATGTCAAAGTGTGTATTTTGTGCAACTCAAGCATGCGAGGAACACTACCAATGGTGTCATGTCTCAGTAAGTCCAAGTCATCCCTATAGGAATAGGTGATCTGTGTTGCTGAATGCGGCTGATTTGTACTCGCAGAAGCGGAGGTGTCGTCTTCAGAGGAGGAGAATTCTGTAGAGGCGGGGGATGCACAAGATGGAGACGAGGAAGAGGGCGTTCAGCAGCCAAGTACAGACGCGGCATTTCGCAAGCATGTGGCAATCAGCAGCGGCAAGCGCAAGCTGACGCGCAGCCTGGACATGAGCAGCAGCTCCATAACCTCCTCGCGCAGGGCCCGCCTGAAAACAAGCGGCGGCGAAGCAGGTGACCTCCCTCCTGTTAGTCACCCGGCATCGCTCTCCCTGTTGCACCCTGCATGCTGCCAATCGCTGTGCATACTTTCACTGCCCTCTGTCTGCAGAGGTCTGCTCGCCTGGGAGCATTTACCTTCTGTCCTTGTGCTTCTGGTAGTATGTGCAATCCTGCTGCAGAAGCAGCAACATGCTTGTAAGTTGCTTTGCTCAAGGCTGAACAAAATTGCTATGCTGGGCAGGCTCTGATGGGAAGGCGGGCGCTTCACCGGTGAATCCGTCCATGCTGGCAGCGGCCACCGCTGCGCACCAGGCCTCCCTGCAGGCCGAGGCTCCCGCCGCCCCCGACACCAGCGCCATCGGTCCCCTCGGGCCCGCCACCGCCGGCCCCCCGGGGTCCCCCCGCGGCAGCAGCCACGCTGACAGCATCCCCAGCTACTGCGCTGCTCAGGGCTCCGCGCAGCAGGCGCACCCCACTCCGGCGCAGCCCCCGAGCAGCAGCAGCAGCCACGCACACGCGGTGGACAGCAGCAAAGGGCAGCTGCATGAAGTGGCCTCCTCCGCGTCGCTGTCGGGGACGCAGCAGCATGCGGCGGAGCATGCGCCGAGCATCCTGCGCCAGACTGCGGCCGCGCTGGGCCTGTGGGAGCAGCTGCACGAGACTGCCTCCACGCCCTCCACTGTGCTCTCGTCCCAAACTGCCCGCCTGCGCGCGGCCGCTGCACGCGCCGCCGTCAGCACCTCGACGGACCAGTCGGCTGCCTGAAGCTGACGCGGTGATCAGGCAAGTTGAGCTCGGGGCTTGTTGGCTTGGGAAAGTGGGCCTGGCTCTGCTGTGGCGGCCTGGAATGCGGCGGTGGATTGCGGCGGCAGAATAGCACCCTCAATTTTGACGAGGAGCCTGCCTGAGCTGCTCAGCACACAGTCAGCAGGCGCTTGAGGGCTGCTGAGGTGATACAAGGTACGAGGGGCAGATGAATCAATGTGCTGGACCATGCTTGAGACAGCTGGACCATGCAGAGATAGCAAGAGGTAAGGGAGCACAGAAAAGAGTAGATATGTGTGGTGTACATAGGGTGCAGAGTACCAGGGTCTGTGAATTATGACCGGAAGGTCTCAGCCTTGATGTAATAAAAAGGCTGACTCGTGACGATGGCCGCACATGAGAGTGACATCGCTGTGCAGTGGTCTGTGAGAGAAGTGGTGCTGTGTTATGATGAGGTATCAAATGTTTGTCTTGTGGGACCTCCGGCCGGATTTTGACCAGAATCACAGCGGAGTCAGCATGCCTAGATCATGACTGCTGCTGGTCATGACTGGCAAGCTCCCTGATGCTGATGTACATTTGATTCTGCTGTCGTGATTTATGAGTCATGTGCGCAACGCTTGCTGCAGAATGCAGCAACTGGAATTCTTAAAAAGCCAAATAGCATGTGTCTTGCGCCATCTGCACCCTCAAAAGGTGCTGGGGTCTCTCTTGCTCTGGGTACTTTGTGCAGCCTGCCTGCGAGATAGCAAAATGTTTGTGGTGTGTTCTCGAAGCTGCAAGCCGTCTGGTTAACCCAGGTGCTAGCATGCTCAGTCATAGGCTATGACTCCAGGAGTGTTGACCTTTGGACATCCAGAGGAAATGCTGGTAGGAAGATTGTGTCGCTTATGTGGATTTCTCCAAGTAGGATGCTCTTTCTCTGAATGCATGGTGATCTCTTTTTTGCACTGCCCTGCAAGACGTTTTGATCAAGATTTGGAACGAATGCCGAGCTGCAACGGTGTGGAAATAATTAATTGTGATGAGTACTGGTGGCTCCTGGCGCCCCCATGTAGTGCATCGGTGGTATGTACGAATGTGATGTTGACAGTGAAAGATTACTAAGCAGACGATAGTACTATGATGTTCTTCCAGCTGTGGGCCTGCCCTCACTTCACTGAAGGGGCTGCCTTTTTTATGAGCGGGCGCATCAACGTGGATGAACATCATGACGTCGCTAATGCAAATAGAAATACAAATTGTCCTCTTGATCCGGTGTTCCCAACATCTGTCTGTTAATTGTTCACTGAAGCAGCCAGTGAAAACCCTGCGAAGCCAGTGGATGCCAGCCCTGCACAGGAATTAGGGCAAGATGACAATGTTGCCAAATCAGGAATGCATGACATAACCATGGCCTGTAGTCGGCTTGGGCCCAACCAGGACCTTGGCCTCGCTTCCAACGGTTCGCAAGCGTCTTGTATCCGATGATGAAAGAGCTGTGCGGACGAAATTGCTGATCACCATCTCCTGTGCGCTTTCGATTGGCAGAATTATCGGTTTCGTGGTGCATCATTTGTTTCGGATGTTCTCTACCTTGTAAGGTAAGCAGGTGATCGGAAGGTAATTATTCAAGTCTGAACAAAGTACAACAAAAGATATGGGACGGGGAGGCCAACGACATCTTACAGAATTTCCCGTCTTGGGTCGTATTCCTGGTGCGTGGGAGCGTCTTCTGCTGCATAAAGGTCAAAGTTGATCACGTAGAAGGGCTGACTGGTGTGACGAACTTGCAGACTTCACCCGAGATGTCGCCTTCAACTACGTCAAGCGTGGCTACCACCTACTATGTCGTCATGCTATTACACTCTTCCTCTTACCTGTGGGCGGCACCCTCGTGGTTCGTGTTCTTCCTCCTTAAGTACCAGATGATATCAGCCTTTTACTGCGTAGTATACTAGCAATTCTTCCGAGGATAATCACTGTTTTGCCTTTACTAGCCTATTGTTGTGAGTGACGTGGGTGGTGCCCTTACAGCTGGAGCTTGGCAATATGGCCAAGAGCGGGGAGCTCATGCAGATATGGGATGTCGCTGCAAAGACAAATCTGCAATTCAACATGGTCAGCTACAGTTTCCCCATTTATCTGTGCATCTCGGTACTGCAGGAGTTGCTGACTGACCCACTCCTTGTCTGAAGAAAGCTGGCACTGATGAAGTTGTGCCCCTCGCAGATCACTTTCATGGCCTGCTGCCTTCTGCTGACAATGGTGGCGTCTGTCTATGTCTTCTCGCGCAGCAAACCGGTGTATCTGCTCGACTACCACTGCTACAAACCGCCCGACGAGTGTGTTCCCTTTCCAAGGCCCGGAAACTGCGTTCCTGGAAAGCTTCACAATCTGGGACTGCATTTTGCGTTGTGGACAATGTCTGGCACATCCTGTCTGCTCACTGACGCCGCTGTGTTCCGTTCGCAGGTTGAAAATGCCCCATGCAAAATTCTTGGATCTGTCTCGGGACTGCAAGGCAATTTTCACCACATTTCTGGTGCCCTTTGCCTAGCCAGTGACTTACTTGGATGTCAGTCATTGCTTGGCTCTTCGCCACACTGATGTGAGCTCCTATGCCTGGTGCAGAAGTTCACTGAGAAGAGCATGGAGTTCCAGAGGAAGATCATTGAGCGGTCTGGGTTGGGCGATGAGACGTACCTGCCAGAAGGTGAGGGAACAAGAAACTCAAGGGGCTCCCCTACTGCCGCAGAGGTGGATGCTCCTTGATCCTTGCTGCAGGGTTCCTACTGCTGCAGTGCACCACAGAGCTGTAAAATTGGTGTGTCGTGCTCTCTGCAGCTGTGCACTCTGTGCCGGCCAGCATTTCCATGAAGGCGGCTCGGGTGGAGGCCGAGATGGTCATGTTTGAAAGCGTGAGGGAGGTTCTGGCATCATGCAACCTGAAGCCACGCCAGGCAAGCCCACCCCTCGCAACCAACCCCCGCTTAGCCCATGACATACATCTGCCTCTGCTCCGATCACCTTGTCCTGGCAGTGGTCCTGTGGGCTATGTCCTGCGTATTGTGTTGGTCCCATGCTTGACATGGGCTCGTCCTGTGCTTGAGTTGGGGTGAATGTGGAGGGGGGTTCAGGCGTGCTGAGGTGGCATGCTCTGCTGCTGCCAGGTGGACATCCTGATAGTGAACTGCTCGCTGTTCAATCCGACGCCCTCCCTGAGCGCCATGATCGTGAACCACTTCAAGATGAAGTCCAACGTGGTCTCGTACAACCTGTCGGGCATGGGCTGCTCTGCTGGCGTCATCGCCATCTCCCTCGCCAAGGAACTGCTGCAGGTGCGACCTGATCTTGGGTTAATCACTTGGTCCATTGTTCTCGTATAAGTCTCTCTTTGATCAGCATCCCAGGTGCAGGTGCATGCCTGATGCTCGGGGTATAGTCAGGATAACCTTTTGCATGTGCTGGTTGTGAGCTAAAGGAGATTTGAGATTGCCAAAGCTTGTTCTACTGCGCCAAATCCTGCAGGTCCTCACAGAGGCTTGCACACTTCAGGGGTCTCCTGTGGGATTAAGTTCACTGTTCCACAAAAGGGGGTCCATGGGAGACAACAAACAGTCCTGTAGGTTCAATGGTGCCACGAAGGACATGTCTCAGCTGTTTGGGAGTGTTGCATGGCTAGCGCCGGGATGTGAGGGGTGGGAGTCTGGCGGCAGGTGTACCCCAACAGCAGGGCGCTGGTGATCAGCACGGAGAACATAACGCAGAACTGGTACTTTGGCAACGACCGCGCCATGCTCATCCCCAACTGCCTCTTCCGCGTCGGGGCCGCGGCCGTCCTCATGTCCAACCGCCGCAGCGACCGCCGACGAGCCAAGTCAGTGCCCCCAGCCCACCCGCAGTGCAGTGCATCATTATCCTGTCTGTCAAACAACAGGCATTTGCACGCTGTTCCAAGTAAGGTCTACACACTATTTAAAGTTTTTGCCGCACAGTATGGTTGAATATTGATGGAGAAGACATGCCACGATTAACGTGAAGCAGCTGCAGGTAAAACGTAGAATTGCGGTGCTGCAAGTGTGGTGACGTGGATTGCTGACATGGCGTGTGCAGGTACGAGCTGGCGCATGTGGTGCGCACTCACATGGGCGCCAGCGATGCGTCCTACGGCTGCGTCTTCCAGCAGGAGGACGAGGACGGCACAGCAGGTACCGGCATCCCCTCTGCACTTTTTTTCTTATTACAGTACAAAAGTGGCACTGTCGAGGTGGCTGATGCTGCTGCCTTGCTGCAAAATTTTGTAGCGGATTTCTGCGCAGTAGTACGGAATCAATTGGCATAGCATGAGGAAAGTCATTCTTAAGTTGCTGGAAGTCGAGAGAGGGGTTATTGCAGAAGATTGGGGCCAAATTAGTGTTGTTCAAGGCTGGAAGGCCACTGTAATAGGGCAGGGGTCGAGGGTGTATTCTTGGTGTGGTGCAGGGGTGTACCTGTCGAAGGACCTGATGTCGATTGCTGGGCATGCCCTGAAGGCCAACATCACGACGCTGGGGCCCCTGGTGCTGCCCGTCTCAGAGCAGCTCTTATTCTTCATCAACCTTGTCATGCGCAAGGCACGCCCCTATGCCCATTGCTACGCTAGCTGGACGGCAGTATCTCAAGGGAGCCTGGCTCTTGTTGTGGTCCGATTTCCACGCAAGCAATGCAAACGCCTGAGCATAGGAGCAGTGCATGGCTGCTTCACTTCTGCAGCCCAGCACTGGGCAGCAGATACATGGTGGCTAACATTGTTCACCAAGCTCTCGCAATGTCAAAAACTGCGCGTACTACTGAAGCTGGTCGAGCAGGATCCAGTGCTCTGCATGGATTATAACTGGCAAATCCAATGGCGTTGGAGGAGAACTGAACAGACGAAGTTGACATGAGGGTACAATGTGAATGTGCAGGTGCTGAAGCGGCGGATAAAGCCATACATCCCAGACTTCAAGCTGGCGTTCGAGCACGTGTGCATACACACGGGCGGGCGCGGAGTGGTGGAGGAGATTGAGAAGCAGCTGGCAATGACCCCTGCGCTCATGCAGCCCTCCAAGGACACCCTCTTCCGCTATGGCAACACCTCCTCATCCTCAATCTGGTGCGGCCCTGCACTGCCCTTGAGTTAGTCTGAATGCAGTGGTCTCCTCTCTGCAGCTAAGGGTGTGAGGCAACCAATGCAGTAGGTTTACAAAGTCACCCTTTGTAACAAAATTTGTACGAAGGGTGACAAACTTGTGGGCACAAAGTTTGATGACTACAAATACAAAGTCATGCAATTGTGTCTGATGAGACGAGCAGCTTTGGTGCATGCATGCATATGTTCCTGTCAAAATGTGCAGGCATCCGCCTAATGACTCAGCGGATGCCACCAACAAAACTGGTCCCGCAGACTCACATGACCGGTCTGTGTGGGCTTCTCCAGCTGGTCAATTGGCAGTTTGGTACTCGGTAAGACTAATGGTACTGCTGTATGCATTGGCGTGCAGACAGCATGTGCTGAGAGAGTCCTGTGTGCGCGCAGGTATGTGCTGGCAAACATCGAGACAAAGGTGGGCGTGCGCCGGGGGGACCGCGTGTGGCAGATTGCATTTGGTTCCGGCTTCAAGTGCAACAGTGCCATCTGGCGAGCGCTGCATAACATCGACACGCAGCATTCTGTGTGGGCGTAGAGTAATGGCTGCGCCCGTTGCAAGCCCTGCGCTGTGCTGTACATTTTGAGCCACAGGCTAGGCTAGCGGCAGTGGGCTACAGCTGAGAAGTGAGTGTGTGTACCAAAGATTGCTATTTGACTTGCGTTGCGGCGATGAAGTTCAGGAATTTAGGCAGTACGGTGTGACATGCAGTCAGAGCATGTTTGTTCTGGAACGCAGAAGGCCCTGGCCAGATGAGGAATTTGTTCCTCCTGAGCAGGGAAGGCACGCGGGAATCATCAGTTCCTTGCTTGCAATTGGATTAATTTATCGTTCAAAAAGGGGAAGTCAGCATATTTGGTGAGATTCATGACCACATTCGGGACCACATACTAATTTGAAGCTTTCCAAAGGAAAGTGCAACGATGCATCGACTCCTTGGCCTGTCTGAGCCGTTGCGCAGGGTAGCCTAGAGCCTTGGAAGCCCATTTTGAACATATCATTTTCTTGGGGTCCTGTAGAAGACGCTAGAGCTGCCAGGTTTCCGTCATTTCTTGCTGTTGCATGTCATTTTGCGCCGCCATGTTATGGCAGCATTTGGGTGCTGCTGCATGTGGCAACTTGCCCACGTGCTCGAAGCAGCATGTGCACATGAATGGGCCCACGGGCTGATCAGATGCATCCTAGGATGGGCATATGGCATATAAAGAAATTGTGAGAGTAAGTCACCAGAAGTATGCTTGCATTAAGACACCATGTGTAAAGATTAAGGCAAACCCAAAGCTTCAAGCTTGCAGACCATTGGAGGCCTGAACTCCTCACGTGATCAGGTTGCCCATTCCAAGAATGAATTCACGTCTTGAGAGACGCTTATCAGACTGCAATCGCCTTGACAGACACCTTGAATACGATATAAACATATGTACAGTGACATAAGGGAATGGATCTCATATAATTGTAGAGTGATGAGTGGGTTGGCAATGCTGATCATTGGAAGAACACCTCCAGGCCTATGTTCCCTAAACTGACAAAGTTAAGGACCGTAAATTGTCTCGTATCGTACATTGATCAAGTGAATGTCGCACAACAGCAGATCATCAACGCACAGAAACCATTTCGTGGAGGAATACATTGCTGGCAGTCTTGCAGGAGGTGCAAATATTTACAGCGGCTATTCATTTGACACTGTCAAAGTCAGGTGAGAGGTTGCCTGCCAATCAGATTCATCTCGAGATTTTCGGAGCTAGTCGAAAGCAGCCCTAAAGCGTTATGCCTGTGAGTGCAGGCTTCAAGCTTCCCCACCAGGAGCTTACAAGAATGCATGGCAATGTTTCAGAGCTATTCTACAGTACGAGGGGGTACGTAGAATTGACAGCACTGGATCATTTGTGCTTTGCGAGGTGTGCATCGTCTGTTAGGTACCTCAGTATTGCCATTTCCTTGCAGGTCAGGGGTCTGTACAGGGGAGTCACAGCACCAGTGACAGGCGGCGCTCTTGAAACAGGCACGCGACTGCCAAGCCTCTCCTGTGCTTGATCCTTGATCAACCTGAACTGCCTCTTTGATGAGTGGATTGTGGTAGGGCATTCTGCATCACTGCCGTGAATGGCCCTGAGCAAAGACTGGTGCTGGACGCAGGCATCAATTACACGGTGTACACTTCAATGCTCAGATACCTGGAGGTAATGCAAGGCAGCTCCTCTTCTCATTCTTCAGATGTATGCTCGCACGGCAATCAGGGCAGCAATATTGACCAGGTTGCATGTGGAATGCAGGCAGATATAGCCAGACCAGATCTGGGATCGGTAGCACTGTCAGCAGGAGTCGCAGGCGTTGTCCTCAGCTCTGTGTTATCACCCTTCGAGCTCATCAAGGTGTCCCTTCCATTTGCCTTTTCTGCAGATGTGCCCGCATACATATACGTATCAGCCACGAGTCCTCACGAGTCCACGAATGATTCTTCATCATGCTCTTTCCATGTCATTGCTCGCACGGCAGCAGGCAGAGCTGAAGGGGCCAATACAACGGACTGAGGTGTGCTACTATTTGTGTGCGCTGCAGTGCCGGATGCAGATGGCGCACAGGAATGTGCACGGCGGGGCAAAGCCCCCGTACAGCAGCGGGATCACATGCCTGCAGCACCTGCTACGGACCGAGGGGCTACGGGGCCTCACCAGGGGTACGGGCGCTACGATGGCGCGGGAGACGCCCGGGAACGCCCTCTTCTTCACAGTCTACGAGCTGCTCCGGCGAGTCATCCCCGGCCGGCAGCCGTCGGCCGCGCCGTCTGGGGACGGCTTCCTGGCGATCCTCGGCGACGCGGCCAGCTCCATCGTGTGCGGCGGCCTGGCCGGCATGGTCATGTGGGCCACCGTGCTGCCCATAGACGTGGCAAAGACGCGCATCCAGACGGCCACCCCGGGGTCGCCGCGCGACGTCGGCGTCCTGCGCAACCTCACCATGATGCACCGCGAAGGCGAGGCTCACATCCCCTGCGCACTCGGTGCCTTGCGGATGAGGTCGCACGTATGAGGTCGCACGTTTCAAGGCACTGTAGATTTATACCTCTAGACCCTGGAATCCACATGGCCCTGAAACCCTTGAAGAGGACACGAAAGACAGCAATGGAAAGACATGTTTGGCTCCATCCATGGGGCTATTCTTGACGAATGGGTGTCACTAGAGGAAGGATGCAGAAGGGGGGCGAAAGTAATGGTGATGGAGGTTGACGAGAGAGTGTTGGGGCGTGCAGGGGGCGCGGCTGCACTGTATGCAGGCATCCGGCCAACACTCATTAGAGCGTTCCCTGCCAATGCTGCACAGTGGCTGACATGGGAGTGCTGCATGAGGTGAGCTCTTCACAGCTGCCATTCTTTCTTCAAACATTGGTTATTCTGCCACTCATCTGTCTTGTCTTCCAAATGCCGTAGGAGCTTGCTGCGTTAAGGCAATGTCTTGAGCTCTTATCAATGTCAAAATAAGTGGGGCAGGTTGCCTCATGTGCAGCAGGACACTCTATATGGTATGCTCTGGGAATACTGAGCCCTTTGTGTGTGGATGTTTCAGGGGTTACCGCAGATGGAGTGATGGGCACGCATGACATGCAGCAGGGGTTGATGGCGCATGCGCGTCACAGCTGTAGATTTGCATTAGCTGATTTCAACTTAGTGAGGGTTGCAATATTGTTTATTTCCAGTGCTGCTGTCTTTAGCAACACTAACAGAAGCAGTCTGTCGCAAATGATTGCCCGATTTCTGCTGCTGTGGAGAGCAGCTGTCGTTTCAAAGAGAGAGGATTGGACATGTGTTTGCCATGTGATAAAGAGACAAACAGCATTGAGAATCTCAATTTGAGATGGCCTGCTTTTACATGTTGTGATCCAATTGAGCAGGTCTGGATCTCTTGTGTTTCAACTGATCAGGGCATTGTTATTACTGCGAGATTGCATGCAGCAAACCCCAACGTCCTGAGCATGTCCCCATACAGAGATCTTATATCTCGGGGTTCCATGCTGCATGAGCACAACATGCTGCAAGTCCTCTGCTGCTCAACCAGCATCCCTCAAGTGCACCAGCTCAGAGAGCGTGTTCTTATGAAGCCTGCTATCTCCCATAAAAAGGGGCTGTTGCGGCAGAGCGCGCGATCAGCCGGCCTCCTCTCACCACTCCCTCCTCTCGCTGCATGACACAGATTGCTGCACTACAACAGCTGCTGCACTCCAAGCAGATCCCTAGAAGCGTTGTTCGGCACCCAACAGGCATCTCTGGCGAAGAGCTGGGAAGCTCTAAGTTTGGCAGCCAAGATGGAGTGAAAGCCCAGAGCATTTTTGGCCTTCATCCAATGCTGCAGCCAGCTGGTCTCTCTCAACTCGCAACCTTGTTAATGGCTAGTGTCACCAGTCGTGCCCCACAATCCTCTGAGGCCCTTCCTCCACTGTCGAGTCAACTGCGGGAAGATGAGCCGCTGAGCCCCCAGCTGTCAGTGGGGGGTCTTCAAGAGGGCTTGGTGGGGCTGTGGAACTGGTGGCCACCGCCGGGGCCTCTAATCCTCTGCTCAGGGGATCCGTGGGGGCCAGGGACCCCCGGGTGTTCCATGTGGGGTCCTCCCGGGCCGCCGGGCATCCCCATGTGGGGCCCCGGCATCATGTGCCCCATGCCTGGGCTGCCCTGCACCATCATGCCTGCACCAGTACCCCACACCCTCAGGACACTGCTGCTGCTTTGCAAGGGAAACATCTCAATGCTGCCTCCGTTCCACAATCATGCAAAACACAGCATCAGACTGCATCCTAACATAAATGCAACAGGGCATTGCTAAGGTATTTGCCAATATGTCAGCCACTCCTGTCATCAACGGCTGGCTTCTAAAAAGAACAAGTAGAGTGAGGGGTCTCACCGGGGCCTGCATACATCTGGGCCCGGGGCCCTCCCGGTCCCCCAGGGTGCATGGCGGGGGGCCTGGGCGCATACATCACGCCACCGCTGTAGGGGCTGCCCGGCACGCTGCCCTGCGGCACCAGGAAGGGGCCCGGACCTGGGTACGGCCGGAACATCATCTGCTGCTGCTGCGGCGAGCCTGCGCGCCCACACGACCCCCTTGTAAATGCAAAGCTCATTGCGAACCTCACTGGGCGTGCCTGCCAGATTCAGTGAAAGGATGCGGGGTACACTCAGCAGCGGCACTCGGACAACAGAATGCAGCTGGACCGAGAAATTTTTGATAGGTGAAGAAATCTTTGAAGCAGGGCCAGGAGTGGTAGGAAGAAGCGCATTGCGCACCTGGGACCATGAATGCCGGGCCGGGGACGAACTGCTGCGGCACAGCCCACTGCCCGGGGTGGGCGCCCATGGGCAGCCCGACAGGGCCGCCCATGTGGCCGGGCCCGGCCGACATCTGCAGCCCGGCCGAGGCCGACAGGGGGTGGAGCTGCCCCCCGTGCGGGGGTGGACCACCGGGGCCGCCACCTGGCCCATTCCTGCCGTGCTCCCTGTCCATGCCGCCGGGGCCACCGCGGCCGTCCTCCCACATGCGCCCCTCGCGATCCATCTGCCGCTCAAACTTCCTCTGTCCCCCTGCAAGCAATCACCAGCCGGTCTCACACCCCAGAGCAAGCTGGCATGCCCCCCATTGTGCTGCGGGCGCGGCTTGACACCGAAGAGTCACATTGGTAGACAGACAATTTTAATGTCGGGACAAGCGGCCAGTCCTGAGGAGGGGAGAGAAAAGCAAGTCACCAGAATGGGCAGAGGTGCTGCTATGGCTGCGCGAGTTGAGCCACTGGCTGGCGCCAGCGGGGCCGCCAAAGTGGCTGCTGCCGAAGCTATTCTGGCGGAATGCACTCGCGCCGCCGACGCTGGAGGCCGGAGTGGCCGGCGGCGTGGCCGCGGGAGTGGTGGCGGCCGAGAAGGTAGGCGTAAACTCCTTGGCGTTGGGGTTGAACAGGAAAGACTTGGCGTCCGGGTTGAGGCTGGACTTAGAGGCCGGTGGCCGTGGCGGCTGCCCGCTGCTGGGCTGCCTGCCTGCGCATTATTAGGGGCCCGTTTTACAAGCTGATCCTTACATAATTATGGTGAAGTGAGTCGGGCTTATACCAGCTTATAGGACTTCAATGCCTGAAGCACCCTGAGATAAATCAAAAGCCTTGTGTGAGTCATTAAGCGCTGGAGCCTCTCAAGCTTTCACTGGAGAGCAGCATGCTCACTAGCATGATGAAATGAAAACGGGTGAGAGGGAGCAGCACCGGCAGTGCCCGGGGAGGCGGCAGCGGCGGCTGCGGGGACAGGTGCTGAGGTGGAAGGCGGAGCGGGGGGACCCGGGGGCGCATCGGAGGAGAAGGAGGAATTGGAGGGGGGCGCAGAGGCGGGGGACAGGACGCCCCCCGCCTTGGAGGACCCCGCGGAGGAGCTCAGCGGCGGCTGGTCGCCCCCCGGTTTGCGCCCGCCGGACGCCAGGTCGTGGCTGAACGAGCGCAGATCCGCTGCCACCGTCCTGTCGTGCACGCACTCGGAATTTCAATCGCATGGCGGCAACAAATTGGTGAGGCATGTTGTTCGCCGGAAAGGACACCCAGGTGTGCACACAGGAGCGACCCTTGCATCAAAAACCGCAGACACCAGGTATCTGACAGGTGTGCCATCCTGCAAGTAATTTGGCAGTGGGCAGGGTGCGCACCCCTCCTTCCGCTTTGTCTTGAACTCCTCGAACTCCTTGCGCGTCTTGCGGTCGATGCGCGCCACCCCCGGGTTCAGATCCAGCGCCTCGACCTGCAGTTTTCAGCCCGCCAACAGTCAGGCCTTGAACTGAAGCGCGAATATCTCGGCAAGTTCCACGAACGGCACCCAATGAGACATAAGTGCTGCCTGGTAACAACACACAGAGACAGGCTGCCCAAGGCAAAAGCCCGGTGGTAAGTTCAAATTGCACGCTGCCGATACATAGAAATGGGCAGATGCCCCTTCCTGAGGAAGGTATCAAGAGCACTGACTAGTATCAGCAGAAAACGACAGTAATGCATGGGGCGGCAGCATGCGCACCTGGATGGAGTCGCCGACAAGGGGGGAGGCAAGGGGCGAGCGAAGGCCCTTGGGAGTGCCGTAGGATGAGGGCGAGGAGCGGTCCTTGCCCTTGTGCACGGCGCCGCCCGTCATCTGCAGCCGCAGCTTGTTGTGCTCCTTGCGCGGGTCCACCACAGCCACCGGCGCCGTGCGCACCTTCCCTGGCGGCTCCCAGGAGTTGCCCCTGCGCACGCAGAAAAACCCAGGTGATCTCATTGCACCATGCTGCTTCTTATAGCAAGGATGCTCCATTGAAGCCTTCCAGCAGCATCCCAGTAGGCGTACATGAAGCCGTAAGGTAAGAGCAACTCCAGCAGCAATGTTGCATGAGAAGGAGCAGGCAAAGTAGCAAAAAGGGCCAAACCTGCCGGAGACGACGGCGACACCAGCGCCGGCGTTTCCCCAGGCGGCTCTGCGCGGGCCCTCGGCGGGCTCGCGTCCGGAACTGCTCGCGGGTTTGCTAGAGGTGTCGCTGACAGCGTCAGCCCCAAAGGTGATGTCGTTTGCCGAGTCGGCCGGGCGCGCCGATGCGTCGTCGTCCGGTGCCCCACGCGTGACCGAGGAGTACAGTTCCTCCTCGTCAAGCTGCCGGTCACAAAAACATGCATGCTTCAGTTTGGCGCTTCAAGGATACCATGCATGTACATCATGGATGTGTCCGCTCACCGCATGACAGGCTGCCCCTCTTCAAGCCCAAATGGATGATACATGAGTCTCCCCCGATGGACATTGGTGCCCAACAGCAGTGGCTGCTGAAAAGAAGCTGCCCAAGTGCTCCTGATCAAATTATGCAAAAGGGATTGCTGCCACCCATCATCAGGAGGTATCCTTGAGTGTCTCACCTCCTGCACAGAGTTGTCTTTGAGGCCCCTCTCCTCTGCCATGTGCCGGTTCCGCGTCGCCTGCCTCTCTATCTCGGTAGCAATGCGCGCGGCCTCTGCCTCGGAGATGCCAACCTTTGTCTTGTCTAGCTTTGTAGTGTACAGGTTCTCATCCCACGTGGTCTTCACCTGGAGAGCAATCATGGCATTAGCGTATGCCTCGAAAGTATAGTCAGCCCACACACTGCACCATACCGCTCTTGGCACAGCTGCATGCTGATCAATGAAGGGGTGCCATCTGCATGCACAAGATTCCCACCTGGAATTTCTGCCGGTTGGTTTCAAACTGGTCCCAACCAGTGACGCTCCCGGCGTTGGGGCGGCCAAAGGTGCCTCCAGCATTCAGGCTTAAGTCTGGCTCCGTTACTGAGCTGTCTGGCTGCCAGCGGGTCAGCTCCCTTTCCACCCTGCACATATCCGTGCCAGCATCTCAGGCAATCGTCTCTCAGCTAGTACTATTAGCATTCAGAACGGCCAGTACCAGCGATGGCAGGGCGAATCAATTATGGTGATCTTCTGGCTCACAAAGGGCCTAGGATGCTGCTGGGGTCACACCCGCCACGCCCTTTGGAGATCTCAGAATCCGTCTCAAAGGCGTTGCCACCATTGAGCGGCCCGCTCAGCTCCTCTTCAGAGAGATCCACGTTTTTGGCGAGGATCTGCACGAGGTCTGCTGACGGGATGAGCATCTGCTTCACAGCAGGTGTGGCAGTGGCAGCGCTCGGCCCTCTCAAAGTCCTTGCCCAATGCAGCACGACGTTCAAATCCTCATTTTCGGGGCGCATTTTGTGCAATATTCCCTCGTAGATCGTCCCATCCTTCACCTGCAAAACCAGTTGTTGCAGCTATGAACCCAACCACGTGTACCCAACATTGCCCTTTGCATTTGACATGCTCAATTTCAACTCAACCGTAATATAGCTGGCCTCACCTGCACCTCTACCTTGTACCCCACAAGGACTTGAGCGACAAAGAGGATCCGATCGTTGGTAAGGCCTGTTGCGTTGAAGCCCACAGTCGTTTTCTGAGCTGTGTCCGGCACGCTGCGACCCCCTTGCTGCATCTTACCTCCTGCCGGTGCGGCCTTTCCAAGGGGACGAGGCCTGGGTGGAAAGACTGACATATTTGCCTTTGGGTATCAATCAGGTGAGAGCCCCGAGCAGCACTCACATGATTCAACCATCCACACCACGTATGCCATCCTGAGGGCTACCAAGGGCCCAACGAGTCTCATCTGACACAATTTGTGCCAGTGTGTGTGTGTGTGGGACAGGGCTTCGAGGGAGACTCGAAACCGCGTGCCTATAGGTTACTCATCATGCAGCCAGAACAGGCACCTGCTCTGCTCTCGCCAATCACTACAAGCGGCAGTCGAATGCCAAAGGAAACACACCAAACGAAGGGTGTGCGTTGATACGTTAACGTGCAGTCATGTTTGGCGGGAGCTTCTTTGGAGGCGGGGGCTTCCCCGGCGGCTTCCCTGGCGCAGATATGGGCGGGATGGGCCGGCCTAAGAGCGACAGCACGAGATATTACAAGATCCTCGGCGTGGACAAGACCGCCAGTGATGCAGAATTGAAGAAAGCGCACAGGAAACTAGCACTGAAATTGCATCCGGACAAAGGTGCGCCTTGGTTTTGGACACGATGAAACGGTTCTGTCCTCCCTTTGTCTTCCCTGATCTCTGCCCGCATTGTAGCCATGCACGTTGATGCACCACTTATTACTTGCTTCTCGGGATTGATGGTGCTCAGTATTAATTTGGTTCATGCATGTGGCCGCCATTTTCAAGCTAGGCGCGATGGAAACAATTGGAAGGTTCCACGCAGTTGTGAAGTTTTTGCCTGTTGGGCCGGCAGCACTGCTGTCAAGTGCATTATAAATGAGTTCAATTTCGTATTGGGCGCTGATCAACCCTTTTGCAGCAATGAAATTACCAAGATCGCTGCATACTGTGTGAGGTTGCTATTACTAGATGTGGTCTTAGTTTTCAAATCCCAGTGGGAAACAAGACCTAGCTTAGGTTGATTCTTGTTCGCGCCTTTGAAGACTTATTCTTTCACTGGGTGAACAAAAAAAATGCAGGCATTTCTCATCTTTTCACGTTGGTGCCTGCAGGCGGTGACGAAGAAAAGTTCAAGGAGATCAATGAAGCCTATGATGTTCTGCGAGACCCTGAGAAGAGAAGAATATATGATGAGGTGCGTACGAGATGTATACTTGCATTGATCTTCTGTGCATGCGTTCTTTACCATACAGGCTCGTGACCCCGCATTAATCACCATACTTCAACCTAGGGAGGAACAGTCTCTTCAAAGAGGTTTGCAGCGCCAATATCAGTGAGGTGTCACATGCAGAGGCTGTGACTGCCTCCGCTCTCTTATTGCATCCCATTAAATAATGCATCTTCTTGTCTTTGACTGCCTTAGCCTTACTATGCCGGATCTGTTGTGCAGTATGGAGAGGAGGCTGTGAAAGAGGGCGGCCCCGGTGGCGGCGCCGGAGGCATGCAGGACATCTTTGACATGTTCACGGGCGGCGGCGGCGGCCGCAGGGGGCAGCCTCGGGAGCGGCGCGGCGAGAATGTGGTGCACAGGCTCAAGGTCAGCCTGGAGGAGGTCTACAACGGCGGCACACGGTGCGGAGCGCAGTCTCTTGAAGGATTTCACACCTCTGGTCGTGAGTACTTGTGTGGTGAGAGATGTTGAGTCTCTGTAAAACATGACATCTCTTGAGGGTGTTGATGGCTAGGTCTTCATTTTGGTTACTTGACAGGAGTATCGTTGCATAGGCTAGTACTTGTAATCTGTGGTTGTGTAGTGCAGTCAACTATAATAATAGAGGGGTTGCATTAGCGGATTGGCATTGCTCGCGAGGAGCTGTTGTTGATGCCCTTGGGGCTTTATGGTGTGCAGGAAGTTGTCACTCGCGCGCAACATCAAGTGCGACACCTGCCAAGGGAAAGGCACAAAGTCCGGGCGGCAGTATACCTGTGAGGTGAGCATCAGGAACCACTTCCTTTGCACGCAAGAGTCACCATTCCCAGTGCTGAGATGGGTCCTTTTTATCTGCTGGTGCCCCTGACTTGACAAGAAATTTGGCAAGGCACTTTGCCTCAAGTATTGACACCTGGGCTTTGCTGCAGACGTGCCACGGCAGCGGCGTGCAGGTGATGATGCGGCCGCTGGGCCCAGGCATGATGCAGCAGATCCAGCAGCCCTGCTCCCGCTGCAACCAGACCGGCTACGCGACACCCCCCCACGACACCTGCGCCGACTGCCAGGGCAAGGTGCGCTGACCTATCTGGACTTTCTTCACGCAGTCAAGACTCTGTGACCGCCTCCTCATTGGCAGCACTTCAGATTGTTGGAATGCTGTTAGCGCCGTCACATCGCTCACCGCTTGCAGCATGCCTGATATGTCTTGCAGATGTTCAAACCATGACGATGCATCTCCGGCATGACATATGAATTGAAGCTGCGTGGACAGCACGGCTGATGTGTATGCCAGATATGTCTTGCAGATGTTCAAACCATGAAGGTCAATCTGCGGAGTGACATATGAAAGCAATCTCTGTGGACAGCACGGCTGACATGTAGATCACTAGCGATGACAATCTGTCACATCTCTTCTGCTGCAGGGGCTGATGCCGGAGAAGAAGGTGTTTGAGGTGCACATCGAGCAGGGGCACAAGTACGGCGCCAAGGTGGTGCTGCGCGGCGAGGCGGGCATGAGCGAGCTGGGCGTGCTCCCGGGCGACGTCATCTTTGTGCTGGAGCCCAAGCCCCACAAGACCTTCAAGCGCGTTGGCAACGACCTTATCCTTGACAAGGTGCGCCCGCCTGCCTGGTCCTCAAACTCTCCAGTGACATGTGCAGGACCTCTGGTAGCAGACTCTGCGAATTTGACTCAGGCCATGAGGCATGGATTGCTTTCCGTTGCTGGGGTACACAATGGCACTTTGGTATTGATTTGCCAGACTCCCAAGCAGTGTGTTCATAGCCTGCAGTGCACTTTGGAAGCTAGCTGGAATGGCCCTCTGATTGGAAAGCTCTGTGGGTGCGCAGGATATCTCGCTGCAGGAGGCGCTGTGCGGCTTCAGCTTCAACGTCACCCACCTCGACCAACGCGTCCTGCAGGTGCGCTCCCCGTCTGATCCCAAGCACTTGCTTCTTAGGTAGCTGTGCACGTGCTTTGAGCCAGGAGCAGGATGTGCACAATGATGCAGTGGGGTGCGTTCTTACTGCTCAGAGATCAGACAGGGCATCGTGGACAGGGGAGGCAGTTGCAGGGGAATACGGTGGTCGTGTCCATTGGGCAGTGCAAGGGGCAACAATGGCTGGCCATCTCCCTTAGGCGAGCACAGTAAGGGGTTTGCGGCCATCGCATTGATGGGTGGTATGGTGTCTTCTGCGCAGGTGTCGCAGCCGGCTGGGGAGGTGGTGAAGCCCAACAGCTGGAAGTGCATCACGGACGAGGGAATGCCGGTGCACGGGCGCCCCTACGAGAAGGGCAACCTGTATGTGCACTTCAACGTCAAGTTCCCGACCACGCTCACCCAGCACCAGGTGGCCGCCATCCAGCAGGTGCTGCCGTCCGCGTCGCGCGACTCCTCCGAGAATGGCGTCATGGACGTCGACAGCGAGAACGTACGCCCCCTCCTCCTCTCTCACACTTTCATGGTGTCCGCTATCTGCGAAAAGCTCCATGCCGACACTTGTCCGTAATACACTTCATCGTCCGCTGGCATCTCCATGCCGGCATTATATCAAGCTTGGTGGACAGACTGCCAGCAGCAGCAGCAGCTTGTTGTAATCTTGCAGCTCAGTTTTGAGATCGTCTACTACAATATCGCTCTAAAGGGTCTGGACAGTGGGCTACCGACCAGCACAAGCAGCAGTGAAGATAGCAGAAGGTCTTTGGAATAGATTATAGCTTGGAAGGCGTTGTTGCTGAGGGTGTTGTCTGGTGCGATGCGCAGGTGACGATGCGGCCGGTGGAGGACATAGAGGAGGAGCTGCGTGCACGGCGGCAGTACGCCAAGTCAACCGGCGGCAGCGAGGCCTATGACAGCAGCGACGACGAGGAAGGCCGCGGCGGGCAGCGCGTGCAGTGCGCCCAGCAATGATTGCGGCATTCCCACCGCAGCAGCGCCCACCTCCGCCGCTGCACCTCCGCCGCTGCATGACCGAGGGGTTGTGTGCTAAGCACAGCTGCATGTTCCCTGCGGTGCTCGTGGGCCCACCAGCTGGCTTATGGGCAGCTTCGCATGGAGAGGGAAGGAAGGGCATGGCGGCTGAAGCTTGGCAGCATGATGTCTTGGGCTGAGGCTCAGGTGCAGCTGGTGAGGCAAAGGCGTGAAGCTGAGGCTGCTCTGAGACCGCAGCTGGCATAAACGCCTGGGATTGGGGAGACGTGCCGGGCCGGCTGAAATGAAGCGAACGCCTGGATCTGCGTGCTTTGACGGGATGCAGCAGGTCTGTAAATAGAAAGTGCTGAGGGGCAATTACATAGGCTGATCCTGCAGGTGCCCTCCAATGGGTTGGCTGCATGCCCAAAGTTTTAGCAAAGCTATCCCTGTGTGAAGCCTCCTTGCAATACATTCTTGCACCGCTCTGTTGTGGTGGAACATCTGGGGTGCCTGAGTGGAGATCAAGGTCAAACTAGAGGGACCAGCTAACATAGGTACCTGGTCAACCATTCCAGGTGGTATGGCTCCAGAGCAACACTATCCGTAGTGAAACAAATGCAGTGCAATTGTAGTTTATGTACTTGTCCCCATTTTCTGAAATGCCAGGTGCTTTCAAAGTTAGGCTCAAGCACATTCAACATATGGGTGTCCTGGACATTTCGGCTTTCATTAAATGGCATGGTTTCTTGACCTGTGCCCCCTTCAAGTTGAGCTGCTGTGCATGTGTCAAAGGAGACATATTGGTGGTAAGAGCACTGCGGTAAACTTGCAGTAATTACAATTGTCAATATGCTGCATGGACAGCGGAAGTATGCAAAATCTCAAGGCACGCATGCAACCTGCGGATGCAAGTAGTGCTGCAGCTGCTCCAAGCATATGCAATATGATCACGCTCCAGTACTTCTGATCAAGTAGTTGGCCAGGCCGATAGCTATAGCGATTAACTTGCAGCGGGCACTCCCAGGAGTGCCCATCCTCTGTGCCCCACTGCTTTACTGCTGCAGCCACATGCGCCGACGTTGACAGCTAGTCACGAGTCTCTTGAGTAGCTCAGCATCAAGTGCAAGGCAACTTGAGGCAGCATTTTTTGTCCAGAGGGGGGAACGGTCCCCCCAACATTTGAAAAAGATCTGGTGACTTCATTCCGGTTTCTGCACCAACAAAAATGGTCTCTGATTTCTAACAAGTCAGTTTTTCGGGATGAATATCTCAGAGAGCCTTCTGCTGCTCGCGGTAATTGTCCAGAGCCTTTCTTTCTCCACATGCAAAGCACTAGATTTCTCGAACGGATTCAACAGCAAATTGGATTGGAACCCACCGGAGCTCCTTTTGGTGAGTACGATTTTGAGATCGCTTTTCACTCTTGACTGCCAGATCGCTTTGTGCAATTGCTTTGTAGGAGAAGATCACCGATGTTGCCTGGTCGTAATGCACCAGTTGCACCGCGCAAATCTCGATATGTCTCATCTATGTTTGCATCCCTAGGCATCTTTGATTTTTTTTTGAATCACACGAGTGTGTGCATGCTGTAGGAACCCACCTTCGTGAACGACAAGAAGGCCATCTTATTTATATTTTCACAACCATGGTGCGGAGCTTGCACGAGGCTGAAGGCCAACTTTATGGAAGACGGAGAGAAGCTCCTTGACATCTCCAAGGACTTCCTGCTGATCAATGTCGGCGGTGATGACAACAACAAGTTTGGGGTACGCAATCGTTGCCTAGAAGAGGAACTCCCAGTGGCTCTCTTTACCTGTAGCTAAGATGTCCTACTCTTGTCCTGCTCTTTCTGCTCCCTCAAATCCTCTGCTAGCCCCTTCTCCTTGCATGGCCAGTACAATCACAACAAGGTGGGATTGTGCAGGCGGAGTTTGCACCAGATGGGGGCTACATTCCACGCATTGTGTTCGCCGAGCCAAACGGCACATTGCGCACAGACATCAAGAATCCAGCCAGTCCAGACCAGTACGCTTACTTCTACCAGAGTGTGGACCAAGTCAAGGCCGGCATGGAGAATGCCCTCAAGGTGCTGGCGGAGAAGAAGGTGCCAGAAGCTAAGCCGGAGGAGCTCAGCATTAGCAAAGAAGCAGAGAAGGCTACAGACAAGACCAGCGAACTGTGATGTGGGTCCAATGAGGAGAGGTACAAAAGCACCATACACAGATATTACTGAGACAGGGCGATCGAGTAAGACATTGACTCTTGGGAAGGTGCCTCCAATGTTAGTTTCACACCCAACCAGAGAGGTGAGAAGTGTCATCGTGGGAATTCATGTGGAAGATCACTTGGGCAAATGAGATCTTGCAGGAAGTTGTTGGAGAGTTGTGAATCCTCAAGATGTGATATTCCTGTGGCTTGCACATGTGATTTTGGGGACTGCAAAGATCATTGCAGCCACCAGATGATACTCGATAGCTACAAACAATAAATATTCCAAACTTAAAGATCTGCCAATATCAGTGATCTAAATAACGATTACCCACCAATAAAACTCACTATGACCAACTGCCAAGCTATTCCCAATGCACACAATGTCAACACTCCTTATCATGGATACACACTTCCAATGATCCTTGCCTAGAAGATCTGCATGTGACTGCAATGCTGCGTGAGCTACAAACCATTGAGCACCGCTCCTCATTGAGCACCACCGGATTCGTCCAGGCTGTGTCCACTAATCACAAAAAGGAAGTAAACGCTTGCAACAACTGCATGTTCATCCAGCTGGCTGCAACGCTAAAGGAATGGGGCCTTGCAACTGCTCAATCGACACCTGGACACAGCCTGCCCAAGTCTTCGTGCTCTTACGTCCAATGTCTATGTCCAATGGTCTACTGTCCTTTGATGCCACATCGGCTGTACAGGACTCAACTGATTGATTGGGGCGAAATATGCAAAAGGCACTATCTTTTGCAAACCAAGATACCCACCAGGAAATAAACGAAACACCCAGTCCGAATTTGCTGCCATGAAGGCATCTTAGTGCATTCATTATTATACATCCAACTTGTCATGATCACCACACCAATTTATGCCTCAAATGGGCAGCTTCTTCTCGTATCGTTAGCTTGGCAGAGAGCCATACTACCAGACGTCCTTCTGGATACGGCCGGCGTCCGACATGCGCTTGAGAACGGCCTCAGCCTGTCCCGTGCTCACGCCATTCGCCTGTTCCACAATTGCCACCGCCGCCCGCGCAACATCCTGCCACATGCCATAACTCTTCAGTTCAAAATGATTTCAAAATTTTATCAACCAAAACACTCCCCCTAACATGTATTGGAGAGCCAGCGCTGGCGTGCCTAACCTTGCAGGTGTGAGATTGTTATCATCAACTTCACTACTGCCTTAAAAGAATAGATCACGTCCATTTGTGCGCAGGGAAGCCAATCCGGCATAATGCAAACAAGCACTTGCATGACTGTACATCAAGCCTGCATTGTGGGAGCAGCTGAGTCAGCAAGGGGGGCGCTGCCGCACCTTGGCCATGTGCTTGGCGTCCCCGCACACGTAGAAGTGACCGCCGGCGCCGGCGCCCTCGCGAAGAACGGGGGCGATCAGCGCTGACTCGCGCGCCATGTGGTGCTGCACGTAATCCTTGGTTTTGCCGTCGCGCGAGAAGGCCACGAAGAGCTTGGTGATGGTGCCGTCCGCCGCCCAGGCCTCCAGCTCCTCGCGGTAGATGTAGTCGTGCGCGCGCTTACGGCAGCCAAAGAACAGGTACGCCGGGGCCAGCTTGGTGCCTGCCGCATGCCAGCCACAGCCTCAGCACCATGCACCAGCAATGTTTTTCCAGCAGCCCCCAGAGATTATCCGCACTAGCGATGAATGATTCGGGAGTGCAGCTGCCCATCTATCTTTTTAAGGGCCCAAAAGCTGAGAATCTTGCATGACAAGGGCATAATATACAGACTACCTCAAAACGTACAAGGGAAAGATGAGGGCAGATATAGCTCCGTTCTCGGAATGAAGTGGTCTAGTGCAGACCATCTGGTAATGCTGAGGAGTAAAATTCCATTAGTAGACAATCCACTCTCAAGTCATCAGAATTAAGGCTTCACAATGGGCTGGCAGCGCGCACCTTTAGCGGCGAGGGCGGCGCGCTCCTGCAGGAAGCCGCGGAACGGCGCGAGGCCGGTGCCGGGGCCGACCATGACGATGGGCGCGGCCGGATCGCGCGGCAGCCGGAAGCTGCTGTGCCGCACAAACACCGGCACGCGCGCGCCCGGCGCCTTTTGCTTCAAGAAGTACGACGTAATGCCCTCGTGCACCCGCCCTGTCGCCATAGCCAGGCAACCAGCGTCAGCCGCCATCACATAGTATTCACACATTTCAACCCTCCATAGCAACACAGCGCAGTGCAGATAGACTTGGACGTGCCAGAAGGGAAGCAGGAAGCGTTGATTAACAAGTATATCTTAGGAGCAACACCTGTGGCGGTGGTTTCCAGGACGACGGCGCAGGTGACATGGATGGATTTGGGGTGCGGCAGGGGGGACGATGAGATGGAGTAGAACCGCGTCTGCAGCCGCTGCATAACAGAGCCGAAGAAGACGCCTGAACATCCACAACACTGCCACGATTAATATCTGCTGTGACCCCTCGATACATTTCCAAGATTATTTCGAAACCCGACAGCAGCACACCAGTATCGCAAAAGCATACCAATCAGAAAGAGGTCCAACAGCCAAAGCTTGCACTCACCCAGCGGGGGCTTGATGCTGGGGAATTCTTCGAGGACCTCCAGCAGGCAGCGGCTCTGCTGGTGCCACGCCTTGTACTCCGCGGCGCCATCTGGCGACAGCAGCCGGTGCAGCCGCGCCGCATCCTCGCCGTCCGCAAATGCTGTCAGCGCCTGCAGCGCCGGCTTACTCACCGGCGACAGCAGATCCGCATACCGCGCCAGTGCCGCCCTCAGCGTGATCGCGCCACCTGCCACACATCATCGCCATCTGTTGTCAGGCACTGAGACGCCTTTTTAGGATAGCTGACCGTAGCCTGGACCAAGGCTGTCTCGTTTCAGGAGCAGGGGATGCACTGCGCGGCCCTTCCACACCTATTCCTCCGCCGATATCAGCTTGCCGCCTGGAGTGTAAAGAGGGCAACAAATTGCATGCCAATCAGCCCGCAGTTCAGAGGACAATGCCAAATGAGGAGGAGGTCAAAGTAGTTCACCTGCAAAGGGCTGCGCCATCTTCTGGGGGTTGCCCTCGGGCACGCTCAACCTGAACACTGTCTCTGGTGGGTACCCTAATGCGGCTGCCGCCCGCTCAACCGACTCGCTGCTGTTCTCTGGCAGGATGCCCACCTGTGGCAGCAAAAATCATTGTCAGATCAGCCCCAGCTTTTTATGCCAGTAATTATAACTCCCAATGGAGAGCATACAAATTAAAGTTCATGGTATGAGCTGGTCAATACGAGCCGCTTGCACCAACAAAAGACTCAAAATAGCCTGTCTGATTCCAAACACAGCATCCAAAACAACCACTCGGGCAAGCTGTGCACTACCACCGCACAGACAAGTTATTGCTTTGGAAGGCAAAAGCAGCCTGAGCAGAGCAGGCGCTCACGTGGTCTCCAGCCTCATAGCTGATGTCAGAGCCGCTGACATCCAGCTCAATGTGGACGCAGGAGCGGTCGGACTGCGGCGAGTGCAGCTCGCGCACCACCCCGATGCGCGCAAGGAAGGGTGAGTCCTTGCTGGTGCCGTTGCCGGACACCGGCGCATCAGTGGAAACATCCTCGGCCCCCGCCGCGTCCGCGCCAGTCAGGATCTCCACCTGGTAGCTGGGCACTGTTTCTGCCGCCGCCACGATCTGTGTCACTCCTGGCTCGCCAGTCTGCAGATCGGCACATCCCACCGCTCAGCCAGGACACTTAACACTGCGCACAATTTAAGCATGCAAGGCAAACCATGAAGACCATGAGAGCCACTGTGCAGGCAAGATGTTGCATGAAGGGGGCACAAGGCGTGATAGCTGGAGAGTGGGCAGAGGAGCGCGCACCGTGCTCTTGGCGAGCACATCAGACTTGTCCAGGGAGGCGTACAGCTCCGTCCGCCATGACTCAAAGTCGGCCTCGATGTCTTCGTCATCGTCGCCGTCGCCGCGGCGCACCAGAGCGCGACCTCCTAGGTTGACCAGCGCCTTGTGCACGCGCTTGCCCACAGCGCAGAAGTGCTCGTACTGTTTGTTGCCCAGGCCAAAAACGCCAAAGGACACGCCCTGCACCAAGGTGGCCATCGGATGAGATCACCAGCAGGTGTTCGTTAGTGCGAATTGTAAGTGTAGTATCCTTCAATCCTTGTTGGTCCTTGTGCAAACCTTGGAAACTCAGGAACAAGAAGATAAACGTACATGTGATCTACATTGGATCCATGTCCAATAATATTATGCCTGTCAAAGCAACACTGCGCAAATACATAAGAGCCTGCTGTGGGGGGTGCTGGTCAAAGTGAGAAAAGGGTACCTCCAAGAGCTTGCCGTTCCCTATTCCCTTGTCCACATCCGAGGAGGCCTTCAGGAGCCACCCATAGAAGTCTGCTGCATTATCTGTCGGCTCTCCATCGCCGTAGGTGGCCATCATGAAAAAAACCACTGTCTCCTTGTGCAGCTCCTCCGCTTTGAACTCCTCCATGTCCAGCACCTCATACCGGTTTCCCTCGCCATACCGTGTTGCCAGTTCCGACTTCAATTGCTTAGAGAACCTCTCCGCAGTCCCGGTCTGCGTGCCGAAGAGAATGCAGACCTTCGGTCTGTCGTCCTCCTTGTTGGCTGCCTGCTCGCCGTTCAGGAATATTGAGGCCTTGCGGCCGGCCCCTGGCTTGCTGCTGCGATGCCGATACAGTAGGACCACTATGGAGAGCACCAGAACGATGACCGAGGCCAGACCCAGCGCGGGCAGCAGCGGCTGCGACGCTAGCTGGTCGGACATTGACCTTGCCTGTAACTTCTGTCCCCCAAACTCTCTTGCTCTTCAATGCGCACAATGATCCCCACTCACTAATAACGAATCTGTCTCTGCGTGGCCAGATCCAGCAGGTGCTCAGCCTTCGGGTATCACAGTGGAAACTCTGTCTGTGGCCGCGCCCTCATGATGACGTTGCCATTACCAATTGGCAATTTGCAAATGCTGTGTTGGCTTCCTCGGAAATTTGCAACCTGAACGGAAAGATCACCTCAGCCCATCGTACCTCGTAGATCTTGATCAGCCCATCAACGATACATTTCGTCAGCCAAAGTCCAAAAGCCCACGAGGGTGGCCTTCCTTGTCGCGCTATGGAATTTAGGTAGATGCGCATGGAAGGTGGACTTTTCCTCGACTTTGTCCTGTGCTGATCGGCTTGATGGCGCCATGAATTGAGACCAATGTAAAAATTGAGGCCCATGTCGAGCCTGAGGACCCAGTCAGCTGATTGCTGGCATGGAGCACACTGACCAGGGTGAGCCGAGCAGAGCTTCTGCCGAGGCAGAGCGAGTCACATGGGAGGGGATATACACAGACGCCTCTTTCAGGTACTTAGCGCAGATCATGTGATCATATCCACAATCGGATCATGTGCAGTCCTGCTCCAGAACAGTACTGGACACCCACGCCCCTTGCAGGGAGGAGGTGCAGAGATGGCGCACAGAGGACATAGAGCAGAAGGTCCTTGGCAATGCAGTCGTGCTGTGGGAGCGCTACGCGGAGCAGAACCGGCGTTTTGTGGAAGAGCGCTCGGAGCAGCTGAAAAGTTTTGCCAACCTTGCAGCTCTCATCACCGGCTTTGCCATAGTCGCCTTTCTGCAGGCATGCCACACTTTCAAAATGTTTGTTTACATGCATTACCTGCATATTGCCGAAGCGTGCATCCCTTGCCCGGCGCCCCGAGTTGACCCCGTCTTACACCAGGCACACTGTGACTGCATGCAGTTTGACTTTGATGTGGCGGCCGCAAACCAAGGCGTGATCCTAGCTTTTGGAATGACCATGGCTTTGGTGGTGCGATGCCCTACCTTGCCCCAATTTTTGCTTTTCAAGCCATCACCCCTCTCCTCTGATGATTGGAATAGAAGCAGTTGGGTGCCCATGCATTAACATTTTGTGATGGGGAGAGTGGCGAGGGGCCGACTGCTTGACTGAGAATCATGTGTGGCCAGGTGGGGCTCAGCATTAACTCCATGTCATTGTGCGGCCTGATACATGCGGCTGTCATGAAGACGGGCAAACAGTATGTGGCGGAAGCTGAGGAGGCAGAGTTCATGCGGCGATGCCGCGTCTTTGCCCTGCAGTAAGCGCCCTTCCTTGGAATCTTTCAGGTCTTCAGACATCTACAAATATTGTATACTCAGAAGGATCTCAATTGAGGGTCCGGCAGCTTTTGCCTGAGGTGGGCTGGTGGCGTGCAGGTACCGGAAAGGCAATAGCCCACCCCAGCCGCGCCGCAACATCCAGAGCTTCTGGCAGAATCACTGCGAGGCTGAGTGGCAGCGGGCGTTCTTCATGTTTTCTGGAAGTGAGTGTCTATGTTCTGCTCCCCCGCTGACCATTTAAGGCATGATGCATTATGTAATTGAGATACTGATGGCCTTTCCTTGCTGCAGGTGTCTTTGTGTTTTATGCAAACCTCACTCTGGCCTCGTGGATCAAGTTCCAGAACGTGTCCACGGCCGCCATTATCATGACGATGGTCTTTGGCCTCGGATTTGTGTATTTGATTGTGATGCATGTGCGCTGGCTAGAGCCTGTTGCTGGTCCTGCACCACGTGTCAGGGGCCCCAACCTGAAGGTCAGTGTGCCACCCCGGGTGGGCATGTATCTCTTCTCTTTGCATGTTGTTCAGCTTGATTTCACTTTATCAGCAAATGGACCGCTTTTGCAGGTGCAGGGTTCAGAAACATGTTCCTCATAAAAAGAGTTCCTGTCGCAGGAAATTGAGAAGCCCATGGGCCTGCCCTTTGACTGGCACCTCAAGCCTCGACGATTTGGGTCCTTTACTGCAAGTGCATCCATGCCTCGCAGCCCGTAGGGTCTGACAAAGACACAGCTGGATGCATTTTGTGACTCCTTGAATACTGCTGACAAGGAAAGGTTGCATTTTCAAGCTGCGGCCTCAGGCAGTCACTGGCAGTCACAGTACGTACATAGTATAGATCTAGGGTAGCTATCCGGGTTTGCGGGATTGCACTTTTAGGGGTCGTATGCGCATGCTGCTGCATCAGATATTCTCTTTGCATACTGTGAAGAGAGCAACAGATTGCAACTCCAAAGGCAAAGTCGCCCTTGACGTGTAAACCTGTAGTCATGCCAGACAAGCAGCACGTACATTGACTATGACTCATTATATGACATGGGCTGTACTCTCGTTCTATATATCTGAGAGACAGGCTCCAAATGCTTTGATCGTTGGTTTCAACGGTGCCGTGCATCTTTGTGATCAGTTGAGGGTAAAAGCTGGGAATCAAGAATAAACCTCAAAGCATCAGATCACCCCTTGTTTCGGTCAATGCTGCACAGGCTATGTTGATGATTCGCTAGAGATAAAGATTCTTCCTCTTAAGAATCAAGATAATCAATACCTTTGAAGTGGCCTCAGTGGTCCCCCTTCAAGCCTACAACCTAAGTGCGACAACTCGATGGAATGGCATCTAGTGTTGGGAACGGAGTCTGTGCTGGGGACGGCTCCACTCCCACTCCGCTGAGTAGTGTCGACAGCTTCAGATACGAAGGGGCTAGGTCTTCTTGGCGTGACAACAGTTCCAGTGCAGGCCCCAGGACAGCCTCCTACAGGCAAGGAATGCTGGTTCCATGCTAGCATGACATGCACCACCACCTCACACTGCTTGTGTAGCCTGTCAGCAAGTCTCCACTTGGGAGATCTCAGTCAGGGTGCAGCAGGCGACACAGCATGCATGATGCAGGGAAGAGGAGCGGAGGTGGCGAGCAGAGGACCTTGAGCAGAGGGCGCTGGACAATGCCAGGCAGCTGTGGGCTCGTTTTGTGGAGAAGAACAGGCGCGATGTGGAGGAGCGCGCCGAGCAGCTCAAGGGCATCTCCAATCTGGCGGCCCTGGTGGCCGGCTTTGTCATGATCTCCTACCTGCAGGTAAGAGATCCTGTGTTGAGTCTCCCAACATGTTGTTGAGAGAATGTTCATCAAGCAGTCATCAGGGAGAGCATTAGCTGGAAGGAGCTCCAAGAGCCATGGGCTCTTTAGAGCATGTTGAGGGAAGAAAGTTGGTGTGCGCAGTTTGGCTTCAACACAGAGGAGCAGAATCCGAATGTCCTCATCGCGTTTGGATTCACGACCGCTTTTGTGGTACGTGCCTGTCTTCATTGTCACATGCGCTCTCATTGGCTCCTTGCTACAGTAAAGTTCATTGTCATTGCACATGGACTGATGCAGCCACCATCTACCCCTTCACGCTGTGGGGCAAGCAAGTCAGCGTGCTTGTAAAGAAAGCAAGGTACTACTGTCCTGGCAACAGGTGGCTTTGAGCTTCAGCTCGATGACGGCATGCGGCCTGATTCATGCCAGCATCCTGAAGATGGGCCGCTCCTATGTGACCGAGGAGGAGGAGGCTGAGTTCATACACCAGTGCAGAGATTTCGCCCTTCGGTGCGCTCTCTCACCTTGACCCCAGGAGCAAGAGGAAGCCAATTGCTCAAGCCATCTTTCTGTTTGTCCATGCAAATGAACACAAACACATTGGGCTGCACCGTGCAAAACCTTGTCGGCGATGCCTGAAGGAAGTGGCGATAATGCTGGCGTGTGTGCAGGTACAAGCCGGGCGACCGGCCGCCGCAGCCGCAGCGAACCTTCCAGAATACATGGAAGACGCGGTGCGAGGCCGAGTGGCAGCGCGCCTTCTACATGTTCTCCGCGAGTGAGCGCACCCACACACACCTTGTCTTCCCCTGTCTGGCTTGCCCTGTTGTAGCTTTGCGCTTATCCTTATCTCAGACAATGGGAAGCCTTGTCTGAGCACTCCCCATCTCACAAATAAACTTCAGCCCAGACTGTACGCGCTGTGAAGCAAGAGTAGCTATTTTGCATTTTCAGTACATGGTGGTGGCAATTGCCTCGCAGGCATTCCCTGGCTGCTGGCGAATCTGGCGCTGGCGTCGTTCATAAAGTTTAGGGCGTCGCCGCGGACGGCCATCGCTGTGACGGTGATCATGGGCATTGCCGGGCTGTACTTCTTCCTCACACACGGCCGCTGGATGCGCTACGTCACTGGCTCGGCCGCAGACCCCCAGGGCCACAGCCTCAGCGTGCGCCTTTTTTGCCCTCTCTCTTCTCCAGGCGCCTGAATGGGCTCTGTGAGTAATACAGTACCCTTGCCCGCACCAAGGAGGAAATTCGTGACACCTGGCTCCTAAAAATAACGGGAGTTGGGGGTCAATCAGTCCCTGCCAGTGTTTGAGGAAACGTGGATATTGCCTTACAGCGATTCCCCGCCATCCTAGCAGGGAGCACGGGACTGAGATGTGGAGACATTGCGGTTCTGTCAGCCAGGCTCACCTCGTTATCTGCAGCAGGAATGCTGATTGATTTGGATCCTATAACTCTGATTCTTGCTCTTGTGATGCTGCCACTCGATGCTGTGAGCTGGCATTTCACCATTCCTTAGCGGGTGATGTACTGTGGCCAGCGCAGGAGTCTGAGGAGCCGATGGGCCTGCCGTTCGACTGGCACCTGCGGCCACGCCAGGTGTCGCGCATGGCGTCCACGCCGCGTGCGCCGCCGAGCAGCCGCGGCCAGAGCCGGGGCGCGCTTGGCCTGCTGCGGCCCTCCATGCAACAGTTCCGGGACTTCTCTCGGCGGCGCCTGCAAATGCCTATGCGGGTGCGGGCAGGGGCTGAGGACCCACTTTGTCATCAGACTCCTCTGATGTCCTAGGACTGGGATCCTCAGAACGGACTTCCATATGGAAAAAATGTGGATGCCGTACCCTGCCAGCGCAAGGGACTATGTTTGTCAGATTGTGTGCTGCGACAGCATTGCTCTTCTGAGCGACCATCCTCAATCACTTGCCAGGCTGCTGAGTTGTCACTGACAAGTTCTTGTCAGAGTGCATGCCACCTTGTGCTGGGGAGTGCAATGGTCCAAGAGATTGAGATGATCTCAACAATCTTGTCAAAGATTGGGTTCTGTAGAGTTAGGAAGGCTGCAAAATCGAAAACAGCAGGGCATTTTGCACGAAATAAGAATCATATTTGAGTGTATTGCTTGGTGCAGGAGGAGAAGCCTGATGTTGAGGCGTCTCTTGGAGACAATGGAAAGAGGAGCTCAGGAGCTACAAATGTTGGAGCTGGACATGACAAGCAATATCCTGAAACCATGTAATGCGCACCATGATGATGGGATTGATTACTCTTCTGAAATGGGTCAGATGGATGCACACTTTTGCTCGGATCTGTTGAAAATGCTGAACATCATGGCAACGCATCTGCTGACGCAAGAAATTTGCGCGCAACGCTGTCACAACATTGCCACAGTGGTGCACAGCGCTGGAGCTAGCTAGGTCTCTGCGTGCAGTTACGGCCTATGTCCTTATCGATTTTACACTGCTCTGCAGTTGTAATATGGCCCTATACATGCAACTGCGAAACGGTGCAACAGGATGGCGCCCTAAGAGCTTGAAAGATTACATTTAAAAGGGAACTGTTGGACACTGATCCCGAACACCTTGCTGACAAGGCGTCGATGCAGCAACCCCTGATAGAATTGGGCTGCGCGTTCCAGATCCGCACCCTGTCTCTTACCCTAAACTACAAGGCAATTTCCAGTCATATATGATCAGCGTGTTTCTCCTGTGACAGCGCTGCTGTGACTGACTGCAAAGCCGTACAGGTGTTTCTGCTTGCCACCGCCATGGGTCCGAAGTGATGACATTCAGGACCGTGTGAATGCTAAGAAGATTTGCATGCGCATGTCAACAGACACAATGCCCCCACTGATGCCAGAGAAATCAGCTATTATCGCGACAAACATTCCACCTTTGCACGTGCGGTCTTTATGTTGGAACAGAGACGACACCACCTCACCACTGCCGCAAAATCCGACAGTCTTATGCATGCTCAAGGATGCTGTGGTCCCAAGCCCTCCCCAGGCCAGCCTTGCTGCTGAGGAGCAAGCTCGCCGCCGGCACACCCCCGCTTCAGCTGACCAGCAGAGGGCTCGAGGACACAACTCCGCGCAACTGATCTCCGGGAAGGTCTGGCACATTAGCACAAACCCCCTTGGGGGATCGGATGCAGAAGAGGCCCCCCTCACTTGGCCTCGGGAGCATCCTCGAGCTGGGTGTCGGCAGCGCCATCACGTGGTTGGTCTGCGTCCTGGTCCTGCACCAGCCATGCAAACGCTCACTTCGCGATCAGACGACATAGCAGCGTTCAAGCAATATGGGTTCTGCGTTCATGCGACGTGGGTGAAGCGCAATGGAATAGTGCTGCAGGGTGTCTGTTGCACAGTGGGATGTGGGCCCAAGACTGAAACACATGTGACACAACAGATAAGCGGAATAAATCTTGCACGACATGTTATCACTTGAGTACGGCCACCATTTAGTAGACACCAAGTCGTGTGCAGATTGAATGCCCTAGGAACTGTATCACCCAGGCTTGCAGGCGCTTAATGGGCTGGTCATTTTGACCCGGGACCTGGTAGCTGTGCTGATTCAAGAGAGCTCATCAGCACCCCAGATAGGAGGGGCTGAGGCTTGTTCCATCAGTCCTACGGCAGTGATGCTGATTGACTGCTTGGGATGCTATTGCTAGAGGCATCGTATTGATGCTTGCATGAGTGAGCGCAGGTGAATACCTGCATGTCCGAGGTCCAGAGAGTGAGGTTGTCGCGCAAGAGCTGCATGATGAGCGTGCTGTCCTTGTACGACTCCTCGCCCAGGGTGTCCAGCTCCGCGATGGCCTCATCGAATGCCTGCACAGGAGACACAGCTGGCTCAGCCAGGTCCCCACTGACTTCTGCGTCCCGGTCAGCACATCAGTGACTGTTAACTTTTCATTTAGCAATGCTTCTTGATCTACACAGGTCAAAATACAATCATTCTGATCCCTAAGATGTCCTGCAAACATCATCAGGCAGGAAGGAGAAGCAAAACCATCCAAAAATAAACAACAACTTCAGTTGACATTCATCAAAAGTGTTGATGGTGACCTAACGTTCCTGCAAAATATCGGGACAGCACCTGCTTCGCCAGATGGCAGGCACGCTCGGGAGAATTGAGGATCTCGTAATAGAACACGGAGAAGTTGAGAGCCAGTCCCAAGCGGATGGGGTGCGTCGGCGCCAGGTCCACCAGCGCGATGTCCTGCAGCAAGAGCACGTTGTCACAAGAAGAGACACATCATACATGAGTCGGGAGCAACGCCCCCACACTGGGTCGACAAGACCCAGCGTTTCTCGGAGAACGGCAACGGTTGCGCCCAGCAAGCGCGTCTCGGAAGCTCACAGCGTGGGTTTACGAAGGCAGTTTCTTTGGCGGAAGAGACAGCTGCAGTTCAGCACCTGAGCGGCCTTGTACGCGAGCAGGGTGTGCTCGGCGGCATCCTTGCGGTCGGTGCCGCTCTTGAACTCGGCCAGGTAGCGGTGGTAGTCGCCCTTCATCTTCAGGTAGAACACCTTTGATTCCCCGGAGGAGGCAGTGGGGATCAGGTGGTCGTCCAGCAGCTGCAGGATGCTGGAGCAGATCTCACTGAGCTCGTGCTCCACCTGCCAGGCACAAGAACTTTCGTGAAACATGCCTGAAGGGAGTTGGTACAACAGCTTCAGCAGGCATACCAGCTCGGGTCAAAAGGGCCCAATAACCAACGCTTTACAGGTTGCAGCATGCAGAAGAGGATGCCACACCACTTCACGGTACTTCTTGATGCGCTTGACGTGCTCCTCATTGCCCTTGCTCTCCTCCTTCTGCTCAATAGAGGAGATGATGCGCCAGGATGCCCTCCTTGCCCCAATCACATTCTTGTAGGCAACTGACAGAAGGTTGCGCTCCTCGACCGACAGCTCCTGGTCGTGCACCATCTTAGCAACCCTCTTCATCTCCTCTACCATCTCATCGTAGCGCTCAGCCTGCTCTGCAAGCTTGGCCATGTACACCGCTTCTTCACGGTCAACTGGGCCACCCTCAGCCATGGCTCACCCGGCTGTCTCACAGATTTAGATAGGAGTGGGTTATACAGGGCACAGAAAGGGCCAATCTTGCAGTGAAATTGACCTCTTGGCACACAATGTTCACCCACGCTGCCTAAACTGATCTTCTTGAAGGAGCTGAAGGGTATGTTCAACGGCGTTCCTGTGTGCTGAGGGCCCAGATGGCATGACATGAGTGGGAATGCTTCACACTCTTCTATTTCTAGGACACCTGCGATTAATTTCAGGCTGCTAGAGAAGCGGGGGTTTGTTGGCTTTGGAGGCGTTGTGTCTCTCTTGCCCAGTCAAAGGGCAGCTCTCGAGGTGATCGTACATCCAAGGGCTATTGTTTGAGGGGAGAGCTTCACGGGAGCTGTTGCGCCCAGATACTATTTGTCATCAAATAACTTATTTGTGTTCCTCATCATGGCTGGGCAGGCGCAACTGCCCCGTAGAATTGTCAAGGTGAGTGCGAGCAACAGATGCTAGCCTGCAAGCATGCTATCTTTTCTTGGATCGTGCACAATCTTATTATGAAGATGTGCTGCTGACTGCAGGAAACGCAAAGACTTATGAGTGAACCAGGTATGATCCACAGAGCAGAGCTTGAGACAGCTCTGTTGTTTCTATTCTGGTTGTGTCTGGACCATATGTTCGGATCACCATAATGCGCACAATCAATCTATAATGCACCCATAGACTTGTTCTGTGACATGCAGCTCCTGGCATCAGTGCATCGCCATGTGAAGATAACCTACGCTACTTCAACGTTATCATCCTGGGGCCTCATAACACACCATATGAAGGCATGCAGCAGTTTTCTTGCAAAGTTTTGTAGTAGTTACTCTGCATGATGGCCACCTGTGGCTTGATAGTGAGTCTGCTGAAGGATGCTGCATCCTGTCTATGTTTCAGGGGGTTCTTTCAAGCTGGAGCTCTTTCTCCCTGAAGACTATCCCATGGCTCCCCCGAAGGTGTAGTCACTGTCCACTTCTTAAAGTACTTGGACTGTCAGACATTTTGTTCAGGGAACGGTGATTTGATTTGGCCTGAGCTGAAAGTTCTTACTCAACTTTCACCTTGGCACAGGTCCGCTTCCTGACTAAGATCTACCATCCCAACATCGACAAGCTTGGCCGCATCTGCCTGGATATTTTGAAGGACAAATGGAGCCCAGCCCTGCAGATACGCACTGTCCTGCTGAGGTGCAGCCCCCTGCTTTGCTTTCCCATCATGTGCACTACTGGTGGTGGTGCATGCCAGGCGCAATAATGATGCCAATGATCAACTTGAATGGGTTAATTGGATGAGAAGCTGACAGCCTGGCGTGTTGGGTGATGCAACAGCATCCAGGCCCTCCTAAGCGCTCCCAACCCGGATGACCCGCTGGCTGAGAATGTTGCCAAGCACTGGAAGGACAATGAAAAGGAGGCTGTGGAGATGGGTAAGCCGCTCGTGAGATTGCCATCTCTATCAGATTGCATTGGAATGGCTGATGTTTGTGTGAGCTGCCTTCTATGAACGTGAACAGGTAGTATTGGGAGGATGGTGCATGTGTGACCTAGAAGATGGCCAAAGTTTTCTATTGCGAGCCGCTGCTCCTAAAGCCTGCTGTTGTGTGCGCTGCAGCAAAGAAGTGGACGCATTCATATGCCTCAGAATGAACCAGTGCTGCCTGGCGTACATGGAGCAATAGAGTGGGGGTGCTATCATGGGCAGGGGTTCAAAGGGGTTCTTCTGAAGATACTGTCTCTGTTATCTCAACACACAGAAAGAACAATGGTTTGGTTCAATCAAGTTGGATCTGAATGCCAGCAGTGAGCAATATGATGCTGCTCCATCCAAAGTGTATATCAGAAGATTGTTGTGCTGTAGTTTATTGCACTTGCAGTTCATAAGTTGATTTATCAAAGTGTAAACTTCCAGAAAGCAACCTGAGCAATGATTTAATGCTCAGCAATCCTTGGTATTGATACAATGGCATGCATGTGCCGAGTAAAAGGTGTACATTTGAAACAGCCACAATCAAGTATCAGTCTTCATCATCCCATGCTGTTCTTCGCCGCTGTATGGTCACTTTCGTTTGTGACCTGCTGGATGCCTGGGTATTTATCTGCTCCAGCAGTCCAATCAACTTATCTTCTGAAACCTGCAACAGCAATGCCAATCTGAAGGGCAGGGCTTCTACAGAGTGCAGTTCATGTCAGCATCATGATACTGGTGTGGCTTTGACGCCTTGGACGCACGCAAAGACAATTAAACCCACCTTCTCTGTGATCTGCCCTCTCTGTGCCATCTGAAGTACCAGATTCTCCACACCCCGCGCCTTGTCAGGCTTGACCAGTGCTATCCGCGCCACTGCAGCCGACAAGGTCATTGTAAGAGCTCCGCAATATATGGGCAGCCATGCAATGTGACACAAGATCACACAGCAGCCCGCGCTTGGCAATTTCCAGTGTCTAGCACAGAGAGGCCCTTACAGCGCTCCCGGGCCTGGGGCTGCAAGACCTGCACCAGCATAGCGGCACGCCGCTCCTCACTCTGCTGCCGCGCCTCTTCCTGCTCCTGCTGTGCCTCTGGCGTCAGCCCACCAGCGCCCGCCCCACCCTGCAAAGGAATTTGTACTCAGGCAACATACTAAAACATTACTTGGATAGTCATACATGTATGCACATCACAGATGATGACAATGAATGGCTATTGGATTGAGGAATATGTATCACCTGGCCACCATATTGGGACATGAGCTGCTGCATGCGCCGCTGCCGGATTTCTTCCAGTTCTGCATCTTCTGCCTGTGCAGCATTTTATCATTTGGTGCCTTCTCCAAGGTCAGTGAACAGAGGGCAGAAGGAACGGAAAGATCATAAACGGAGTTGTACAACGAATATAACAGGTGTGAAGCATCCAGACAGTGTATGGCAAGTTATTCCTTTAATGTTTTCGTATCCTACTTCTTGAGGACATTTCTATGAGGTTGACCGGTCCCATCGACTCACCATTATAGTGTAATGTCCTGGCTATGTATGTATGTGCAGTGATGAAACGAGGGCGAGTCCGTAGATCTCAAGATCTCCCTTTTCAACCTCCTTCAGTGCGATTTGTCCTGGTAGGGATTGTTTGAGCTGCGTTTTGGCTCATTCGTGTGCATGCTACGGCTCGCCGTCGACGTCACGGCCTGTTCAGCTGCGGCGCTTCTCCCTGCCCATTTCTGGGAAAGTTTGGGCGACAGACCAAAGGAATGGGTCATACAAGGGGTGAACAGCTGAATCTCATTGACTCTTGACCGCCAGGACCTGGCATCTGGCGTATAATCACCTTGGGTCCTTTGCTTCAATTCAGGTTGGGGAAGGAGAAGGCCCTGCCTTCAGATATCCAGCTGAAGCAGCTAGTGGGGAGTACATCCATCTTGAGCCAGGATGTCGGTCTCAAAAACCAGCAAGCTGCTGAACTACATCAACTACAGTGAGCAACATACCACATCACAGTGTTGTGATCCCTAGCACTTCCTGTATGTTTATAGCTGGAAACGTTCTTTTCTTCGATCACGCATCATCGTACTTTCTAACGTCTGTTGTAAAATGTAGGAATGCGCGTGACGCTCATAGACAGCAGGCATATCGTTGGGAGGTGAAGCCTTGATGACAGCGATCCTGCTCTTTCGCCTAGCAGACTGACGTCAATCACAGCAACAATTGCTATTATATTCCATTTGAAACATGCCAGAGAGTCGCTGCCTTTGCGATTGTGTGGATGTCTGAAGTGGTACTTTCTTTTTGCAGGTTCATGGCCTTCGATAGACACATGAATCTCGTCCTCGGAGATGCTGAAGAATTCAGAAAGCTGCCACCAAAGAAAGGCAGAACAGAGGAGGAGGTGCGCCACTCTAACAGTCACCTTCCATTGGACATCTGTGCCCTCATTTCAATATTTGCTGTGTCTGCTCCACGTACTGAGTCCCGTGTTGCTGAACAGCGCGATCAGAGGAGGGTCTTGGGCCTGGTGCTGCTGCGTGGGGACGAGGTGATCTCGCTCACTGTCGAGGGCCCTCCACCGGCAGATGCATCCCGCCTGTCCAAGACCCAGGCCGCTCCAGGCGGCCCAGGAATGGGCCGCGCCGCTGGTCGTGGCATGCCCACTGCCGCCCCAGGCCAAGCACCTGCGGTGAGCCCGCCACATCAGAACCATCAGATAACAATCTTCGCAGTTATATCACTGCTTTGCGCTCTATGTAAGTTCAACGGCAGGTGGAAGGGTGCTCACTGCATGTTGCCGAGTGCGTTCAGGGTCTGGGCGCTCCGGCTCGCGGCGTCGGCGGCCCAGCACCGGGCATGATGCTCCCCCGGCCGCAGGTGTCGGCCGCCCCCATCATCCGCCCTGGCGAGCCTGCCGTCCGCCCAGGTGCGACACACCTCTACTTTCTCTGCATGTTGTCTCCAAGCATAGTATTGCTTCATTGTCTTGTCATGATCCTATTTGCAGCAAGAGGCGATTATCCAGAATGGCACCCAATTCAACAATCATGGTCACCAGCGCTGCCAGTGAGATATGATTTCAGCCCATTGAAGTCTGATCTGAATACTGTAGTTGTCGTTATAATTATCCAATTAAGGGTCAGGATTGTGGCAGCCTGAATTCCAGCTTGTCTACACGACATACCATGCCTTTTGGCAGGAAAAGCTAATAATAACAATAATCATCATCAGCCAGCAATTTCACTCGTCCCCATGGCCAGGCGTGAATTCCAAACAATACGCAATGCATGCGCCTGCTGAGTGGGGTGATGCTTGACAGGAGGTCCCCCCGCCGCAGGCCCCCGCCCGGGAGGTCCGCCACCGCCGTTCTTCCCTGGCGGACCCCCGCGCCCAGGCGGTCCCCCTCCCGGCGGAATGCCCCTCGGAGCGCGGCCGCCCATGCAGGGAGGCCCCCCGCCGCCATTCTTCCAGGGCGGTCCCCCCCGCCCCGGCATGATGCCGCCTCCTGGGGTGCGCCACCCCACCATGCCATGCCATGGCTCCTGTTGAAAGCTCACTGGCACAGCGGATGTGATTGTATGTAGGAATTGTCCTACTAAGGCGCTGCCTTACTCAGGTTCTCATCATTCAATATGCTTGCACTAGCCTGCTTGCACGAGGTCTGCAGGCTTTTGTTTCCCTGTTATTGCTCGCTAGCTTTGCCTTCTCTGTATTCTGGACACAGCTCCAGCAGGAATTTGTACCAGTAATCCCAATTGCGAAGAGCATGCTGTGATCCTTTCTGAGGGTGTGCTGTGCGTTTGTTGCAGTTCCGCCCCGGCATGCCGCCGCCAGGCTTCCCAGGAGGCTTCCCTCCGCGCCCCGGCTTCCCTGGTGGCCCGCCTCCTGGCGCGTTCCCTCCTCGGCCCCAGTACCCCCCTGGCGGCCAGCCCCCCCAGCAGTGATGTGCGCACGATGGCGCAGGTTCTGCTGCAGCTGGCGCGCGCGCACCGCCAGTGCTGCAGCCGACAGAAAGGGCGCCTGGCGCAGCGGGGCGATCAGCATCTGCGCAGGGTGCTGATTGAGCGGGCGTGGGTGTTGTGATAGAGGAGCTCTTGTCCTTTGAAAAGGCTGTGTCAGACCTGGATGAGGAAGGTGCAGGCAGCAGTGTTTGGTCAGACTCTGTAAGAGGCCTGTTGGCAGGAGGTCTCTGGGTAAGAAGGATTCACCGCGACAATTCTTGCTGTTACCGTGCTGCTTGGCATGCTGTTCTTGGAAGGTGTGTTCATTGCCATAAATACCGCATGCTGCTCATAAAGTTTCAGAGCAGGCAGCTCATGCACTGGTCGCCAGTTTTACACCACGACTAGTCGGACTGCCAGTGTGGCTGGCATTTCAGCGGTTCCTATTTCACTCAGTGGCTTGCGGTTGAAGTAGCAAGCAAGATCGTGTCAGAATGATGTTCTACTGTGGAAGCCCACATTACTGAATGTAAAGATTGATGGATGGGGATGCACACTGTGGATGCATGGAGGTATCATGGCACACTTGGCTTCTCTAAAAGCACAGTATCTAGGGCTCCAGATTCGCCTAAAGTGCTGACATGGCGGTGAGGAGAGCCTGTCACTTTGTGCACTTGAATCAGCGCGCGAGCGCACTTTCATGGGGCATATTAAAATGAGTTCACTGATGTACATGTGGTAGATAAGGTGTAGACGGTGTCAGAGAAGGGTGGGCTCCGTGCAGCCGAAGGATGGTGTTCGCCCTACTCCTGCCTGCTGGCGTTCTACCTGACTGTCGCCAGTACTCGGCACAACGGACGCAGCGGAGATCACACGTCGCAAATCCAGCACCTTTCGGTGGTCTCAGAACTGTGCGATGCACCCCTTCAGTCCTGCGGCCAGAGGCTCAGAACCCGACTCTCCATCAGGCCGCTCTCCAGGCCACCCGCACTGGATCCACAGGCCACAGGCAAATCACGCGTGCGTTGAACATCGTGTTCGTGTCAGCCGAAGTGGCGCCGTGGTCAAAGACTGGTGGGCTCGGCGATGTGGTCGGTGGACTGCCCATCGAATTGGCAAAAAGAGGGCACAAAGTCCTATCAATTGCACCGAGGTGATGGCCTGAGTCTTACTAACAAATACTCTGCAGCATTGTGCAGATTTATATTGCTCACTGGTGTTTTCGTTGAGGCCGGCAGATAAACAGCAAATACAGATCATGATCTGATCAGGAGGGGCTTCAACGGCCACTTCATTGCATGGTCCAACATGACTGTGCATTCAAGACAACTTGGCACAGTGAAAATTCACATGCCGACAAAGCGGTTGCTTCACAGGGAACAGAAGACATTCTCACATTGTTGGGGGCTTACATGCACCTGTGCTGCAGGTATGACCAGTATGCAGACGCTTGGGACACGAGCGTGTCCCTCAACATAGACGGGGAGACAGTGCGCTTCTTCCACACCCGTGAGAAGGGGGTGGATCGCGTCTGGGTAGACCATGAGAGCTTCCTTGCCAAGGTGCGCTATTGCTCCCTTACCACTGATGTGACTCCCACCGCATGCATATGCCTGGCAGTACGAGCTCCTAATAAACAGCCACGTCTTCCACACTTCAAGGCCATCGGGAGCTGGTCAACTTCAGCAGTTCATTCCGAATGACAGTCAGCAAGAAGGACGTAGTTTAGAGGGGCCAATGTTCATATTTATTGCAACCAGCCTGGACACATCTCCATCATAATGGGGACCTTTGCAGATGCGTGTAGATGCCCGCCAGCAATGCTCATAGCGCCAAGTGATCACCACTGGAGCACACAATATGACAGTGAGGGGCAGAGTGGGTCATGCATGTATGTGCAGCTGCCCAGCAGGGTTCCCGAAGGCACCAAATTAGAGTGGCCCACACATAGGCTCTTGCTACAACACTTACTAGTCCATAATCTTCATCTATCTGTGAATTTGCTGTTGATCCGTGCTCCCCAGCCCCTGTCCTTGCACCTCTATTGATACATGGGCAGGCCATAACCCGATTGGGCCCACATCCTCCGGTGTTCCTCTAGACAGGGCGGGCTAATGGTTCCCTGCATGCTTGTCAAGCATGACATCACCGCCGTGCACCGCTGCGCAGGTGTGGGGCAAGACGGGCGCGAAGCTGTACGGGCAGAAGAGCGGGCGGGACTTCAACGACAACCAGAAGCGTTTCCTGCTCTTCTGCAAGGCCGCCCTGCAGGCGCTGCTGGTTCTGCCCTTCTCCCCGGGCAGCGACTCTGTCATGGTCTGCAACGACTGGCACACCGCCATCCTGCCAGTCCTGCTCAAGGTGGGCAGTCCCCCCTCTCCCAACTTGCCCAGGTCATATTATGGCTTACATGAGCTCAAGTGCACTGAGTTCTCTTTCCATAGGATTTGCTATGGCCACCCCCTCTCCCACTCTTTGCCCAGGTCAAAGTATCACATGCATGAGCTCCTGCTCAATGTGTTTGTGAGACAAGTCGCAAAGGTGTGAGGAGAAGCACACTGTGCCTCACAGCTGGGACGCTTAATGTGTATGCTCTTCATGAGTACAGCAGGCTGGATGTGCAACTTTTGGGTATTACTGGTATTTGTACCATCATCAGATACTTGCACAGGAGACAGCCACAAGAGTGTTTTCTGGTGCAGGATGTGTACCAACCTGCCGGGCAATTCCTGGACACCAAGGCTGCACTCTGCATCCACAACATTGCCTTCCAGGTGCACATCATCACGCTGTAAATGTCCAAAAACATCAAGCCTGCAATGCCACATCCATGACCGGCAAATTGGGTTTTGACGCAATGAATCTGTAGCTCAATTGTGCATGAGGGGAATGTCCAGGCGAAGAATGTTCTTTATTGCAGGGCCGCTTCTGGAGGGAATCTTTTGCAGACCTGGGGCTGCCAGCCAGCTCAGCAGCCAAGTTTGAGTTTGAGGACGGCTACAGCCGGGTAAGGCCTCTAATGCAGTCTACTAGCGCCCCAATTAAGACAGCCGTCCTCTGAGTCGTGTACAGACTCCACTGCCGTGCAAACCTCTGCGACAGTGTGATTGACTTGGAACAGCTCTCCAGCATAAATCAGCTAGCGCTCGGCATGACCCAGGTGTTCATTAAAATAGCTTTCCTTTGCCCGAAGCATGCATGCATGTTAGAGGACAATAGGGTGTCAAGCACCAAAGTTGGGCAATAAAAGGATGTAGCTCGGTTTCGTAATTGTCTGCTCAACCAACAACTGCTGTTGTGCTGCCATCAGATATTCACTGAGGACGAGCCGGACACAGAGGAGAAGGGGCGGGGCCTGGGCAAGATGTATAAGAAGATCAACTGGCTGCGCGCTGGCATCCTGTCCGCCGACAAGATCCTCACCGTGTCGCCCAATTATGCTGCTGAGATTGCAGCCAACCCCCAACTGGGCGTGGAGTTGGATGAGGTCCTTAGGTGGGCTGCTGTCCTGCTTCAGGCCGGCACTGTGTACCCTCAGACTGAATTGAACCATTAACGAAAAAATCGAAGAGAAGTCCGACTCAAATGTGACATTCGATTAGCATCAGGCCAAGTACGGTAATTGTGGCATCTGGTGACGCATTTGTCCTGTCGTTCTTCCATTGTTCGGGTCCTTGATGCATCCTGGTTCAAGGTGGTCTATTTTTTACTCCAGAGTGCTCCAGCGGCTGTTTGTACGCCTGAACTGGGGAGGCTGCTGCTGCCCAAAATGAGGAGGCATCCATGCATTTGCTCCTCAAAGCTGTGGGAAGCAGATTATGGGAAAACCCCTAGTCTAAGGCAGGAGCGGTGTGCATGGCAGGGAGGTGGGGGGTGCAGAGGGAATTGTGAACGGTATGGATGTGACGGACTGGAACCCCGCGGTAGACAAGTTCCTGGACGTCAAGTTTGACGCATCCACCCTTGAGGACGGCAAAGCGCTCGCCAAGGAGACCCTGCAGGCCGAGCTGGGACTCGACGTGAGTAATGCAATCCTGTCGGCATCATGTCCTGTTGCATACAGTAAAATGGAGTTACTTCATTGCATGCAGTCTGAAGAGCAGTGCTGCTGGGTCCTGCCTGTGCATGACAGTCAGCCGGCGAGACCGGCACATTGGCGGTCTCAAAAAGGTTGGAACAACAAGAGTACAGTAACTTGTGCTCCTAATCGGGGTTTCATGGAGCTCTGGTAGGGGACTTTTGGACAATGCTGATGTGGCAAGGGGATGTTAGGATTGCAGCCGCTGATACGACGACGCTGGTGCGCAGGAGGACCCGAGCAAGCCGCTGTTTGGCTTCATCGGGCGGCTGGAGGAGCAGAAGGGCGTCGACATCCTGCTGGCTGCTCTGCCCCAGATTGCCCAGAAGGGCGACGTGCAGGTGATCCCTCCTCCTGTACCCTCCTAACCATATCTCAAGCATGCATGGACTCAGCAAATGTGCCTCCCAGGAGCCGCCACCATATACGCGCAACAGTTCACTTGCCAAGCCTGTCTTTCTTACTAAGGAAGCCACAGATCTGTCTGTTGGGATTGTGAGAATGCAAGACCCCCCAGATCTTGGCTTGCACATGTGCAGTCCCCCCCCAGAATCAACCATCCTTGACAGGAGAAGAGATCGCCTTGAGTCACGGCACTGTAGCATTCCGTTCCGTATGGAAGCATTCCTGCTCATGAAGTGATTGATTCGTGGCTGTGCAGGTGGCGATTCTGGGGACGGGGCGGAAGACGCTGGAGGCCCAGGTGAAGTCGCTGCAAAAGGAGCTGCCAGGTGTCGCCGGCGTGGTCAAGTTCTCCTCACCCCTTGCCCACCTCATCACCGCCGGTGCGCACTTTCAGCTCCACCATCTATCTTTTGTGCTTGCTGCAAAACGTACATCAGCACAGATCTATCCATGTCAGAAGTGGCGAGGAGGATAGCTGAACTAGTCACTGTGACCTGCATCCTCTGCTTCGGCATATTGCACCAAGAATCATCTGCTGCATGTATCTCTACAGCGCCTCAGGTGCTCAAGCAATTCTGCCACACGGGTCTCGACTGTGAAGTCTGGGAGCTGAAGATGCTTCGACAATGGGTATTGCTGATTTTGTAGCGCTGCATCCCTTTGTCAATCACATGGAGTGTGCAGAGAATGCAAAGAAAGACAAATGCGCGCGGCGCAGGCGCGGACTTCATGCTGTACTACATTGGTTCTGCAAGGAGAAAGTGAAGAGAATACTCGAACGTGTGCGGTGCAGGCGCGGATTTCATGCTGGTGCCGTCGCGCTTTGAGCCGTGCGGGCTGATCCAGCTGCATGCGATGCAGTATGGGACGGTTCCCTTGGTGTCCTCCGTGGGCGGCCTCGTCGACACTGTGAAAGAGGCCGTCACCGGATTCCACATGGGCTGCTTCGACCCCGATGACATGCTCCCGGCCGACGCTGCAGCCGTCGCCGAAACCGTTGCCAAGTGAGCAGACGCCCCATGCTATCTCCTCAACATTGTCAACATTGGCTGATGCTTGAAGGAGGTGGGCGAGGTTGTCTGTCTGTGGGCAGGGCAGTAGTGTGCATTGCATGTCGCGCTGCACACGAGTGAAGTTTACCTCATGTGATAACACCCGTATGAGTGGCCTTGGCTCATCGTGTTGGGCGGCAGCCACTCCTGTTGCAAACATCTCCTCTCAAAAAATATGTAGAATATCCATGGCGTTAGTGGTGTTAGTGCGGCGTCTTGAGGTGAGGTGGCAGGCTGAGGTGGCGTGCATGGGTGCAGGGCTGCGGAGGTGTTCCCGACGGAGCAGTTCAAAACGATGCGCGCCAGGTGCATATCCCAGGAGCTGTCCTGGCAAGCGCCCGCCAAAAAATGGTGTGCTCCCAGACACTGCCTCAGACCTCCTTAAATACACCAGTAAATTGCCCTGGCTGGCGGGGGCCGGCATAAATACTGAGCACCGTGCCCACGGTTAATTGGGTCTTGCTTGAATCTGGCAAGTCCAAGAAGGGGTAGAATTGTGGCAGCCTTTAGTTGCAGCTTGCCTGCAGGACGCACCTTGCCTCTTGCCAGGAAATGTGCTTTCATAATTATATCATATTAATGTAAATTGCCCTCAACCACTGACATGCTTTTTACCTGCATTTAAATTGTCATTGAGAGCCATGTGCACTGCAGTAGGAACCCAGTTGGTGATAAGGTGATGTGCTGCTGCAGGGAGGCTGTTTTGGAGGGGCTCACAAACCCTTCAGAGGAGAACACGCAGCGGAAAGAGGCCGTGACAACTCCCGTCCAGAAAGTGGACGATCCAGAGCTTGTAAATGTGGCTTGAGAGCACTGTACTGCACTACACCGCACTCCATGAGGGCCTAAAACAAATTTTGACGGGTAGGATCTGGCACAAGAGTGAAGAGCTTGGCTGCTGGGCCACATACCTGCTGCTGGCGTCTTCTGCACTGTGCGAGTTCCTATCATGCTTTGCTGCTTGAGAGGCATTTTGTTGAACGGATGACTTCCCAGGAGTTCCCTTGGAGGGCAAGTTAGTTTCGAGCGCCAGACTGTCTGTTTGCTGATTTTTGAGAAGAGATACGGGAGTGAATTGTTTTGATCTTGCATATGATGCTCATTACTCTGTGCTGCCAATTGCCGCTTTAGATGCCGGTGTCATGCAATGGCGATTGACTAAAAAGATTTGAGGTACTGGCTTTTGCAAGTGAAAGTGCAAGTGAAATAGATGTAATTGACTCTTGCATGCAAACGTCTATCTGCAGTGACCTCTTAACCCATGATGATCCAAATTTGCAAATTCTGAGGAGCCTGTATGGAAATAATCATCTTACAGGTGAGAATGATCTCATTCCAATTTCCTTCTAGGCCATCGTCCCTTCCTGGATTCAGACATCTGGATCGCATTTCAGAAGCAGCTGCAGTATCTGCTCTTGATGAAATTGTCCGCAAGTGGTTGTGTCTGATTCCTCGGACATTCCTAACTTAGCTTTGTAAAGCTGCTTGCAGTCACCAACTTATCACTAGCGTTTGAGTTGCATTGTTATGTCACTTTCTTTTCATAATGTTTCCAGCTCATTCTTATGTTGCAAGCAATTGTTCTGACATGCCCCTTTCAAAGCCGCATGCATGGTCTCAACACGTTGATTCACTTTCAATCAAATTGCACAAGGCCTCGTCTCTTTAAGGGCTCCCAACAAAACTGAATGAATGCACAAGACAGCTGTTGCCTGGGCAGCTGTACTCCTTGGTAGTGCAGGAAAGGCAGAGGGAACATCAACATGATTGTAACTAACCCTGTCCTGACAACAGATTTCCCCCTGAAAAGAGCCTTACAGTAATTTGAGACCTCAACCCTGCTGCATGCTGCAGCTGCCCAAAAGACTCTCGGCCCCATCTCAAGCAACCTGAAACTTACTTCAATAAAATATCAGGGAGAGACAACGTCACCAAGTACCCCGACAAGCCAACAGGAATTTTTAGAAGATAACAGAACTAAAAATGCTGCTCGTTCAATATTTGCAGCTGGTATAAAATGTCTGCAATTAATTTGCAGCCACATGGACTCAAAAACACCGTTCTGGTGGCTGCTGCCAGAACAAAAGGCCCATTATGAAATGCAACCTTGAGCTAATGATGCCTGGCTGTACACTGCCGTTTTGAATCAGCACTGTCTGATCAATCAGCGTGTCCCATTCAGGGCCAAATACTGCTCCGTTGCTGCTGTGACACTGGCCGCATATGCGTGTGTCTGTCTGCTCACTCATAGTACCGACGGTATGGGTCCTCAACCACAGAGCAGGTGTCCTCCTGTCCCGAGGATCCTTCCTTGGCAGAGCAGGTTGCCGGGGTGCAGTCGTCTGTGTCATCGAACAGGATGATGTCGGCGGCGGCGTCGTCCTCGCAGCGAGCGCCGTCATCCCCGAAGATGATTTCGGCGTCCCCGCAGGAGCCCAGCTTGCCCTCAGCCGCCTCTTCTGCGCCGCGGTCTGAGCAGCCGGGCTCTTCGATGCAGGAGGCGTCGTCCGCCCAGGCCTCTTGAGCCTCCTCCAGAGCTGCCTCGATCGCTGCGAGGGAGATGCTCTCGGGCTCTGTGATGCCCTTGAGGACGACTTCCAGCAGCTTCTGCGGAATGTTCTCCAGCAGAGGCACCACCTGCGCGGCGCATGCAAACCCCTTCTGTTACTACGAGGCCCCTTGGCACCCAACAGACAAGTGCCCGAGTGCAGGTGTAGAGCCCTGACACTAGCACCTGACCTGGCAGGCATGTGACATTGAATGCCATGCAACACACGTGACAACAGGCAAGTTACAGGTGAGAATAAAAGGGTAGTGGAGAGGCAACAATGCGCACCTGTTTAAGGGCGATGTACTCCTTGAACTCAGCCGCCGCCACAAAGAGGCCCTTGTGCAGTTCGGAGCAGATCTCCTTGGCGCGCACGTACTCCTCCAGCTCAGCCTTCACGCTGGCGTCCAGGCCATCGTACTGCGCCGCCAGGTCATCGTACAGGTCGCGCCCCGTCAGCAGGTGGTACATCGTGGCGGTCAGCGCGCGGATGTCATCGAGTTTGCTCCCCCTGGCCTCGCCCATCATCGACGCCGGGGTCATGAACCCGGAGGTGCCCCTGCGCAGCACAGCATGGCACCTATGATTACTAAAAATTAAGAAGACATGACTACACCATTGAACACACAATCAGGCAAGGGCTTTGAAGATTGTTCACTTGTGCTCTTAGTCATGCAGCTGCGAACGGGCAAGAAGGCACGGCAGGCGCTGAGCATGCATGCTTTTCTCAAGGAATTGAAAAGTGTCGTACTATGTGCAAAAATGGGATCAAGGGCAAGGGTAGAAAAGGGGAAGGTGCACATGAAGCGGGCGAGCGAGCGCGAGTTGAACTTGGCGGCGCAGCCGAAGTCTGCCAGCTTGATGGTGCCGTCAAGGAAGTAAAGGAAGTTGGCGGGCTTGATGTCACGGTGCAGCCATTTGGCTCCGTGCACCTGCTTCACTGCCGCCAGCACCTGCCACAGGACGGAGAGCAGCACCTTCCTCTCCAGCGGGGACTCATCGCTGCACGCAGACAAACACTTGCTGGTGTCAGAATATGAGTAATAATGACTGCCTTACTGCGCCACCATGCTTGGCCCCGCACTCACTCCCAGCTGTGCTAAAAGACTGGCAGCCAGGCAGCAACACATGAACTATCTCCCTTATAGCAGTCCGACAGCCCATTGAGAACAGAATCAGAGGGTGGGCAGCATCTGAACTATCTACAATAGTGGGCATGTGCAGAGGAAAGATGCAGGGGAATGGTGCGCACATGAGCAGGTCGTGCAGGCTGCCTGCTGCCAGCTCCATCAGGAGAACATCCATGTCTAAGTCCGGCACGTACGCCCACGCGATGGGCTGCGCGATGTTGTCACAGGGCCCGATGGCGGTGTACGCGTCGGCCTCGTTGCACAGGTCCTCCCACGCCTTGTCATCGTGGGGGACCTTGGCAGCTGCCGCGAACCCAACGGTGACGGCTGACACCGACCCCATCCCGCCGCTGCCGAGCTCACTCCCGTCCTCTGGGAAGCTGACAATTGTGCCCTGGAAAACAAGCAGGTGATTGTTTCAATGTCATGAATTTGGGTCATCTTCTCGTCGTCATGCCAAGAGTGGCACTCCCTGATGAAGGAGGTGTTCCACCTTCGCTGGGCTGGGGTGGCAGCACAAATGCAGATGGCATGAGAGGCGAGCCTCAGCCTCAAGAGGAATGCACAGGAACCTTGTAAGCAGACAGCCATCCTGAAAGGAGCAAATATTTATATTCATGTGGGAGCGGGTGCGCACCGGTGGCATGTGGAAAATTCTCTTGGCCTGCTGCAGCTCCTTCTCTGTTGCTTCCAGCGTTGCCTGCTCAGCATTGGAGCTCCTTCGTTAATCCACCACACACATCAAAGCAATCCCATACCCATCCCAGATGAAAGAATCAGATGAGCAATCCCATGCACCAGATACACCGCTGTCTCCCTATGGAGCTAGCAATGACTGCAGTGCTTCATTGCATTGCCAACGTGACCATTCAAGGCATGATGCAATGATTAGATCACAAGGCACAGAGGTGAGGCTTTCAATTTTGCGGTGTCAACCCAAAGTGGGCGTACCTCTGCCTTCTCAGCCTGGCGGCGCAGCTCTTGCTCCAGGTCCTTGATCCTCTTCAGGTGGGCGGGAGTCGGCACAGAGGACTTCTTCACTGCAGAGATGAGCATCGCCTCTGGTGACATGCGCTGGGCCTGCAAGAATACACTGTGGTCACAAGAGCAAAAGGATATCCCCTAGACAATACACACCTGCAGTGTGAGCAGCCTGGATGGACGCATGCATGAGGAGTGCATGCCTCAACAGCCACGGAAAGGCCAGACAAAGAGCAAAGGTGGCAGGCCAGCAGAGGATGGAAAAAAGTACCTGTGCTGGCAGGGTGGCTTTCAGCTGGCTGATCTCCCTTTCCGCAGCAGTCAGCTTCTGCTGCAGATCCACGCTGCGGCTCTCCGCCAGTTTCCTGGCTGCATCCTTGTCCTCCAGCGCTGCTGACAGGTCGGCCATGTAGCCTGCCAGCCTGACATTGTCTGCTTCTGCTGTGGACACCTGTGGCAGCAATCCATGATGAGCGTCATTTTCGGTCCAGCAAGACTCATTGACAAAAGACATGATTGACATCTGGAACGTGCTGCTTTTGCACAAAGCAGGTGGCACACACAGAGACAAGTGCAGTCCAAAAGTGTTGCTGCAAAGCTGCCAATGTGGTAACTATGGGCGTACCTGAGTACGCAACTCGGCATTTTCTTCTGCCTTGTCTGCAGAATTTTGCTTTGCTGCCACCAATTCTGCCTCCAGCTGCGCTATCTTATCGCTGTCACTGCAGGGAGCACTGGCCTGCTCCTCAGCAGGAAACATGCCGGCCACGAGGTCGCAGGCTCCTTCTCCCATCCTTGGAGCCTGGCGCACCATCAGAGAATCTTGCTTGGTGTTTTTTTATCTTCCAAAAGCTAGACATCAAACAACAGCAGTGCCACAGGTATTATCTCACCTGCACTTGCTCTTCAGGCAGTCTCTCCTCCTCGCTCTCCAACTCATCCTTCTGAGCGATTTGATCCAGCTGCAAACCAACATCAGCAAATCATACCGTCTGTTCGATGCGAGAATGAGCTGATTTCGGACCTCGCATCTTTGGGTTTTTGGACATCTTCGCAGAGTCCGCCACACCAAAACCTTCAGAAAGTGACCCCACTCACGCAAGCTTTGTTAATTGGAGTCGCAGTATAATTATCGCACCTCGTCATCTGTGCTGTCAACTTCGACGAGCGGTGCCGTTCGTTTCGTTGTACCTTGATCTGGCGAGTAGCCAGTCTTGGTCTCTGGGTAACCCTGAGATGAGCACAGACACAAAGATTGATTAGAAAATACTTGCAACCAATAAAACCTCTCTAATGCACCAACAACCTAGATCGGACAAATTTTATGGCGTTGTTGGCGGCCTGTACTGTCTCTCGATTGTGGCGCGCCATGGTAATTTCCTACAAAAGGATACCTCTGATTGCATGCTCTAAGCAAAATTGCAGTTGTCTTTAAAGTTTAAGATGTGCGTTTCACAAGCCTGACTGCACCAATTTGGCAGAGACAGGGTGCAACTCCTCATCCTCTGTCTTGGCACACACCGGAAGCAAGACACAGAATAAGCTCGTACCAGGCTGCAGGAGTCTTCCAGAACCTTTGTAGAACCGAAACAAGGGATCCATCGCAGCAGGTTCAGGGTGAGTTTCATCTTTTGATGCTTAAAGTTTTGGTACAGATCGCTCGATCAAGGCAAAAGAGCTGGCTTCAATTTCACGATGTGAATACGAGACTAGCACTCTTCTTCAATGAATACGAGTAAAGATAATGACTGCTGATGTATAGCATGAATTCAATCTTTGACATCTGAAGCTGCCCAGTGCGATTTTGTGCGGTTTTATAATTATCTAACGCCCCAGAGGGCTCCGGCCCTGACGGGTTTTATAGGAGGGGGTCCACAAGATCTTCTTATATATCGAGAGGACGGCCTAGAGAGTCTTCTTGAACATCTTTGGCTCCTTCAGGACATCAATGGATCCAGAATTCAAAGCTTGAGAGGTCAGAACCTTTGCATGTGTGTTGGTGTGATCACAGTAACTTCTTGACTTTACAGGACACATGCCTGCAGCTGCGCATGTGCTCCCCTCTGCTGCACAGTAGATTAATTCACCTAGTATGATGCCGTTCCTCTTGCGTGCACAATATGCAATTAACGTCTCATGCTGGCCCATACAGACAACCCCTTCATGATCTCAATCTTGCCTGTTGCGCTCGCTGCATGTCAGTGACATGATCGTATCTCTGGGAAGAGAGAGCATGCAAATTACAACCAAGCCATTTAGATCCTCATGCAGGCAGGGCTCACATATATTGACAATAGCAATCTAGCAGGTGTGCCAAAATGATTATTCCAAAGCTGCCGTGTGACCCAGGGAGCTCTGCTGCATACAACAGTCATTGTTGGACAATGAATCATGGGTTTTGTATTGGCATGTAACTTACCAGCTGTACAGGATCCATGCGACAGACCAATCAGCAACCTTCCCATACCTACCAAACAGCAATCTGTGTCCGAGAGATGAAGGTCTGTACTAATATCATGCCAATGGCTTGTTTGGCAACCAATATCAACTGGATTTCATGCGTTCAAAGGATCTGGAATTGTGAGTCATGACCGCAACTCAAACGCGCATGTAACAAATGTGTGAACAACCACCCAACTAACAGAGGCAATATTATACATCTTTTGTTGCAACTGTTGCGGCTTGAGAGGTACTTAGCTTCTGAAGCTCTTTTGCCGTCTCTCGTCAAAATTGGTACATTTCCAGATCAGAACACCAGCTGTACTGTCTCTGCTGGGGCGTAGGGTCAGTCTCAGATTGCAAGATCTGAAGCCAGTCAGAACTGCAAAATGAATGCGGCGCTGTTCAGTGCACTCAGACACCGCAGTCTGACAGTGGCAGATACTGATAAGAAATGCACCCGAGCTGCATTTGCGAGATTATGCTGAGGCTCTGGTGCAGCCACAGTCAGCCTTAAGGTCACTGCAGCAGGAGTGCCATCAGAAAGGCAAACTCGGCGTCTCTGCTGGCCTGTGCATCGCTGCTGCCGGCCTCCTGCTCAGTCCCACTGCCCTCCTCCCAGCTACCCGGTGCCGCCTCATAGCATAGTGTCTCTGCATAAGAGGCCAGGCTGCAGCACTCAGCCTTGTCACCGCAGCTGGTGTCCTGAGAGCTGCAGCTGCCATCTTTGCTGTAGCTTCCTGCACCGCTGGGCACGCTGTCCTCGTCAGCAGCTTCGCTGCCCGCCTCAGTACCACAGCTGTCCCCGTGAGTGATGTCATCGTCCTCGTCATCAGAGCTGCTGTCCTCGTCATCGGCAGATGAGCTGACCCCGTAAGCACAGGAGCTGTCCCCATCATCAGAAGAAGAGCTGTCCTCGTCATCAGAGGAGCTATCCTCATCAGCAGAGGAGCTGTGCTCGTCAGCAGAGTCGCCGCGTTGGTCTCCAGAGGCGTTGTTAGCCTCCCAGTCAGCAAAACTCCACCCATCTGTGGAGGGGGAGGCCGTCCGCTTCCAGCGTGCATCGTCCAGGGCCGCTGCCAGCATCTTGTAGAGTGTGTCCAGGCAGAGGGTGCTGGGCCGGTCGATGCCCTGCAGCACTGCCGCCAGCAGCTCCTGCGGCAGACCCTCCACCACGGGCACAATCTGCACGAGCCATCACAGACACTGTCAATACGCTGCATGGAAATTTGAAGCATGACAGGTTCCACCACTTCAGACTGCTGCATGGAAAGCTTGAACCGTGACACATTTTCACCACTTCAGTATGCTGCATGCAAAGCTCCATTGTGGCACAAATGCACAGTACCCAGTCACCCAGTGCAGACTCCGGCAGACACTGTAGAGAAAGGCCAACTCTTAAAGGCCCACCACGCTTTGACGTGCACTGCAGAAAATGGTCAAGCTGGTGTATGCCCTATGGCCCTCTGGGGTCTGAATTCGCCATCATAAGATTACTATCATTAATATCAACCATATGATCACCATGATCACCATGATCATGATCATCATGGCGCGGATGCACATGCATGCAAATATTATTGTGTCGACGCTGATCATGACATCGACAATGCCAGACGGCAGTGCATGCGCCTGCACATGCAGGACTTCTAAGGCATATCACCCATGCACAAAGCCTTTTTATACTGTTTCACTCCAGACTGGCAACCTGCAGTGCGGGAGTCTTTACGCTAAGTAAAAATAATAAGTAAATTTAGACATCGACCTCTTGGGTTTTCCATATATCCACCCCGTCCAAAGGGTTTGCCAGGCTCTCCTGTTTCCTGGTCATTAAAGAGACTACAGCAGAAAATGGATAACATTCGACGCTGTTGAGATGACCAAGCTGCCTTATTTATACTCCCTTACCTTAAGACGATGCTTTTCTATTCCTACTTCAAGACCTTGGTTGGCAAAGAAGTCACGGTAGAATTGAAAAACGATCTGGCCATCACGGGGATATTGCACTCGGTAGATCAATACCTTAACATCAAGCTCAACAACGTGCATGTCGTCAACGAGCAGAAGTACCCGCACATGGTGAGGCCTGTGATTCAGGAATGTTGATGCCGATCTGAAAATGCAAATAACTCTTTGCATCGTAAATTAAATCCTTCTGAAGCCGTGAACTAAATAATTATTTGACTTAAATTGTTCCTGGCGCATCCTGATTCCTTCCTGCTTTAGTTGTTCTGGCCCACAGAGGGAACTTGGCCTTGCCTGCAGTGGCTGTTCTGGAAAAACACATTGTCAGAATATCTTTTTATAATTGAGCTTTGCTTTCGCATTGCATCTCATCCTTTTGTGCGCATTGCAGATGTCTGTGAGGAATTGCTTCATTCGCGGGTCAGTTGTGCGATATGTTCAGTTGCCGCCTGGCAGTGTGGATGTTGAGCTGCTGCATGATGCCACAAGGAGGGAAGCAAGAGGGTGAAATGATGCCTAAAGCCTTCCAGAGCAGATACATACATGTGCGAAGATGAAGCGGCATGGGAAGTTGCAGCCCATGATACAGAGGCAGCTACAGATGCAAGATGCATGGAGTGCATACAGAACGGCAGGACTTTTGGTTGCTCCATAGAGCAACAAGAGCAGAGGCAGATTGTCTAGAATTCCTACCGCATTTCCTGCAAAATGAGCAGCTCATGAACTTGTCACATCTCCAACTTGTCCATGCTGCCAAGGGTTGCACAAGGGGGCAAGACAGAATGACAGTGTCTTGCGAATGACTGAGCATAAAAAAGCAATGCTTGTGCTGATGCACACTCCTAAGATGCACACTCCTAAGATGCACACTCCTAAGACTTATGTTTGCCGGAAAGGCGATTAATTCAAGCGCTTGGATCCTACCAACTCTGGAATTTATGTGAACAGCATCAGAACGATCTGGCCCAGCCAGGCTCAAAATCCCCAAATAAAAATGCTCTACGATACAGTCACATCATTTGCTTGCCTTCTGCAAGACCTGCTTCAAAGCTGGTTGCAGCTCCTCGTACAGGGTCCAAACCAGGGCCGTCTGCATTGTACGTTTCACCACCTGCACATCCAAAGCCCAACCGTGAATGGCCCCTCTTGCCACACAGAATCTCACGCTCAACGGAAGTGAACACTGCCATGCTCCATTGCAGATACCTTGACACATCAAATGAAGAGACAGAATGACATTATTATTACTACTATTACACGCTTTCCTGCCAAGAGGCAAGGTGCGTCCTGCAGACAAGCTGCAGGTAAAGGCTGCCATAATCCTACCCCGTGATGGACTCGCCAGATCCAAGCAAGACCCAATCAATCATGGGCACGGTGCTCACTATTTATACTGCCCTCCGCCAGCCGGGGCCTACGAGAATGACATACAGCAGAAAAACTTCCAGTCGTAGAAACTGCACTCCACAGAATTTTAGAGTGTTCACCCGAGGGAGCGCGCCCACAAGGAGGGCGCGATGGCCCATGCTGCCTCCGACCACAGCTCTCCAGGTGTCTACCACGCTGAGGGGAGCTCTGCCGCGCCCCAGGCCCAGCTGCATGTGCGTTCGCAGCATGTCTGTCGGCTGAGTCAGCAGCGTCGCACACACCGCCGCCACCGCCCCCGACGCCAGATTCGTCACCGTCTTTGAGGTCCCATGCTGCATGCAATGCGCATGAGTGTGACTCGCTCCCCCGGTAGATTCTTGCAAGAGAAGCAAATTACCAGTTAAACTTGCAGGTGGAGGCATGCATGGGGTCAAGTATCACCTGTTGCATGCCTTCTTGGAGGCTGGTGTAGAACAGGTAGTAGAAGGCTGAGAAAGGTGCGTTTGTGAGGATAGTTGGACCCAGTCCTCTGAATAGCCCCCTGAGACCCTCTGTTCTGGCGATGGTTCGCAGGGCTGAAACTGTTCCCTGTACAGGAGATGCGGGGTCCTTATCAGACTGCTGATTGCACAGTACTAATGTAGCAAATTGCGAGGTGACATCGTGAAGGGCTTACCGTATACTGTACACTAGATCCTGCATACTCCATCCGCGTCTTCACAACTGTGAAGGGACATGTGACAGCGGCTGCAGTGGCTCGCGCGAAACCTCCAGTGAAGAATGCCTCTGGCTTCGTCAGCTTGTCTGCCTGATTTTGCTCTGCAACCACCGTGACTTCAGTGATTGCACTAGTTTGCGCCAATGCCTCTCGCATTCAACAGCAGACTTTAAGAGGTATGTGCACCACGATGTAAAACCATGCGCCTGACAGAATTAAATGGTAAGGATTGTGGGTGCTGAGCCAGGAGTGCAGCCTTACTTGAGTGTTTTCGGAGAAACACATCTTTGAGGCTCTCCATCACGCACATCTGTAACCCCAGACCAATGCTGAGCCGTGCAATGGTGGGGCTTGTTCCCCTCCACAGAGCCCTGAAGAGGTGGCACTGTCAGGCATGCCCCAATACAAATATCAGTGGGAGCAAACATGGCAAACGAGCTGCTAGCATGCACAGTGACCCACCTCACACCCTCATTGGAAACGATTGAGTGGAAAGTGCCCAGCATGCCAGAGAAGGCATTCCTTGTGGCGTCAGCCTGCATCCGCGTCCTGACCACATCCAGTGGCTGCACACATGTGCTGATGACAGCTCCAGACAGGGATCCTGTCAGATCAGAAAGTCCCTTCCTGTCAGATCCTCCTAGCTCAGTGTCCCCAAACGTCCACAACAAACAAAAACACCGTTGCTTGTGCCTGGCACACACCTGACAGCGCTGCAGCCACGGTCCCTTGCTTAGATCCGTGTTTGGTTTTGTCCTGTGGCTCCTTAATGGACGAATTGCGATCGTTAGGAGGCATGATCTGCGTTGCAGGGTAGCTGTGTTGTCTAGCCCAAGGAGTTCGGCAGGAGCCTCACACCCATCTCACCAGAAGCATCAGCGACCGACATTCAGTTATCCAAGGTGCAGACTGTGTCAGAAATGCGAGAAACGAAAGCCTCGTGTTTAAGTCAAGTGCCGTCAGCATGCCGCACTCACGTGCCAGCACGCAGATCATGGCCGCTGGCTCTTTCCTGGCCTTGGAGTCTGGGACAACAACTTCGGGGATTTCGGGCTTTCTTTCATATGGTGATGGGCATGGACACAGGACCTCCTGATCATCGCATGATTGCCTGGCCATCAGCGCTCTTCTGATCTGATCTGCACCATCTCTCATACCGTCTTGATTGGAACCCATGGAAAGGGATGAAACACCACCTGTTAAGCGGAAAAAGGTTGTGGTTGCAAAACTGCGGGCATTGAACGAGCAATTTGCCGGGTACGATCCGTTACAGGCGGTCGTGTTGTAGCATCTCAGCGATCCAAAAATGTATGTCCCTCCCTTTTGGCACAAAGATCAAATGGTAAACAGTTCCGATGGTACAGGTGGGTACAGGATCAGAATTTACACCACTTGGATGAGGTCTGGATTGATGGGGCAGAGGACTATATCCACCATGCCCGCAGCCTGCTCCAAAACTTGGCAGACGACAGCAGCACTGCCAACGGCACCTTGGTTTCAGGTGGCATACCACAAATGACACCTGGCCCCCTGTCTTCAGCCCCGGCAACAGCGGCTGCAGGAACCATGCCAGGCCTCACGTCCTCCCTGGGTCTCAGCCAACCAGCCACCGGGTCCTTGTCGCAGCCCAGCCTGATATTTGGCTCCCAGCCACAAATCCATCAGGGAGCGTCAACCTCTGCCCCCCCAGGAACCGGTATAGCCCCTGCAATGGTTGTGCAATCTGTTCTTCAATACCTGTGTACCTCATCAACAGCACGAATGGATCTGAAGAAAATTTCTACTCCAGGATCCTTGGCCACCAGCGGCTTCCCAGCTTTCAAGGCACCAACAGCCCCAATGAGCTTCAGCCAGAACGTGAGCAGCTCATCTGCTCTCAGCAACGGCAGCGGCTTCACTTGGGGCAACAAATCGGACAATGCAGGTCAGCGTGACTCGCTTTCTCTGATTTTGCTGCAGCATTGTCTCAGGGAATGATGTACAGCGCAGCGCCAAATACAGTGTGTGAGAAATCTGCATGCCTTCAGGTAAAGGGGACGGGGCTGTTGGGAGTGTATCAGTCTCCGGTGGGGCAGCTGATGAAGAGGAGGAGGGACCCAAAGTGTTCACTCCAGAGGTCCAGCTGGGCGCTGGCAGCAAGCTCCTTTTCAAGGAGACCGCAAAGCTCTTCCTCAAGAATCCTGACAAGGTATTCAGCAGTCCATAGAACGGGATAGTGCAGGAATGATTCAGCAGGAGAAGTGCCCTTTGTCACACTTGTGATGCAACGATTGCAAATGTGATTGGAGTCTGAAACTGTGTGACAGGCTGCATGGGATGACCGCGGCCATGGAACGTTGACTGTGCGCCAGCAGACGTCAGGGGAGAGTGCTGATTCAGTGTCATCTGCAAACATCGTGTTCACCACTGAATCGGGCAGGATCTTGGTGAATGGTGCAGTGTACAGAGGCATCAAGGTCAATCAGGTGAGATCAATTGAGCTCTCATCCAAGCTCTCGTTTTGAAACATATATCGCGTTTCATTCTGCAACAGCACTATTGGGTGGTCTAAGAAAAATGGACATGAGAGCCCCATGGATGATGCATGTATGCAGATGAAGAAGCCTATGATGGTCTGCACGAATCTGACACTTGCGACTGAGGAGGGAGCCGACAAGGAAGTCAAGCTGACAATGATGCTTTTCAATCTTGGCAATGTCGACAAAGCATCCAAGTTTGTATCAGCGGTCGAAGAGGTCACACCAAAGTAAGGTGCCTAAAGATCAGTGAAGCTTGTGCTTGGCGATGCTTCTTACAAGTAGCATTCAATGCAAGGGAAAATTATTAGTGACATGATTCCCCTGTTGAATAGTCGCCTCCTTGGCCCACTGTTAAGATTGTCAAGATTTCAAGAGTGAAGTCTACAGGAGTCAATAGTTCCTGACTAATGCAAACAGGCCGATTGTAAGCCAATAATAATATCTTCATCCTTCGCCCTCCTACTGCATTCCGCCCATCTTTTTGGCAGCTTCTTGCGCGCTTGCAGCACCTCGCAAATGTAGGATCCTTGCACAGCATAGAAAGCATCTCAGGAAGTACAATTGTAGGTGCATTATATTCGCTTGTGAAGTGTCTTATCTCTGGTGCTCGATCTGCCTTGATGTTTGCTTGTCTGTTTCCCCACTGCTGTGAGAAAACTCTGAGATGCCGAGGGATGGAAGTATTGTGCCCGATCATGCCATGACACTCACCTAGCCACAGCTGGTGTTACTGCTACAGTGAGAGGCAATCGCACAGGCAACAGAGCCTTGGTACACACAAAAGCAATGGCAAAAGATGATCCGCTGCTAGTGAGCACTTTTGCCAGCCACGGTCTCTCTTCTGGATCCTTGTCCGTCCTCAAGTCATCATCTGCAGACAATATTACTTGCCTCACGCGGTGAATAGAACATTTCTGATAAATCCTTAGGGTCATCTGGTTGGGATGATCAGGAATGTTAAATTGACAGGTTGTTTTTCTGGGTTGACCACACTCACCTTTCAGCAAGCCAAACTTGACCAGGTATTTTTCTACGTTTAATTTGCTTTCAGCTGCCACATAACAACCTGAAAGCAAATGTACATTCAACGAGGTGACAAAGCATTCATCATAATTTTCAGGGTATCCAACACAGCAAGTGCACATACATCCTGAGACTTGTAAGCACCTGCCAGCGTTGCTGCATACACTCCCAGGTGCACAGCTATGGCTACCTTGCCATACTTCTTTACCAACCCTTGAAGCTTAGACATTAAACTCGGGCATCAAAACAAGAGGTTGATTGATCCGTTTTCCGAACTGTTGGCAGATCGTTGCCTTGCCATCAACCTCAACCTTGCATTGCCTGATACATGGATAATGGATGCGGAAGATTGCAAATTTTTCAAACACCATGAAACACAGGTCTTCGTCGTCTTGCTGCCGTCGTCGTCGTCGTCGCAAGTCGCCCGTGATGGCACGTGAGGGCGGTCTGCGCACAAGAATAGAAGTTTTGCGCAAATCGAGCGAGCAAGCAAGGACCAGGAGCTGTGGATAATTTGGTTGGTTGAATATTTACAAGATGCCGTACAGGGCTCTAGCACTCAAGGACAAGATTGTCCTGATCACAGGCAAGCACCCATCACCATCCCGTTTGACCTATCCCATGATCTCGCAGATCATGACAGTATTGAGGGCAGATTATGCAATGTTCCATCTGTATGCAACCATCTGTGATGCGCGTATGATTTCATAGATCTGCATCTTTGTTTGTCCTCGAGAGCAAGCGTGCGAAAGCCTTGTACTGCTCTGTATAACTGGTCACTGATATGGCATATGTGTCACAGGTGCCTCTTCCGGCATCGGGAGGTGGGTGATGTCTTGATGGGTATCAGCCCAGGAATGCCTACACTTTTCGGGTCTGCAGGACTTTTGTACACATAGTTCATGGTGCTGGTGCATGCAGGGCCGCAGCACAGCAATTTGCCGAGATTGGTGCAAAGCTGATCCTTGTCGCTCGTCGCAATGAGCGGCTGCAAGCCCTGAAGAAGGAGCTTGAGGAGGAGCACGAGGTGGTTCTGCCTGACACTCTCCTCACTTTGCGTGCTCTAGTGTGCCCATTGGAATGACTCCATGTTGACTCTGTCATGTCCACGCTCGGCAGGTTGAGACACACACAGTGGCAATAGACTTGCAGGACCTTGACAAGGTCTCAGGCTTGGTGCCGGGACTCCCAGACGGCTTCAGGGACGTGGATGTGCTAGTGAACAACGCAGGTGACATGCAGCCGTGACCTGAGCATTGTCAATGCCTTCCATGAATATTTTCATGGTGTGCGGCTGATAAAATTATCATCTAACACCGCTGCAGGCCTTGCCACTAAAATTTCATGGTGTGCGGCTGATCAAACTATCGTCTACTTTGGCTGCAGGGCTTGCGCTCGGAAAGGCGCCGGCGCATGAAAATGACATTGCTGATGTGGCGACAATGCTGGACACAAACTGCAAGTCCCTGGTGGTGCTGACTCAGCAAGTTGCTGAAGGCATGGTGAAGCGAAACTGGGTGGGTGCCTTCCCAAATGCCAACAATCAAAAGGGGGCCATGTCATTCCACGGCAGCCGCTGATAGTGCATTGCGCTTTGCAGGGGCACATCATAAACGTCAGCTCAATTGCTGCACATGAACATTATGCGGGTGGCTCCGTCTACTGCGGAACAAAGGCATTCGTGTCAGCCTTCACAAATGCAACGCGACATGATCTTGTAGGCACCAACGTCAGGTATGCAGAAACATAGCAGACCAGTGCATTTATTGTGGCACCTGAAAGCGTAATGAACTGCTGACAAGGTTTCTCAACTCTGTAGGGTGACTGCCATCTCCCCGGGAGCTGTTCAGACAGAGTTCAGCAACGTTCGCTTCAAGGTGCCATGCTCCTATGATTTTCAGCTGTGTTTCTTGCTTTGATTGTGACGCAAAAGCTGGTTACCCTGGCCATGCCAATAAAGTGGAGGATGCATGGAACATGTTCACCTGTACAGGGGAATGACCAGGCGGCGGATTCTGTCTACGCTGGAATTGTGCCGCTCACAGCAGATGATATTGCCGATCAGATCGTGTATGCTGCAACCAGGTCAGTTCATGACCGCAGTCTGATCCCGAGCTCTTGAGTGCGCCAGTTGACCCAATGACAGACCATAAGAGAAGAGTATATGCTAAGATGCAGGGCAAGGTAATTAAAGCTCTGGACTTTGTGTGGCTGCAGGCCGTCTCATGTACAGATTGGCGAGATCATTTGCTACGCCACTTATCAGGCATCACCTACAAACATTGCAAGAGTTCTGCTGAAGAAGTAGAGGGCGATGAGCACTGCACTGCTTGCAACACTCCCTCCCTGAAGAGGAGGAAGGGAGTATTCAGAGGCGCCATGAACGAAGCCTGACAGACAGGATATTTCCAATGCGGTTTTACCGTGCCTAAACAGCAGATTCTACTAATTTCCGCGCCGGCCGAGGTCGTCCAGGTTTCGCTTGACTTTCCAGCTGGTGTGCAGAGACGGTCTCGTTTGACACAAGATATCATGTTGTGCTCCATTCATGCCATACCTGTCTGTGAACATGATGGTCTCAGCTGAGTTTGGTTCATCCGGAAAATTTCAGTCTTGTCCAACTGAGGACTCCTCGGAGGTCCGGTCTGCATGGCAACAAATGTCACTGTGCCGCACATGCGGCCATCATGGCCAATTAGAAAAAATGGAATGCTGATGTTGACATCAACATCATGATGAAATCTAGGCAAATTGTAATTACTGTGGGTGCTAGGAACCGCACTGATACTATCATGTATCAATAGTATTGATCAATGAACTCGAGGATTTCCAGGGTTTCTAGCAGCATGCAGGAATGCCTCCACAATGGGCAGGCACTCAGTGACAGGCTGTATTGAACATCACCCTTCTAGGTCATCCAGCTATTACTACTCTCCATCCAGTAGAAATCCAATTGCATGTTGCCATCATCATGATCATCATGATGCCATCAGTGGATGTACATGTGACCCTGTGGCACACGTGCACCGGTGCCGAGGGTAAGTGAGAGGCTTACCAGTAGTCGCCTGTCCGTCCTCTATAGGCATCCAAATCTCGGCTAAACGCTTTGAAAAAGTACCTAAGGATCCTCGTTTTTAAGGCTGTCAACATCAATCTGGCCATGCATGCTGGGAGGAGGAAGCCCTGCCTTATATTCAGTATTGTGAATGCGGGGATTTACAGTAGGGTTTGAACTGAGGTTTTCTGTCCCGAATTGGAGACTTTGGCCCAGGTTGGTCTTGTGCAGGCTGTGGGGTGCGCTGCTGTCAATTATATATGAGAGAGGTGTGATCGTGTTTGCGATCAATCTTGTATCGAGGAAAAAGCTGATTGTTCTGGAAGCGGGTCTCCATCGTTTGGTGTCGAGCTGATGTAGTACCGACTCTGCTGCCCCGTTCTTTCATCAATAGGGCCATCGGTGGTCCCGGGTGTGGAAATGAATGAAGCTGTGAAGATGTAGGTAGAATATGTAGTAAAAGGAGGAGAAGGCATGGGGGCGCAACGCTGGGTAGGTTTTTCACGATGCTGTAAACTAAATTGTGTCGTTGCTCATGGAAGCGCGCTCAGGTAGATCAGGATGTTGGCACAAACCTTCTTGATCTCTTATGGGGCGCCTCATCAGGGTCCTGCTCTAGTGTATGGTTGTGACAGCACGATCGAGTAGAGTAGTACTTCTCTGGATTCTAATTTTAAGCATATCATGATGCTGGCTCGTGGATACATTCAAGTCTCCGCTCGAATGTGTCTTAAATGGTCATAACCTGAGGTTACAAAGGATTGGAACATCGATCTTAATCATAGGCAAAGCTCCACCACTTGACTAGGTTGTGTCATGCAGGTGCTTGGGAAGGCCCACAGGTTGCGATGGCCTCTTCAACAAGGGAGACTTCTCCTTGTCATTTTTTTCTGCAGCTTTGTCTGCTCGCAATGTGCTGATGACAGCTCAACCATTGCGGACCTGGTGCACACAAAGTCCAACCTGGTAACTTTTCGTCCCTTTCATGTGCAGCTGCATAGCTTCATCAGAAGTCTGTTCAAGGCTATGCTGATCCACTGCAGACACCCGTGGAAGATGGTCAACATGTAGGAATGCGTGGGTTCTATCACACGTCACATGAGACCATTAGTATGCCATCATGCCATGGGATGTTGCGCAGACGACCTTGGATGTATTCTTGGATCGGGCTGGCTTGAGGGAATATCTCAAGTCCCTCAGGGAGAACTATACCTTGTTCGCGCCACAAAATATTGCTTGGGATGCCGCTTTCTACAAGGAGAACCTGGACTGCACCACAGATTTCTACGTCACATCAGCTTGCACTTCAAAGGAGGATCTCATGACAGCTACAAATTTGAGGGAGCTTCTTATGAATCATGGTGTGTTCCAGCCCTCATGCATGACTACCAAACAGCACATGCCAGATGTGCCAGCATGGTGAGCTTGAAGTATAGCAATCTGTTTCAAGCAAATGACGTGTCGTGTCCAAATAATTGCTGTCAAGGTACTGTATTGTATATTTGACTGGCCACGAGGTTTATCATGACCAGTGCGCCGAGCACCAGGCTGAGCAATTGCTTGGGGGCGCAGTGGTCTTGGGAAATTGGGATTCTGTGGCATTGGTGGGCCAGAGCCGTCTGCAATTCCTTGGCGGTGCAGTCCAGCCTGTGCTGGCATCTTCAGATGGGACAATCATTGTGGGTTCTGCCAGAGTGGTGTCCCCAAACATTCCAACAAGGAACGGCGTGGTCCATATTTTAAACAAGGTGCTTGACGGCGATGCATCCATCAACTCCACTGCTGTGGCAGTCGCCGCCAAGCTTGGGGATTTTGGGCCATTCAACAGAACAAAGGCAAGTTGCACTTCTTGTCTCCATGAACATGCATCATGCACAACTCTCTAAATGAAGCAGCCTCTCATGGCATTTGGCATGGTGAGGTTTTGCATGCAGATGTCAAGATCATGCATGTGTCAAGGAATTCTGTGAGATTGTATGAGGGCCTGCATGCAGAGGGACCAGATGTTCACATTTGAGATCACGTTCCTGCCAGCGAGTCTCCCTAGCCTGAAGACATCCTATCAGCGGGTGCGCATGGCTGTCGGCTACCCGGATGGGGGCATCAGCAACAACATGGCACTGGCATTTCAGCCCGGGGCAGTCTTGGATGCTGGGGGAGTTGGGTACCACCCTGACAATGCCACCGCCAGCTGGACGGTCCCTGCAATGCCGCAAGCAAAGCGGCCATACACAAACGATGCGCTGGCATTCCTGACGGTGCGCATTGGGTCAGAAAGATGTCTTTTCTTGCTTACTTGCCTTCAAAATGGCATGCAAAATCCTGTTCAAGTCTGTGCAATCATTGCAATGTGATGCATGTGTGTGCTGTTCAGATACCTGAGCTGGGTGCGCTGCTGCGGAGCAAGGCCATCACCTCCATGGAGCTGACCCAGTTGTACCTGTCCAGGCTGAGACGGTGGGTGGCCTGGTAAATGCGGGCATTTGAGAGTCTAGTAATGGCATGCAAGAACAGCAAAGGCTGGTTGTAGGACGCCATGGCGCTGCATGTCATGCATGTGTCCACCATCTGGAAGGTCATGTATGGCAGGTGTGTTTTTTATTCAGACATGCATGAGCCATTGACAGCGTCTCATGCGCCCCTGGCTGTGTGCAGGTATGATCCGTACTTGGAGTTTGTGGTGACCTACACAGAGGATCTTGCCTATTCCCAGGCAGCTCGAGCTGACAGGATGTTTTCAGAGGTACGGCACTCCCATTTGTTTGTGAATTGTTTCACTGAGATCTGCAAGAGCTGGACTAGTATTGACTGAGCTTCACAGGGAGGAAGCTGACGCATGGCCAATGCGCAGGGTGTGGATCTGGGGCCACTCCAAGGCATTCCATATGGCCTGAAGGATTTGATTGCAGTGGAGGGCTACCGGACCACCTGGGGTGCTCCAGCCTACATGGACCAGGTCCTTGAGGGCAGCGCTAATGTGTACAAGAGGTAAGCATAGTGTCACCGACAATGTCCTTTTGAAAACGTTGTAAAGGTCTTCAGCTGCTCTGTCATGGCTTTCTGGCTTGGGCAGAAGGACACCCTTGTTTTGTTGTTGCCCAAAATGCAACACTGGACCATGAACTTTGACCCTAGACATTTTTCCATGCAGGCTTCAGAAGGCAGGAGCGGTTCTGGTAGCAAAGCTGGCGACAGGGGAGATGGCGTTTGATGATGTGTGGTGGGGCGGCAAGGTCAAGAACCCCTGGAACCTCGACGAGGGGTCCTCCGGCTCCTCGGCTGGTCCTGCTGCAGCTGTGGTGGCTGGAGCAGTGGCTTTTGCGGTACGCCAACCCTTCTTCCCACGGTGTCCACCAGTACATTGACCCTCCAGAGGGCCGAAGAAGGCAGGGGAATGACGCGTTTGTTCTCATACAGGTTGGCACTGAGACAGAGGGGAGTCTGATGGCCCCGGCTGAGCGCACTGGAGCAACGGCATTGCGGCCAAGCTTTGGGCTGATCGGCCGTTCTGGGGTCATGTCGCTTGTCGATTCTCTGGTGCGCTCAATAACCAGTTGCTCCCAGACCCAGACGTCCATAAGAGGTCTGTGTTGTGGTCTTCAAAGCAGTTGGACTCATGGAGGTTAAATTGCATGCAGGACAAAGTGGGGCCTTTCTGCAGAGCTGCTTCAGACTGTGTCCTGGTCCTGGATGTCCTGAGAGGAAACGATGTGGATGACATAGCTTCACAGGATGTGATGCTGCCAAGCCCGTTCGATGTGAATGTGTCCAACCTCTCAATTGGGGTCCTGCCGAGCGTGCAAGACTTTTCTGCCGAGGTGCGCGCCAAGCCCTGACCTCTTGCACGGTATTGCTTGGCAGCTTTGGTGACTGCAGTGGAGCATGTTGCTCTGCTTCCCTATCCGCAGAACTTATCCTCGCTTGTTCGTGAGAGGAGACCATAGTATCAGTAGTGGGAAATAATTTCTTCTACATGGGGTAGGCTCAAATGTGTGCCCTTCTTGTGCGCAGTTCACGGCAATTCTCGCGAGCAAGGGCGTGACAGTGAAGCCATTCACTCTAAACTACACCACGCCTGCAAATGACATCATCCTGACCATTATGGCCACCGAAGCGGCGGCAAACTTTGACTATTGGCAGCGGTCTGGAAGAGATGACACCAACCGGCGGCAGGACTTCTGGCCGCCACTCTTGCGCCTGGCTCGCATGATTCCTGCTGTGGAATACATTCAGGTGTGCTGACTCTTGAAAATGGGTAGAAGGGTGTTTGTATTGGTTGGAATTGCAGGTCAACAATTTGGAGGGCTTTATGGTCTGTTTATGCTTGTTGCAGGCACAGCGAGCAAGGACAATGCTCGTGAAGGAGGTAGTAGACCTCATGCAAGCTGCAGGCATTGATGCCTTTATTGGGAACGCGAGCGAGGAGCTTGCTCTAGCTAACCTTGTGTCGATGCCCACCCTGGTAAGCCTTGCCTGTGCATGACCTCTGTGTCTTTATGTATTCCTCTTGGGGATGCTGACACTCTGTGCGATCTAAAATTTTTGCTCTAGCCCAGATTGCATGTCTCTGAAGAATGTGTGCATTTTTGTGAAGGCATTGCCTGTGGAATTTGATGAGCTCCCAAATGTACGGAACAGCAGCCGCCGACATCCACTCTCCATCGGCATCTTTGGGACGCCCCTTTCTGATGCAAATGTGAGCGCGCCTCCTCTCTGCATCCTGCCAATCTTTGTTGGCAAAACCACATGAATGCTGCACACTGCCCTTACCTTATCCCCATTCAGCATGATCACTCAGAAGGAAAAGGATTCTTGCTGTTTCATCCTGGATAATGCATGTCATGACACTTGCAATTTTCTATGGGCCAGGTTCTGGCGCTTGGGATGGCTTTCCAGCAGAGCACAAATTACCACTTGCTGCAGCCGCCGGTCGACCAAGTGGAGCCGGCCATCCTTGCAAAGTGCATGCCGTACAGCCGCTGCGGCCTGCCTCAGACCGTGCTGGCGGCACTTAGCAACCCCGGCAACAGCAGTGCACCTGCACCCTCTGCAGGCGCTTCCTCCAAGGCCGCCTTATCAGGGCGATGACACTATACTCCTGCTGCAACAGGCCGGATATTTATTTTGTTACAGGAGAGCTCTGGGGCATGCAGCCAATTTTATGGACTGCATGTCATCTGGTTCTGTCATTATAATCAGCTGATGCCTCAGGTACCATGCTTCTGTGTTCCGGACTGGGTTCGTGTGGAGTCTTGGTACCTTATTTGTATTCAATATTGGTGTATCATTACGTCCCAAAGCTCCTCCCGTATTGCATATTGATGGACCCTCCGTCGCTGTGCATCGTGCGCACTGCAGGGTCACGATAGAACTGAACATGGAACAGCGCTAGCTTTCAGTGCTGAGCGGGTTATGCATTAGGTCCATACCCCACTGGAGATCTGTGAGTATTGTGACTTCTATGGAGACTCATCTGTCTCGGTCAAAATGGAATTGTAACTGGCTCTTGAGGGGCCCACACATGGTAAGCTTATGCATTCGATGAGGTTTAGCCTTGGACTTAGAGAGTAGGCTCACGATTGGGCTGTGATCATTGGAAACACTGGCACTCTTTGCGTGCCATCCAAATGCGCAGTGGGGTATGCAAAGTGCACAGGAAACCACTGGCGGCATGAGGTGTTGACTTGGATCGACAGGTGCATTTGAAAATGTGTAACAGAAGCTTTGAGGAGCTGTCACTTATCAAGGTTAAAGATGTCTGACTATTAATCCCTCGAGGTAGCTCAGTATGTACCTCCAGGCCTTTCTGGTGTCCCAGAACCTCAAAGCACATCTCATGATATCAAGAGAAATGCACAACAGTGATCATACTAGCGCTACCGCCATCATCTAAAGATGGCGACAGGGATCTGGTCTCGGTGATGATCTAGCCATTTATGACTGATCACACAATATTCCAAGTGCAGGGAAAGAATCACGGCAACCATACAGCAACACTTCTAATAGATTATTCAGAGTAGCTTCAATGCAAATTCAATCGAAAAGTCTACAGAGTTTCCAATATTGTGAACAGGTTTTTCTGTCACAATTTAGAAATTGAACGTCCGCTTCAAGTGGGTGCGCAACGCTCGCCGATTCTTGACAGCTTCCACTGACTGCTCATCTGGCAAGACTCCAGCGCGCTCCATGCGCTCGATCACCTCATAGCCGCGTGTTAGGTCCTTTGTGCGGGCACAGACCTCCAACAAAACGTTGAACGTAGCTGCACACAAACCATAATCCTCAGGCACGGTCTTACTTATAAGTGACACATCTGCCTCAAATATGACACCATGCAAATCTGTCTGGCAGCACGAGAGCACAAGAGGAAGGATGATGCCCAAACAGATCAAGAATAATAGAGTTGTGTGCTCTGCAATCATGAAGTGGTCACCTGTGCTTGGTTTCAGGTTAAACTTGCTCTGCATTTTTGACAAGAGTCCGCTGATTGCCAACCACTGCGGGGGCTCTGCCTCTCCATATCCGCGCACAAGGACTGCGAATGTCACGTCATCTGGCTCCAGCAGGGCATCTGTGACACAGAAACCTTCTTCAGGACAACCCAGGAGGGTACAAGCCATTACAGCTGAGCACACAGCAAGTACTGCCGAGAACAGGTCGATATTTTTCTGGCCAGCTTCTTACTTGGTCCATCACCAAATAGCTCCTCAAACGCCGCCTGTGCCATCTGCATCTGCCCACTTCTGGCACAGGCATCCACAAGGGCTGTGCCGAGCATTGGGTCCGGCTGAACTCCCAGCCTGGCCATCTCTGCCAACTGCTGCAATGCCTCACGAGCCTGCACATTTCAAATTTGTCTCTTTGTGTTTAAGTATGTGTTGAAACTGCTCCAGCAGCTCCACGACAAGACTGTGCTTTGCTGTGCAACGTTGCCAGAAAATCTGTCAGAGCTGAAGCCTCTGTGCAATTATAATACCTTGCCAGCCCTCCCAAGCTCCTTTACTCGCCGAGTCACAGCCATCCTGACCTGTTTTGTCCGCAAGTCTTCTGTGATATCCAACGTTTGGTTCGCCTGCGTAAGCCAAGAGTACTGAACAGACGGATGAAAGCCTTTTCTTACACACACGAAGATATGTACTACCCCGTTTGTTTATTAAATCGACATGAATCATCCTAGCTTCAGGATAAATTAGCTAGCTTCAGCTTCCATAGGGATATCAGTGTCATAAGCTTGTATACGATACCTGTATCTGGAGAGCGTGTCTTCCTGATCTTTTGGAACTTGAATCGTAGAAAAGAAAAGATCGAGCGCCACATACTCGTACAGGTCTCAGCAGATTACCGCCACCGAGTTGGGTGAGATATGCTTCCGCAAGATTGCTTCCAAGGTGGGCATTCATCTTTACTTCAATTATACGACTTCGCGCTTAGCAGCAATATCAGATGACCTTCGTACAAGAGGTAGTCTCTTTGATATATTCACAATGATGACCGATGGAGTTTCAGCCTAGTAGGGTACGGCATCAACGACCCCGTGCTCCGATACAATCCCAGGGAATGGTCCAACTTTAGCGCTTGGCCGTAGCACAACTATGAAAGCTGTGATGTCATCAACGTCAGATCAAACTCATCGAATTCTTTCTTGAAATGCGACATTGAATATTTGGGAGCCTGTCATTTGCAGTCCAAGCGAGAAAGAAGCGTCAGCTAGGTCACTGTCTGTCCCCGTGCCGTTTTGGAGCGGTTTCACATCCTGTAGCGGTGAAATGAAGGACAAAAAGGGGCCAAGAAGGCTACGAGAAGAGCAAGAAAAAGCGCTCAAATTAGTACATAAAGGACTGCCGCCAGGACCACGACATTACATGCAAATAGATGCGCTTGGGACCTGCAAGGCCGTGACGGTACCAAATTGCTAAAATTTCTCCTTTTCAGGATTGAAGATAGAAAATTAAATATGGTATTAAGTTCTTGTGCGAGCTGTGTCCTCCAATACTCGCTACAGTACACCAGGGCAGCTGAGCACCTTATGAGCTGCTACAAGCTGTCCCAAAAATAAAATGCTGCAGGACAGAACATGCATCAGCCCCCAGTTAATGTGGTGTGGCTTGCGCCTCTGGAAGAGTGCTTGCAAAGATATGGTTAAGCAGGGCTTAGGAGCATGAAGTTGTCCCGGCAATGCCAGCTGCTGCTGAGGACTACTAGTCCTGCATAATAGTAACTTATATTATTCTTATTACTTTAGTACTTGGCTAATTCTTGCACGGACTTGTCTCCAGGGAATATTGATGCAAAGCTGATTTCCACCAGGTCTGTGCTCAACCTAAGATGTATTGCAACATGATCTGAACTTTGAGAGTGACGTTTGTGTGATCGTGTCTCGCAGAAGGAGAAGCAGCAATTCATGCAAGACTTTGATATTGGCGGACGCGAGATGAGAATATTAGACCCTTTGATTCCGATCCAATATCCAATTGATATTATGGTTAGAGAGAAGGCCATTCTCCTGAATCTGGAGGCCATTCGTATGGTCATACAAAAGGACAATGTAAGTTGCAATACGACCACCTCGTTAGCATGTCCGACTCTTGATGTGAGTTAATCGAGAAACCTCAGACATATCAAGTCTGCCTCCAATGTAGGGCAGTGCATACAGGCAGTCAGTTTGAATGCCCTTCAGAAGTCCTGCTGACAAATGTGTTTCCAAGTTTCAGGCTGTCGTCTTGAGTGCCCCTGATCCAGAGGACTACCCAGGGCCATTGACGCGCTGGGTGTTCCCCACAGGTGTGTATCTGTGGCACATGTGGGGAGCATCTCTTGGTTGTCTGGGTTGCTTTTCTCAGGACTGAAGGGCTTTTTATATCTGCAGAGGACAATTACTTTATCCAGGACGTTGTGGACAGGATAAAGGGAGAGCACGAGGATGACAATCCAGAAAAGTGTGCTCTCCACATGAGCGCCAACCCGATGTGCTGGTGGTGTGCATCAAATCAGAATGCATTGATCACCATGATCTCTTTGGCCGACACTTGTGTTGTGCGTTCAGGGAGAAAATGGAGCGGAGGCTCCCTTTTGAGCTGAAGGTCCTGGAAGCTGCCCTGGCCGAGACAGTCGATGAGATGTCCACAGAGGTGAGAAGCAAGCGCCTTAAAAATTCAGACCCTTTTTTATCATCCTGAAACCAAAACACGTACGATGAAACGATGGTTTGGAAGCCTGGGCTCCGAAGCAATGCAGAAAGCCGCTTCCTCAATGCTTGGCCAGTGTGAAGTTCACCAGGGAGTGTATCCAGGAGAGCATCATCACTGTAGAATGACGTTGGTAAATGGCTTGGGCAGGTCAGCGAGCTGGTGGACAGGGCCATGCCAGCCCTGGACGCGCTAGTGCAACGAGTGAGGCTCCTATCAAGAATTCCTGCAGAACACAAAGCCCATGCCTCATTCAGGAGGCTCAAGCAGCATGTTGACATTACTTTTCCTCATCACCATACGTCTATCATGCACTGTGTATGACATTTATGAGGAAGTTGATGATGTGAGCAGGTGTCTCGGCGCGAGCTGGACACTGTGCGGGAGGTGAAGGCTTCCTTGCAAGGAATCTTCCAGAGGACGCAGCGCCTGCAGGAGGTCTGTAGATGTATCTGTCGCACTGTTGCACCTTGTAATGCACCATCGGATTTTTCACAATGATTTTTTAGGGATGCGCAGCATAATGGGAAGGGATGATCTTTTAATGTGTAAGCAGGAGCTGGAGACTCTGCTGGATGACGATGAGGACATGGCAGACATGTATCTCACCAGAAGGGCTCAAGCAGAGGAGAGGCGGCATCGATTCAATGAGGACAGAAGACATTCTGCCGCTGAACAAGGTGCACCTTGCCCGATGCTCCTATGCTTGGCAGTTGTGAAACAGGTTGTTTTGATGGAATGAAGCCCTGCATGGCTCCACTTGTGACATTTCCTGGCATCTTCACAACATGATTGCAGGCTCCTACCGCTCGTATCTACTGGTCACTTCTGCAGCGCTTTGATCTGCAGTTGCCACTCCATGCAGGGCTTGACCATCCACTGGAGGAGCACGTGGAGACAGTGTCCGACTCGTCCCTGGCAAGCTGCAACACGCCGCATGGATTCAGCCACCGCGTGGAAGTCAAGAGTCACGTTGATCCCCGCTCTATCGAGGAGTGCGAGAACCTGCTGGAAACTTACTTCATGCAGGTGTGTTTCGGCTGATCAGAGATGCCATTTGTAATCTGCCTTGATGTCTGCATACCTCTTTGTCTAATCTTGGCCTGTGCATCGGAGTGATGTGAGCTTGGCACATGGTGTTCAGGTGGATTTCCTCATCAGCCGCTTGAATCTGCTGAAGGAGTCCATCGATGACACAGAGGACCTCATCAACATTGAGCTCGATCAAAGGTGGCCTTCTTGCCACATGCTCTGCAGTTGTCTTCAGCCTCTGCTCTTACACTGGCATGGTCTGAACTGGTGTGCAAAATGTGCAGGAGAAATCAAATCGTGGCAATGAATCTCATCGTGAGTATCTCAGCTTCTCGCAAATCAGATGATCAGCCTGCTAGCAGAAGGAATGTGCCACTTAAAACATAAAAAAGGACCGCTCATTCTTGTGCTTCTGTCGCAAGCTGGATTTAAATAAGTATTTCCTGGGCTGCAGGTGTCAGTATTTGCTGCTGGATTTGGATTGATTGCAGCCATTGCAGGGATCTGTGGCATGAACCTGCTGCCGCTGCCCATCGAGGATACCACGGTGGGTGTGCATGCAGACGTGCATGCCCTACGCAGTGCATTATGCTTGCTTACAGCCAACATAATCTGATGATCTCAACATCTTTTGGTTGTGCATGCAGGCGCCTTTCATTGGGGTGACGGTTGGCAGCTGTACAGCTGGGATGCTGGTCATTGTCAGCATCCTTGCATGGGCAAAGTACAAGAGAGTCCTTGACTTCATTCCTCAGCTTGACTCATGATCATGACTGCCAACAGATGCACTCCTGGCATCTACCGAAGTCAAAGCTCGGCTTCTATTGATATCGAGGTCCATTTGGCAGGCTCGCAAGGTACTGAATGATGACTTTACAGCATGCATCCGATTCCTGGGGTTAGCACGGTCGTAGCTATTGTTTATTTTCGGCAGTGCTGATACATTGAAAAAATTGCATGGTGAGTTTAGATACGTATATAGGTATAGTGTAGGCGTCACAAGTAACAGTCATAAGTAACTTATTACAATATGGTTGCTCTAGCAAAGTCAAATAGAAATAGAAACATCAAACATGTAAAGCAAGTCACAACACAGCGGTCTCAATGCTTATCCTTGCTCGTAGTCCCTCGACAACCACACAGGGGTGGCTGGGTTCCCAGTACACAATATAAAGCAACGCCTTGCAGGCAAATTTAAGCAAAGTCTAAAATTGTGATCCCCTACTTGAAAGTCTTTCTCACTTTCTCATTCGTCGGCAAGCTCACGCCCAGAACCTGACCTTTGGCTTGGGTGTCAGATCAGAGAAGGATAGCTTATTGATCTTTGCGGCCATGATGAAGTCGTTCTCTGTCAGACCACCTACGCAGACAAAGCCCGCTGTCAAGAAGCTACAGGATCTCATTATCACAGTATACCCCCTGCCTTCAGTAGTGCAGATGCAAAAGCCAGACCATTGCCTGACCGGCGCTGCATGCTTACCCACAGAATGGGTGCTCAGGTCCGCGGTGACACGGTTGTATCCCTCAAGATGCAGGTCGGGGTGGTGTCCCTCAGCTTCAGCCACTTCCCCAATCCTCTTGAAGAGCTCCAGGCCGGCCTGAAAATTCCGAACCTTCCATTCCTGCTGCAGGGAGAGCGCGCCACTCGCATCCCTTTTCAACTGCCAACCTGGCACCTGCAAAGGATGGAGATTAATCAGGCTGCACAATGACCAACTCCGTTTTACTTTTCAGGGCACTCCCTTCTGTTGTACCTTGCAGCAGAAAAGGACTTCGTGCCACTAAGGTACACAGTATGTCATGAGGCAAGCATGAAGGAGATAGATGCCAGCGGAAATACTGCCTACCTGATTTCTCAGAGTGTTGACAGCAGCCTCGTCCATGGCTTGAACATCACCCCCCTCACAAGCTTTGCACTTCCTGTTGGCTAAGCCAACCAAGTTTTCCAGACCAGGTGGACCCCTACGGTTGATGACCACACAGATCACACAAATGCTTATTTTTCTCAAGGCAAGATAGTTGAGTAGGTGACAAGAGCATTTGAGATGGCACACCTGATGATGTGGGAGGTGTCTGCATTGCCTAGCACTTTTGCCCCAAAGTTGCTGGAAATTTCGCCTTCTGTGGGATCACGAGCCCCAAAATCCTGTCACAGAACTCGATATCAGAGCCTTGATACAACGCTTATATTTTTCAACACAACAAGTCTTCATCGGTCAGCTCGCCCTTTCAAACCAGAAGAGCTCACCTCCCCAGCGAGACTTCTCCCAGCCTGGCCAACAGTTGAGCACAGCGGTGGACGCCTCACTCGACTTTGTGAGGCGCAAGAAAGCTTTCCAAGGGATGAGCAGGCCTTTCTTGGGCCAGACTGGCAGCAGGTCGATCTCGACACGATCTTGGAATTGAACATCTGCTTATCAGACACGAGATTTTCTTATGCTTTAACGCTAAACCTATTGTATTCCACAGAGCCTTCAAACCAATTTCGTTCAGTACTTGCGCCGCCCAGAAATGTCGCTGGCTCGGCGAAATTGTGTGGATCAGCTGGCGTCAGCACATGCACCAGCTCAGCCCATGCACGGGTTTGCACGTGGAGGCATTTGCTCTTTCAGGAGATGGTTCTGCTCCTAAACAAGTGCAAGCTTCCTGTGCAAGATTTTAATGTCATGGTATCGTACCAGATGGACAGAAACGGGCCACAAGTGTTCGACGATATGTTACGATCGTCAGAGGCATTTGCAGCGCTGTTGAAATCGGATGCAGCTCATTTGTCGTCTCAAAGATTAATTCCGACCTCTAGTAACGTCGATGAAGACAACTACGCAGAAAGTCGTGCAGCGTCCCTAGCGGATCAACTAAGACATTTGCTTCAACAGCGCGTGCAGTCATCAGGTACCATCGGCTTGGGCATTTATGGAACAATTTACTTTAAAGTAAGCAGAGCGTCAGCATCACTTTTGTTACTGCAGAAGGGACAGTGGAGCTAATTAATCGGGAGTTGAGCGAATTTCTACCCCAGCTACAGGTATCTTTGACCTGGTCATCTTACCACTGGCCGAGCATTCATCGTACAGCATATAATTGTCATCAATTTCAGTTGAGGATGAACGGACGTGCAGGGGGCTGCTGCTAGTCTGCAAAGCCTGGTGGATAAGCATTCCCTGCCAGATGTCCCTGAGGTTTGTGGTGGGCCTCCCAGCATCAGCCGTGCCAGGGACATCATCACCTATGCCCACAAACTGTGCTACACGACGTATGCACCCCCAGGCTACCAGGCTGGCATCACCGATTTGAGGCACTTCCGGCCGCCAATGCCACAGGACTGGCAGCTGCGTGCCTCTCAGCTCCATCAATTCTCTGGTAAGAAACAAACACTCCTCCAAAGACAGATACAAATACAGTAGCAAGATTGCTTAGCCCACACAGGCAGATTGTCATTTGGAGAAGTTTTAATGTGCATCTGTCGACTGTACATTTGATCACTGTTGCATTATTCCTGTTCCAGGGCAAGGTGTCCTGGGAGCATCACAGGAGCAAGAAGCTGCTGTCGACGCTACAGTGTCTGGAAGGGATGATGTTGAGGCTGCGCCAGCAGTTCCTACCAGGGACATTCTTGCAGAGTTGCCGCCAATGCCCCCAGGTGCTGACAATCGCACACAGAGAGATCACCTCATTTTTAAAGACAAAAGACAAGAAGATGCTCATTGAATCGTCCTCTTGTGTGACTGCATTTTAACGCAGTTTGTGCGCATGCCTGACAGGTTGGAAACCAGGGGACCCAATTCCGAGCTCACACCTTGCAGGGACACTGCAGAGAGATCAGCCTGCTGCATTAAAGGAAGCAAGGGAGCAGCAGCCTAAGCCGTCTCAACCACCAAGCAGCAACGCAGCGTTTAGCTTCATTCTGAATCCAGATTGGGAAGCAGTCGAGGAAGACTTCAGTGAGGATGAAAGTGACTGACCCTGTGAAAATTATGGGCTGGATCGTCTTCCGCTCATCATTGTTCTGGTTACATAACACGAGCAGAGCAGATGATCAGGTTGTCAATAATCTATAGCAGTGCACCGGACTATTTGTATGGTAAAGCCATTGGCACAGGTGCTCTTGGCAATTATTGGAAAAGTTGCAAACTGCATGAGGAACAGGTACAGCTGTAGCAAACATCCATTCTTTTCAAAACAACTGCGGAGACCCCAAGGATCTATATGGCAGATCAACATCCTGAAAAATGTGTGACAGACCATCAAGTCTCCAATGGCAGTCATTGCGTAACGTCTGATTGCCAGAGTCTGAGTCCTGGCTCTGTATACACCTTGACATAATGCAGGAGATGATGTCTACGTAGTGGAACAAATTTCTTCCATCAAATATGAAAAGCTGCTCCGCACACTACTACGCCCATCAGAGAACTGATGAGAACTCAGCTGATGACATGAGCCTGTGAATGAGGCTGTCTGGATAAGAGCCAACCCGGCACATGGCACAAGGAAAGCAAGCTGCCAGCAAACAATAGAAGACTAACGAAAGCAACATGCTTGTCAGTCAGCCACAATGTGCAATTGTGTCCCCGGCGCAGGGCATCCCGTCCTGTCAGTCCTTGAGGCACATGTGCACTGGCTGCTGAAGCCTGCTGGCGTGCAGCACTGGCTCAGGGGAACATCCACACCATTCTGTTTGGCTCTCCACGACCATGCATTGCTCTGCGTTTGGAATTTGCCGCCCGGGTCCAACTCCTGAGAGCCATGGTACACCCCATATTACATATATAGGGGATTTATGGGCCATATAGCATCATGTGCTATGCATGCAAACGCTTGCAAAGCAGCTGCCAGATATGGGGACAGCTACATGGCAGCTCTGATCCACAATACACGCCAAGCCACAACGCCAGGTTATTCGGAGTCATTTGTGAGCGCAATCTGTGAAGTATCACTGGCACTAGATGTCTGTGCAGGTTGAGCAAACAAACGCACCTGGACTGCACAGCCAAAATCACACCATTTGGCGTAGTGGGCTGCTCCATCAAAGCATGGTTCCAAGAAGGGCCAGCCTGCCTTCCCCCAGTGTAACCGTGCATCGCACTCCTCGACAAAGTACCGCACAACTCTCTGCCCACAGCAACAGCCCCCCACAAGGTCAGCAATCTAGTGTGCTGTTGGTGGTGCTGCTGCTATATATGCTTCCTCAATGGCATGGCTGCATTAACAAGTGCATTGGGTGATCTCTTGATGCATGCAGCATGATGGCAGCTGATCGCACCTCAAGCTCGACGTTGGGCTTTTTAAGCGTGTGTGACAGATGGTCCTCCAGATTCACAAACATGCGCGGTCCCCCATTGGTGTTTGACAAGTATGGCATCTCCTCGGAGACAAATCGGATGAGTGGGGGTACACGGAACCCCTCAGATGCACCGCTCCTCAACAGGGCATTGGCCTGGTCATAACAAATTGGGTTTATGGGAACATCATGTATGAAGACCAAAGACAGGGGCAGTGGCCATGCAAGTGTACTGGCAAAATGTTGTCAAAGGAGGCTCTTACCCCGGCAAGGCATGTGCCTGCTTTGTCCATGGTTACTGATGCCTCATACTGGTCATATGGGTTTAGATCTGACATAAATGAGCTTGACAGATCTGACTGCGTCAAGTAGGACCTGAGGAAATCACAATTTTAGTAGAGGTATACGTAATCGCTCATTATTGCACTGCACAAGATGCAGAAGTAGAGCAACCACACATAGAAATAGAAAGGCGGCTGTCACTCACCTCCTCGCGCTGTAGACGCCTGGAGCCACCAATGGAAATAGCCCTGCCTTGCCAAAAAGATCCCAAGCCCTGAACAGGAAAAGTGTCGAATTTATCAGACAAGCAATCAGATGCCATCTCCTGACATGTGATCTGTTGGCCCAAGGCAAGCAGAATGGGAAGCGCTTGGTGCTGTAAAGCCACAATCGTGAGATAAACACTCACGTAGAGTTGAGCAAATGCACAAATATTGAACCATCCAAAGGCAGTGGGCTCGTCTGGCTGAATGCTCCAGGCATCTTCTGTGCCCCTGCATCAGCATTCAGAGCCTTTCTAGCAAGCCATGATGTATATCAAGAGGATTTCACTGACTCCCACTTGCTGCATTATTCATTCTCAACAAGCCAAGGACTGATCAAGCCTTGTTCACAAGGGAGATATGGGGGCGCACCCGAAGAAGTCCCATCAGTTGTAATGGACTGATAGTACTTCTCTGTGTCAATCACCCCCGACAGCTCGCTCATTCCATCAAGTGTGGTGGTCGTCAGGAGCCTGTAGCTGGTTTTCCAGAGCTCACCAGACACAGGGAATGCAAATGCCTGCCATGTCACACCCCTCTTGTCAGTGCTGCAGTGCTCCATTCCTCAGTTGGGCATGTCAACAGCAAGAACATGGTGCAGGACAGCTGTGCCGAAATGTGGAGTATTCATCACAGTGGACCAGAAGTGCATGCGCGCAGCACACAGAAGGTGTGGCTCACTTGGACTGCCTCAACAGGCTCCAAAGCTTGGCTGACAGCGCCCTCATCTCCCGAAAGCACAGCCTTTTTGTAGTTGTTCTCCACCTGCAAGAGCTCCTGAGCAAATTCCTCCATACTCATGACATCCACGCTGCGCTCCACCGCCTTCTGAGCCTTGATTGGAAGCTTCACCTGAGTGATTATTCCCAGCCGCCCAACACTGACCTGCATTGCCCCATCCCAGATGTCATTTGGATGAAGAAAAATGGAGCACTGGAGCGTTTTGACCCTTCAGCAGTAGTGTCCAGCGGAGTTGGCAACATTTATTACCTGCAGTGCGGCAAAGAGGTGTGGGTTGGACGTTGGTGAGACCGTTATCAGCGTCCCATTGGCTGTTGCCACCTCCATCTCTAGCACCTGCAGTCAGAAATGACCAGAGAGTATTCATCCCAGCGTTACCCCATTTGCATATCTCAGAGACAACAATTTTTATCATCCCATGTGCACTCACCTGCCCGGACAGCGTGCCGTACTTCATTGTGCTCCCATGGGTGCCAGTCGCTACTGCTCCGGCAACCGTCTGATCAATGTACCAGGCGAAGCTGGGCAGCGTCCACCCCATAGGGCCTTTGATGGTTCTGAGCACACACACAAGCTTCTCTCTGTCTCTGTTTCACAATCACCAGCGGATACATTTTTTACTGTGCTGTCCATGCAACACTTGTGGCACCAGCCTGGTAAGCATCAGCAATGAAAGCAGTTTAGGGGAGTCAGAAGGTCAGAGCATCAGGGAGATGCGGCGCACATGTGTGTGGCAAGGTAATCCAGCAGCACACGAGTCTGCACTCCACCCTGCACTGTCACGGTCTGCGAATCTTCGTCCACGTGAATGGGGAATGTGCTGTCGTACAAGTTCCCCAGCCAAGACCATCTTGGCAGCGCGTTTCTGGTGACAGACCAAACAGCCTCGCTCAGCAGTTTGAAAGCAAAATATAGATTCAATTGCACCTGGATCTAGAGTGCAGTAAAATGAGTTTTGCATGGCTCTCCTTTGTGAAATTTCATCCTGAACATCAGAAAAATATTTGGGGGTGCTCACATGCGGCGTGTGCTGGTGAGCTCTGTGAGGACAATGTCAATGGAGTCCGCATCGCTTCCAGCACAAAAGAAATCGCGTGACCAGCTGTGTCCCACTCCCACCCCCTTCACTCTTGGGAAGCTCTTTATGAGGGCCAGAAGCTCCTCCTTGCTGGATGGCCGCCCGACTTGTACAGTTTTATTGCAGGCGAAATACCCTGCGTGACCAATGTAAACAGTGACGTTCAAGCGTAAATCATTGAAGCAAGTATCAGTCAGGTCAAAAGATGATACTTCATAGGAAGCACCATATGATCTTGCTATATACCCAGGGATCCACACTATCCACAACAGCTGGTAACAGATGAAATCTACACTGCGTGCAACATAAGAGCTCAGAGGAAATTTTCTTTGAAATATTACTGCAAAAACACTTGCATCTGGTCTGAGTTCAATGTTCTCCCCTAAAATTTCCCGAGACTGCAGTGATACCCCTGACTCACAGAGGTGCTCATCGCAACCGATGATAGTGCGGGACTTTATTGGACATCAGTATGTTCTCCATTACCTTGAAAGTTGCTAAGAGAGTATGGTAATCCGCAGAAGTGGGACTGGGCAAAGGGATCTTGTCGACAGGTTCCGAAACACAGCGTGACCCGTGCACAGAGAGCGAGGGACCACAAGAGTGTGCACAGGATTGTTTTTATCCTCCCAACCATTGCATCTGCTCCAGGCAGTACTTGGGGTTGCAATTGGCAACGCTTTGTTTGTGAGGCTCTTGCTGCCTTCCGACGCTCTAGCTAGGTTTCGATATCGATACTCTAGATTTGCCAAACCCCTTTGCCTTGGAGCTTTGAGGCCCATGTTGATCTTGTTCGAGCACTTGTCTTATGTAGAATGAATTTGAACACCCGCAAGAAATCAAAGTATGATGTGTCATAGTAAGCAGACACCTACAAGCTTAGTTATTCATCTGTATGCACACCTCTCGTTGCTTTCTAATCCCAGATCGAGCAAACTTGCCATCTCGACTCACCTACAGGCTGATTGTGGCAAGCTTGGAAAGCATCACTAGCGTCATGCTTACAGTGTGGCAGTGGCGATACTGGCAATGGCTGGAGCCCAGTAGCACATGTGCTTGATCTGAGCAGACCTATGCAACTTCAGCTGCGTAGAATTGGTTGCCAACGGCTATGCCTAAGGGTATACAAATTCAAAAGTGGGAAAATTGACAGGTTGGTGCAAACGATTAGTTGGATCTTTGCGTATCCTGGTTTGAGATGAAGGGTCAGACTCTCCAACCTGCAGCCCTCATGTTGCAGGCTACCCGTTCCTGTTCTGCAGAGGCGACACTGCACTGCGTTGCTCCATAATTACAAGGCGACAATCAGCTATGACGGGACTGACTACAATGGCTTCCAGCTCCAACTTGGAGTCCGAGGCAGAACCATACAGGGAGAGCTCGAGAAAGCGTTGACATTGGTGACGCAGAATGACAGGGCAGAATTGAAAGTTACGGCCTCCGGTCGCACAGACGCTGGCGTCCATGCCTCAGGCCAGGTGACATCCATTCGTCATTCATGCTTCCCAGCAGAGCATAAATGACATGCAGAGATGTTTTGATTGGTCACATGACACACTGATCATTTGCTGGCTTTGACAGGTGGTCAACTTCTTCAGCGGGAAGGGGCATTGCCCTAGCAGGCTTTGGCATTCGATGAACAGGCTGTTGCCACCAGACATCAGGGTGTTGGATGTGCAGCCTGTCGGCCCTGACTTCAATGCCAGATTCAGGTCCATCTCCATGTAACACACTGATATCTGTGACACTGCAATGCACAAAGTACATGACTGGCGGTGATGCATGTTCTGCCTAGGCGTTTTCTTTGTTCTTCACGTCGGATCCAACTCGGCCTTGTGTTGCAGCGCTTTGAGCAAGGAATACCGGTTTCAAATCTGCACCGGGCCCCTGCATGATCCCTTTCTGTGGAGGTATAGCCAGCATGTTTATCTTCCCCTAGATGTGGAAGCTATGCGGTAAGTGTCATTCAATGGTTTATGTAGGATCTCTGCAGCCCAAGACACCAGAAATTGAGTAAGGATCTCTAGCTAGATATTCTAGCTCCTCAGCATTTTGTATTTGTGACATTATGGATTGCCATGCAGTGCAGGCAGGCGGCAAAATGCTTCCTAGGCTCACATGACTTCACACAATTTGCAAGCACTTATCCTGTTGGAATGAATCCTCGGAAGACGTTGACCCGTTTTGAAGTGGTTGAGGTCAGGCCAGGTTTCTTGCGGTTGGAAGTACAGGGCTCGGGATTCCTTTACAGAATGGTCAGGCACATGGTAAGGCCAGACTGTGGTTGCGTTCAGCCGATGACTTTTTTTGCTGAACTGCAAACAGGGCAGCAGACTAATGAGACATTTTCAAGCACTTGCTTGCTCACCCAAACGCCAACATAAGCATGACTGCAGGTTGGTGCTCTTATTGAGGTTGGAAAGGGCACAATGAAGGAGGCCCAGATTGAAGAATTGCTAGCGCTAGGTTCCAAGAAATTTCCTGGTAAGCAGCTCCCCCAACTGAAACTTGGGCCATCTTATTTTCGTTGGGACCACATCTTGGAAGGGACTGGTTCAGAAGTAAATGGTCATAATCTGGAAGTTGGGCTCCAATTCCCCAGGACATCTCAGCTGTAACATTGATGGATTGTTGCTTTGCTGGCGTGCAGGTGAGAAACATAGGGGATGGACCGTTGCAGATGCCAAAGGCCTCTTCTTGCATGAAGTTTGGTACTAACTGCCTGCCTTAGAGCCCAGGCTCAGCCTGAGATCGTCTTGTCTTGAAAATCCATACTCTGCGGCAGCCACAACAAATATATGTAGTCAAATGATCAGACCGGGTGGTCTATGAATGGCTTAAAGTCACTTAATGATATTGCTAGGAATCTCCAGAGCATGCTGAGCATGCTGTGACCTTGGCTATATATTCTATACTGCCAAGGGCACCGTGCTGCTACAGTGCGTTTTACAAGGAAGCAATTTTGCGCTATGTAATGCTCATGTGAACACCAGATAGCACACAGCCATACGATGCGTTGCACAGCTCAAAATGCCTACAGCTGTCCCTAGCATCAAGCAATTGGTACCATAAAATCCAATTCTGTGCTTGCATGTATTCGTTAGGAGAAGAAATCCAGCATTGGGTGGACCACATGGTCAACAGAGACTGACCCAGCATTGCATGTGGTCCATTCCTATGAAATCATTTTTTCACGTTGTAGAACTTGTAAGCTCTTATTCCATCTGAATATCTGTATTGGAACCAGTTGTTGAAGCAATGTAATCAAATTTGTCTACGAAGACTTATATCGCACTCGTCGTTTAAGAACCATAATCTTTGCGCCAGATTACTGCCTCTCCACATGCTTTGTTTGTCATGCTGAGATGCTCGATCGTGCCTGAAAATATTTCTTTAGAACCTTAGAATGCAGAGACTCGACCAAAATGCAGTGCCTCCAGGTGCTGGTGGTCCTGGCAGTACCAACTGGAACACTCAAGCACAAGGTGCAGGTGGGTCTGGTCACTGCAGACTTGATCGTGATCTCGTAGGTTTTTTGTGAAGATCTTTTTGTGCTTGGTACGTTGAAATTGCCGTTGCGAGTTTCCTCTAATCTGTTGCCTGTGACTTAGACAATCAGCAACCATCGTGCAGGCGCTCAGAGGCCACAATATAGGGGCCCTGCACCTGTCACTGGGGTTGCACCAGGTCTTGTAAGACCAGGTCCACCAGGACAATATCAGCCAAGTTCTGGAGGGCAGATGGCGCACCCTGCAATAGGGCCATCAGGCGGTTCATCAGGACCACAAGGCAACTCAGTGGGTCCCCCCATTGGCCAATTCTCCCAGATGGGCATCAGCAACGGGCCATCCAGTGCACAAGTGAGTCCAGTGCACCCATCTTGTGTAAGAGGACCTGACAGTTGTGACTCCACTGATGCTGTACGAATGTAGAGATGAGGTCTTCTCATTCTGAACTGCATGATACAGGCTGCATCGAGCTTGCCACGGCCACCATCGATGGCAAGAGGGCCACCGGGCAGCATGGCGCCGCTCAGGCCAGTCGCCGGGCCGCCCCCAGCATACAGCAATGGCCAGCTGCGGCCACCAGGGCACCTGCCACCCGGACTACCATCGGCGCAGCGGCCAGCCATGGGGCAGCCTGGGCCAACATTTCCTGGCCAACAGCGCCCATCAATGCAGCCAATGGGTCCTCCAGGCAGCCAGCTCCCTCAGAGGCCCGCATCATTCCAGGGAGCTCCAAGAGGGCCCCCCGGCCCTGTGCCGCTTGCCAACGGGCATGCCGGTATGCGGCCGCCCTTCGGCACAGCCCAAGGGCCTCCTGCTGCACCGCCCTTCGGCGCGGCAGGGCCGCCGATGCGTCCGGGGATGCGGCCGCCCCCAATGCGCCCAGGCACACCAACTTCACCACCACCCACAAGCATCGGTAAAGACACCTGCATCCTCAGAGCATCACCTTGCACTCGTATCCGCGCCATGTTGAATGTGATCTCAGGGAAAGGAGTGCCCAGCGCCTTAAAAGGTGCGTGGCTTCAATGCAGGAGTGGCGGGGACCCCGCGGAGCGATAGGCCTGGAGGCCAGCCGATGCAGGGGGGGCCTCCGAGCTTCCAGTCGGTGGCGAGACCTCCCACACCAGGTATTGCGTGTTCCAGTACCGCCATCTTGGCACAGCCCTCTGCCCTAGATGCATGCCAGGGGAAAACCTACAGCGAGCTGCTTTGTTGCCATGCAAGGGTGCTCTTAGATAGAGGTTTCCAGGACCCAGACTGGTGTGCGCAGGCATCAGGTCAACGGGTGCGCCCAACTTTGGGGGCGCGGCCCCGCCCTTTCAGCCGAACCGGCCCACCCCACTTGGCGGCGGGGAGTTTGTGGAGGATCGCGCAGCACCGGGTGCCAACCGGATAGACCCAGCACAGATGCCTCGTCCAATTCCAGCAGATCAGCAGCCCATTGTGCGCCCACTCCTGATATCTGGAACTCCATGTTCGTTTCATACACTCAATGTGGATGCCAACTGCCTTGCGGCGGATCTCATCAAGAATGTTCGTGGGGCCCAGCAGTATGGAGGTGTATTGCGGATTGCATTGATCCAACGTGAAGTTTCTGTCTTCAGCTCTTCGCAACGAGGAGAGATGGAGAGCACCAGATGCCGCCGCTCACCAGCACCAGATACGTGGTGGCCGACAAGGGGGACTGCTCCCCCCGATGCATGCGCGCCACGCTCAACAACGTGCCCGCAACCGGCGATCTGTGCCGCATCGGTGCAATGTCGTTGGCTGTCATCATCTGCCCCTTGGCTCTTCCTGATCCCAGGGATGACCCCTTGCAGGTGATCACTTATGACTCTATTAGAGTAGTTGTCCATTTTACATTGGTGCTGCCTTGAATGCAAAATGACTAGTTGCATCTGGGGGCTAATGCAACGACCTGCTGCGTGGCAGGTGGTGGACTGCGGTGAGTCAGGGCCAGTGCGATGCGTGGAATGCAAGGCATACATGAACCCTCACATGAGGTTCATGGATGCGGGACGCAGATTTGTGTGCGGCTTCTGCGGCAGCACAACGCAGACGCCGCCCGAGTATGTGGCGCACATCGGCCCAGACGGCCGGCGCAGGGATGCAGACGAGCGCCCCGAGCTCAGCAGCGGCTCAGTGGAATTTGTGGCCCCTGATCAGTTCATGGTGGGCCCCCGTGGACCTTCATGGCCTTGCAACAAGTTCGAATGGCTTCCGTGGACTTTCATGGCCTGGCATTACAGTCAAATGGCTGGCAGCAGAAAGCTAGTGTGGTGCATGCAAGCCATCTGGACTTCGCGTCACAGAGACTAGCCAGAGTTGCATTCCCCTTGCTGCAGTTGGCAGTTGTGCAAGCATTGGTGTATACAGACAATTTGCAGAGTTTTGTGCACCCTTGTTGCAGGTGCGACCGCCAATGTTGCCCACGCACGTCTTCCTCATAGATGTATCCTACCAAGCTGTCGCGTCAGGAGCCTGTGCGTCCGCATGCGCGAGTATCGCAGCGATCCTGGATGACTTGCAAGGTAAGCAGTGATATGCAATTTGCTGTAGCATTGTGAAATGCTGCTACTTGATTTGATTTCTGCGCTTGAGGCTGCATGATTTTGGCCACAGAAACATTAACTTTGGACGTCACCTGCAGGTGGCGAGCGGGTGCATGTGGGCATCGTCACGTTTGATGCCTCGGTGCAGTTTTACAGCCTGAGAGCAGATCAGGCAGCCTTCCAAATGCTGGTCATGCCCGACGGCGAGCAGCCCTACTGCCCGGCAGCTCATTCTTCCCTCATTGTACCCCTCAGACAATCGAGAGAACTGGTAAATCACAGTCTCCCAGGGAATCAAGCCTCATGTGCTGCCAGCAGAATACTCCCGTACTCATACACACAAGAAGGCCTGTCAGCAAGCCCAGATGCCAATCACGATATTTCTGTACACTTGACAGGGGGTGCAATCTCGAGTGTTATCCTGATGCTTGTAGGTGGACAGCGTGCTGGAGCAGATTCCATCGCTGTTTGGGCAGAGTCAGGTGGTGGGTTCCTGCTTGGGTGGAGCAGTGGATGCCTGCATACAGCTGCTCAAGTTGGGCACGGGCGGCAAGCTACATGTGTTTGCCAGCGCTCTGCCCAAGACGGGCAAGGCGGCACTGACCCAGCGGGCAGAGCAGACCGGGGACAAGGACCTGCAGAAGGTGCAGGAACCAGCCGTCAAGGCCTACCGAGAAATGGCCGCCGACGCCGCCGAGTTCCAGGTCTGCATAGCATACCCTGCCTCCCCATGCCTTCAAACTTGTGACCCGCCAACCTGCCTCAGGGTGTTCAGCATGGATGCAAACCACTTCCTACAGTACCAAAAGGAGCGGCACATTGCGACCTAATCAACTTTGTGTGACGCTCGGCAACGCACTGAGGTTGTGGGGCATCCATGCGCAGATATCCATAGACCTCTTCGTCATGGCCCAGGCATACATCGACCTGGCCACCCTGCGCGAGCTCTGCCAGCAGACCGCTGGGCAGCTCTACTACTACTCCAACTTCGTGCCGGAAATTGACGCAGACCAGCTGCAGAATGACCTCCGATGGAACGCCATGCGCCCCCAGGTAGGTTCCGTGCTGCACCATGCATGCTCACCCTTACTTGCTGGTGCTTCAGAAGAGTTCGGCATGCCGATCCATATTTCTGCAACCTGCGTGAGTCAAATCCTTGGAATCTAGCTGGTCCGAAGGCTGCCACTTATCGTCTGAGGGCACGAGGCACCGCTTCCACAGCTTGTCCACGTGTGAGAGGTGCCCTTCTCACACTTGACACATTGGTGGAAATAGATGCTGGACACAAATGAAGGCGCTGACTGGGTGGGGATTCGCGGTTGTGTGGGACAGGGGTGGGAGGCGGTGGGGCGGCTGCGCGTAGGCGCTGGGCTGGAGGTGGAGCGGTATGCGGGCAGCTTCTTCCGGCGCACCGACAGCGACATGGACTTCCCCGCGCTGCACAGCGACCACTCCTTCGCGATTCAGCTGCGCCACGACTCCGCGCTGTCCCCCGGCCGCCCTGCGCTGCTGCAGTTCGCCCTCGCCTACTCCACCACCTCCGGCCAGCGCCGCATCCGGTGCGCCCACCCCGCTAGTCCTGTACAACTACAGCACCAAGGTCAAACAACTCCAGGGGACCTGGCGCAGCAGAGGGGAGCCGTCATGGAACCATGGATCGGTCATCCATGGCGGCCAGTTCCCCCCGCCCACTGACCGGTGGAGGGAGTCTGCAACTACCCTCCCTGTTGCACATGTCCCCCTCTCCAGTGTCGTTGCAACTGTTGTGGTGACCTGCCCTCCATGATAAGCAAATGCCTTGTTCAGGCAGCGCTGAATGCATGGACTGGAGCACTGAAGAGATACAATGAGAGGCAATTTCAGTGTGGTGGGAGCACCATCATGGGGTGTTCCGGCGGCTGCTGCTGCAGTCAACCTTGCGGTGAGATGTGCATGTGCGGAGGTGGGTGACAAGTATTCCTGTGCTGCGCTGCAGGGTGCACACGCTGGCGCTGCCTGTGGTCGACAGCCTGGCGCAGGTCTTCCGAGGGGTGGATCTGGAAGCGCAGCTCAGCCTCCTGGCTGTCAACCTTGCTGCCAAGGTGGACCCCTTCAATGCACCCACGGTGCATTTGACAAATTGTGCATTTGAACAAGGGTGAAGGCAGGCAGAATGGAAGTTTGACTGGGCGCCTGGGCATGCCTCTGCAGGTGCCCAACAGGACACTGGCTGCTGCCAAAGAGGGGGCGGCCAAGGCGACGGTGGACGTCCTGAACTCGTATCGCAAGAACTGCTCAGGCCAGTCTGCTCCTGGGCAGCTGGTGCTGCCTGAAGCGCTCAAGCTGGCACCCCTGTACAACCTGTCGCTCTCCAAGTGCCCAGCCTTCAGGTACTTGCTGGATTGATGTTGTGATCACATCCCGCAGCAAGGGCATTTCTTTCCTGTTGCTCCATCGGAAGAGCACATTCACGGACCAATTGTCTGGTGTCTTGCAGGGTAGACACCTTGGCTGATGTGAGAGCGCTGTGGCTGCATCGGCTGGTGACGGTGCCCATGGCAAAGCTGGTAAATCTGCTGTACGGGCGGCTGTTGCCTTTGCACCACCTCCTGGCACAAGCCGCGGCGGGCCAAGAGCTGCCTGAAGGCGCTGCCTTGAGTGCGTTCTATTGCATGCTTTCCATTGGCCTATGGGCCTTATGTGTTTTCTGTGCATCCATTTCAAGCGTGCAAGTATCAGAGGACAAGGCAGTGACTCAGCAAAGTCTGATCTGGCGCAGTTTCCCAGCCCTGCTACGGACTCTCGGCCGAGAAGCTGAGGGATGACGGCATCTTCCTCTTTGAGAATGGCGCAGACGCACTGCTCTACTTTGGCCCTCGCGTCGAACCTGGCCTGGTCCACGCTGTGCTAGGTGAACCTTTCTCCTTACCACTACTGCGCTGCCTGAAACTCCCTTCTCTGCTGCAGAATCTCCAGGGAGCAAGAATATTTTGGTAAGTTGAGAGGAACTGTCCCACTGGCATGTCCAGCTGATCATGTGTTGAGTCGGTAAGGAGGAGGCTGGGATGGAGACTGACAAAGATCAGCCGGTGTTTGCAGGGCAGCAGAGCTTGGATGCGCGCGGCAACATGGAGGCAACCAGGCGGCCGCTGGCGCTGCCGCGGCTGGACACAGCCCCCAGCCGAGCGCTCCACTCCATGCTGGACCAGCTGCGCAGCGAGCGCGGCGCCTACATGTCCCTGCGCATCGCCCGCCGGTCAGCAAGTTCACCCCATGCTCCCCTCATGCTTGTGACTGGTTGGCCTCGAGAGCAATCAAGTGCCTGCCTACAATATGAGTGATCATACTCGCTGGAGGTGTTTGGTGTGATGCAGGAGTTCCATAGAGTCTGCAAATGCAGCCCTTTCTCCCTGCATGTTGTGCGCACTGCCTTGTGCGTCTTGGGCTTCCCTCTCGGCTCGAGATGCTGCAAGACCATCAAAGCTGACTCTGCTTGGGGTTTGGCAGGGGAGATGCTGTGGAGGCAGCGTTCTACGCGAGTCTTGTGGAGGACAAGACATCGGCAGGCTCCTCATATGTTGAGTTTCTTATTTTGGTGCATCGCCTTATTGCAGACAGGAACAAGTAGCTTGTTGCGGATGAGGGGCAGGTCAGTTGTGATGTCCCTTTGATCTCCAGGTCTAAGTGTGAGTGATAATACAAGTATGTCTATTTAGCTGAGAGTGTTCAGTTAGAAATGTGTGCCTGTTGGCACGCTGATGTCTTAGCACCGTTGGATTCTATCTGTCGGAGACATGCACTTTTATGATCACAGTTGCATGCCCGTTGAAGACAGTTGCAAGCCCTATACCGGTGGTGGTCGCAAATTTTAAGCCAACCTGGAAGCGTCTCAGATCTGTTCGGATTTGCGCTTTTGATTACACGGTCATGTCAGGGGACATTGAATAAGGGTGCCGAGTGTTGCAAGACACGTCTGGACCGGGCAGTGCTGCTTGTGACATCAGCAGGTATATTGGTCTTCTGGTAGCTTGGTACAAGAGACTTTCTTATTAGTGGGCAAGAACAGTCACTTACACCTTCTGTACAACGCTCCTTGACGGAACTGACACAGCTCATCACAGTAGTAACCACAGACATGGAAACATTACGGCGTTCCCAAGACCCCTCATTGTTGATAGCTGCAGCGACCCCAAATGCATGCGGTGTTTGTTGCACAGCTTCATGCAACAGACTTGTGACAAACTCAAAATTGGACGACAGTGCACAGAAAAGCCCTCACTGAGGCCCGAAGGAATACACCGATGCCGCGAGCTTTTCGACTTCTGGCAGCGCTGCAATGGCGGCAATCACCGACTGCCGGATGGCACCATCTGGCTTCAGGAGGGCGTCAGCCACCAGGCTGACTCGTGGCACCACTTTGGCCATGGGCAGCTGCGCATCTCCCAGCTCCTTCTGCACCAGGTCCCTCACCTGCCTGATCACCTCATCCACTGCCGCCTGCATCATGTCACAGGATGATATCACTGCTGATTACTTGCGACAAGCTGACACAAGCATGAAAGGCTGGCCTTTCAATGACCACCTCATTTTCCGAGGTAAGCATGCCAGCTTTATGAGGAGCAAGAAAGCTGGCGAGTGCTGTACCTTCAGTGCTGTGCAGAAGAGCGGCCGGCTCATGACCTGCTCAACCTCCTCCATCATTGCGCGCACAATCTCCTCATCTGTTATGGCCACCTGTGCCAGAACACTGGGCCATCACGACACCGCCAGAACGAAATTTAGATGTAACACTGAAGCATTGCAGGCACCATGCTAGCCGTCAGGAAAGTGTCATTGATTCCCTCGAAAATTCGAGGCCAGGGCTAGGGCTTTGGCTCCGGGCAGGTACCTGCGGGCCTGGGACCAGGGCGCTGTTATCAGGAGGCGTCCTTCTGAAGCTGGCAAAGTAGCGCGCTGCGTCTTCTGCGCTGGGCAGGGCGAGATCCACCCAGCCGCCTGACAGCCTCACTGCCTCCTCAAATTCAGCAGCCATCTTGGAAACCACGATATGCACCTGCATCCATAGTGCCCACTCTCAGATACCAATCACAGCAGAATGATGACGCCAATCAAGTCAGTACACTGAGCAGATTGTCAAGGAGTCCCATTGCAGCTACATCTGCAAGCAAAATCCACCTGCTCAGCACTCAACGGCTGCGTCAGTTCAAGCCCATCCAAGGCGGAATAGGCAGCCAGCTTGTGGCGCTCCACAGTCGCCTGCACGCTGCGCTCTGGCAGGTAGTGAGCATACTCCAGGAACTCCTCCTGAGCGCCCTTGCCCACGCGGATCAGCTCAGTGGGCCGCAGCCTCATCGGTAGTGCCCTCCACGCTCCCGGCCTGCCCCTGCGGTACTTGCAAAAATGCGTCTCAAACGCGCGACCGGAGATCATAGTGTAGTCAATGGTCTAGGATCTACAGCGGTCACCTACATGACCCATAACTTCCTGGAAGCCACATGCGCGCAGGAAGGCTGCCTCTTCAGTACAGCAGCGTATTTGAAGATGAGACACTTGCTGCCACATAGCAGCAGTGGAGTCCTGGGCAAAATATACCTGGGTTCCAGGAAATTTGACTCCATGAAGAGTTGGCGTCCCAATATGTTCAGCTGCACCCTCAGGAGGAGTTGCAGCAACGGGAGCAACCAGATAGCAGATGCCGTCCTCGCAAAGCCTGCTTCTGCCAGCTCCCTCCAGAGGGCAAGCTTTGTTGCATCAGCCTCGCCATCACCACCTTTCATCTGCCTGCAAAATGCAAGGCAATCCAAATTTGGCATCTGTGTATAGTGATGCTAGCGTGTGTCTGTCCGATGTCCACGTGGGCTTTGCTGGAGGTGGCATCTCATCACCGTATTCGGAGTATGAGGGCGTCGAGGCTGGCAGCACGATTCAAGTGCCTCTCAAGCTCCTCCAGCATCTGCGGAAGCGTTGTGGTGTCTGAGATGGTCTGCACCGAGGCAAAGTGATTTGCGAGGTTTTCATCCGCTTCTCTCTGCTGTTGCTGCCTTGCTGACTCAGACCCATGCCTCCTGTTCCCGCTCCCTTGAACGCCCAAGCTATCCGAGAGGCTGTTGGAGGCACTGCAAGCATAACCTCCTCTTTATTTCTCAACACATGCAACGCTTGTTCTCAACCACCCATGCAGATTGTGATGAGAGAGCACCGCATACCACTGGTCTCACCTCTGATATACACAGTACGCAGCTGATGCTCCTGCTGCACCGAGGCCAAGGGCAAAAGCAACAGATCCTGAGTGCCTGTGCACGTATAAGATTTTTAGACGCACGCATCCAATATGCAATGGCGATGATGATGATCACATCCAAGAACATGAAAAGTGCTCGCTCTGAATGTGCTTATGGGGATCGTTACCTCTTCACATACTCCCGGTAACTCTGCAGAAACTGCACGGTAGCCTGCATCTGCCGTTTGATGACAGCTTTCAGACTTGCTTAGACTATTACAAAGCTGAAGTGGAATTCCCTGTACGAGATGCTGACCAGCGCAATGAGTTGATTGTGAGGAGATTGTTACGGTTAACCAGGCATTACTTTTATATTCTGAGTAACAATGCCAACAAGACTGGGTTTTTATCCCCGACACCCCACTTGCTCCTTTCTCTCTCTTTCCTTCCTTTCTCGGAGAAAGATTGTTCTGCCGCGTACCGTAAACGGAGAACTTGAAAATGGCAACCTGTGCAACTTCCCTCCATCACATTATCGCACGAATATGATATATTATTAGGCGCGATTTGTATTCTGAATTGAAAGGTGCAATAGGTTTCCCTGCGATCATTCTGACGAGAAGGGTGGGCAAGAGTTCAATCCATGTCGAGCGTTTCGAAGGCCCCTGTGCAGGAGTGTGCAGGATGAAGGTGACAACATGAAAATGCTTGAAATAAGTTGTAATTTCGTATCGTTAGATTTGAAGGTCAAAGCGCTTGAAATGTTGGGGTAGTGTAGCCGATCAGCACGTGTCCTTGGACACATCAGTTCTTGGATGGAAAGAGAATTCTTGAAGGATCACCCCTGATTCAGCCCCTTTGACATTGCTTCGCTTGCCAGGGAGCGCGATTAAACAAAAGGTGTCTTCCCGGTGCATACAACGATGGCAACGCGGGTTCCCGCCGGTAGGACAACTCCTCAGGATGACAGAGGAAAATGTGATCTTTCGATAACAAATCCACAAATTAAATCAATTGACTTTTGGTAGTGGCGAGAGTGCGAGTGTCCAATTACCTGGTATTTGATTCCGCAGACACAGCTTTCAATGGGATCAGCATCTCGTTTCCACACTTGCAGCACTTGGGGAATCGCAGCTGGCCAGGCCCCTCCTAAACCCGTTCCACAAAAGGCAGAAAGGCGCTCAAAGCGAAAGGGTGCTGCACCAAAGAGGTGGGGACATGCATGCAGTGCCTGTGATGGCGTCAAGATAGTTTCGCATGTCTTCCTTTGGTGCAGAGACAATTACGCTTGGTGTGTATCAGTTCCAATCGACATTGCTTCATCAGAGCGCTGTTCTGCCATTTCCATGTGAGATCACAAAAAGGATCTGGTGCATGCTATACAGGGCATCTCGAGGGGATTCGGCGTCACTACAGGAACGTCTGGCTCAGGATGCAGCAGAGGTTCAGGGGACATGCGCGAATGTCAACCGCAAGCGCAAGCGCGACATCAGTCGTCCTAGAAGGCTGGGTATGTCTGCGGCAGAGGAGCCCGCCGCCCTCAGAGATACCCAGCATGAACAGGCAGCAGAGCCACCCTCAGGCAGAGCGGCTCCCAAACAAGCTGTGCCAGAGGCAGACGTGGTGCAGGGCAGTGCAAAGCGAACAGCTACAGGTACTGCGGCTGAGCACGAGTGTCAAGCCACCAGGCTCCATGCCCCCACAGCCAATGCCGCAATGGCAGCGTCCGAAGTGATCACTGCCAACGGTGGTACAGAAGGCATTACTGCTCAAGGGCAAGCAGGTATCAGAGCATCTTTCCATTCCGGCATTGATGCGAGCATCTCCTTTGATACCAATGTGGGTCTCTGGTAGTACAAATGCGCACACGATGCATATCATAGACAGCCCATGACTTCATGGTCCATAGTAATAATGCCACATGTCATGATATTGAACATTAGACGTCTCGTCTTCTGTGGAAATAGGCTTGGTCGAGCAAGGGACGGAGGCAGACTCTCCTACATGCCACCGCTTGGAAGCCAATGATCTGGCAAGAGATGCTCTTGGACGCGCGCCATTAGGACAGGCCGCTCCTGCCGATCTCACCTCCGCACCCAAAGTGAGCCGCCTCCATCAATGAGAGTCAGTAGAGTTTGTTGATACTTCTTCGATCAGACGTCCTGTTGGGGACTTGGTATCTGCTGCATTGAGACCTCTGTGCACGGCAGGCACCTGGTGGGGCTGGTGAAGGGCCAAGTGCGCCCAACACTGGCCAGCAGCCTGTCCTCGGCCTGAGGCATGGGCCCACATCACCGCTCAGGCAACCCTCCAGACCTCCCAGCACTCCCAAACAAAGGGCAGCAACGGTGGCAGCACTAAGAGCGGCCAGCTCATCAGGGGTACCTGCAGCAAAAGCGGCCAGCTCAGAAGCTGCCCCAGCCGCAGCCGCAGCTAGGTCTTTAAGTGTGCCGGTGGAAATGCAGCAAGCGCAGCCGAGGCTGGACCGCCGGCGACGGCAGCAACGCCAGAAGCAGGGAGCCAGGGTAGAGCAGCGGCAGCTGCTGCTGATGATTTCAGATGAGCTTTTGAAGGTATAAAAGACAACCCAACATATGTGACAAGTATCCTTTGATCTTCCCCGTTCAGTATTGCACGCAAATCAAACTGCATTATATGGTTTCTGCACCATTCAAAATGGCAAGATTGTGCCCAGGACTTTGAAGACGCTGCCAGGGAAGCAAACGGAGAAATCAAGGTTGACCCTGAACATCTTCAGATTGTGATGGCAGCGATGCGGCATGGACAAGATCAGCTCAGGCTTCTCCTGGTGCGTATTCTGGGATAATATGAATCTGCCTGCTTCACAGCAAAGCAAAAATCTGACCTTGAGTTAAATTTTGTGGGAGGAACAAGTCGGTCTGACAGTGTATTGGTCTGGTTCCAGAGAGAAAGGATGCGCTGGATGCGCGTGCGCGTGCGTGCTGCAAGGCGCGCATTCAGACCATCAGCTGCAGCAAGAGATGCCCAGAAGCTTGTCGCTGCAGCAGGTCTGATCTGCACACCTCTTATCTTCCTCTGGAATGCACCAGCATATGTCCTGACACAGTGGCAGCTTCCATAGCAGCACATGCTGCCATGTACGACCAATTCCGCCTGAAACTGTTGGTGGTGCATGCAGCAAGGCCCCTGCAGGATGGAGCTGGGACTCGTGGGGCGCAATCAGAAGCCACAGACATGGACGAGTCTGCATCTGAGCCGCAGGACGGGGAAATACAAGAGTCCATCATGATGAGCGAGCAGGCGAGCATTAAACGGGCAGACCCTGAGCCTTGCAGCCCAGCATCCGCAGCAGTCACAGCAGCTGACAGCATCTGCCAGAAGACCCCTGGTAAAAAGACAGCTTCAAAGGGCAGGCGCATGGCATCACGGCTGGGCGTCCGCTCGGGCGGTGTCACAAGGCCACCCCTCCCGCATGCATACGCCGGCAGGCCACCATCAATGGGGCGGCACGGCAGATCATGCAGGGGGTCAACCGCAACCCAAGACAGCTGGCAGAGGGAAAGGCAGGGCTCTGCACCCTACAGCATTGCGGGGTGCCGGTGCGAGCGGTGGTGTCGCTGCAGACTGCTGCCGAGCCGCATACGGATGCGTCAGTGCAGAGTTTGTTGACGAGGACGGTCTGCATGTGAAGATAGCGGTGTGGCGCGGCCGCGATGTGGCGGCTGCAGGCATGCCATCAGACAAGGAGGGCCAGGCTGCGTGTGCTGGCCAGGAGGGGAGCCAGAAAGCCAAGGCGGCTGACGGCGGTGTGGAGGCCCACAGCGGTGGTGAGAGGCCAGCTCAGGCTCCACCCGCTGCAGGTGGTGGAGCATGCCCAGCAGCCACAGCTGTGGATGGGGGCGGCTGTCCAGGTATGACAGGCCCAAAAGTCTTGACTTATGACACCGGGAATGAGGACAAGCCTGTGGCGCAAGAACAGTTGTCCATGCCCAACCTGTGCCGCCAGCCTGTCGGGAAGGGACAGCCAAGGCGGACTGGTGAGCAGCTGCCAGAGCCAGCTATTGGCCCATCTGCAAGCGTGGCTGTGATTGGAGGGAAAGCCGACGGCAGCTGCACTGCAGCCAAGCACTGCTGGCAGCCGCCGCCCAGGGGACAGCTGTCCCCTGCAGATGCTGCTGCACGCACTGCACCTGCTCGAGCAGCACAGCCCTTGGCAGCTGGCAAGGCAGATGGGGAGGATGCAGGGCAAAGGGGGCACTCTGGCAGCGCTCCTGAGGCTTCAGCGGAGTTGGGCCAACGGTTTCCAGAAAGGGGAGTTGCAGCAAACGCCGCCGGCAAACCCAGCACAGGCGCAGGGGCACCGCAAAATGCCAGACCAGAACCCAGCGGGGAACCAACAGGTACCTGCGCCAAACAACACTTGGCTGGCTCTTCTGAGTATGTGGCTCAAATATGGGAGATAGCAGACTTTTGCTTAGACACTCACATGTCTACAATGGCTTCTGCGCAGGAACACCTGGATCCAACAACCAAGAACACCGGGGCAAGTCTGTGGGGCAACCGCAAGTCGCTGAAGATGGAGGTCTTCTGCCATCCGCGGCAGCTCCAACAGGACAGCGACGCCCTCCTGCTGCCCCCAGAGCTGCACCGCCAAAGACACGAGCAATGACTAGATCAGCTACTCAGCCGCAGAATAGGAAGCAGCAGCTATTCGCTGGCACACAGAGTTTTACAGCAGAGGCAAATGCGGCTGAAGCAGTCTTGACCAGACCAGACCCAAGCATGGATCAGCAGGCCACACAGCCTGCTGCTGATGCATCACCAGTTGATGCAGCGCTGCAGCATCCTGCGAGCACAGCTGTGTCTGGTCACCAGGGAGAGGCCACTATGCAGCAGCCTACTGCAGTGGATCCAAGCTCTTCAGCACTCGGACAATCAGTGCCTCCAAAGGAGCCCAAGCCGTTTGACCCTCTGCGGGACAAGCGAAGGAAGCCAATATCCAAATGTAAGGGTGCAGCAGTGGGTCAAGCAAGCGATCTTATGACCTGAACTGATGAATGATTGCTGCATCTTCTGTCATTTTTCAACTGTCTACATGTACATTCTTATGACAGATGTTTGGCGATAATTACATGACGTTGCCCTGGTTGCACATTGCAGAATTTGAGATGTATTGCTTATGATGGCTTGTACACCAGAGATGAAGCCCTGTAATTATTTTTCTCCCTTACAATGGCTTTGCTTGCTAAATTTGGAATTGCCTTGTATTGAACAGAACAGATTTGAGATGTGCATTGTAGATGCTCTCTTCGCTGTAAGGTATAATATACTGACTGCACAATTTCCAATCAAATTTGCAACTCAAATTTAATGACGAGCCGGATTGACATGGGAAATAGAACAGAGCAGCTTACAGGAGGTTGTGCTAACAGACATCTATAATAGCAGCAGTGTGATTGGCACCACAGGAGACATGCAAAAATCGGCAGGATTCTGCTGGAATTTTGCATGATTGACTCCCTTCCAAATGCTGCACAGGAGTTGGCTTCCAGTAATCAAACTCGTTATCATGGCCAAGCTGGCCACCAGCAGAAGTCTGATCTGGGAACAGCCCCGACTCACTCCCCACAGAGCCGCCCCAACCCCACGTCAACAGCTGCCCATCGCTGGTCACACCTGCACTGTGCTGCCACCCTGCTGCAACCTGTACCACCAGGGCAAGACAATAGCTGTACATACCATCCCCCCGCATGCATGCTATGCAACAATAGAATGCTAATGAAATTACTGTTCACCAATGGCTACCGGGCAGCGATCAGACCTGTTCCAAGGAAACGTCAGGGATCAGCGTAGGCTGGAAGGGTGAGGGCGGGTCACTGGATCCCAGCCCTAGCAGTCCATACTCACTTGTCCCATAGGTTGCCACGCGGCCACCATGTGTGAGCGCCACTAGATGCCGGCCGCCTAGGGCCAGCTGCTTCACATTCTGCACCCCTTCAAACCCACGAGTGCGTCAGGGTAGAAGTAGGATCGTCTTGGATAACTTACATGTGTACATGCAAAAGTTCCTAACGGGACAAGCCCCTTCTCAATGCACCTGCTCATACTGTGGAGAGGTGAATCAATATGGGTGTGCAAAGAATCCCTCACTGCGCACCTGAGAGAACTTCGGGCTCATTTGCCTCGGTAGCTGCCTTTGTGAGTGGTGATTGCCGCAGGTATGGGCCCCAAAAGTATGCAGCACCGTTCGCATCCACACACCCTGATCACAAGACAGGTCTACAATGACGGCCTTGCATTTGCCTTCCAGTCCCTTGGGTTGTCTTTGAAGGGCTATTCATGCTGCCTCTCTGCTGTGCTTGCAGATACAGCGCGTACAATGGTGTGCGGACCGCATACCTGAATTCATGAGCCCACCAGCAGCGCTCTGCACCATGATGCCTTTAAGCTTCTTCACAAGGCGGGGTGCAGACTCGTCTTGGGTAGCAGCAAATGAAGATCTACCATGACCTGCAGCAAGGCGCCATGCCAGGCATTAGCTGGCAGATGACTGTACCCCAAAGCACAAATTCCAACCCAGTGCACCTGCCGCACATGCGAATGCAGAATGGACATTGCCTGGCTGCTGTATGAGAAGCATAGGCCATGTTCCTACCTAAGCAGCCACGCGTGTCACCACCCCATGTGAAGAGCTCGCCGTCTGCAGATACTGCCAGGGAATGTTGAGCTCCAGCGGCAATCCCAATTATCTTCGTTCCTGCAGTGCAATGATGACGTGTGATGCACCTTGTTGTTCACAACGGCGCTTGTATGATCAGGTGTGCCGAATGAGCTTCAGGTACGATTATGAATGATATATGTTGGCATGTGGGTGAGTTCCATTACCAACAAGGTCCTGGACACGGCGTGGGACCCATTCCTGTCCACCCCTCCTTCGCAAGCCTAGCTGCCCATGCATGTTGCTGCCCACGGCCCACACGCTGGAGCTCTCTGTCAGGAAGAGCGTATGGCTGTGCCCCATTGCTACTTGCACGGCAGCTTCCGGCAGGAAGACCTCCTGCGGTTCCTGGAGAACACCGAGAGGATGGACCATGTGATGTCTTGCTTGGTAGCTGGTTGCAAGAGCACTCTTGCAGACTCAACCTTTCAGTGCATATGACAGGCTTGCCTGCATGGAAAACTCCTGATGTGTGTAGTGCCCCAGCTGACCGTGGTCATTCAGTCCCCAAGTGAACACGCTTCCATCAACAGCAACGGCTGCTGTGTGTGCACCTCCACACGCCACGGAGAGAAATTTTTGATTAATCAATGCGGGTACAAGACTGGGAACTGCGAGGCTTTTGGCACAGTCATGCCCCAACCTTCCATAATCACCGTTTCCCCAGCAGGCCACTTTTCCAATCAGGCGTCTAGCCATCGTAGTCTGAATCTAAGGTGCAGATGTACTGCATGCATTAGGATTTCCAGGCATTCAAATGCTACAGACTTCGCAGATCAGGCATGGCGAACGGCATGCACCATGGTGACAGGACACTTCAATATCTTAATGCTGCCTTACATGCTTCCTCGAATACTTCACACCCTATGACCTACCCAACTCTATTCTTGGGGCTCCATGAGCCCGGCTCATCCTTCCTCAATTTGCTGTCTCACCGGCATCCAGCCCAAGCTTGCACGTGCTACTGTAGTCAGGGGGTACTAAAGACTTTAAAGCTGTAGTATATATAGGGGTATCTACTATACTAAATTAGTATAGTAATCACCCCTAAGTATAAATGACGACCAGATTAGAGAAAGAGGTATGCAGACCAGGTTGAACATGGTAGGAATTCTGGAGCACCGCGCACGTGCTGCTGCTCTTTGCCGCTACACTGCAGCAGCTGCAGGCATAATAATAATGATTATCTTTATGAGTGGCGAACCCAGAGCCCAGAGGGCCATAGGGCATACACAGGTCCGTCTGCAGCCGGAACCCGGGGCCGATATGCACAGGCTTGCAGCCTTGTCAACTCGCAAATGCACCCTTGCAGCCTACAGGTCTATACCCCCTTCTGTGATTTATCATGATGGCAACAGCTAGGCAAATATATACTGAGTCGGCTTCCAGTTAGTGGCCAGCAGTTCATTTTGCAGTTATTCGAGAGACCCTGTGGGCTTTTACCCAGTAGCAATAATGGTCCGAGCTTACAAAGAAATACACAGCTGATGACCTCGAAGAGCTGGACGCGGTGCACGCATGCTGGCTTCCAAACCCTCTCAAATCACCAATGATCCGCACTCCATACTTATACAGGTTATCACAGTCTAAAGGAGGTACATCTTTATTCTAGGGGTGCAATCAAACACACCACCTCTACAGACAAAAATTTGACACTTAGTTGCCAAAGCCAATAGAGAGATGTGCCCAACTGGACAACAGTGTAGAGTCTTTCATGCCGTACAACGACAAGGCTCAGCCATCACCATTGCCATGAAGCTTTGTAAGAGAGTGGCTGCAGCTCTGCACTCAGCAGCAGCTGGACTTGCTGGAGTTGACCGGCTTGCCCTCGCCTGGCCTGATGGTGGCGCCTGGCTTGTTGATGACGGGCTGGCTGGCCATCCTGAGTCACACCAAACCTGTCATGTCACTCTGCTACAGACTTTCTTGCTGACAGACCAGGACACATTTGACACAACTCCATGGACTGTAAAGTCTCCATGTACTGGACCAATGCATTTCTCATGCAGGGACTCGGGGAGCATTCTCATCCGCATGGAGACATAGACTGAACAGCTCATTGCACCTGTTCTTGATCTCGGCCGCCATGGTCATGAAAGCTTGCTCCACATTGGTCGCGTTCTTGGCACTGGTCTCGAGGAATGGGATGCCAATCTCATCTGCAAAGGCCTGCCATGAAGCAGGTCTGCACTTAGAACCAAGACCTTGAACACGCATTTACTTCCCATGTAAGAAGATACAAACCCTTCACGTGCTCACCTTTGCTGTCTGGTAGTCCACGACCTTCTTCGCTGTCAAATCACTCTTGTTGCCCACCAGCAGCTTGTTCACATTTTCATTGGCATATCTGTCAATCTCGTTCAGCCATTGCTTGACATTGTTGAAGCTCTCCTGATCTGTGACGTCGTACACGACCTGTAAAAAGCAGCAAAGACAGTGACTGACTGGGCAGGAGGTAGGGACACAGGGTTCAGTGATGCCTCTTGAAAAAAAAGCTCAAGCCAAGGATAATAGGCTTACAATGATTCCATGGGCTCCCCGGTAGTAGCTGCTTGTGATTGTACGAAAGCGCTCCTGACCAGCCGTGTCCCACTGCAGAATAATAAGGACGTGATTAGCATCGGCAAGGTTGTGAGGAAACAGAACATAGCAAGTTGTCGAGCACCAACGAGGAGAAGAAGGCTCACGATCTGGAGTTTGATCACTTTGCCGTCAAGCTCGACGGTCCGAATTTTCTGCAGGCAACAAAAGAAGATCAGGACCAGCCATTCCACCACGTGCTTGCATAAAAGTAGAGGTGGGAAGGATGCCTTACAAAATCGACGCCGATGGTAGAGATGTAGCTCTCGGTGTATGTATCATCCTGCGCCACACAGCGCGATGAGGCCTGCTTCTCCAGAATGACAAGGACGACAGGAGGGCTTCAGGAAGGTGCACTTACCGCAAACCGAAGCAGCAAGCAGGACTTGCCCACCCCCGAGTCTCCAATGAGCAAGAGCTGCAACCAGAAAAGTCATCGATCAAAAACTGAGACAATGAAAGTTTGGCCAAAGCAGACAGCAGAGTCCAAGGAGGGGTTTGGTCACCTTAAAGAGATAATCGCTGCAAGAGCACCCCAGAAGCACACAGCAATCAGCACCACTTCGAATATAGAACATTGAATAGGTAGCATGCAAAGCCAAAGACCAGCAGCGCTGCAGAGGGAAGGCTACTTACTACTCTGGGTTCATTTTGACTTCCCAGACTCCTCAAACCCAGCCGCTGTTTCTGTCCTCTGATTGCTGTGGCACTATGTAAGTCAACAATCAGACTGGCAATCCAAGGCGACGCAAAAATCTTGCCTGTCCGACACAATTTTCTCTCAACGAAGCAATTCAACGCCCACGGAGAATCAAGTAATTACGGTGGCAAGTAGTTTCCCGTAGTTACGGACTCCATTCCATGGATCCTCGGAGTTTATTGGCAGTCTCGAGAGGGCATCTGAGGTCTATGTCAAGAGATCAGGATATTTCTTGTAGTCTTTGTTTCGTTATTGTCATCCTTGCATGTAGAATTGCGCCCTTTAATTGTCCCCAATCGATCCTCGAAAAGTATGTCCCTCTTTAGTCTGTTGCAAGACTGCTTCGAGGCCCTCTCCCATGGCAGTTTTCCACCCAGTGATCTATTGAAGCAGACAATTAGCAAGGTCCGTCGCTTGATGCGCTGCCGTGCATACAAATTCCCCTGGGTCATCGAACTTTCAGACTGTCACACATTTCAGGAGGTCTTCAAAATTTAAATAAACAAAGCATTATCTCAGGGATATTCTGCAACTCGTGGCAGCCAGATGCTGAGGGAATCCTTGAAAGGGCTGAAGATTTATTTGTGTGCTCGCAGGGCTTGGGCTTTGCTATCATTGCTGCTGCATGCGTAGTAAAGGTTCCACAGATCTTGAAAATATCTCAGAACCAAAGCGCCCAAGGACTCAGTCTACTCTCTTTTGAGCTTGAGCAGCTGGCTCTTACAATCCATGGATCGTATGGCTTCATTTTGGGACTACCTTTCAGTGCCTATGGAGAGGCAGTAGTCCTTGTGCTGCAAAATTCTTTCCTTCTGGCTCAGATATACGTCCTTTCAAAGACGTCTTTCTGGCGACCTTTCCTAGCAATCTCACTATTTGGCACTGCGCTTGCCTTCATCTCAGCGGGTACGGATGAAGAAATTATCTGGGCAGCGCACAGAGAAGTCTTTTTGTTCTTTCCAGTCAATCTATCTTGTCACTGAATTCATAGAAATTCCATGTCCTGCAGGAATGGTGACCCCATCGTTGATAATGATCCTGTACGACCTGAACAACAGTATAGTCCTGGCGGCACGTCTGCCTCAGATCTATCAAAACTTTATGGTAAGGGAGCATTGCACCTTTTGGCTGTTTCAAACGCCATCCCATATGGCCCTTGCTCATGAAGTGGTTTCACTTGCAGAACAAGAGCACAGGACAACTCAGTGGGACGGTGTATGTGGCCAACTTCTTGGGCTGCATCGCTCGGATATTCACATCTCTGCAGGAGGGTGGAGGTTATGCAATGGTCCGTGGCTTTCTGTTAGGTATGATGCTGCCACCCAGAACCACTGCTGACATTGAAAGTCAGTATGCCTTTTTTCCCCTGAGATAGTGACACAAAACAGCCGATCGAAAGCTCCTCAGACTTGGGACTCACCTTCAGTTGTGTTGAACAGGTTTGCTCCTCAACGGAACGCTGGTCTCTCAAGTCCTTCTATACAGGGGCAGCAAGGCTATTCCGGGAAAGAAATTGGAATAATTTGTTAACCTTCCTGCTCTGGTTGCTCTGGTGGACGCTGGCAGTGCAAGGAGATTTCAGTCTCGTCAAGGCGAGTTGTCCACAACCTAATTCCGTTTACAGTGGCTGCCATGCATACACGGCTCGGCATGTCAGCAGTTTGTTTGTCTTACCGGTATCAAGAAAGAGATCAGGATCAGCCAATGCCGCATCACTGATCCAGATGAGCGTGATGATGCCTCGAGGCTCAGAGAGAGCTCTAGAGGCTCAGCTGATGGGTTGCTGACAGAAAGATGTACCGCAAACTTTTCGCGGCGAAAACACTTGATGTTTGATGATCTCCCAATAGGACTCCTGCTATGTGTCCCGTCATGTACTGGTGATCATTCGATTGAGCTCGGAGGTACCGTGTGACACGTCTTCAATATATCCTTTGAAATGCGGGGTGCCACCATGACGGTCATGCCATACTATCTAGTAGATCATCTGGCATGATGCCACTGGCATGGCATGCAGCTGTGCAGGCGGCTGCATGTGCGTCCGGGATAAACATGCATGTGCACACACTTGAAATCTGATCAGTCACTGCAGCGCAGCTGTACAGATTGATCTACCGTAGTGATGTCGAAAGTGAATTCGGCCCCCGCCGGGCCTGGCCATATTTAATATGACCAAGTTGGTCATGGGCAACCGGGGTGTCCATTAAAACTGGTGAATGATCGAGAATGTCACATGCTGACTGAGAGATCATGAAGAGAAGACCATCATAATCTATACCTTTGAAAGGGAGAGCAAGGCCCAAAAGATGGCCTCCCCCAATGGGACCCCCGTTTCCTCTTTCTTTCTTCTCCTGTGAATTTGCGGACATTGCGGACGGCACCTTGTTCCGTAAGTAAACGAGCGAAAGATGTCTACAGAGAGAAGTGGAAAGGAAGGAATGTGTACAGGGAAAAGCGAACATGTCTGCGCATCACTTCTATCAAACGTTGGATGGTGGTTGTACGAAACATTGTGCTCCTCAGTTGGTCACTCTTCGGAACTTTAGAGTGCCACTATTTCACAGCACAAGAAAATGTCAGCAACACGCCGCTCAGGCGCTTCAAAAACAGGGGTTTCGCAAAGCATCTCGCAGGCGGCAGCTCTCAGTCTTAAGCTGCTCAGGAAATCCAGCTGCAGGGGCAGCTAGACCAGCTGCAAATGGCGATCCTCGAAAGCCCACAACAGCAGGAAAGCAGGCACCAGAGGCAGCTGCTCCCTCCCGGGATAGCTCAGCAGTGTCATCCAATGACCCACCAGCGCAGAGCTCCAGCCAGCAGGCAGAGCAGCAAGGCAGTCTTACAGGGCTCAAACCTTTTCATGTTGCTGCCTTTGCAGCCATACTAGCCTGTGGACTCGCGTTTTTGGCCGTCCTATTGTACATAACAGCCGACATGCAGTTCCAGAGAGCCTGTATAAAGGTGGTCAAGCGGCTGCTGAAGACGGTGGCCCTAAGGCAGGTCATGGGCATCCTAGCAGCTATGACCTTTGTGCGATTTGGACTTGAGCCTCTGGTCAAAGTGTTGAGGGGGATCTTCTCAGCTCAAGGGTCCTGGGAAAAGTCATCAGAATACTATATCCTTCGCGAGGTAGTGCTCTGAAGCTATTCTAGCACTTGTCTGGTCGTGCATTATTTGCCAGTAGATTGTGAAATGTTGCTGCCCCTGTTGGCAAACTCTAAAGCTGCATCTGACCAATGTGTTCTATGCGCAGGTGTACAGGCCGCTAGAATTTCTGTTTTCCGTTGCAGCTTTCACGACTCTGGCAGAGAATTTCTTGCCGCAGCTGATATCAATTCCAAAAGTGAGGTCCAGCCATGTCTCTTGACTGGCTCATCTGCTGTCGGCCGCACAGGATGCGGGTAGACTTGTAAAGACATCTGCCTCAGAAATTGCCAAAAGTGACGCCTCAGACGAAGCTTTGTCACTTGCAGGCGATGGTCCAGAATTTGGTGAGGTCCACTCTGTCGCTCACATTTGTCATCGCGGCAGCCAGGGTGGTGTTCAACGTGAAGGCACGCATGACACGGGAGGCAACGTGGCAGCTGGAGCTGAAGGGAGATCTCACCAAGCAGCGCCGGGTGGAGGCAGTTGACAAGCTCCTGTCTGTTCTGACATTGCTGGTGGCATCTGTGTTCGGCCTGCAAGCCATTGGGCTTGATGGTACGCGCTTCCTGGCTCACGCAGACGTGTCAAGTTGCGTCAAAAACAAGCAAGAGAGGCGGTAATATGGGAAGGTGAATGTTGAGAGCATGTGCGTTGTACGCAGTGAATTCCGTGCTGGCGATTGGTGGAGTTGGTGGTCTGGCGGTGGGTCTGGCTGGGCGTGAGATCCTGGAGAACCTGTTCACTGGGCTCATCATCTTGTCGTCCAGCCCTTTTGAAGTGGGCGACGAAGTGCTCTTCTCTCCTCCCAGCGGGCAGGTCTGGCATTTCTCTCCACGGTCACCCATCTTGTTTGAAACGCACCAACGGTCTTCGGGGTTGGTCATTCACATGCATGGCTCCCTGGAAGTGTGCAGTGCTGTAGCAGGTGGTGGAGGGTATCGTGGTGGATGTGGGCTGGTATCGCACGACAATCAGAAGCTTCGAGCGTGAGATCTTCAATATCCCCAATTCCGTCTTCTCGCGCAATGTGGTCCTCAACATCACGCGCAAGCAGCGGGAGTGGCGGTTCTACGAATTCATCGGTGAGGTTTTCTCGGGAGCAGAATGCCAGGAACAGTGTCGATGCATTCCCTGGCCCTGGTCAGTCTGCTGAGTGCTGCTTCAGCCGGCGTCTGACTGATGGGGTTGGTGTCCAGGTCTGCGAGTGGATGATGTTGGCAAAGCTTCTGCGGTGGTGGCAGATATGCGCAAGATCATTCGCCAGGATCCGCGCATCATTCAGAAGCTTCACCGCCGTGTCTTCTTTGACAAGTTGACACGGGAGCAGGTGCGGAAGGCTCAGACTTATGCGCGCCAGACTCTTGAATCCACTACAGCTGCATGTAATCACCACCTTTATGGTATTCCCCTGCAGGTGACCATCTACGTCTCTTTCTATGTGGAGGCAGCCAATCGAGATGCGTTCATGTCCATCAAGCAAGATCTGCTGCTTGCCTTCATCGACTGCGTGGACAGGAATGGCGCCAAGCTCGCAAAGCAGCGGCTAGAGGTGAGCTTCTGCTAGCTCCTGCAGCTCTCTACGATCTGATCAGGCATTCCAGTCTTCCTGTCAATTGCTATTGAGGGTCCACGCCAGCTACTTTAGAGTGAGTGAGAGCATGCGGGGCGGTGCAGGTTGAGGTGGCCCCATCCCAGATGGCTGCCTCATCGCAGCGTCCTGCATCTTCGGGCGTGAACGATGGCGCTGCGTCCTCGCAGAAGGCTCTGCCTGAAGGCAAGGCAGGCAGCCAGCAGGCACCTGTGGATGTATCACTGACCCCTCCTGGCACGTCATCCTCTTCTGGTGCGCTTTGACGAGCTCATATGGCATTCTATCTCGATGCAATCTTGTGTTTGGAAGAGGGATTGTTGGTCATGCTGATGGACTATTTCTGGACATGCAGGCAGCAGTGCAGCTCCAGAGACAGAGCGCGCCGGCACCAGCAGCAACGTTGTACCCAGCACGGATCCGCTGCGTTCTGCTGTAGCAGCTGCGTCTGGTCTTGTGGTCGCTGACAATATGTCGAGTGATGAGCAACCAGGCTCAATGATGACGGCGAGTTTTGATGTTTTATAGGAGCATGCCTGGCGTCCGTCTAAGTCATAGTCTACTTGCAGATAGCATGTTTTCTGATTTCTTTGTGTGAGCCCAACTTAACGTATGTTCCTGGAGTCTTTAGTCTTGCACCCTGCATTTTACTTATCTTGTAAAATAGGCTTTCATCTGGCTATCTTGTTTTACAGACCGGTGCTTTTGGAACAGCTGCCTGCAGGGAACAGTCATGATGTTTCACTCAGTTGGCATTGCAATACATCAGGATTCTAGGCACCAGTACTACTAGATAGTATCTGGATTGATCAAAAATACATACGAGGCCCTCTTCTACTACCCCCATGTGCGGCACACCCTGTTGGTCACCTCCTACACACCTCCGGAGTCCGCCTACGCAAGCCTGGAGGTTTTCTGCGCAGCGAGGTCCACAGAGGAATAATTTTCAAACACTCTTTCCATGCTCCTCAATGCCTAGTAATGACTGGCCAGTCCATAAAATGGATACGAGGCCTTTGTGGAAAGCCCTGACACCTTACTGCGTGCATTTGTGACTGTCACATGAAATAAGTAGAACATTCTATAAACCCTTTAAAAGCTGCCACTCGAAGGGACACGAGAAGTACAAACTACTGTAGGAACAGATCACAGGTATTACAGGTTTAAACGGTTCTGGACCAGCTGCAGCCTCTGTCTACCTGATGTACAAGGGCTGCCTCACATGCATAGCTCATCTTCCAAAGGGTCACTGCAGTCTCAGGAAATTGCTACTGCTCTCAGGAGGCCAGCCTGTATGCCCTGATCTTATGGTACATCTCTTTTTATACTGTGCTATCGAGGCATACTGGCTCCAGTCTCCACTCATGCACTCTTTCCAGAGTTTGCAGACTGCTGGATGCGCTGTGCGTTGAACTGCGCCTGCACAGGGCACCCCTTTTAGGACTTCTAAAACATGTCCAGACACCAGCAAGAAACATTGACCTGGAATTGCACAGATTGGCTTCACCTTAGTTTGGAGATGCTGGAGTTGACTGGCAGCCAGAGATGCATTTGTCTGCACAAATAAAATCAGCCTGGAAAAGCACACACATGACATGTGTAAGCTACGGAACAAACATTATGTCCTCTTCGGGGCGTTCTGAGCGCATGCACAGTATCCAGGCGGAGGTTGAAAGATGATGGCCTTGGAGCCAGGAAGCTCACTTGTGAAAGTAGGAAGAGGCATGGTCGACGACGGTTGTTTTCACTTCTTCAAGCGCCTGATCGATGGCTGCCTCATTTTGAGCCAGGAACGGTTGCACAATGCCGTTGAACAAGTAGACAGCACCTTGCGTCTTGGGGTGCCAGAGATACAGCACAAAGAGGACTTTTGCCTCATAGTACATTGGAACCCTGCAATAAAACAGATAACGATAAGGGTTGTTCTCCATAATATTACTTTCTTTTGATCCAGCAGCTGCCAGGAATGCGTGGGGAGAGTGAAATACCAGAAGACCAGCACGTCAAGTAGCATGCGCTCGCTCACTGTGAAAAGCGCCAGCATCAACCTAGCACACAACAGATGCACTTAGTTTCACATCCGATTGCAAATCCGATTTTAAATTAAAAGCATCAATGAGCAATATTTGGCAAATTTAGCAAGGCCTTCACCAGTAGATACACCACTGCTGCACAGCATCGCTTTGCTTCTGAGATAAGGCCTTGTAGCAAGAGTAAGCAGGCCACACATATCCAATCAGGTTCCTGCAATATCAAAGACATCTTTGCAAAGAGCCATGCTTGAAAGTGATGAAATGTGCAAACCGTCACGTCAGTCATTTCTAAAGGGAAGACAGATCAGACACGTACAGTACTACACGACAGGAGAAATCCCCCAACATTTTCCACGTTTAGATGTGCCTGTCCACCCTGTCTTCGGCGCGCTCCAAAATAGAATTTGCAGGATCGGTCAAGCGATACACATTGCCATGCACGGTGATCTTTCCATTCCCAGCAAATAACTTCACCCGTGTGCTACGCTGCAAGAGGTACCGAAAACGACATCTGGTCTTGGATCACAAAAAGCATTCCTTTCCTTGCAGGGACGTGGTGTAGCATTAGGTTTTGGGGTCATAATTTAATGTAGAGGGGATTCTTTCTGAGCCCTAAAAGTTCTCTATGAATTGAGAGAGGTCCAGGGAAGGACTGATCAAATCTGCCACAATTCACTCCATCAAAGATCATGACTTAAGGACACGTGATGTCAGTGTGCCGGCCGACGGCCAGGCAGGTACTATCTACCTTTGATAGTGATTTAATATTACAGACTCCAAGTCGGACTCAGTCCTTCGGACCGACTCACTGATCAGTGCCTCATGAGGCACTGTGCAGGTTCCACCAACTTGAGTTGAGCTTCCTGAGGACCACCTTGTTCTCAATCAGTTGAGTTTACAGGAGTTATATTGGTGCACCTCTAAGGCTATGCACAGAACAGGGTGGTGCAACATGACAGGCAGCCCCATGCATGTAGCAGTGCCGCGGCTGCAACAATGAATGCAAATGGCATGCTATACCAACACTTTGAAGTACCGCAGGGTGACAGCTACAAGGAGCAACAGGAAACCTAACATCAGCAATTTGTTCCGCATGATTTTGGCCTTCACTTGCTGAGCAAGAGTAGCTCCCCTGCTGAGCCATGAAGCTCCCTTGAGCAGCAGCTCAACCTGCTTGTCAGAGAGGTTTCTGATCTTCTTGGACATCTCCTCTGCCTGCAGTATAGTGCAAAGATTCCAATAACTTGAGTGATGCTGAACTGCATTGTCAAAGCAGCTCAATGAGAACAGAGGAACACCCACGATCCCAAACTTGGAAGGGAAAAACATGTGATTGTCTGACACAGCAGAGACCACAGATGCAGATCAGCACCTGGTCTGGAGTCAAGTGCTGGCCTGCCGCTTCCGACATGGAAGCAAGTTGCTCCGGGGTGAGATTGTACATGATATCCTTCATCATCTTGGCGCTCTGGGGGTCAGCCAGCATCTTGGACATGGCTGCAGCTGAGGGCTGTCCACCCTGCCCACTTCGGCTCATCGTCGCTGTCATCGCGGCCAGCTGCTCAGAATCCATCTGGCCAAACATTTTCATGGCATGTGACATGAGCTCGGGGTTGGCCTGAAGCACACACCGCCCTTTTCAGTTATGCAAGCCGAGGAATGTGTGCTCTTTGTAGCCCACCAGTGTAGAGGATGTTCCATAATGAGAATTTGCAGCAATAGGGCAAGACAAGATGGAAATCTAGTGAAAGGATCTACAGGTCAGGAGAGCCATAATCACCTGAAGGGTGGCGGCAGCCTGCTTGAATTGGTCAGTGTCAGGACCCATCAGAGGCGAGGTGCCAGCATTGGTACCGCCGGCTGAGGCTCCACCAGCGGAGGCTTGCATCTTGGAGACCATCCCTTCCAGGTCCTTTGGATCCAATCCGGCCATTGTCTGCATGGCAGACTGCATTGCTTCTGGAGACATCTCAATGCCGTCAGGCAGTCCTGCTCCTCCGCTTGCCCTGGCCTGCACAGCATGAAATCAATTTCACATGCTCACAAAAATGCAGTGACCCTTGGAATACTTCTTCAATAGTACCCAGAAGCACAAAGTCATGCTCAAGGGGAAGAAGCTGTGGCTGCACATTGCTTGGGCATTTAAAAGGTGCAAGGAAGCACGCACGGCCGCTTGAAGCTGCTCTGGGGACATATTACTAACTGCTGCCCGCATCTGCTGCAACATTGCGGGGTTTTCTTGCATTGTGCGCAGCACTTGCTGCATCTGGCTGGGATCCATAGGGAAAGCAGGGGCGGAGGGCAATGTAGCAGTGAGCCCGCCGCTTGTGGACGCCTCAGCGTTTGACCTTGCATCCGCTTGTGCTTCTGATTCTGTGTCAGCGACGCCTGTGCCATGACACGTAGATTCTTTGACAGTTTACAACCAATCTCAAGGGTGTGTCCACGAGAACGAACAATGATGCGGACTGCCTGAAACAAGATCGATCCCCCACCTTCTGCCACCTCCTCAGCTGTGACGAGCCCATCCTCTGCCTCCCTCAATTTTTCTTCTATCAATGGCTGCTCGGCTTCTGGGGCCCTGATCACAAAGCAGCAGCTCAGGAGAGGGCATGCAAGGTGTACTTCATGTGCAAATAATCTTTCCCTACGTCACCTGCAGAAGTTCATGATTACGGTAACACTCCACCCAATGGTAATGTCTGAGATTATCTGCCGCACCGTGCCAGAGCCTTCCTCAGATCAGCTACTGCTGCTGCCTGGCTGTGGAGGGCCAAGTGAGCTTGGCCGCGCCGGTACAGAGCCTTCATATTGTTGGGGTCTGTCTTGAGTACTTCAGAGCACTCAGTGATGCACGCCCTGTAGTCGTTCAGGCGCAAGTAACAAGAGGCCAAGTTCAGCATGCATTTCGAAGCGATGTCGGTAGCGCTCTGGCTTGTGTGACCTGCCATAGCCAAACTTTTGTCAGCTTTGTAAGATACAAAGTCAAGTGATGCCACTGCAATGTTGAATGGGCCGCCCAGAAGTTTAGGGTCAGGCTGTAACCTGAAAGGTTGGACTTGGCACGCTGATATTTCTCTATTGCCTCTGTGGTCTTCTGCGCACTGAAGAGCCGGTTACCTTCTTCTTTAAGCTGGTTGGAAGCACGAACCTGCCCACCCCATGAACCAGTAAGACCTGTTGTACGAATAGGCCAGAAAATATTGAGCATGGTGTGGAAACCCACCTGGTACTCCTCTTGCTGTCGCGCCATTGCAGCCGCACCCTTCAATTGCTGGTCCATTGCGGCTGGATCCATGCGATCGGCCGCAGCCATCTGTTGCTGAAGGACGTCTGGACTCATGCCCTGCATTGCCTGCATCTGCTTCTCCAAGAAGCCCGGGGGCATTGAAGCCATCTGCCGCTGCATTTCCGCCATCTGCACTCATATCGCAATTTCAGCGCCTGGCCTACGCTGCTGCTCCATTTTCTATCGAGGTCAAATGATCGGAAAGGCCTCTGCCTAGACCTAGACCAGCATTCTCTAATGACAACACCATTGCATACTTCAGTGTCTTGAATGGGTAAAAAAGTGATGTTACCTGAGCGGGAGTTAGACGAGACATGGAATCCATAGCCTGCGACCATAAAGATGGCGTTGAGTATGGCACAAACAGGAACAGAGTCAGGCAATGAAACTAGGGGAACATCAAGTGAACGAAGACAATAATTGATGGGATGTCACCATCTTCATCATTTCAGGATTCATCCTGCTCCAACTGTGACGCCAAAGTTGTCAAGCCTCAGCAGATCTGTATCTGCTAGCAGACAGACTCGTCACGGGTGTTCAGCTACTCACAGTTACTAAAGGAGAGGCCGTATATACGCGTTACTTTGTGCTTCTTCTTCTCTATGGGGTCAAATTGCCCCCTCGGGTACTGCAAGAGAAGGTTTCCTGCCTGTGATTATGTCCTGCCGCTCAAAGTAAGGCCACCTTGCATTGCTCTCGACCTCTCCAGCGCCGAAACATGCATTCTTTATTCTGATGCGTTGCTGAATATATCTTTGTCCGATATGATCTTTGCACGGGCGCCCAAAATGCTGCTGTCCTTGGGTTCCTGCAGCTGCCGCCCAGCAGCCACTAGATGCCAGGCTTCCTCACAGCCTTTTAAAACACACTTCCTGGGAGGGCCTGTGTCCGTTGCAACTCTCCGTGGTGGTTTCGCAGGTGACTGTCGCATCTTGTTGACGCTCCTCTGCGATGATGTGCTGTACACTGTGCCAACCTTATCTTCACTAGGAAAACAAGGATGCTTTCTTCTTCATAGCGAGGAAAGATGAAGAAGTCAGTTTCTTTTTCTACGCAGGGATATCCTTGAAGACACAGGGCCCAGTGCGAGCTCCAGGAAGGGGCAGTGTTCTTGTGGAAGCAAACAGCAAGACTGGTTTGGGGATTACAAAGCGTGGGAGCAGAAGGTGATTTTTGTTATCAGCTATGAGCCTGTCCTTTCCTAACTCTTTCAATGTCATTGCAGACGTGCAGGACTGATGCAGTGTGTGCCTCTCAGGGCTCGCACAAGGACTAGCGGTTTCAGGGCTCGTCTGCGCACCCCCAACGGGCGCCTGGTCCTGAAGGCTCGCAGGAAGAAGGGGCGCAAGGTGCTCTGCCCAGCAAGCAATTACAGAAAGTGAGCAACATCCGGGGGCTCTCTGCTGTGATACGCACTGGACCAGCCTAGTTGGCTGTGCATAAGCCGCAGCAGCAGCAGCTCAGGAGGCCGCAGCTCGCGCGGCCGCAGTGGCTCTGGCGGTTTGCGTCTGGGTGCTTGTCAGTAAGTGTGAAAGCACGTATAGAACTCCGGAATTCTTGTCGCACGTATGGCCCACATCAGGAGTACTGAGTGGCAGTGCTTCTCACTGCTTGTTGATGATGGAGACAATTGAGTACTGCCATCAAGGTCTGATGTTAAAAATTGTAGAGTCTCTATAATGTGGACTACCAGATGGTATTGTGTGCTCATGAAGGTTGGGAATGTAGCGTCGTTCTGCAGTCTCAGCAGATGTGGCCACCTTCAAACAAATGCAAGTGCACAGGGGTCACCCGGTGTGTACACTGTGCAGCAGGCACCGGGGTTCTACCCCTGCTCGCTGTCAGTGTTGACAGCTGCAGCCTGTGCAAGCATGCAGTCATTCAGAGACCTGCTATTTCAGGCACTGCAGCACATCCACTGGGCATGCATGGCATGGAGCGGCACTGAGCCAGGCTTCTTCCTGCTCCATCTGACCAGTCCGACGGGGTTCTTAATCTCCAGCCACTACTACCGTGTACAGAATAAAGCACACTCATGTCACTTTGCACACATGTGTAAGTACGTACCACATAAGTCACACACTACGGTAGTTCTATATCATATGATGTATATACACTGGCCGCCAGTGTATATACATCACATCACCGTGGGCACGGTGCGGCATGCCCACGGTTGATTGGGTCTTGCTTGGATCTGGCGAGTCCAATAAGGGGTAGGAATTTGGCAGCCTTTACATGCAGCTTGTCTGCAGACGCACCTTGCCTTCGGCAGGAAAAGCGTGTGATAATAATAAAACAATTGCAATATACACTGCGCAGTCACTGTGGCAATGGCGGCACTGGATCTTGAAGCTAAGTTGAATCCATGGTGGCATAGATCATGATGACACTAATATTCTTTTATTCCAGGCACGCTTTTGCTGCACCAGTTGCACAGTTTTTCAGAGACATTGTTGATGAGTGCTGCAGACAATAAAACAATCACACAATCCCGTTAGTAAGACTTCAGTTGCATGTGAAGAACACTCACAAACACATACCCACCTCGCGATGCCTGTTGCCGATGTAGAGCAGACTGGGAGTGTAGTAGCTGGGCTGAGTGAGGCTGAGAGAATGTTGCATGGAACTTGCATGGGAACCAATTCCCTGGGTGGTCCTCTTCGGCGACAGTGGGGCCCCGGCGGCGGCATGACTGGGGGGCCAGCTCAGGGCTTCAGTGCTGCTCGATGAAAACGTCTGTGAAATGAAAAAGGTTATAGGAAGTGGTTAACTGCTTACGGTATGAGCATGTCGCGGTCTGGACGTGAACGTACGGGCCCTTCCTGGATGACTTTTGAAGGACGTGATCTTGGCCCGCACCTGTTCTCTTGTTGAGAATTTTTCCTTGCCTGCAGGCGCCGATGGATGCAGTCTTCTCGTGAGAAATCTGTCTCGAAGCGTGACCTTGGATGATCTGAGATATGTGGCCGAGAAGTATGGCCGGCTTAGGGATGTTTATATCCCAAAGGATTACTACAGTGGGTGAGTTTTGTTTCCGGCTGTCGCAGCAAGATACTATGGCGATGACGTCATTTTCAAATTCCCGGAATGGTCGTCCATTAGAAACGAAATTATTTCTCATTCCGTTCAGGCAGATTATCACAGTTCTGATCTGAGACAGTTTCACTGTGCGCAGGGAGCCAAGAGGCATTGGCTTCTTGGAGTTCACCGATCCAAGGGATGCTGAGGATGCTATATATGGATTGGACCGGAAAGTGATCCAGGGGAAGGAGGTAAGCGCAAGGCTTTCACCTTTCATGGACCAGCTGATGGGTTTCACCGGACGCCAAATAGAACACCTGGCTCGTGCAGGTGTCAGTGGTCCTGGCTCTGCAAGGGCGCAAGCGGCCGGATGACTACACACGACAGTCTGGGTATGGCGGCAGCCCGCGGCGCCGCGATAGCCCCCGGGGGCGCAGGGACCGCAGCAGGGGTCGCCGTAGCCGGTCCCGTGAACGCCGCCGGTCCCCAAGCCGCAGTGTCTCTCGAAGCCCACCCCCCAGGTTGGCGGATGAGCAGAAGTTACCGAAGGATTGAGTTGCCATAAATTATTGTGGTGACAATTTCTGACCTGCAGTTCCACGAGAGGCCCTTTCTGTTTCAAGGGACGACTGTTCAGCTGGCTCTCGTGTATGTGCAGGCGCCACCGCTCAGTGGCCAGATCAGACAGCCCTCCCAGAGATAGCCCTCCAAAGGATGGCGCGAGGTCTCCTGCCTCGCGGTCTGCTTCTCCAGCAGGCAACAAAGATTGAGCTGGCCAGGTGCGCTGCAGACCTGTACATGGCACAGCTTGTTGCAGCCCATCACGCCACTGCTTGCAGGACACTCGAAGAGCTATAAGTGCCGTCTCGGATGGAGCTGAAGGTGTTTGAGGCATTCTTGCTGATAATATTGGTCTGGCAGGTAGCACTGCATGGCTGGGGAGCATGCGACGACGGACATCATAAAAGTGGCGATTCCTGCGGCTGGAAGCCACCAAGCAATAAAAATGTCGGCAACGAAAGGTCTACAGCATATGCAGATGTTCGGTGGTCCATAAAGCCGAGCTGCTGGCAGAAAACACCAGCATGCATGCAAAAGCGAGTTGTACACATGTGGCCAGTCATTAAAATGTGGTGTACATGAAATCCCAGTCAGGAACATGCAGCATAGAGCAAAGCAGCCTTGGAGGATCGCAAGCTTCAGGAGGCTATGCACTTGCAGGTTGAAGGGATGGTGATGCTGATGATGGTCCTGTGATTGCTGATGATGGCGATGAAGATGCTTCTGATGGTGGTCCGTGACTCATGATGATGATGATGACGAAGAAGGACAGTTGCCTAAAGCGAACTCTGGGCAGGAGGGGTGTGCACTTTGGAGACCATCTTCTGCACCCTGCAGCCTAGACAGTGCCTTCACGGCTGCCAAGGTAATGGTGATGTCATATGCTGAATGTAAATTTGTTCGTGCATGCCAGTCTACACTTGGTGGCAACTTTTTGCACTCTTTGCATACTATGTAGTATTTGCATCTACTTGTTGAGACATCAGTCATTGATCTGCACCTGCCAATGAGAAGTCAGCATGCAGCGTGTTGTTGACAGTGAAGTGCATTCAATCTTGTAAATGCACCCATAATATGAAGAGGAGAGCCAATTCTCTCTGAAGACAATAATTATGACATGCCCACTGACTGTGGCAGCTGGGCTTTATGCACACCTTCCCCCGAATCGTTCAGCTTACTAAGCACGGTAATATTCAACATATGACCATTGTAATATTTTTACCTGATTACTAAATGCACATAATTGAAACCAATTATATAGAGGGAATGGATTCAGAATCCACGGCCACTGGCAGTACCACTGACAACTTGAACTACGTAGCAGATTTAAATTTTGGCGGCGGCGCCCACACTAAGAACGCCGCTATTTCAGCGGAGCCCTTCAAGTTTGTCACGGAGCTGGCCGAGCAGAATTTGTTCGAACTGCCGGGCCCGGGCAATCAGGGGCTGGCAGCACGGTCATGCACTTCATGCATGCATCTGCGCATGCGCCGCCTGGCTGATCTATAACGGCGGCACTGCCCCCCAGCATGCGAAGGCCAATAAGGTCAATGTGTGGAAAGAAAAAAAGAAAGATGGAACGCACATGGAAGTTTTCCGAGTTGGATGGGTCCCTCAGCTGTCGGGCAGTGACGTCATGCTCACGTGCCGGCATCACCTTATAGCTTTATGGGAACTTGACGAGGCAGTCTCTGCAATTGGATTGGCACTCGCACTGCATTGTATGTCTTGCACTTTCATTTGTTTCGATTTGTATTGGCAGTTATGACACTGATGGAGGATTGCGCTGGGTGACGGGGAATCCGGAAAGTGATCAGATCGCCGGTGAGATAAAAAAGCGTCATGTCTGATTGGTCATACTCTCGACAGCAATCGTCAGACTGGCCTTTAGCTTCCAGTATCAAGTTGAGCTACAGCCGATCTCTCACCAAGTTGCGGCAGAACTTGGACCGAAGGAAACTGCTGCCAAGCAGTACTTCCTACAGCGCCCGCTTGTCAAGAGCACTGAAGCATGTCAAGTTCATTCTTGTCAGCGCTTGCAGTTTCTTTGTCGCAATGGTGCGAGTTCCTGCTTTGTCAACTCCTTGTTAGTCTCTGCCATCAGAGTGCCTCTGTCTTCAATTTTTATTGCTCACTCTTCAGGCACCCTGGGGTTTGGCCCTCCTGGAAGCAGTCGTCATGACACTGCTGTATTGGAGTCTGCTCCCATCGCAGAGACCCTGGCACCACTGGAGGGAGTATCGTTATAAGTTTTCTGCTTCCTTGGAAGACGTCGTCTTGCTATCATATCTCCGCTTCCTGGCAGTGCTTCTAGCATACCTACTAGGTGCTGGCCAGCGCATGATGCGGTGAGCTCATGCGTGATCTTGCTCTTTGTTGTGATGACGACGATGGGTTTCTATGATACCGATGATTTCCAGCGCTTTCTCATGGCATTTTGGGAAATGTCTTGCAGGCCATATTGGTACACAGCTGTGTTCTTTGCCACTGCCAGCATACCCTTCTTAGCTGTCAAATCAGCGCTCATCTTCCCCACCAGGCAGTGGTTGCCCCCTGCTGCTATGGTGTCGGCATCATTGTTGTTCACTTTGGCACACCTCGGAACGGCCAGGTGCTTCCTTGGACCTTCACTTCAGAATATAGAATTGGGAGTGTCCTTCGATGATTCCTGGATCCATGGCAGACTTGGTTAACCTTACCCTGCAACCCTCAGGAACATGGTGAGGTGGGCCCGCAGGCGCGCGCAGATGGGTAATGGCTTTATTTCCCTTGTCTTTGCGCAGCAGCAATGCATGCAGTATTTGCGCTTTTCCAGCAGCGCACTTTCCCTGGGATGCTTGATGCTCCTGCTGCAGCTGCTTGCCCTCATACATGCTCACAGAAGGAGAGCTGTCACATAACTTGCTGGCAATCAAATTTGAGCTTTGCAGTGTTCTTGCAGGTCTCCTTGGCTTTGGGTATCCATGGGAGGTGGGCATGACAGGGGCACTTCTTGCAGCATGAGTCACTTACCCTTGATGTCTGGCAAACCTTGTGCAATCCAAAAAGACTTTGATTGTGGCTGCACATGTGCTGCTGACGTGCAGGAGGGCGAAGAAGCTTGGATGCTGGGGCGTCAGAAGTCAACTCATGGTGACCTGGAAAGTCAACAGCTCCTTCGGGTGATTGATGAGGACCCCGACGGTGTTGTACCAACTGATGTTGCAGATGAGGACTCATGCTTCATTACCATTGGGACCATGCTTGTCCACTACAAGATTGCGCGCTCACAGGTAGGGAAGACGGCAGCATCAATACTGCTGTTGCTAGGAATCCCCCCACTTTTTTCTTCCCATGTTGGCAGTATGAGCCTATCGCAGGGACCACCTCTTGACTCTCTGCTTGCACAAGACCAGTTATCTGAGCCCTTTCTTGTGTGTCCAAGGGGCTGGAGGATGATTGGCAAGGAGCATGCATCCTGTTGATACATCCTTTCGGCGGAGGCGTCTTCTCTTGGAGGAATATCATGCAGCCATTGGCGAATGAGTGTCGGTGCCCAGTTGTTGCCTTTGACAGGCCCGGGTTCGGGCTCACGTCACGGGCATCTGTCACAGCAAGCTTCAATCCCTACACACTGGAGCATGCAGCTCAGCTGGCTAAGCAGTTGTGCCCTGCCCTTGGATTCACAAGCGTAATCCTTGCTGGACATGCCGATGGTGCTGTGGTGGCAGTCTTGGCAGCGGCAAACCTCAGTCCGCATGTGCAGAGGTGAGCGGCCGAGCATCGTTAGAAACCAACATATTTGCCCAGAATTGGTGAGTGCCGCACCACACACTAAAGGAAAGGTCCTTGGCTCAATGCAGCATGGAGGCGAGATTCGCTGGAGGGCAAGCGGCGCTTCCTGAGGGCCTTCAAGGCAGGAAGCCTGACGCGCGGGCCATTGGCATGCTGTTGCTGCATCCAACATCCATGGATGAAGGCGAAGTGGGCTCTCCTTTCTCGCGTCTCCTAGGGAACTCAAGGTGGGTTGAGCTCAATCCCATGATTGTTGTGGCTGATCTGAGGTGTTTGTTACTGAATGTTACTGGCTGACTGTTACTGGCTGACTGTTACTGGCTATTACTGGCTGATCTGAGGTGTTGCACATCAATGTGAATTGTGGCTGCTTGATCAAGACTGGGGAGGCGCATGCTTGTGCGCATGATGCGCACTGAAGTCGGGGAGGTCAGCAACAGAGGAGCATGGGCAGATCCTAACCTTGCCACTCCCGAAATCATGGAGCTATACAAAGCTCAGCTGCGGATGCAGGGCTGGGATGCAGCTATCATGGAAGTGAGAGCCTGTCTTGATGGTTGCCTGTCTGAACATGATGCAGTCCATGTCACAATGTGCAATCCCCTCTCATATTTTCTATGTCTCAAAGTTGCCTGCGTGCCCATGTAGGTGACGAGAGCTCCAAAGCTTGGGCGTTTGAAAATGCAGCAGTACTTGCAAAAGGCGGAGCAGCTGCCAACACTAGTTGTCACGGGGCAAGAGGACAGGTGATCCACATTCATTCACTGACAATGGTGCAGTTGTACCCCACAGTGCAGTTTCTTGTTAGTCTGCACCTTGTAGCGTATCAAGGAGTCTCACCGAGAATTGCTAGCAGATGTCTTTGTGCCCCTTGCAGGATATCCACACCTCATGCCACATCAAATCTGGCAGCTGCCCTGCCAACCAGCAGATGTGTAGTGTTGCAAGCTGTCGGACACCTGAGCCATGAAGAGAGGCCAGAATCTCTCATCAGCTGCGTATCAGCTTTTTGCATAGAGGTGCTCAAGTCAGCGGAGAGAGCTGACACTTGACAAGAGGCTTTTCACTTCAACATGCAAATACAAAGACCAAACATGCAAGAGCAAACACGAGAGATTTAGGGTGAGTCTGCCATATATATGAGTATGACCCTGCTTCAAATTTGTATAGGACCTTGGTCAGCTTCCCTGCAGGAGGGTGGGTCCACCTGTGACACAGGCAGTGGCGGCGCAAATTGCGTGCCAACATCAAACTGTTCATTTTAAATCAAATTGTCATGAAAGAACCAGGAACCTCCATTGAACAAACTCGGAAGACCATTAATACGTTTTTAACGTCTTGAAAATTTTTACAAAGCATTAGCATGGTGCTGTGCTCACTGGGGGGAGATTTGTCCGACACTGGTGTGCCAGATACCAAAATACAAGCATGCATGCTTGCAAGTTGAAATGTCACTAGTCACAATGGTTGTGCGTTCAGAGGACACAGGTTTAAATCACCCTTTTCTCTACTTTCCAATAGTTTTCTTTCTGCTATCGGCTAAGCAAAATCAGCCAAGCTTGGCAGGCCATGGGAGGTATGGCATCGGTATATTTTGGAGCGCACACCATGTGTGGTTTTGCAAGGCATGGTCACACAAGGTTCCTGCTTATGCTGGCAGAGACTTACAAAGCCTTTGAAAACTCAAGCCAGCCAACCAATTAAACATGGAGACGTTTGCATTACTGAGAAATCATCAGAGACACTGATGAGAATGTTACATGTGCACATTTGGTGGCAGTAAGCCTTGTTCCAAAGCCCTCAGAAAGCCGTCTTTGAAGTGCTCATCTGAAAACTCACTTGCTCTCCTGTAAACAGAAACAGATTGAGAGATTAACATACAAAGGCATGTGCCTGCTGTGCCCTTCTGCATCCTTCCAAACTCCAACAGCAATGGCCTCACTCACCTGCGCGCAGCAGCTGCAATTCCCATCCTTTTACTTTGGTCCATGGACAGAACCTCGAAGATTGCACGTGCGTACTCCTCTTCAGTTTCACAGAGAAAGCCGACCCGGTCCCAGGTGTCAGTCTTTATTATATCCATCTTGGGACCGGCTGAATTATGCGCAATAGGGATCACCCCTGCAAATACAACAGGGTATGAGAAATAGCAAATTAAGGACTGCAAGACCTGAGAACCCCCACTTGCATGGCATGCCCAGGTAGCTATCAACGAGCAGGACATCCACCTGCAGCCATGTACTCCACGATGGATATGCCAAAGTGCTCGTCGACCATGGTGTGCAGGCCTCCCACAGCGCCTCCGAGAAGCTGCTGGACTTCGGAGAATGGCGCATTGACACAAAAGTCCACGCATGCATCCAGCCCCAACTCGCTGCTGAGCCCCTTCTGCGGCAACCAGACAGCCCAGCTCTTGAGGTGGCAGCCAGCAAGTCATGCACGCAGGGCAACATATGGCATGCTTGCACATGTGCTGACATGAGACTTGGGCACAGAGGACACATGCGCACCAGCTGCGCCACCCGCTCATTATCTTCGTGGTTCCTGCAGCTGCCCACTACTTTCAGGCGAGCGGCCAGGACTGCGTGCGAGGAGTCCTCGTCGGGGTGCATCACTTGGGCAGCTGCCCTTTGTCGCGCCATGGCAAAGGCCCGGAGCTGCTTGGCCTGATCCTTCTCTGGGCGGAACTGGGCCAGAGACACTAGGAAGAGAGACTTCAACTTGCGGTCCAGCGGAAGGGCCGCCAGGTGACTGACATTGCAAGGCGGGTATACAAGCAACGGCTGGGTGAAGGTCCACCAAAGCCGAGAGACGTGCCCACGAGTCCAGCTGGAATTCACCATCACCACCTGCAACATTGTTGGAAGCATCAGGACACCATGTGGCAACGCTTTGGCGCACTGCATGTTGCAAACTTTGCACAAGTGTCGGCCTGCAAACTCACATTGGTGCAGCCACCCACGGCCCCGTATGCAGCCGCAAAGATGTAGTAGTACACCACTTTCACCAGCGACATCAGCGGGCTTCCAGCAACTGCGACATCGTTGTTGTAGGTTGCCTGCCTACTGGTCACCCGCTGAAGCATGTCTGTGCTGATAGTGGGATAGTGTGTGTAGGAAGCCACTCTGCACCCCGCCAACCTAAACAGGGGGTACATGAATGCCCAGCCGCTGGTGTCAACCATCACCTGGGGGCAACAATATATGGCTGAGCGAGCTTTTACTTGATATGCACATGGCGAACGATACACGTCATCATTTCGACAAGCAAGGCAGAGATTATACAAGTTCACCTTTGGGACAGCCTGCAAGAGACCGTCATATGCTAATTGTATAGACCCGAGGGCCTGCCGCAGCATCGTCCATCTGGGGTATGTTTCTGGCAGAATCAGGTGACAACATGTCAGAGGAACGACCTGCATCAGCAGATCACACTAGCCTGCTCCGTCTCTGGGTAGATGGACAATGCTCAATGAGCGCCTGGAAGTTCATATACCTGAAACGTGGCATTGACGTCCAGGAGGAACGCAGCAGATGCCCTTGCACAGAGCGCCTGCGGCGTGCTTCCTGCTTGGCAGTAGATGAGGATCTGCACATTCCACAGTCAATCATTAGGAGAGACCAAACGGCAATCTGTGTGTAAGATGCACCAGCATGGTCAACTTACCTGATATTCTGGATGTGCATCCTGGATTGCCCTAACAGCACACCTGCAGGATATTCCACAGGGATCTCTAGGATGTTGGATCTCTAGGATGTCTTCACAACATGGCATTCTGCAACAATCCCTGAGTAGGTGTGGGCCAGTGGCTCACCACAGCACTCTCTCACCACCTCCACCGCTGTCAGCAAAGGGGTGAAAGAAACCGATTGATTTCTGCATATTGGGACAGATAGCTTCAGCGATCGCTTAGTTTGAGTAGGCCGATGAGGTTCAGACAAGAGAAGCATCGGACGGGTCGCCTACCTGGCTTGGAGATGGAAGCTTGTATCGAAGCCATGCCTTTGCAGCTAGAATGAGTATCAGAGACAGACATCCCAAGGCGCCCAGAAGACAGAGAGTATTGATCTGCCCACGCACAGGGTAGCCATGACTTCAAAGCAGACAACGACAAGCAGACTTTATATCACCTTTATAGATGTAAACTTACCGGACCTGTTGCTACAATTGCAACTGCAATCAAGCATACAGGTGCCACGAGGCTCAAGACTGCCATCGTTGCCAATGCATCGAATGCCTCAACCCTGTGCGCCTCCTGGATGCAGCAAGTACATGTTGAGATCAGTTAAGCATGCTGCAATATAGCACGACGAGAGAAGCACTACGATCCAGCGTCAAAATCGAAGGACAAGCAGAAAGAATGAAAGCCATCCGCCAAGTTGGCACATGACGGCACGTGAAATCTTCATCTAATTTCTTTTCGTTCCTTTTCCGTCGGCCAATCCGCATGAAAAATCTTCAATGGCGAAGTATGTTATGGATTTTTAAAGCACCTGGTCCCTTTGTGCTTTTGACCAGCAAAACTGTGAGTGCCAATGAGCCTACCTTTCCTGAAGCATCGACCAAGCTTGCTTGGCAGCAACATATTTGCTCGATCTGCACCTAGGGTGTACAGAGCTTCTAGTACCAGATCGATCCATGTGTCAACTTTAAGATGCAGCGCGGAATCTGAACCTAGAGAAGTGCAGCTGATCAAAGACAGCGATCCTGAAGGAACCCCTGTAACGACCAGCAGCAGAAGCACTGATGCAAATCTTCTGCTGGCTGTCGGTGCGGTGGTGGTTGCAGTTGGGAGCCTCTTCCTTGTGAAAACAATGGATGGAGCCCCTGCTCTGGAACGCCTCAGGAGCTTCTCCACTCCTCTGGACGTTGCCTTGACAAATGGGAGACCAACAGTAATGGAATTTTACGCCGATTGGTGTGAAGTGTGCAACGAGCTGGCGCCCATAACGTTGCAGGTGACGCTTCCAGTTTCCGATAAACTAAGACTGGTGCCTGGCAAATCCCACCTCAACCTGACACTCCCAATCATTTGGTGCAGGTTGAACAGGCATACAAAGACACCGTCAACTTTGTGATGCTCAACGTGGAGAACACAAAGTGGGCTCCTGAGGTTGCAGAGTATGGCGTCAGAGGCATTCCTCACTTTGTGTTTTTGGACAAGAATGGAACACCGCAGGCCGCTGCTGTTGGACGTTTGCCCCAAGAAGTATGGCCCTGATTAGATCACCCTGCGTTGTACATTGTATTTCTGCTTTAAAATTTGCCGCCAGTGTTTTCCTCTTGGTCCCAACAGCACAGCGTCCTTTTGCATTCTGATATCCTTCCATGCACAGGTTTTGGAAGGTGATGTGAGAGCATTGGCAACATCTGAGCCCCTACCATTCAGAAACAACAGGGGGCCTACATCAGGCCTGGCACGTCCTATGGGCTCAATGACTGCACAAAGCAACCCCCGAGACCATGCATGACTGGAGGGGCAAGGTGGCAGAAAGATGCAGATCTGCTCAGGCACATGTTCATCAAAAGGTTATTCAGGATGCAGAAATAGGAATTTTCACTGACCTTTTAGAGTCTGTGTCTTGCACAGAGCACACTGCAAATAGGGAAAATACTGTACCGGATATCACTTTCGATATTCAACACAGTATTTTCCTCTCTCTGAGATCACACCATTGCTTGTCTTCTTGAGCATAATGTTGCAGAGTATGACTGCAGTGGGACGGTGGTATTTGGGCTATTTTCTGGGAAGACCCAGAGGTTCTACTGCAGTATTCATTAGGAGGTTATCCTGAGCAGACACAGACCTCCTGATCCTTCATGCTGAAAATAGCACTGCGGATTGTTTATGAATCCTTTTGCACAGATTCGGATCAATTGCAAGGAGAATGGGAGGTATGTACGATTGTCCTGCAGAACAGAAGTTTGTCGAAGGCACCTGGGAAGTTGAAGTGCTGACGTGTGTTTAGCGATGAGGGAAATATGCTTGCAGGGGCTTCAGCTTCTCATAGGATTTGTGCAAAGGAGAAATTGTAGTATTGCAAAGATTCCTACAAATGCTGAATTAGTGGGCAGTGTGATTCTATATCATGATCTTCATGATATCACTTGATCTCTGTGAGTTTATATTTGACGCAGCGTGTTGACAGGAAGAGACGATCAATATCCCACGAATCGTGAGACACCTGCTGCGCGGCGCCGGAGCTCTCCGGCGTTTCGAGCGCGCAAATCGAGGAGGGCAAGATTGATGCAAACACTCATGTGCCAACGACAGCATTGCAGCGATGCGCCAGCATTAGAGCAACGAGCCCTGGAGTCACAGATTGCCGCGACGGAGTTCCTTGCGCCTTCACCGTTTGCCAGCGCGGAATGGGGCCTCAAGCACGCGGTACTACCAAGCTCAGCCTTGCACGGTCCCCGGGGTGCCTCCAACCCCGGGACACTGGCCTCGCCACCCAGTGTTAGTGACCTTGCCCCCCACCAGCCGCTCACACTCTGGGTATCCCTCGGCCGGGCGGCTCAGTCATGGGCCCCGTGGAATACAAGTCGTCGCCAGATCACAGAAGCCCATTTCACCTTGCTCAGGGCTCTAGGATGTCAATTCTAGTTCAATGTCCCTTAATGCATAAGGCATACCGATACCGATCGATACCGATCGAATCCACAAGCGACAACATAGGATTCCGGGCAGCGCACAGGGTGCGCTCCGGCCGTTGGGTCGAGCGGTGACATGGACATAGAGCCGGACGGCCAGAGACGCACCTGAAAAAGTACCACAATTTAACATGCTCATCTAAGCAGACAAACAAACCCCAACTGGCAAACAGCAACAGCCCTACAATAGGATAGCAAATTCGACTCCCCGGCACAATACATCCCAAACAAATGGTAAATTTGCATCAGACGCCAAGGTGCATGCACCCCTGACCGGCCCCAAGCACCACAGGGTAAACCCATCCCCTGCGGCACACTCCAGCCCGCAGGCAACGCAACACTCCATGGGTGGCGTTGAAGGACCCGCGAGGCAAGCCAAAGGCCTGCATCTGGAGGCAGGATCCATAGCCAGTGGCAAGCAGGCAATGTGCAAACCAACTTGGAGGCAAACAGGCAAGCCCAAACAGCATAGCATGACAACTCATCAAAAGGCGCCCTGCCGGACGGACAGCCAGTCATCCGCTGGAGCGCACAGCACCCAGTGCCGCTGCCCGCTTGATGCTCTCCTCCACCACACATCGTACCCGGCCTGCCTTGGCCTAAAACAGGTGGCCTGTCTTGGCCATAACCAGGTGGCCTACCTTGGCCTAAAACAGGTGGCCTGCCTTGGCCTAAACCAGGTGGCCTGCCTTGGCCTAAACCAGGTGGCCTGCCTTGGCCTAAAACAGGCACTCTGTATGACCATGCTCTCCTGGCCTTTTGCCATGACACCCGCTCGTTTCTTCTCGTACTTTGGTCACCGACACATTTTTTGGCAGGTTCACTGGACATCTGGTCGCTAAGAGCCCCTTGGGTTGTATCAGGCACGGATGACCACTTTCACTCCTGCACTTCCACCCCGGGTCAGCCCGGCTTGTCACCTTGTATGTTTTCCTTAGAGCCCTGGGGTCACAGATTGCCGCGACGGAGCTCCTTGCGCCTTCACCATTTGCCAGCGCGGAATGGGGCCTCAAGCACGCGGTACCACCGGTCGAGGGACCCGCCAAGCTCAGCTCTGCACGGTCCCTGGGGTGCACCCTCCACCCCCGGGACACTGGCCTCGCCCCCCAGTGTTGGTGGCCTCGCCCCCCACCAACCGTGCTCGGGCTGCTCACACCATGGGTATCCCTCGGCCGGGCGGCTCAGTGGAAGGCCTCCTCGAAGTCCAGGAATACCAGTCTAGGATTTTGAACACTCATGCCTCCTGCCTATCCCCACCTGTGCAGTCGGTGGGTGTGCTGCTCTCGAGTTCTTATCGTGTCCTACCTTCATAGCCAGTCAGCCGGATCGGCGTGCTGATGCATCATTATGTTCCACAATTCCAGCAGTTTGACGCCTAGCTTGCCTGTCATTGTTGCTTGCCTGCTTTACTGTGCCCCCTGCCTCCAGATGCAATGCCGTACGCTTGCCCCGTGGGTCCTCCAACGTCACCCGGGGGGTGTTGCGTTGCCGGCGGGCTGGAGTGCGCCTTGGGGGATGAGGTCACCCCCTGGTGCTTGGGACATGTTCATTGCTAGGTCTTGCCTGTCAGCGGCTTGCCTTCATGATTGCGCTTCTCTTTAGGTGTCGCACTATCCTCCTGCGGGAGTGCTTTGCGAACCACCCATCAGACAGGTTTCCTAGCTATCCTTATGCATGTGTTCTGGAAAGCGTGCGACCAGCATGCGTGTGTAAGCGAGGTTCATCCTTTCTCTTTCGGTGCGTCTGTGGCCGTCCGGCTCTATGCCCATGTCACCGCTCGACCACTCGTAACCCAACGGCCGGAGCGCACCCTGTGCGCTGCCCGGAATCCTATGTTGTCGCTTGTGGATTCGATCGGTATCGGTATGCCTTATGCATTAAGAGACATCGAACCTGTCCTGAGGGCCTGCAGCTCCGTGCGGCCCTGTCGCTCCCTGGCCATGTGGTGGGACCAGAAGGTGGACTGCTCCCCATAGAACTGCCACACGATCCCTGCCTGCAGCGCCGCGCCCTTCGCTGCCTCGGTGTGGAGGGTCTGCAGCAGGTGGTGGGCGTCCTGCCATGCCAGCAGGGTCTCTGCGGTGAGTGTCCGCTCGTAGGCTGCGAGCGCTGCCTGACTGTCCGACTCCAGAGCCCGCTGAGCTGCCCGGCGCTCGGCTGCTATGGCCCAGGAGCGCTGCAAGGCGATGTCCTTCACCTGCCGCTTTAGGTCCACCCAGCGGCTGCTCCGAGTGACTGCATCTCCGAGTGGGTGTGCGGCAAGGTATGCTGGGATCTCCGCTGCGATGAGCTCGCAGAACGGCTGATCATCCAGAAGGTGGGAGGCAGCCTCCAGGCTGCGGAGCCGTATAGTGTGCTGGCTGGTGATGTGAGGCTCAGGCTGACTCCCAGGTGGTCTCCTGGGTAGCCCACCACCTGACCGATCGTGCGCGGACTCTGGCGCGCAGCGGCTCTGATATCAGCCAGCGATCCAGCCGCGCTGCTGACTGGCCTAAGGTGGCTATGTGGGTGAAGGCACGCCTGCTGGGGTGGAGGTCCCGCCAGACATCGAAGACCCGGTGATCCGTCTCGACACGCCGCAGGCCGGTCCAGTATCCCTGCGTTCGCTGGCCGGGCTGCCCGGCAGGGTCCAGCATGTCTAGCTGGCCAGCGATGCAGTTGAAGTCCCCCCCCCCCCCGGGGGCTGCGGCGGCGCGGGCAGGAACAGAGGTGGCGTGCGACTCAAAGCCCGGCGGAATAGCTGGTGTGCCCTGCCGGCGTCCAGAGGTCTGTGCTGGACTACCCTCTGGTGGCCCGAGTTCCGCTGGCAACCCGTAAGAGTCCTCTGGCAGGCTGTCGCTGCCGTGTATCCGGCGGAGCGTGTCGCAGAGCATTGTGAGGCGTTGGTGCCTGGCAGCAAGGGAGTCCCCAGACTGCAGCGCAAGCGGCTCATCGCGATGCAGCTGACGCAACGCTGCGATGCCGTCTCTGGGGGAGAAGTGAGTGTGCCCTGCCAGCCACTCCAGGCAATCATCGATGTGCTAGCTCGTAACACCGGGGAGCTCCAGCGGTGGAGGTGACGGAGCGGGCAGCTGAGCTGCGGTGGCTTCTCCTGCAGGTGCTGGCCTGACAGGCAGCTCCACCTGTGGGCTGTCGCATTCCATCGGGCTGGCTGCAGCCGTGTCGCGCGCGGCAGCAACCCGGCGAGGAGTGGCAGGCTGCTGCGGCGTGCTAGCAGGCGTCTCCCACTCCATGGGTGTCGCTGCGGGACGGCGAGGCGGTGCGGATTGCGCATCAATACCATGTCTGCCTGTGTCAGGGTCACCGCTGGAAAGATCTCAGGGTTCTCAGCTGCAGGCTGTAAGATCACAGTTCAGATTTTTTTTTTTTTTTTAAGGGGGAGCCCCCGCTATTACATAGGTGCCAATCGCACGCTTCCCAGCACGCATGCAATAGGATATTTGGGGAAACCTGTGAGAGTTGGGGCACGCAGAGCACTCCCGCAGGAGGATAAGGCGATACCGAAGAGAAGCGCAAGCATGAAGGCATACCACAGAAAGGCAACAGAAAGGCGCCTAGCGATGGACATGTCCCAAGCACCAGAGGGTAACCTCATCCCCAGAGGCGCACTCCAGCCCGCCGGCAACGCAACACCGCTGAGGTGACGTTGGAGGACCCACGGGGCAAGCCTAGGGCTTGCAGCTGGAGGCAGGGGTCACAGCAAAGCAGGCAATCATCAATCACTGGTAGGCAGTTATGGATGTGCGGGCAACCAGTGGTGGAACAGACATGAAAGGCACGTTTATATGGTTGGCCGACAGGGATAGAACAGGATCGCGTTCGGACCCATTACCACTAGGGGCCGCTCGGGGCTGGCAATGTGACCCTAAACTATGCCTCAATCTGCCAGCAAGGTGGGGTCATACAGATAGCCAAGTTATAGCCGTGGCCGGCTGGGTACAGTGAATGGTGGATCGGAAGCGTCACGCTGGAAGCGGCACGGGATGCTGGGCACTCCAGTGGATGACAGGTTGCGCGCCCGGCAGCTCCTCCAGCGCGCAGAGGACCGCGCGGTGGCACCATCGCGCCGCGAACTGCTCCCTGGTGATCATCGGGTCGCGTCCGCGAAGCCAGTCGCTGAGCACACCTGCTGTCTGCCGGACGTTGACGGTCGCGAGCCGCCAATCGGCAAGCAGGGCCTTCTTGCAGGAAGACAGGATGCGAGCCGCAACCGCTCCGGGGGTGATCGCCGCCGTATCTGGCTGGTGGCGGCCGCGCTGATATGCTGCCCACAGCTGACAGATCGTAGCGAGCCGCAGGCGATCCCAGAGCTGCCTGAGCTGCTGCGGCGGTCCCCAGATCCTGGTGTCATCGGCGAGAAGAAGGTCGGCGCTGCGCGGTGGCGCGTCGTCTCCGGTCACCGCGGCCCATGTCGCTGCGAACCAGTCCCACACCCCGGCGGCGAGAGGGCAGATGATGAAGACATGGGTGAGTGTGGCCAGCTGACCTGCACAGCTCGGATGCGGGCAAACGTGACCGGCGGGATCGGCACGGTGGACGTGACGCGCGAAGCCGCCGACGAAGAGCTGGCCATGCAGCAGCCTCCACGCTGTCACGCGCTGCCGCCGGTCCAGATGGGAAGCGTGCACCACTTGCCACACATGAGCCCAAGGTGCTGATGGGTCTGCTGTGACAGCAGCAGCAGGATCAACAGTGACATCTGCTCCCTGTGGCACTGGTGAAGGGCCCGCTGGCGCGCCCGCAGGCCCGCCGCGGTCCCGCAGCGGAACCGGACGTGGCTGCGGCGCAGCCATCCAGATCGCCCAGGAGGAGGGATCAGGCTGCCCTCGAGGCCTCTTGCCTAAGACCTGCGACGCGGTACCAGCAGCTGCAGCCCTGGCCTCCCATCGCGCCTCGAGCGCCCGAAGGCCGCTGCGCTGATCATCTGTGGTATCAGCCCAGATGGCTGGTCGCAGCGGGCCCGCCGGGCTGGCCTCCCCCTTGCTGATCCTGTGAAGCACCTGTCGCCGCGCGGTGGCCTCCCTCACTACAAACTCATGTGCCGGCCGCGTGCCGAGCCCCCAAGCCTGAGGGTCCTGTACCTGGGATCCCCAGAGGCCAAAGAAGTATAGTGTGGGCGGCGGTGGTGGCGGTGGCTCTGGCAGCTGCTGCTCCCACTCCAGCTGCTCCCTTGGCTGCTGCTCCCCTGTCTGCTGCTCCACCTGCAGGTGCTGCTCTGGGTGCAGCTGCTCCGCGTGCTGGCGCTGCTGACGTGTGCCGCTGCGTGGATGCCAGGGCCTGGTGATGTCCCAGTGCTGAACCAATGCAGGCTGCGCGGCCGGAGGAAGGAATGCGTGCATGGATGCAACGCCTCCTTCCACTGGCACAAGGGCTCCTGTGCTGCTTACTGTGTGGCTGAGAAGGTAGGTGCTACCTTCGGCTGTGCGAGACCAGACTCGGCGATCCGACGGGTCCGGCAATGCGCACCACATAGCGGCCGGTGGCTGCACCTGAATGAGCGCTCTCCAGGCTGCTGGCAAGGCAGCCAGGAGGATGGGCACGCGCTCTCGCACCACCCGATCCGGATGCTCCGGGCCGCGCACGACATCGCGCAGGTGGCTGATCCTGACCAGGCCAAGCCTGGCCCAGTCCTCCCAGGCAAAGGGCTGCCTGACTGCATCTGTGAGCTGCCTGTTGAAGAACAGTGGCTCACCCATGACTGCGTCGTAGCCGATCGCTTCCGGCTTCTGCAGGTGATGGGGCCGCAGCTGCTGGTAGGCATGCAGGTACTGCCGGACGCGCTGCGGGGCCTCCACATGCTTCGCTGCAAAGGTGGAGAAGAGCAGGAATCTTCCCAGCTGCCAGATGTGCTGCCGCCGTGCTGACACCGTGCCGGGTTCCTGCGCTGCCAGCCAGGCTGTGCTCCTGTACAGCCAGTGGTCGAAGTAGGCCTTCCAGGCCAGCTGCTCCGGCTCCAACAGCCTGCCCACCACCTTGGCCTGGAGAGCCAGGATCTGGGCCCTGATGTCCACCAGCGCGATGCCGCCGTGTGCGGGCGCGCGGAAGCAGACCTCCTTGCCTGGGAACAGCGCCGCCGCTGCGCCAGGGGTCACCGGCCGGTTCGCCGCGACAAAAGTGTGGATGGCTCTGCAGAGCCTCTGTAGCAAGTCCTGTGGCACCGGTATGAAGGTGGCATGGTAGGTGACCATGGAGGCCAGCACCTGTTTTGCGACGTACGCTCGGCCCAGCAGGCTGAGTCTGAAGCCGGACCAGCGGGCGATGCGGGCCTCCACCTTCTCAATGATGGCTGTGTATAGGGCTGTGGCAGCTGCAGCTGCCTGAGTGGACAAGGGAATGCCCAGGTGCTTGACGCCGTCGCCCGAAGCCGCGAAGGTGACTCCTGTGACTGGATCAGGCCCGGCGAGATGGCTGAGGCTGCCAAGCCCTATGGCCTGGCTCTTGCTGCGCTGCAGCCTGGCTCCTGTGGCTGCGCAGTGGAGGCCCACGCTGGCCCCCAGCACGATCTGAGCATCCCGGGGAGTCCGCGCGTGCACGCTGGTGTCGTCCGCATGCTGGTGCATGACTGGTGCTGGCTCCCCTGAAGGCAGTCTGATGGGCTGGAAAGCTAGCTGGCCTGCAAGCATCCTGGCATGCGCGGCCATCGGCTGCGCGGCAAGCACAAACAGCAGCGGCGAGAGGGGGCTTCCCTGGAAGACGCCGGAGGCCACCGGGAAGGCATCGGTGTGCCAGCCGTTGAAGGCCACTCGCGCGGTCGTGCCGGAGTGCAGGATGTGCACCCACCGCTGCGCACCGGGCCCGAAGCCCACCGCAGCCATGCACCGCTCAATCCAGGCCCTGTCAAGGCGATCGAAGGCCTTCTCGAAGTCCAAGAAGACCTGCACGCCTGGCTGGTGTGTGTCCTCCAGGTAGCTGATCTCCTCCAGGTGTGCCAGCACGTTGTCCCCCGCCCAGCGCTTAGGCAGGAAGCCTGTCTGTGTGGCATCCACCACCTGATTCAGCAGCGGCCCGATCCGGCTGGCGATCGCCCGCGCCGCGAGCTTGTAGTCGGTGTTGAGCAACGTGATGGGCCTGTAGCTGGCTGGAGACTCCCTGTCTGCCCCCTTCCCCTTGTACAAGAGAGTGATACGCCCCTGCGTCAGCGGTGGCGGCAGCGCCGCTTCCCTGCCGCCGCCGAAAGCTTCCTGCAGCATCCCTGCCAGCTCCAGCCCTGCCACAGGCCAGAAGCGCAGGTAGAACTCATATGGCAGGCCATCCAAGCCCGGTGCCCTGCCGCGCGGCAGGCTCCGGAGGGCAGTCTCCAGCTCTGCGACCGACACGCTGCCGTCACCGCGCTCTCCTTCTGCCGCTGCAGCTGCCTGGGGGGACAAACGCTTGTCCACTGCCTGCAGCAGCTCATCCTGGGCTGCCAGCGACACCGGCTGCGCCGCGAAGAGGCCTGCCGCTTCGTCGCCGCTGTAGTACTCCCGCAGCACCGCGCCGCCCCGATCCCTGCCGGCTGGGTGATCCAGGACAACCCGTGGGCTGTCAGGGGCTGGACCTGTCCTGAGGGCCATCAACTCTGTGCGGCCCTGCCGCTCCCGGGCCAGGTGGTGGAACCAGAAGGTGGACTGCTCACCGTAGAACTGCCATACGATCCCAGCCTGGAGTGCTGCCCCCTTAGCTGCCTCCACATTGAGGCCCTGCAGAAGGTGGTGGGCATCCCGCCATGCCAGAAGGGTGTCTGGTGCGGGCCGCCGGGTGAACGCCGCAAGCGCTGCGCGGCTGTCAGACTCCAGAGCCCGCTGAGAGGCCCGGCGCTCCGCTGCGAGAGCCCAGGAACGCTGCATGGCCATATCCTTGACCTGCCTCTTCAACTCCACCCACCTGCTGCCCTGCGTGACGCCCTCTCCGAGCGGGTGCGCGGCAAGATATTCCGGAATCGCTGCCGTAACGCGATCGCAGAATGGCTCATCGTCCAGAAGATGAAGGGGCAGCCTCCAGGCTGCAGAGCCATACAGTGTGCTGGCTGGAGCTGTAAGGCTCAGGCTGACCCCCAGGTGGTCTCCTGGATAACCAAGAACCTGCCCGATCGCTCGCGGCTCCCGGCTGACCCGCGCCCGCAGCGTCTCCGAGACCAGCCAGCGGTCGAGCCGGGCAGCTGACTGACCTGTGGTGGCAACGTGGGTGAAGGCACGACTGCTGGGGTTGAGGTCACGCCAGACATCGTAGAGCTGATGCTCAGTCTCCACGAGCCGCAGGCCGGTCCAATATCCCTGCGTCCGCTGACCGGGCTGCCCGGCGGCCATGTCCTGTTGGCCTGCAGATTATGTCCCGTTTGAATTCGTATTTTGGCCTCTGCCTAAATAGCTCCGGGTAGAGGGACGCTGTTGCAGACAGACGTTGTGTTGTCTTAGGCAGTTTGTGCTCCAGCAGAGCTTCAACTGTGCACCGCTCTCTGAGCACAGGCCGAAGCTTTTTGAATTCGCTACGTGAATTGTGCATTGGATAGATTCTCTCTGCTGTGTGCATGTGACGCCTTGTGATGCCTTGTCATGCTATGCTGTTTGGGCTTGCCTGCCTGCCTTGATTTGCACATTGCAGCATGCTTGCCACTGGCTATGGATCCTGCCTCCAGATGCAAGCCTTTGGCTTGCCCCGCGGGTCCTTCAACGTCACCCATGGGGTGTTGCGTTGCCGGCGGGCTGGAGGGTGCCGCAGGGGATGGGATTACCCTGTGGTGCTTGGGTCCTGGTCAGGAGGGGTGCGTGCACGTTGGCGTCTGATGCACAGTTTGCCATGTTTGGGATGTGTTGTGCCGAGGAGTCGGGTTTGCTATCCTATTGAAGGGCTGTTGCTGTTTGCCAGTTAGGGTTTGTTTGTCTGCTTAGGTGAGCATGTTAGGTTGTGATAGTATTTTAGGTGCGTCTCTGGCCGTCTGGCTCTATGCCCATGTCACCGCTCGACCACTTGTAACCCAACGGCCGGAGCGCATCCTGTGCGCTGCCCGGAATCCTATGTTGTCACTGTTGGATTCGATCGGTATCGTATGCATTAAGGGACATTGAACTCTGCACCTCGGGGAGGATTGCAGTCCATCCGAGCGGCCGGATGTGTGTCGCGAGCACGCAGGAACACGCGCCGGGCCGCTGCGGCCTGCTGGCTGCTGTGGCACCCAGACCTGCGCGATCGTCTCCGGGAGCGCGGCTGGCCTGTACAAGGGCTTCGAGCTGCCGCACCTGCGGGCTAGGTGCGTGCTGCGCCGGATGTGCCGCGCGCGCGCGGGCTTTGTGGAGCGCTGGCGCTGGCGCTGGCGAATCGGGCGAGGGCCGGAACGGAGCGGCGGTGGGGCTGCGGGCAGCTGTTGCCGCTGCTTTTTTTTTTTTTTTTTTAAAGGGGGAGCCCCCGCTATTACATAGGTGCCAATCGCACGCTTCCCAGCACGCATGCAATAGGATATTTGGGGAAACCTGTCAGAGTTGGGGCACGCAGAGCACTCCCGCAGGAGGATAATGCGATACCTAAGAAAAGCGCAAGCATGAAGGCATACCACAGAAAGGCAACAGAAAGGCTCCTAGCGATGGACATGTCCCAAGCACCAGAGGGCAACCTCATCCCCAGAGGCGCGCTCCAGCCCGCCGGCAACGCAACACCGCTGAGGTGACGTTGGAGGACCCACGGGGCAAGCCTAGGGCTTGCAGCTGGAGGCAGGGGTCACAGCAAAGAAGGCAATCATCAATCACTGGCAGGCAATTATGGATGTGCGGGCAACCAGTGGTGGAACAGACATGAAAGGCACGTTGATACGGTTGGCCGACAGGGATAGAACAGGATCGCGTTCGGACCCATTACCACTAGGGGCCGCTCGGGGCTGGCAATGTGACCCTAAACTATGCCTCAATCTGTCAGCAAGGTGGGGCACAAGCAAACGGTGGCATATGGGAGATATGAAGCCGCAAATGAGGGTTTAGGGTTTAGGGTTTAGGGTTCCGAAGTGCACAGGTCTTCCCTGCTGCTAGACAGGCACTGACAGACATGGAGGAAGACACGCCGCCGCCGCCACCGCCGCCGGTACCGATGGAGTGGGAGACACAGGCATACTCGGTGCCGCAGCGAGAGTTGCGACGCAGGATATCGCGCGTGCGCGATAAAGGTGCAGCCACCCCCATGGATTGGGATCTGCCTCACACCGAGGATCCACCCCAGACGGCTCACCGTCGCCCTCCGCACCTGGACCTCAGCGGCGTCCCGGTTGAGCGTATTGAGGAGTGCCTGGAGTGGCTGGCAGGGCATACACACTTCTCCCCCGCAGACAGCGCGGCAGCGATTCGCCGGCTGCACAGCGATGCACCACTCGCGCTCGTGTCGGGAGGGGATGCACCAGCAGATAGGGAGCTGCGGCACCAGCTCCTCTGCGATGCTCTGCGTCGCATCCATGGAGCAGACAGCTTGCCGGACGACTCGTACGGCTTGCCGGCTCTGACACCGGAGGACCTAGCGCAGCCGGCAGAGGTCCCAGCAGCACCCATTGCACGTCAGCAGGGGAGACCCACCGTCCCGCCGGGCTTTGAGTCGCGAGCAGCCGCAGCGCGCGCAGCGCAGCGTGCGGCGCAGGTCGCACTAGCGGGGCTGCCGGCTCCGTGGCGCTCAGCGCGTACGCGGCATCAGCCTACAGAGTGGTGGCTACAGCAGCAGGGGCAACAGCAGGAGCGGCAGCGGGTAGAGCACAGGATTTCCAGGAGCATTCGCAGTGGGGGCCCGCCGGCACGGCGGCCCTCGCAGCCATGACTCGCTCCCGATCGCCCTCACTGCGCCTTCTCAGCCTCAACGTCAACGGCCTCAGGGACAGAGACAAGAGGCGCTGCCTCTTCAACCTTCTGGAGCGCGACAGGTGGGACATCATCCTCCTTCAGGAGACCCACCACAGCTCTACAGAGGAGGGGACAGCATGGGCGCAGGAGGGGCCTGCCGGGCTTCGCTGCAATTGGAGCGGGCCCGCATTTTGGTGCCACTTCACCTCCCAGTCACGCGGCGTAGCGGTCTTACTAAGACCCACAGCCTCCACAGCAGCCATCACGGTGCGTCACTGCAGCACCACCGGACGCACCCTACTAGTGGACTTCACTTATTGTGGCCAGCCCTACACGGTAGCTTCCGTGTACGCGCCTGCGGCCGCAGCGGAGCGACAGCAGTATTATACACAGGAGCTGCTGCCCAGCCTTCCAGCAGCACGTTGCCTTCTGGTGGGAGGGGACTTCAACTGCATTGCAGGCCAGCAGGACATGGCCGCCGGGCAGCCCGGTCAGCGGACGCATGGATATTGGACCGGCCTGCGGCTCGTGGAGACTGAGCATCAGCTCTACGATGTCTGGCGTGACCTCAACCCCAGCAGTCGTGCCTTCACCCACGTTGCCACCACAGGTCAGTCAGCTGCCCGGCTCGACCGCTGGCTGGTCTCGGAGACGCTGCGGGCGCGGGTCAGCCGGGAGCCGCGAGCGATCGGGCAGGTTCTTGGTTATCCAGGAGACCACCTGGGGGTCAGCCTGAGCCTTACAGCTCCAGCCAGCACACTGTATGGCTCTGCAGCCTGGAGGCTGCCCCTTCATCTTCTGGACGATCAGCCGTTCTGCGATCGCGTTACGGCAGCGATTCCGGAGTATCTTGCCGCACACCCGCTCGGAGAGGGCGTCACGCAGGGCAGCAGGTGGGTGGAGTTGAAGTGGCAGGTCAAAGATATGGCCATGCAGCGTTCCTGGGCTCTCGCAGCGGAGCGCCGGGCCTCTCAGCGGGCTCTGGAGTCTGACAGCCGCGCAGCGCTCGCGGCGTTCACCCGGCGGCCCGCACCAGACACCCTTCTGGCATGGCAGGATGCCCACCAGCTTCTGCAGGGCCTCAATGTGGAGGCAGCTAAGGGGGCAGCACTCCAGGCTGGGATCGTATGGCAGTTCTACGGTGAGCAGTCCACCTTCTGGTTCCACCACCTGGCCCGGGAGCGGCAGGGCCGCACAGAGTTGATGGCCCTCAGGACAGGTCCAGCCCCTGACAGCCCACGGGTTGTCCTGGATCACCCAGCCGGCAGAGATCGGGGCGGCGCGGTGCTGCGGGAGTACTACAGTGGCGACGAAGCGGCAGGCCTCTTCGCGGCGCAGCCGGTGTCGCTGGCAGCCCAGGATGAGCTGCTGCAGGCAGTGGACAAGCGTTTGTCCCCTCAGGCAGCTGCAGCGGCAGAAGGAGAGCGCGGTGATGGCAGCGTGTCGGTCGCAGAGCTGGAGACTGCCCTCCGGAGCCTGCCGCGCGGCAAGGCACCGGGCTTGGATGGCCTGCCATATGAGTTCTACCTGCGCTTCTGGCCTGTGGTAGGGCTGGAGCTGGCAGGGATGCTGCAGGAAGCTTTCGGCGGCGGCGGGGAAGCGGCGCTGCCGCCACCGCTGACGCAGGGGCGTATCACTCTCTTGTACAAGGGGAAGGGGGCAGACAGGGAGTCTCTAGCCAGCTACAGGCCCATCACGTTGCTCAACACCGACTACAAGCTCGCGGCGCGGGCGATCGCCAGCCGGATCGGGCCGCTGCTGAATCAGGTGGTGGATGCCACACAGACAGGCTTCCTGCCTAAGCGCTGGGCGGGGGACAACGTGCTGGCACACCTGGAGGAGATCAGCTACCTGGAGGCCACACACCAGCCAGGCGTGCAGGTCTTCCTGGACTTCGAGAAGGCCTTCGATCGCCTTGACAGGGCCTGGATTGAGCGGTGCATGGCTGCGGTGGGCTTCGGGCCCGGTGTGCAGCGGTGGGTGCACATTCTGCACTCCGGCACGACCGCGCGAGTGGCCTTCAACGGCTGGCACACCGATGCCTTCCCGGTGGCCGCCGGCGTCTTCCAGGGAAGCCCCCTCTCGCCGCTGCTGTTTGTGCTTGCCGCGCAGCCGATGGCCGCGCATGCCAGGATGCTTGCAGGCCAGCTAGCTTTCCAGCCCATCAGACTGCCTTCAGGGGAGCCAGCACCAGTCATGCACCAGCATGCGGACGACACCAGCGTGCACGCGCGGACTCCCCGGGATGCTAGGTGCCGCTCGGGGCTGGCAATGTGACCCTAAACTATGCCTCAATCTGCCAGCAAGGTGGGGCACAAGCAAACGGTGGCATATGGGAGATATGAAGCCGCAAATGAGGCGAAAAACAGGTAGGCTGGCGAGAACTCGACCAGATACACACACCCACCACATCGGAGGCGGGGATAGACAGGAGGCATCATGTCCAAGGTCCTAGACACCCGCTCAGGTTCAAGGGTGGATACTGGGGTTGGAAACCCTAAACCCTTGAGATAGCCTTCAATGAACTACTGTGAATGGTGAGGAGGACAGACACTAAGGCAAAAGGCCACGGATGACATGAAGGTTGGAAGGTAGGGCGGGCATGCTGGCGCAGTTCGGGTTAGCCACGGGGATTGTTGGGGCTGCTGGTGAGACAGAAACATCGGAGGATCACTGGAAAACTATTGATAGCCTAAAGCCCTGGGCAGGGTGGTCTTCTGTAAGCTCGCGCCAACGCTCCAGCTCTCCGGCACGGTACTCCACAGGTAGCGGGGCGCACGATGGATCCGTCTGGCCGAGGGATACCCAAGGGGTGAGCCGCGCAAACACGTCCGGTGGTGGGCGAGGCCACCGGCACTGGATGGCGAGGCCAGTGCCCCAGGGGTGAAGGAGGCACCCCCGGGGCCGTGTTGGGCCGAGCTCGACAGGTCCCTCGACCAGTGGAAGCACGTGACTCGGAGCCCCATTCCGCGCTGGCAAAGGTTAGAAGTAGGAGAGGCGCAAAGCGTCTGGTAGGCAATCTGTGGTCCCAGGGCTCTAAGGCAAAAAGGGGTCTCAGACAAGGAACGACAGGCCGGGCTTTGCCGGGGTGGGATCGGGACTGGTGAAAGGTGAGTCATCCGTGCCTGACTATGGTATGACGAAGGCTCTTAGCGCCCAGGTGCCCAGAGCACCTATCGCAAAGGCCCCCCTAAGAGAGGGTGTGAGTTCAACACAAGAATCGACACGAGCGGGTGTCATGGCAGAAGGCCAAATGAGAGCATGGTCATACAGATAGCCAAGTTAGAGCCGTGGCCGGCTGGGTACAGTGAATGGTGGATCGGAAGCGTCACGCTGGAAGCGGCACGGGATGCTGGGCACTCCAGTGGATGACAGGTTGCGCGCCCGGCAGCTCCTCCAGCGCGCAGAGGACCGCGCGGTGGCACCATCGCGCCGCGAACTGCTCCCTGGTGATCATCGGGTCGCGTCCGCGAAGCCAGTCGCTGAGCACACCTGCTGTCTGCCGGACGTTGACGGTCGCGAGCCGCCAATCGGCAAGCAGGGCCTTCTTGCAGGAAGACAGGATGCGAGCCGCAACCGCTCCGGGGGTGATCGCCGCCGTATCTGGCTGGTGGCGGCCGCGCTGATATGCTGCCCACAGCTGACAGATCGTAGCGAGCCGCAGGCGATCCCAGAGCTGCCTGAGCTGCTGCGGCGGTCCCCAGATCCTGGTGTCATCGGCGAGAAGAAGGTCGGCGCTGCGCGGTGGCGCGTCGTCTCCGGTCACCGCGGCCCATGTCGCTGCGAACCAGTCCCACACCCCGGCGGCGAGAGGGCAGATGATGAAGACATGGGTGAGTGTGGCCAGCTGACC